AACTTTTCAATATCTGTCACAAATGCTCTCCCAATGACAAAAGAGAATATATGTGTTTCTACTAACCTGCAATTAAAATAAATTTCTCAAAATAGATAATATTACCATATCGGACCTACGAGCATAGAATATGAGGAACAGAAGAGAACGCGCTAGACAGGGGAAGAACATACAGGTTGAGAAACGTATTTCCCACCATAAAAATTCAAATCACGTAACACTCGGAGACACTTAGATTAGGTGCAAGTGCTAATTTTTTTAACTCGGAAACAACAAACCCCACTTCAACACATATCCAACCAGAACGAGAAAAAGAGTTAGGAACAGCTTACATAGTAACTAACTGATCTACATTAGCATGGCGCTTCACTAATCTACAAAATGTATCCACGGTCAGATTCAAGGCGGCTTCCTTCTCCTGCATGACATATGAACGATTAGTAGGCAGATCGGTATAGAAAATGCAAGAAGAGATATTGTTTCCAAGATTAGAAGTAAGAAATTTAGAAAAAAATGACGAACGCAGCAGATACAAGAAGAGTATATATTATCAAAGTAAGAACCTTTTCAGAGCTTGATGAACGGAACTCTTCCCATAATCTCTTGAAGTCCAGTTCCAACTCATGGTTATCTCTGCTTTCGAGAGAAACAAAATTAGGATCAACAATTGAAAAGCAATCAGTCAACAAGAAATACAGAATCCGATTCAATGAAACATGTCAAATAGAAAATTTTAAATGTATGTAAGTAGCGGCAGCCTTTGACTCTCATTGATCAATCTTATCACAAAATCTAGCACCACAAATGCTGCAATAAAGCAATCTAAAGGAGACTACTTAGTTGATGTTGATCACTTATAAAGCAATCCAAAAGAGAAACAACTAAAACAATCTAAACACTGGTCCCAAAACAAACAGAAAAAGCAAAGTCAGAAAACAGAAACTAACAAGAATGCACAACATCGGAAACCACAACCAGATCAAGCAGAAGCAGAGGACTAGGGAAGAATACCTTGAAGGAGATGAGTTGAAGTCACGGAGAGGAGGCGCGCAAGTATAAGATGGAGACGAGGAGGAAGACGGCGGAGCAGTTAGGTCAACGGCAAACGCGTCGGCGGTTGCGGCGTCAGAGGATTGAGCTAATCCGACCTTCTCCTTGATGTCCTTAAGCAATGTTGCCCATTTCATCGTTGTCCTTTTCGATCCCAGAAACTTTCATCCGACGACGACCTCACCAGACCAGACCCTGACTCGGTCTCGAACACGACCCCAGATCCGAGTCGTCGATCAGAAAGAAAAATCACGATCAACGCAAAGCTCTCATTCGTTCACCAGAAGAGAACAAAAGGCACATATATCCTTAAAATGACCCAAAGGAATTCGAATTAAAGAAAGAAGAAGAACCCCAAAAAAAAGACACTTTTTAGATCAAATTGAGCTACTACAATGTGCCAAATTAGGGTTTCGTAGCAAGAAGAAAGATCTAAGATCCAAAATTTCGAATCCTGATGTTTAACCCCTACCCTCCAAACACTTGAAAATCCCTTTTCTTCCTCGAGAATGAGCAAACCAATTTTGACAAAAAAGGAAGAAAAAGAGCTTAGCAAGAAAAAAATAACGATTCTTTAATTTTGTTTTAATTAAATTAACAGATGAAAATGGAAAGATTTTCTTTAATTAATCAACCAAAAGAGAAAAACCAAGTTTTATCAATCTCGTTTTTTCTTCCTTTCTTCGTTTTTTTTTTTGTTGCTCTTCTGCTGTTTTTTTTTTGTGTTGACGGCGTCTCTCCGCGCCTTGTTTCTCGCTCAAGTCGTCTCACTTTCTCTCTCTTCACACACACGATATTGTCTGTTCCCTCCCCTCTCCCGTTATTATTCCAGTTTTATTGCTTTATTAGCCCTTGTATTTTTATTTTCATATATTTTATATACACTAATGTATTTCATTCCAATTTTGACCCCAATCAATAAGTCTTGCAACCCAACTAGAAGAAATGTTGTGTAGACTTTCGAACAGATGGCGCAGACATAAAGCCAAGGTATAGAAAATTAGAATTTAAGGACACTTGAATGAATACCTTTGACATTTTCATTCGTGAAAGTAACAAAGGTTGACTCGTTCTTGAGTTCATTTTATATACTTAGTAAGAGTATGTAAATAGTCAAATCAGGATGTTTAGAGATATGAATCGAGATATTTGTGTTTAATTATTAATAAAGTAAATTTAAACAGATATTATAAATCTTTAAAATAAACCTTAACTGTTTTCATTAAAAATAATGTTGTTCTGGTATATATATTTAAATTTCAAAACATATAATAATAATTTTAAGTTTTTAAATATCAAAACCTAAACATTGTAAAATTTTGTAAATCAGAATTATCAACAATTATAATATGGTTGTTTATTGATACAGATTTGTTCTACTATTGTTTCTAGTCTAAATCAATAGACAAAAAAAATATTAGGATTGAAAGAAATAAAAATAAGAGACAAACAGATTTTAATTATAAAGAAAAACAGAGGCCAACGAGAGGCCAAACACCAAAATTTTTTATAGGTTCACTCACGTCTACAATTGGAAGTAAAGCCCATGGGAACAAAGAGTGCCACGTTTTTCCGTCGAGGCTTGACGAGCGATTGCGAGACGTGATGTCCTTTTTGGAAATTATACACTTAACCGACTTTTAAAAAAATGAAATTAACCTGAACTAAAATCGAATTAAAACCTTTATAATTTTAGAGTTATAAAAGACCTTATTTAAAAGTAATTTCAATCTGACGAATGATTCTCTGAGAAAAAAAAAACGATACACGTACGGATTAATAGCATTCATCTTCAATATGTAGATACATACTTAGCAATGATACCCAGATTAAGATATGGTCGAATATAGGGTTTACTTAGGGTCACTTTTAGTTGACGTCGATCACATGACTCGATCTAAGATATAAATACTTAGATTAAGATATATGCAATTGATTAAAAGTCTGGAGTATTATATATAACCTCCTAAGTAAGGAAATATTTGTCTGCAGTATTAAAATAATATACATGCAAGACATTTTAAACATTGGCTTCAAATTTCATTCAGTTTATAAAAAAGGAAACAAGAAAATTTGTGCAGTTAGTCGTGGAGAACAATGTTTTGAATAAAGTTGAGAGAAAAATAAACAATGTTTTGAATAGACAATGATCTAACTTGGAAATTTTCAAAATTAAACAAAGAAAGTCGAATATGATTTGCTCTATATATATAAGGGTGGGGGGGGGGGGGGAGGGGCATTGTATTAATTTAAATATAATTAAATCGTAACTTTATTTAGTTTTCTTAGAAGTATATAGCCAACGAACTCTGGATCATTGGTGGGTTTAGGTATTTTAAAACAAAGTGATGAGATCACTTTTATCAAATAAACAAAAAAAGTAGTAGTGGATATAAATGATCATTAGACAAACGTAGAAATTTGGTGAAAAAAAAACTGTAAACTTTGTCTTTTGTTTTTCGTCGCAGCTTTAAATCGAGAAAATGATTTTGGTATGTGTTTTTTTTTCACTTCTTTATCTTATTTTCAATAATCGTATAAATTAGTGTTAAAGCTCAATTTAATTTAGGTCTAGTAATCTAAAGCCCATTAAAAATAAAAGTCCAGCTAAAATCTCTAAATCGGTCGTGTCGTGTTTAAAATATTGAAATCATTTTTATTTCCTATTAATAAAACAGGTAACCATTTTAATAAACCTTTAAAATTATCAAATCATTTATAATCGGTTCGATTAAAATTCAGTTTAATTTAAATGATTTACAATAAAGTGTTTGGTAATAAAGATAACACATAAAAGTAAATCAATAAAAATATTAGAAAAAAAGATAATAACAGATAAGCATATAATGCTTTTTGTTTAATATATATTAGATAAGTAGATAACAATGAAAATGAGCAAATTCAAATCTCTAGCAATGTCTATAGATTACTTTGTTTAATTTTAATCAGAAAAATCATTATTCTTAGAGTAATAATTGAACAAAGTTTGTTCAACAATTTTTAAACCATATGAACCATTAAATTGATCAAGTATTTAAACATTGTAAATTTTAGCATAATTAAGAGGACAACAACTTTTTTCTTTCTTGAATATTTGTAGAAAAGAAAGAGGAAATGTGATTGGTATAATGGAGAAATGAAGTAGGTTGTGTAGTTAAATGATGGATAAAAGGAATAAAAGTGTAAAATCACGGAATGGAAGAAAGAAAACTGGTTTCAATGATGATCGAACAAACTCATCAGAATGCGTCAATCACATTGATAATATTTTTAGATACTATAAAGTAAATAAATATTTTAATTAAATGTATTTTCTACATCAAAGTAAAAAGAAGTAAACATAATTTTGTGTTCTTGTGATGTAAAGTTTCCTTGTTTTAGTTTCCCGAATGGTGTAAATTATCTGTAGTTAATGCGGTTTAGAATCAATAAAACAAAATACAAATATGGACAAATGCTATAGAAATAAGGTTGATTATGCAATTCATATAGTTAGTGGAAATATATTTTGGCAGAAAGTTAAACGAAGCGGTACTATATTTCTTTGTAGCAAAAATGGAATTAAGAAAACTTGAAAGTTAAAACGTTGGAGCCATCTAGAGAATTTTAGAGCCGTCCTTTTTTACGGTTAACAACTTAACGTTTCGTCTCCATACGCCACGTGTCAATACCTGGTGCATTCAAGAACGTTCCCCTTACTCTCTCGAAACTCCCTTTATAACTTGAAAATCCTAAATTTCTCTCAACCTCCCCCAAATCTCGCTAACAAAAACTAAATAGTTCCCTCCGCCGTCGAAATCAATTCCCGAAACTTGCCATTCTCCGATCGTTTTCTCCGGTTCTGATACAGCTCATAGGACCATCCCGGATTCTAGATTTTCCCGCGTTTTGTTTCCCACTTGTTCATCAGAATCCATTGTTTCAGAAAGTGTCGCTTACAATATACAGTAATGCATAAGTGGAATCTTCCGTACCGAGGAAACGACGTCGAGAGCGGCGATGGGGGCGAGAAATCTCTGTACCCGACGATGCTTGAGAGCCCCGAACTCCGGTGGGGTTTCATCCGAAAGGTATACTCCATAATCGCTTTTCAGCTTTTAGCAACCATCGCCGTCGCCGCCACGGTGGTCACCGTACGTCCGATCGCCGTGTTTTTCTCCACTACCAGTGCCGGTCTTGCTCTCTGGATAGTTCTTATCATCACCCCCTTAATAGGTAAACACAGAATCAAACTTGTTAATTCGATTTAGGGCTCTTTTTTTTCTTTTTCTTTAAATTTGTTTAAACTTAGGGTTTTTTTGTGTGTGGCAGTTATGTGTCCTTTGTACTATTACCACCAGAAGCATCCGGTGAACTACTTGCTTCTAGGGATTTTCACGGTGACTCTGGCATTCGCCGTCGGATTAACATGCGCATTCACCAGCGGTAAATACTTCATCAACCACTTTTTTTTACTTGTGACACACTCTAGTCTTTGTTCGTTTCTTGCCTTTTCAATAAACTCTGCTTGTACGTTACGCTAAGGATTTAACTTACACTATGAGGTCTCCAACACATTTGAGCTGGTTTTGGCTTTCCCAATACTCAATAACGCGTTCATGTCAAGGAATAATATTGAAGCCTGAGTAGATATAATAACAAAAGCAGAGATGTATATATAATAACATTATGGACTAATAATGCAGAGAATTAAACTTTGGAACTTTGTTATTGAAACAGGGAAAGTGATTCTTGAATCAGCGATTTTAACAACAGTAGTGGTGCTTTCCTTAACTTTCTACACCTTCTGGGCAGCAAAAAAAGGATATGACTTCAATTTCCTCGGACCCTTTTTGTTTGGTGCTATCATCGTACTCATGGTGTTCGCCCTTATTCAGGTAAACCCACGTCTTTCATCTTACAATTGCTTGCATTTTGGTTAACAAATCAAATGAAAATATGACCTCTGATATTTGGCTGTGTTGTTCAACTTTATGCAGATTCTGTTCCCGTTGGGTCGGATCTCAGTGATGATCTATGGTTGTTTGGCGTCGATAATATTCTGTGGCTACATAGTCTATGATACAGACAATCTCATCAAACGCTACAGTTACGATGAGTATATTTGGGCAGCAGTTGCGCTCTACTTGGACATCATTAACCTCTTCTTGTCTCTCCTTACCATTTTCAGAGCTGCCGAGGGTTAACTGGTTAAGTGATTAAGGTTCTTTTAACTCTTTTTATGTAAATCTCTAATATTGGTGTGTGGAAACCTGATATGGTAATGTGATTTGAAACATAACTCGTCTGCCTTTGAAACGCTGAAAACGCGCAACGTTTTGACTATTCCGTCTAGGTTCGAAACTACAAATGACATCTGCAATATACAAACTTCTTCTAAGCTCTTCCAAACGCAAAAACAGATATTACCAAAGTTGTTTCTCATTCATATTAAACTTAAATTCACTTCCATTCAAATGAATATTATTATTACGCTTACTTGCAACAATGTACTATTAAGGAGAAGGAGGCGGTTGTACACACCCGCAAAACGCAAACCGCTTTCTCATCCTTTTCCGTCGCTCACCTCTCACTCCGTCATAGATATAATCCCGAAGAAGAATCCTCGTCTTGCTCTCCGACATTTTCGCTTTCGCTCTGTCCTCTCTTTCTCCTTCCAATTTCAGTAGCAGAAACTGTAATCTCTGTATCTCCAGCTGCAACCTCCCAATCTTCTCTGATCCTCTTCTCGCTTGTTCTGATATTCTCCTCCTTCTGCTGCTCTCATTCTCATCAAGATCCATTGATGATTTGCTTCCATCTGATCTCTCAAACCCGCTCCGGACTTTTGTCACCAGCTTTCTGTTGATGCTTAAAAGCTTCTCTAATGCTTCCTCTGCTTCACTGATCTGTCCCTTAATCGCTTCGTACTGGTCTTCTTTTCCTTTCTCGCCTTTTTCCTCTGTCTCCACTTTGCCTTTTAAATCTTCTACGGCGATGTGGAGATTTGCGAGCTTCTGTAAATCCGAATCAAGTCTCTCGAGAACTTTCCTCGTGTTTACTTCTTTGTTCGGATCCGTGAATCTATCCGAGATCTCTAATTTGTCCACGACCAGTGACTCTTCAGACAGAGATTTACCTTTCTGAGGATTTTGTGGCTTCACCTCAAAACTGTGATCATCTTCTGTCTTCAAAATGTCTCTCTTACTAATCCCATATGATGAGCAATCAGATACCTGATCGAGTACGATATCTTTCGTGATCATCTCGCTTTCCTCTGAATAGATCTCATGGTTCTGTTTCCGGAGACTTCCACTTCTCCTTCTGCTTCTTCGGGCAGCGGTTTTTAGTCCTTCCATCGCAAGCTTTTCGGTTATTGCCTCCTCAATAGCGTTGATTCTTAAACGCATTTCTTGCAACTCCAAGATTCCATCATTGTTATCCTGGTTAGAGATACCCACAAAAGATTGGTTACTCTCAGAGAAGAAAAATTCGAAATCAACAAAGAAAAAGATGCAACATCGATGACTAAAACCAAGGGTAAAGCTATAAGCATTCAACTATTAGAAGCAGAGTTTGCTAAGATAATCTACCTTGGCTCGTCGTTCATTCTCAAATTCGTGAGGCATTGCAAAATGTTTCTCCAGAGATTCTATGCTTTCTTTCAACAATACAATAGCTTGGGCGTATTTGTTCATATGATCGTTTTGTCCTTTGTTCGCATTCTCTAAGTTGTTCACTCTTCCTTTAAGCTGGTCAATCTCCAAGTCTTTTAATGCGCTTCTGTTTTCGAGACTTTTGCAGGCTTCAGCGAGCTCATGTGTCAACCCTTCAAGCAATGTTTCATGAACAGCCGAAATCTGCAAATCTCCAAAGGATGTTGCAGCTTGAGTCTCCCATAGTTCAATCTCACTCCTTCCCGTTGAAAGCTGCTGGTTCAGCTTTTCCTTTTCCACTTTGATTCCTTCAAGTTCCATGAGCAGGTTCATCAAGTTAGCTTCCAATTTCAGATTAGCTTCGTTTGCATGATCAGTCTTCTTAACCTGCTCATCATAATCTCCGCGGAGTTTCAAAATCTGCTTATCTTTATCTTCTTCGATCGATTTAGTCTCCTTGTATCTACATTCTAAATCCTCCACCGCCTTAGATAATTCAGATTTTTCATTTTGCACGATGGAGATCATCAGCATAGCTTCAAGAAGTTCTTTCTCCTTCTGACCCAACTGGTTCTTCACGTTGGCAATTTCATGTTCCAACTGATCATTGGCTGATCTGGCTGAGATCAGTTCGTCGTTCGTTTTCTGTAGCAAACCTTCACGCTGCAAGTTCTCGATTTCTGTAGCTTTTAACTTATCACCAGCCTCCCTTAGCTCTTCCTCAAGCTTACACTTAACGAGACTGAGCCTGTCCAGATCCTTGTTTAGTTTCACCGCTCCTGAAAGTTTTTCCAAAACCACATCCTCCAAAAGAAGAATGAGACTGCTTTGGTATATAGTCTCGGAAAGAAGCAAAGATATATCCTCTTCTAGTTCGCGTTTCTCCTCCTCCAACCGCAATGTCGAATTTACCAAGCATCTTTTCTCGTCTAAAGTTCTGTAATTCTCTCCCTGCAAAATGGTGTAGTCATTTCGAAATTGCGATACTTGCTTCTGCAAATCCTCAATTTCCACCTTCAAGACTTCTTCTCTGTTGACTCCTTGATTAACTTTTGTGGTCAATTCCCCATTCGCATAGAAAAGTTTCTGTGTCTCATCCCGTGAAGACGAGAGCTGGTGACGATGAGATTCAAGTTCTTCCTCAAGGGTCTTCTTCTTTGTTGCGACACCAATAGCTTCTGATTTAAGCTGCCGGAGAAATTCAACAAGTACGAGGTTCTCGATAGCAGACTGCCTCTGCATATCCTCAATTTTCAGCTTCAAGACTTCTTCTCTGTTGACTCCTCGATTAACTTTTGTGGTCAATTCTCCATTCGCATAGACAAGTTTCTGTATCTCTTCCCGTGAAGAAGAGAGCTGGTGACGATGAGATTCAAGTTCTTCCTCCAGGATCTTCTTCTCTGTTGCATTACCAACAGCTTCTGATTTAAGTTGCCGAAGAATCTCAGCAAGTACGAGGTTCTCAATGGCAGACTGGCTGTGCAAATCCTCAACTCTCACCTTCAAGACTTCTTCTCTCATGACTCCTCCATTAACTTTTGTGGTCAATTCTCCATTCATGTAGATAAGTTTCTGGGTCTCATCCCGCGAAAGTGAGAGCTGGTAACGATGAGATTCAAGTTCTTCCTCAAGGATTTTTTTCCCTGTTGCAATACCAACAGCTTCTGATTTCAGTTGCCGAAGAAATTCAACAAGGACGAGATTCTCGATAGCAGACTGCTGGTTTTCATTCTGAACTTTCAAAAGCATAGTTTGCATCTCATCAAGCCTACTCAATATCTCATGCAGATTCTTCTCGTCTTGCGAGGTCTCATCACCTGGAATAATCTCGAGCTTCATCAACACCTGGTAGATCCCCGTTCTCAGTATTTGAATGCAGTGAATCGAGGACTCAATCTGAACTTGCTTCCCAGCATTTTCCTGTTCTAGTTCAGAGACAAGCTTCTCCAACAGTTGAGAAGCCTCTTTGATTTTCTGATTCTCAGCAACCAGAGAGGAACTCTTCTCAAGCCACTCCTGCAAACATTTCTGCAGAACAATAATCTCAACGTGAGCATCATGAGTTCGATCCAGTTCCACTTGATACTCTCTCTCCTGGCGTTGATTTTCATCTTGAAGATGATGGATCTTTGATTCCATGCCATTGATTCGATTCTCAGACAATTGAACAAAGTTAGCGTACTCACGGTCCTTGGCATCTAAAGAGACACCCAACTCTTCAATTTTCTGAAGGGAAGATTCCCTCTCGGTCGCTAATTCCAAAACTTTCACTTTTAACCCTGCCTGTTCTTTCTCCAGATCTTCAATGCTTTTTCTCATTATATCCATATGAGAGAGTAAGCTTTCTCTTTCATTGACTAAACTGGACTTGTCATCATTCAGCAGGTGGCATGAGTCTTCCAGGCTTTTCAGCTTTGACTTCAGTTCTTCAAGTTCTGCATTGGCATCGAAAAGAGAATTCTCCATTAACCTGTTTTCCTCGGAGAGTTTCTTGCTGTTCTCTGTAGCAATCTGCAAACGGGAAATCAACATGCCCTTCTCAGAATGAAGGCCTGATTTCTCTTCTGCTAGTGACATACAAGCTTCCTCCAATGTCTCCAGCTTTCCTCTGATTGTTTCCAGCTCAGAATTCAGATCTGATATGGAGTTCTCCAGAAGAAGGTTTTTCTGAACAAGCTTTTCCATCATTTCTAACTTCTCAAGCAGGACCGTCTTTTCGTTACTTTCTCTTTCCTTTATTTCCTTTAGCTTTGAGTTCTCCTCCTGCAACTCCTTGACAGAAGACCCAAAGCGTTCTGGATGTAAACCAACCAACTCCACCTGTTCAACCATGGACTGGTGTCTCTTCCCTACCCGACTTAATTCCTCTTTGAGACAGTATATTTCTTGCTGCAAAGCATTTCTCTGGTCCACTCTCAGTTCAACTTCAGCTTCAAGTTTCTGTATTGTCTCCCGTAATTTTGAGACCTCCTCCTGCAAACTTCTAATGGATTCAGCCGAAGAGAGATTGAGCTCACTGAGGCTTTTGTTCTCGTTTTTGGCTTCCTGGACTTCCTCCTGTAAACCATTGTTACGGGCCTCCATATCTTTCAGGATCTGAGACCTGTTTTGCAGTTCCAAAGCCAAAATGCTTAGCTCCTCCTGAGACTGAGAGTGCAATTGCTGAAGGGTTTGAAAGGCGGTTTCAGCTTCCATGAAACGCAAGTGTTCTTCTTGTACACTAGTCCACAATTTTCCCATCTCTTTCTGTTTCTCCGTGAGCTCATGACTTTGATTCCCAAATTTCTCCAACAAATCATCCAGCTCAGTGTGCAGGTTCTGATTTGTTCTCTCAAGCACGACACATTTTTCCTCTGCAAATTTCAACTTAGCAACCCCATCCTCTATTTCACGGCTAAGCCTTTGGGTTTCCTCTTGAGCATGAAATAGCTTGAGCTTTAGATCTGCAATTGTATCCAGACACTGTTGGTATTGGAGCTCATAAGCTTCATTTTCTTCAACTAATTTAGAGACCTTTTGCTTCAAGCTTTCAACTTCACCCTCAGAATATTCTGCCCGCTCATTGATTAACCTCGCATCTTCCTCAGCCTTGCGCAACCTCTCTTCCAGGTTAGATATGGTTTCCAAGCATTGTCGATATTGAACAAGAGCAGCTTCCTTGTCAGTTTCGGATGTAACAAGGCTTTGCTTCAAGGCTAGAACTTCAGCTTCGGCTTGGCTGGCTCGCTCATTCACTTCTCCAGCGTCCTTCTGGGCTAAGGAAATGCGTTCCTCCAAATCAGCTATGTTCTGTAGACTTTTCTCATACTGAACAAGACTGGATCCCTTTTCAACCTCCAGTTGGCTGAGCGACTCTCTGAGTGTTTCGACCTCAGCTTCGGCCTTTGTCGCTCGTTCAATAAACCCCTTGGAGTCCTCTTGTGCACGAGATACCTCAGACTCCAGATTAGACAGCCTCTCCAAATTCTGATCAAACTGAGCTAAGCTAGCTTCTTTCTCAGCCTGCACTTTCGAAAGAGCTTCTTTTAAAGCCGCAATCTCAGCTTCAGCTTTGCTAGCGCGTTCAGATTCTGAAAGAACCTTCGCGTTTCTTCCGTTTCCATCAACACCATTGAAATTCAGTCCTTTTCTCGCCTTTGCAATTTTCAAACCTTTCCCGCTACTCAGAGACTGAGGATCTTCCATAAAGGCTATATTTCGCTTTACGGTGCTCATGTGAGAGAAAAAGCCCCCCAAAGCCTCTTTCTGTAAATCATTGGGGTAAACCGGAGCTCGGATAGGAGGATAACTCTCAGGCGTTTGTGGATCGAATTCGTCGGTGGAAGAACCAACAAGCGGCTCATCAGCAAACATCATGGGGTCTTGGTTTGGGAACGCCTCTGCCATAGTCTGCTGAGCATGACGAATAACACCGGTCGCATGATCATATCTTTCAGCTAAAGCACGATACGCTCGATAAAACTCTTCAACCAATTTCATAAGTTCAGGCCGCTTTTTGTAATACATTTCTGCCCGCCTAGCAAACGAATCTGCATCTTCCTCAATAACCTTGATCATTTGCTTGACTTTACTGTCCATATCTGCCAACCAAATTAAAAAAAACATGTTCGTAAGCCGAAGACAAGGTTCTCAGCATGAAAATAAAATCACTTTGAGAACATCTCAGTTCAGATGAAGAACTTGATATACTTCTCTTAGTAACATACCTGTAAGATTCTCCTGAAGCCATTTAGAGTTCTTGGGGCTTATGTGACTATCCCACCACCAAGAATAGCGTTTAGTGTTACCAGTCGCAACAGCAGCCATTTTTTCCCGGCAAAATTACACACCACCACCGCTAAACTAAGACGATATTAAATCACAGAATGTGAAAATTTATAGACTCTCTCAATGCCAAATTCCTCCGTATAAATTCTTGAACTAAACAAGAACAAAAACAAAAACAAGGGTTATTAAGCTTCCGTAGAATGAACAATTTGATAAACCCATATAGAAAACAAATACAGACAAAAAGAAATAGAAAAAAAGAGAAGCGAATTACCAAGTCAACGAAGGGCAAAATCGAGACAAATATATTTCACTGGCCAAAGCAATCGGTAGTGACCTGGTCAGAAACATATCAAGCAATTCGTTACAGTTGAAAAATCGGACCTTTATGCTCTAAAAAACAGAGTACTCAAGTCGTGTCGGGAAATTAGACGATCACGCCCAAAATCCAAGGGAATATATCGGAAAACAAACCACATGATCGTACAGGAATAAGCAATTATAGCACACCCACCACTTGGCCCAAAACTGGAATTCGATACAGTAGTTGATCTACCAAGCAAATGTAACAGCAGTGAAATCAGGTCGGAAAGCACAAAAAATCGCGAGGATTACCATTTACAGGGAAGAACAGTTGTTCTAAAATTGATTCCGATCAGCTTTCGCTTCGACATCCTCTTCCTCTACGCATATCTCAACTCATCTTTTTCCTCTAGATCTCTCTCCTTCTCTCTCTCTCTCTCTACAGGCGTTTCCGCTCTGTTCCTACTTTTTACGTTTGTTTTTAGGTATGGTGGACTTACAGAGAAGCTAAGGAAATGACGATATCACCCTCCCAGTACTGTCTCTAAAAAATGTTTTATTGATCCAAAATTTTAAATTCGAAGTTGCGTGACTTTGCGTCCTCGGGATCGCCTCGCTGCCAAGAGAGATCTGCAATTTAAAAAACTTATGTTATGGACTCGACTTTTATGTTAATAAAATATTTAGATCAAAAATGGAGTAATAGATTTGATCTCGTACTTTTCATTTCCCCATGAAAGAAACTATTTTTATCAGATGATTCTTTTCTATTTATTTTAGCTTTTCTTTAATAATGCAATTTTTTATACATGCAATTTTGCTCATAATATCAGTTAAGTAATTTGATTAGTTGGTAGAAGCCAGTATCATACTATCATGCAACTTTGTATATATGGTTTAAAATCACATATATACAAGTAAAACCATAGAAAGCCACCCTTTAATTAGAAGAAGAGCAAAACTCATTTGCATAATTTTTCCTACGAAAATGGGTATGTTTTGTAAATTTATTTTCGAAAACTTTAATCAAAGATTTAATACAGAATACATTCTTCTTCTTTCCGTAATATCACGAGAAACATAGTCTGTTATTGTTATTATAATTATTGCGATTGAATGAGCAATAATAATAAGAAATAAGAAATTAAAGCATAGAGAGGCTGACAAGTGATAAGTGACAAAGACAGGATGTCTTGGACGGTGTGCTTTCGGTCCACTTCCGTCACCCTTTGTTATTTCTCCACGTTGGATTTTAGATTCGATCTGTATATTGCGATCTTGCGTGTCACAAAATTTCCAATCATTTAATGTGCCTATTAAAAAGTTGGGCTTGGAGAGAGAGTTGTTCATGCTTCTTTCGAGTAATTAAAAAAGTCACTGATCAATTTTTTTTACTTTTACTGTTCAGTATTATTGGATCCTTTGTAGTTGAGTTGTCCGATCGAATCATTTCTTTCAGCTTCCTAATAATTTATCAAATGAATAAGTCAAAACAAATTTACAAGAAATAAGTAATTATGACTGAAAATGCTTGTGTCATGTGTTAAATAGTACTACCTCTTTGACGCAACGTATATCTTCCTTTCTGTTACCAACTAAACCTATTGAAGACTGGTTATTTATTCGTTTATAAAATACAGAAATGATTTATCTACTGGAAACAAATTGACTTCTAAGCATCATAAAAGGTAGTATATATTTATATGGCGTTTCGAGTTAGTTAAGATTCATTTATTGTTGAAAACGTGACTTTGAATCAACCGTTTTTCTTATAAGTTTTTTAAAGTTTTTTTTTTTTTCTCTTCTCTTCGTTGCCAATATTGAATTGAATCAATTAAAAGGTGTCGTGTTTGTTCTTAATTTTATTTTTGTCGGTTCTAAAATAGAGGCAGTCGTAGTCAACACTCAACAGCCACCAAACACACTTTAATAGTTAGTTCTTTATCTCGGATGATTCCTTACACTTCCATAGTTCCAGCTCGGTTTCATGCCCCTAAGCTTATTATGCTACTATTATATTTTCACAATGTGCACATGCCTTTAATAGTCAAAGTTGATCCTATTACTCAAAACTAATATATATTGAAGCCCATAAGGCTCGTTATGAAATATTGAAGCCCATAAGGCTCGTTATGAAATATTGAAGCCCATAAGGCTCGTTATGAAATATTGAAGCCCATAAGGCTCGTTATGAAATATCGAAGCCCATAAGGCTCGTTATGAAATATTGAAGCCCTTAAGGCTCGTTATGAAATATTGAAGCCCATAAGGCCCTTTGTGAAATATGGAAGCCCATGAGGCCCTTTGTGAAATATGGAAGCCCATGAGGCCTATTATTAGTTCAGTTAGGTCGCGAGAGGGTAAAGACGCAACGCAAGCGGCACATCAGACGCATATCCATTTCGAGGATCAACCATGAGAAAGCGTGCCACGTCTTTATTTGTCGCTGATTAATCTCAACAAAAATGACCAAAAACCCCTTGATTTTCCGTTTTATCTACAACTTCTTCACGAACAGCACAGTTGCTGAGTCACACTTGCTTTTCACTTGGAAAATTCGAAATCGCGATCAATGTCGATGACGGTGTGGGCATTTCGGCGGAATGTTCGCCGGAAAAGTTACTCTATGGTCGTTAGATATATCTCCGACTCTGCATCTTTTGGGAGAGCCACGATTAAGCCCAAGGAGCTGTGTATTGAGAAGCTTTTGGTGGCGAACAGAGGCGAGATTGCTTGCCGGATCATGAGAACGGCGAAGCGTCTGGGGATTCAGACAGTTGCGGTTTACAGCGACGCTGATAGAGATTCGCTCCATGTGAAATCTGCTGATGAGGCGGTACGAATTGGCCCGCCTCCGGCTCGGCTCAGTTACCTCAACGGCGCGACTATTATGGAGGCAGCAGCTCGGACTGGTGCACAGGTGTGAGCTTCGATTAGTCTATTGTTTAGTTCCCGAGAATCCCGTGTAATAGGAGAGTGATATATCTGGAACCATGAACTTGAACTTAATAGCTGGGTGATTAGGATCAATATTATTGTTAGTGAGCAAAAAATGGATGAGTAATTGCTAGGATTAACTTATTTTAGCTATAGGTTGTGTTCATACGACTTTATTTCTTATATATGATTTAGATTCCATGAAAAGTGGATTTGGGTAGCTGATGTGTCCTTTGAATTATAACTAGGCAATACACCCTGGCTATGGGTTCTTGTCAGAAAGTTCCGACTTTGCCCAACTCTGTGAAGATTCAGGTCTGACATTCATTGGACCACCAGCATCTGCCATTAGAGACATGGGTGATAAAAGGTACCATAACAGGCTCCATACTTCTTTTCACAATCTGTCCTTTTTTCCTCACTTTTGAACAACTTCTGACGACGATGCCCCTCATCTCTGTTTATTCAGTGCATCCAAGAGAATAATGGGGGCTGCTGGAGTCCCTCTCGTGCCTGGATATCATGGCCATGAGCAAGATATTGATCATATGAAGTCAGAAGCGGAAAAGATTGGATACCCTATAATAATCAAACCAACACATGGAGGTGGTGGGAAGGTATGTTATGATTTGTCCAATAGTTAGCTTGTTGTACTTGTAATAGCCAAATTACTTATGTCACCGAGAAGAAGCAGTGCCATGTGTTTCCATTTGCTTTAATACTGGCTCAGAAAACATGGTTTAGAATTTTTGTTAGTGGCAGAAATACAGATCATTGATCAATAAGTTTGATACCCTTTTAACGTTTTTTGGCTTGGAAGTAAAGTAAGCTTTTGTTTTCAGGGAATGAGGATAGTGCAAAGTGAGAAGGAGTTTGCTGACTCGTTTTTAGGGGCTCAACGTGAGGCTGCTGCTTCTTTTGGCGTTAACACAATTCTTCTTGAGAAATACATCACTCGACCAAGGCATATAGAAGTCCAGGTAGTGGGTTGTGAAATTCCATTTCCTACTTCTTTTATGAAACTATGCGTATAGCGCTTGGAAACCCATTTATTATGTATAGAAGGAAGACATTTATTATTATTGTTTAGAGCCTTAAATTCTATATGTACTGCCATGTTCAGATTAAGCTATATGGACTAAGTTATGATATATTCGTAGAGAGACCGTTTCTGGATCTTCACACGTTTTAGCATTCCTACTAATTTTCCTTCTGCTTTTAGGTATTTGGTGACAAACATGGAAATGTTCTTCATCTGTACGAAAGGGATTGTAGTGTGCAAAGAAGACACCAAAAGATTATTGAAGAAGCTCCTGCGGTAATGACTGTTCTTGTTTCTGTTAGTAATTCATATATTTTCTAGCATATTTGGATGTGGGTCTGATCGAAGCTCTGCTGGTGCAGCCTAATATATCTGAAAAGTTCCGCGCAAACTTAGGCGAAGCTGCTGTCTCTGCGGCACGGGTATCACTTTAAATCCTGCTTTTCATCTTTTACAGATTTATTGGTTTTCTGTAAGAGATCTTAGTCGAAAATGTTTGATTACCTTTTTCTGTAATTGCATTTGTTTATACTATGTCCATTGAGTCTCTATATTCTATATTTTGCATTGTTTCACTATGAGTTATTAATCGAAGTTTACCATTGTTAATTTAAGTTCCGTTGATGTGTAGTCCTTTGAAACCTCTTCTTGCTAGGCTATCTTTGACTACAACTTCCACAAGAAGCGCTTATATTCTGTTACCTTCTGATATTTAAAGGCAGTTGGATATTACAATGCTGGGACGGTGGAGTTTATAGTTGACACTGAGTCTGATCATTTTTATTTTATGGAAATGAACACCCGTCTGCAGGTAAATTTTTTTTAATATATGTGTAATAAATTTTACCTTTAAAAACATTTGGTTATCCAACGGAACACTGATAATCCATCTTAGGTCGAGCATCCTGTAACTGAGATGATCGTTGGTCAAGATCTTGTGGAATGGCAAATTCGGGTTGCCAATGGGGAACCTCTCCCCATAAGCCAATCCGAGGTGCCAATGTTAGGTATGCCTCTTCCTCATTGACATAAACGGAAAAAAGCTTTCTTAGTTAATTCTCATTCCTTCCTATTGTATCCATGACTTCTCAAGATATTACTTCTGGCAGAAAAAAATGTTAACAATTTTTTCGTGAAAATTAATCTATTAATTTGCAGCTGTTAATTTATTATTTTGATCCGCATATGTATCCTCTTGGCAGGTCATGCCTTTGAGGCCAGAATATATGCTGAAAATGTTCCAAAAGGATTTCTTCCTGCAACTGGGGTCCTCAATCATTATCGCCCTGTTGCAGTCTCACCATCAGGTGCGGTTCAAGATTGTATATAAAATTGTTTTTTCTTCCATCTTATTGAATGTTTTCTTATCTGTTAGAGACTCAATCAGATCCTGTTTTTGTCTTGTTGTGAACCTCTTTCATGTTGGATCTTTTCTGTAATAGTTCGGGTTGAAACTGGAGTTGAGCAAGGAGACACTGTTAGCATGCACTACGATCCGATGATTGCAAAGCTTGTTGTCTGGGGAGGTAATCGTGGCGAAGCTTTAGTGAAACTGAAGGATTGCTTGTCTAACTTTCAGGTACAACCCTGAGACCCTTGAATAACAACGTATTGGAGCTCTCTGCAATGGTCACAATAGTTCAGTGATTACATGAGATCTTCGTTGGCAGGTTGCAGATGTACCTACGAACATAAATTTCATTCAACAGCTTGCTAGTCACAAGGAGTTTGCAGTGGGCAATGTAGAAACTCATTTTATTGAGCACCATAAAAGTGATCTATTTGCTGATGAAAGCAATCCAGCTGCAACAGAAGTGACATACAAGGCAGTTAAGCATAGTGCAGCATTGGTTGCTGCTTGTGTATCCGCGATGGAGCATTCTACGTCGAATGAAAGTAATCATGGTCAGTTCACATGAGCCTAGTCTCTTCTTCACAAGTTCCATGATTCCCCAGCATGCCTTAATTTATTTTGTGTAAACTCATCCAGGGAAACTTCCATCAATATGGTATTCTCATACTCCTTTTAGGGTCCATCATGAAGCCAAGAAAACGATTGAGCTTGAGTGGGATAATGAATGCGGCAGCAATGGCTCGAACCTTATATCACTCGGTTTGATATATCAACCAGATGGAAGCTATCTCATACAGGTATAACGCGCTATGAAAAGAAAACTCAGAAACCTATATGCTGAATCATATTCATACTTCCTTTGTGAATCCTATAACTGGGAATTTGATGTTTTGACAACTTTTCACGAGACAGGAAGGCAATGATTCTCCAAATTTAGAAGTCAGAGTAACTCGCGCAGGAAAGTGCGATTTTAGAGTTGAAGCGGATGGATTGAGCCTCAATGTTACTATAGCCGTGTACTTGAAGGTAAACCACAGCATCGTCTTCAGGAAACTCTTCACAGCTATATCTCATGCTCTTTCTGTCTCTCTCGAAACTATTGCTTATTATGTGTGTTTTTGGTAACAGGACGGTTATAAGCATATCCATATATGGCACGGCTCTGAACATCACCAGTTCAAGCAGAAGGTAGGAATCGAATTCTCTGAAGATGAAGAAGGTGTCCAACACAGAACCAGCTCAGAAACATCATCACACCCTCCAGGAACCATTGTGGCCCCCATGGCTGGTTTGGTAGTCAAGGTCCTTGTCGAAAACGAAGCCAAAGTAGATCAAGGTCAACCTGTACTAGTCCTAGAGGCAATGAAGATGGAGGTCAGTATACAAGTGTCTTGTTATACCCGAACGCATATACCATACGTACAAGAAAACCGTAAACTTAACTATCGTTTAATTCTCCTCCGCCGTGATTTTAGCACGTTGTGAAAGCCCCCTCCTCTGGAAGCATACATGACCTCAAAGTTAAAGCAGGCCAACAGGTTTCTGATGGTAGTGCATTATTCAGGATCAAAGGTTAGTGTAATTTAGTAGTAACCTTTTTTCTCCTTTATACATTCATATCATCCTTTGAGAATTTCAACCAAATCCACCATTTTTCACATCTTTGCAGGATAAATAACACACGATTGATCGAAAGAAACCCATCCGCTGGCTTACCCGAAACCTGAACTAATAACTAATAAGCATTTGGGTGTGTATATAAACCGAAATCTTACAAAAGATAAATAAATCAATGTTTGTTTGTACTGCTTGTATTTAGATCTGTGGGGCTCGAGATCAAAAGTAACTTCTTAATAGACACTACAACGGTGATTACAATAACGATCAAGATAGACCGAGCCATTTCTTGAATGTTAAACCGGATTCCCTCTTTTTGAGCTGAGACTCGCTCTGAACTTTTGGAGCTTTGCCTTTATAAGCAGTCTTGTGATACTTCAAGAAGAGCATCCGATACTTGTACTTATCAACAAACATATTCTCTTTCTCCATCATCTCCACAACTTCATTAGCCCGAGAGAAAAACCCGCCTCTAACAAACGTGTAGAGCACCGAGTCAAGCAGCTCCTGATCAAACCTCATCGATGAAGTAGCTGCGGCTATGGATTTCATTTCTCCCCATAGCTCGGTGACCTCTTTGTATTTACTCCCAATGGCTGCATAACCTGTGACCATAGAATGAAAAGTCTGAGCATTTGGCGAATGACCGAGACTTCTCATCCTCTTCAACGCCTTCTCTGCATCTTGCATCAAACCTTTCTTGCTAAAGAAATGGATCACATTGTTCCAATCATGAACACCAGCATCCAAACTCTGCCCTTCTCTGATTTCTCTCAAGAGCTTCGACATAAGTCCCGCCTCTGCGTTCCCTTCGCAACCCTTTAAGAGCTTCTCAAACTGCTGATTTCCGCCTCTTGGGATTTTCGCCTCTTTCATTTCCTTGAACACATTGAGAGCTCCATGAGTATCGTTCTGAATCACTTGAGATTGGATCAAGGCTTCATAACAGCTCGAGTCGAATTGAATCCCGGCCTTCTGAGCATCTCTAAGGAGTGATGTCACTTCTCTAGTTCGGTTAGTTTTGCAGTAAGCTTTGAGGAGCGAAGAATAAACCGAAGCACCGGTTCTTACCCCAGCCATGCGCATCTCGTCGAGTAGATCATGCGCCTGATCCAACATTCCTAGAGATATACATGCGTTGATAACATTCACCAGCATCGAGTCATCACTAGAAACAGGGGAGTCTTCATGTTCTGCCTTTAACAGAAACTCTGCCAACTCCTTCATCTTTCCACTTTCCAGGAATGCCTTTGCTAATTTTACATAAATCTCTTCTGTCGGTTGCAGAACACCTCGTTCCGAGGTAATCAATTCGACTTGTACATGCAACTTACCCAACAATGCACCAAGAACATCCTTTGCCTCAGCTTCAAGTTTTAAAAACTTCCTGTCTCTAAAGAACTCTTCATATGGAATCATACTGTTATCGTGTTCTTCAACCTCTGATCCATTTCCAGAAACTTTTCTGAGATTTAATCTATCATCATCACCTGCAGTATCAAATCCAATAATGGCGGCTCCAAGTGAGTTCCTTGCTACCTTTCCTCTTCTTAACATCTCTAGAACCATTTTCGATGCAGATTCGAGATCCCCGAATTTGAGGTGACACATAAGCAAGCAGTTATAGAACTGCCAAAACTGAGAATCGTTTAGGTTACAAGCTTCATCTATATGCCTTTGGAGCTTCCTCAGTTCCTCTCTCCGCCCATTTCTTTCATATATATGAGCCATTATTACCAACAAGGTAGCATCGGCTTTAACACCGATCTTGGGTATCATATCAAGAAGCTGTTCGGCTTTTCGTGTTGTCCCAAACAACAAACAACCCGCCAAAGCAAGGTTCAACGCCTGAGTATTAGGCTTCATCGCAAGCAGAGGAGCATTGCTCTTCTTCCGTGGATCGACTCTGTTATTCTGAAACAAGTAACCAATCTCAAGAACCAACTCAGCAGAAAGATAACTTCCGGATCCTGAGAGAGACATATGCGCCAAAACCGCAGACCAAGCACTCACATGAGGATACTCCTCTGTCTCAACTAGCTTCCTCAAGATCGTTGATGCAGGAACAGCCATGCCCGACTTGGCGAGAGCCAAAGAGAGATATACAAGAGGCTCCTTCTCTAGCAAATTCTGTTTACTCTCTTCAAAGGCTTGTTCCACCAAACTGTAACCCTTTTGTAGCCAATTGGAATCAAGACTCTCAGCAAAACACACCAAAACATTGTTAACAACAGATTTTCGCGGGAAGCCTTCCATTTGCATATGTTGCTCAAACAATCTCCAAGCTTCATCACATCTATGTTGATCAACTGCGATTTGAATATCTTCGTTGAGTTTCGCAGGATCCCTGGCTTGAAGCAATATAGTTCCAGAAATTGTCGAAAATGCTTCTGTTCTATCTACAGACCATACGTCGAACTCGGTACTAGTACGAAGCTTAGATAACATACTCAGGTGTTTGGCAGTAGAAAGAACAGTTTTACCCGCCACACCATGTCGTAAAGAAGCTTGAGATTGAGTACTTGTAACTTCAATGGCGTCGACGAGGACTCCACGAAACAGAGAACTCAAACGACAGTGGTGAACTGAAACAGCCTGAAGCTTCGTTTTCCTCCATGAAAACATCTTTTTTCTTTGTTTATTCTTCGATTCGTCAGAACAAGTTTGAAGCTTCTCAGTTGGTATGTAGAATTGAAGGAAACAGTCTCCTACTTTCTCTCAGTCATTTCATCGAACACGTTGGGTGCGAACTCAATCAGCAACACAGTACGATCAAATGGCTATCAAAAGCTCAATTTCACATACGCTATGAAATGCAAAAGATAGTCCAATGGGCCATGAAAGCTCGTTAAGAGCGGCAAAAGATAGTCCATTGGGCCCCTAAAAGCTCGTTAAGAGCTACAAAAGATAGTCCAATGGGCCCTAAAACTCGTTAAGAGCTGCAAAAGATAGTCCAATGGGCCCTAAAAGCTTTGTCCAGTGAGCCCTAAAAAACTTTCATATCCAGCCCAGTTTAGTGTACGCCTATGTTTAAAATAGTCTGAAGCTGAGTACCACATATCCAATGGGCTCTAAAAAGCTTTGTCCAATGGACCAGAAGCTTTCATATCCAGCCCAGTTTAGTGTACGCCTATGTTTGACATAGTCTGAAGCGAGTACCACACATCCAAAGGGCCCTAAAAATCTTTGTCCAATGGGCCATAAAAAGCTTTCATATTCAGCCCAGTTTAGTGTACGCCTATGTTTGAAATAGTCTGAAACGAGTACCACACATCCAATGGGCCCTAAAAAGCTTTGTCCAATGGGCCAGAAGCTTTCATATCCAGCCCAGTTTAGTGGACGCCTATGTTTGAAATAGTCTGCCACACATCCAAAGGGCCCTAAAAAGCTTTGTCCAATGGGCCAAAAAAAAGCTTTCATAGTGTACTCCTATGTTTGAAATAGTCTGAAGCGAGTACCACATATCCAATGGGCCCTAAAAAGCTTTATCTAATGGGCCCTAAAAAACTTTCATATCCAGCCCAGTTTAATGTACACCTATATTTGAAATAGTCTGAAGCGAGTACCACACACATCGATTAGACTTGCATGAGCAGCCCAAATATGAAATCGATGGTTTTGTGGCGGCTTTTGTTTTCGCGAACTGCTTAAACCCTACAAACCACTTTTCTTCCGTCTGCGTAACAATGGAAGAATCTCACATCGAAAAAGGAGAAAGCCAAAACAAATTCGAGGTTGCTCCTGCCTTGATATCCGTTCATCCATCACAGAAATCTGTCGCTGTCACTGTCGGGTCCGATCTTCGAGTATTCGACCTTATGTAAGCTCATTGGCTCCTTCAAAATCAATCCTTGTCAAATTCAAATGTGATGTTTCTATTCTTCGTTTCACGGCTGCATTCACTGAATTTGGTTTACAGTTTTGTGTGTTGACTTGTTTTTGACCTGGGAACCCTGCAAACTTTTCTTGGTGTGGCTTTGTGAGATTTAATCCAATATACGATGAATTTTTCTTATGGTGCTCTAAGATAAGATTTAAAAACTTGGAAAGCTTTCAGAACTTTGAACAGAGGAGTGTTTAGTTAGTGAGAGTTAACCGATTTCTTTAATTGTTTCTGTCGACAGAGAGAATCGCCCAATTACTCTGGTGGATGAATCTGATGGCCCTTCGCATAAAGATTCCATTAGAGCTATTCGCTACGGTGCAAGTGGAAAGCTTTTTGTGTCTGCAGGCGATGACAAGCTCGTTAAGATCTGGTCTGCAGAGTCCTGGCGCTGCCTTAACACCGTGTAAGTTAGTAACAACATATATCATAAGGATGTTGCAGGACTGTGATCAATTGGTATTAGGATTCAAGCGTTTCATTTCCAGATTGTGTTTGTTAGAGGCTCAAGTTGAGTAATCTTATATAACCACAATAATTGGCAGATGTTCTGAGAAGAGAGTTAGCGCAGTTGCTATAAGCAGCGATGATTCACATGTTTGCTATGCGGACAAGTTTGGTGTTGTATGGGTGGTCGAGCTTGATGGGATCAATGAGGGTCAAGTTTTACCTGCCAAGAAGGGCGCGTCGCTGCTCTCCCATTACTGTAGTATTATTACTAGCCTGGTAAGATAAACTCTTGTGAAAAGGCCTTTCTTTTATTGTGTCTCTTGTTCTTGTTGAATCAGGAAAAAAAAACAGAAGTTTAAACTCACTAACTCCTGATCTGTTCTTCTTCATAGGAGTTTTCCCCAGATGGTCGGTATATTCTTAGTGCAGATCGGGACTTTAAGATAAGGGTAAGCCAAGTCAAATCCACCAATGTACAACTACAATGTCATGCCTCTCTTGTTCGGATTGCTCAGTGATTACGTTTGCCATCACAGGTGACTGTTTTCCCCAAGAAGCCTCTAGAAGGGGCTCATGAAATACAGAGCTTTTGTCTTGGACATACAGAGTAAGCGAGAGTTTAAAGGCACCATGTAATCGAGTGTTGTTTGCAAATGAAAAATGATTGTAAACAAGACTGAATACTTTACAGCTCATCTAACATTTTGTCTTTTGACCCTCGACAGGTTCGTCACCAGCTTAGCCTTTGTCTGGAATCCAGAGCTTACTCAAGGATACCTCTTGTCAGGAAGTGGAGATTCAACAGTAAGTGACCTTAAAGTCTCTATTCATGTATCTGTTGTATCTGACGACCAGGACTGCTTGCTGATATTGTTAATTTGTCAGGTTCGACTATGGGATATGACATCTGGGTCCCTTCTCGACACATGTGAAGTTAGTACAATGGTATGAATCTCAGCTCTACGTTTTTCTATCAATTTTATCACTTACAACCCTTGGTTATGTTTCTTCTTCGACATTGGCTTGAGAAGTAATTGACTTGCTTTTTGTATATTGCTCTCTGCACTTAATGAAGGCAGGAGATTTAGAGTCTAGTGAAAGTGAGCCGCCTTCCCAAGTCACAGTTACCGATATATGCACTATCCCAAATTCATCTCTTGCGGCAGTGGCTATTCAAAGGTAACTCCAATTTTTGTGACCGCATTTTCAGAGTATCAAATGTTTGTTTACTTACTTCTACTAATGTAAAAATGCAGCTTTCAAGGAATATTATTGTTAAGCTGCGATTTATCAGCCCATGCTCTCTCTATCACAAAGGTATGATGATACTTAGCTGTTAAAATCTTGTAAAATCAGCAAACCATGGGCATTACTTGACCCGGGTAAATGATCTTGTAGGTGCTCAAAATCCCTGGAGAAAGCTTCATTCCGACAAGCATCTCTGTAAGCAAATCTATATGGATGGTATCGGGAGCTTCGAACCTAGCTGGTTCGAACCATCCTGGTGTTTCAAGGGTTCGTGTCATCTCGTGCATTGAGACCGAACCATCTTCCATCATTGAAGATGAGCAGATACCCGGAGGGACAAAATTGTTGGAGCACTTGCAAGGTAGAGTTACAATTGAAGAGAGTGTGATGAGTGCTGCAGCAGAAGCTGTGAGAGCATCAATGTGTAGCCTTTTGATGAAGAAGCAATACTCGGAAGAGAAGAGAGAGTTGAGAAAAAAAACGAGAAATGATAAGAAAACCACACCCTGATTGCATTTTGCTACAAAAATGTTTTCTTTTTGGCTTATCATAATGTTTGTTTGTGACCTTTCTTCATCATTGTAACCTTGCATTATTGGTATGCTTATAACTTGCGACAATGCCGCCAATTCAGAGATTCGAACCATCACCCTGTTACTTACAATTTTTGCAGCAGTGACAATTTAATAATGACGAGACGAAACGGATTATCAAATTCATCAGTATTCATCACATCAACATGCGGCAAGACAAGTGTGAAATTAAGCGTCCACGTGTCAAACAGGCATCTGACTAATAGGATCGCACTTTCAAGATCCAACAACAATCTACAATTCGAAAACCAATAATAAAACAGAATAACAAAAACGAAACACACCGAGCAATGGCGCAGCAGCAGACTTCCGATTCAGGGACACGTGATCAATACGGCGGCGTTTTCAGCGTCTCCGGTGATGACGTGGCAAGAGAGCAAAGCGTGAGCATCTCTCAACCTGCTCCAGCGGTTGTGACGACGATGGGATCCGTAGATACGGTTACGATCGGGGAGGCTTTGGAGGCTACGGCTTTGTCGCTTGGAGATAAGCCTGTGGACCGTAAAGACGCGGCGGCGATTCAAGCGGCTGAAACGAGAGCCACCGGTGAGTTTACCACTCGACCCGGTGGTCTTGCGGCAGCGGCTCAGGAGGCAGCTGCGACTAACGAACGGACGGTGTTGGAGGAAGGCAAAGTGACTATTGCAGACATTCTCACAGTACGTAATGACCTTTTTATTACATTGTTTTTCTCATTTTGAGAGTCTAAATTGGTGCATATATGGATTTTGTTGGGTTGTGTAAGGATGCGGCAGAGAAGCTTCCGGGAGATAAGATGGTGACAAGGGAAGATGCGGAGGCGGTGGTTGGAGCAGAAATTAGAAACAGTCCGGAGATGAAGACAACTCCTGGTGGTGTGGCAGATTCCATGTCGGCAGGGGCAAGGCTCAATCAACAACTCTAGAGCTAAGTTATACAGAAAGGAATGAGAGATTTGTTATGGCGGGGCTGAAGATTCCTGCTGCTTGAGTTGCCATCTCTTTTTTCCTTTTCCCTTTCTCCAAATGGACCAAATCTCTTGTTAATAAAGTAAATGTACTGCAGATGAGTAATGTGGCTTGATAACGAGAGAGTTGATGAGAATCGAACATTTTTGGGTAAGGTATTACAAGCTTTGATTCTTCTCTTACTCTTACAAGATCGCTAAGCACTAGAGAAAATGGTACAAAGTCAAAACGTTTTTCAAATATAAAGCAGCAAAACATTAGCAAAGCAGAGACGGGAACACTAGTTTTCGTTCTGAGAAGAAGGCATGAGGCGGAGTCTCTCCTCCGAGACATGTTCACGATCACCACCAAAGTACCTCTCTTCCGCGAGCAACGACTGTAAATCGCTTCCGTTGGCTAAGCTATTGAACTCGACGGCTTTAGAAGGCATAGTTGGATAGCGTCTTTGACAGAACGTCATCAATCTTTTAACCGACTGAAGGTACTTGCGAGTGGTTTCGTCGTTCATGATGTGAGCAACACTGTTGGTGTAAATCTTCTCTCGAGCTGAACGTTCGTGGATACCAACCATAGTCACACCAATGGGCCACGGTGCATTCCCTATGGCTAGTTTGATGTAGTGGTCCATTGCAGCGAGGTAGTCTCTCTTTATGCAGTGGTTAACCATCACCATTAATGCTTGACGAATGTCAGCTGGTAAACCCTGCAATTTGTAACCATGCCATCACAGAAACATTAAGTACACGAGAGCTCAAAAACTTCAACGCACAAAAGTATATAAACCTTAATAAGACAGAAAAAGAGAAACTTGCTAGAGTTACTAGACGGAGATAACAGAGGCCTCAATGGCAAATTCAAGGTGCATATGGAGTTGCTAAAGAATTATATTGCTACTTGCTATTCTACGTTTCAAATGTTTATGTAGCATTAAAAACTCGCTTCTTGTCACCATATCAGAAACCAAAAGTACCAAAACTAATGGAAAAGTTTATATCAGCATAGTTCTGTAGGCTAATTAGATCAAACGGAGATAGTCTAATTCATACACACAGAATCCTCATAACAATTTGCTACCTTATATAACTCAACACATCAAGTAAAAGCAAGAAATTTCACACCCGAACAGCAAGCAAAAGCGAGAATTCATACAAAAGGAAAGGGATTTTGTTTTACCTTCTTCCTGCATAAGTTGAAGAGAGGAGTTAGATACCTAGCACACTGCTTAAAAGTGGCTACACTCTGCTTTCCTTTGGCAGTTCTCCTCTCAGTGTTCTCCATAGCATCCAGCTCCTGTTTCCATTCAATCAATAGCTTCTTGTAGAAGACAAGGATCTTGTCTTCGTCGCATAGATCCTCGAAATTAGATTTCAAACGCTTCAAATCCTTATCAGCATCAACATCACTAGACTCGCCACCACTGAGCTCATCATCCCTAGTTTCCCCTCTGTCACCTTCGTCTCTGCCTCTCTCATCTCTACTCTTCCTCTTCCTATCGCCCATGATACCACTCTTCTGCCGCTTCTTCAGCTCTGAGATGTCACGCAAGAAATCGTTCGTCTGTCCGTCAGTGATGTCGCTGTCCACCTCGAACAATCCTTCCTTCAACACGTACTTGAGCCGATCGAGCCGCGCCTGATCATCCTCTCCGAAGAGAGTCATCGGCTGCTTGAGGATTCTCAACCGTCGAATCACTTCCTGCCTCGGGAGAACTAGGTTCTCGATGTTCTTCTCGTCGATTAGGGATTTGGAATCAGCGATAGCAGCCGCATCAGATGTGGAGGATTTGGAAGACGCAGACGCAGAAGCCGTCGAAGAACCAGGGGCAGATGAATCACCGGATGATTTCCCACCTCCACCGGATGCGGCGGCTCTCCGCTGGGCCTTGAGCTCCTGCTCGCGTCGTTCTTCCTCTCGAAGCTTCTGGATTTTCTTCTGCTCGATCTCAGACCGCTTGAAGAACTTTTTACCACCAGCTTCCTCAGACAGACTCTGCCGTTTCTTCAGTATTTCTTGCCTGAGCAGATCCATTAGAGGGTTTCTTCAATCGCCGCCCGGGGATCGGATTCTATCTTAGAAGGTCGCGACGACGGAGATGATTGAATGAAAACTGCGCAAATTTATCTTGACTGTAATATAACGTCGTCATCATGGTCTTCGGTCCAAATGTAAATGGGCTTTATGAGATATCTTATCGGCCCAATTAAAACAGCAGCGTTTTTAATTCGTTTTATCGCTCATTCTTCCACAAATCCGAACACAAATCCGAAGAAGCTCGAGAGGAAGATGACGACGATTCGTAGATTCAGCTGCAACGATCTTCTCCGGTTCACCTCCGTCAATCTCGACCACCTCACTGAAACAGTAATCCCGTGTTACTTATTATTCGTGTATTCTTTGCAATGGCAATTTTGTTGATTCGTTAAAAAAAAAGTTTATTTCATGACACAGTTCAATATGTCCTTCTACATGACCTACTTAGCTAGATGGCCCGACTATTTCCATGTTGCTGAAGCTCCCGGGAATCGTGTCATGGGTTATAGTAAGGAATCTTTTCTCTTTTCCTCTTCGTTTTGGCTTTCGTCTCCGTTATATTTTGTCTTCGTTTGTTAGGGATGTGAATTCGTGGAGATTGCGTTTTGTTTTTAGATTTTAACTTAGATGATGAATTGTTAGGTAAAATAATTCCACTATGTAAGGAGCTAGCTGGAATGTTGTAAAACCAGCAAGAGTGATTGTGTATTGAATACTGATTTACAAGACATTCGAGAATAGGGTGGACGCAGTTTTAGAACTTGGGGAGGAATTTCTTATTGTTTCTGTATCAATTGTTCCTTCTTGGCTGATGTAAAATAGTTTATATCAGATTTCTCAGCTGTCCTGGGTGTTATGTCACATTATGCTAAATGTTGGAATGAAGATTCTCTATCATGCTTCTGTTAGCCTCTAGCTTTTGTAATTAGTGGTTTTTCTGTAGGAATCTGGATTTGGTAGAAGAGGCATTGGAGGAATGGTTATTGGTTTTTCTAAATGTCCATGGAATGAATTTTGAGTTATAGAACGTTTTCGGTTTTTCAATGTGTGTAGTTTAGTTATGCCACATTTTTCTGAGGCTTCATCTTTATTTTTGCGACGTTACTTGACTTGATCAGGCCGTTTGTTTGGAAGATCTAAATTTGAATGTGGAAAAGGGATTTCATGAATTCATACCGATTTTGCTCCTTTTTTTGTGGTGTGGTTTGGAAAGGAACCTAGTCTGCATAGTCAATAAAAACTGAACTTTTTGGATATTACTGCCTGTGAATATTGAGCAGCATTTCTGAAATTGTACTTTTGTATTGTTGAAATGGTATGGTTAATCTTCTTGAGAATCCATGTAAGTGTAAGTGGCTTGAATGATCCCTCTCTATAAAAAAAATCTAGGAACTAGAGCTCCATGAAAGACTACAAACATATGGAAAACTTCTTCTTCATTTTAAATGCCAGTGTCTAACATTCTTTAATGGTTTCAGTTATGGGCAAAGTCGAAGGGCAGGGTGAATCCTGGCATGGTCATGTGACAGCCGTCACTGTCTCTCCAGAATATCGCAGGCAGCAACTCGCAAAGAAACTGATGAACCTTTTGGAAGAGATCAGCGATAAGATGTAAGATCTAAACAGAAACAAGCAGAATTATTCTGGAATATGAATTTTTTTTGTGTGTGTGTATGGAACTCTCTCCCATATTCTGTGGTCTTCTTAATGATATTCTTACTCCTGGTTATTGATCGCAGTGATAAGGCATACTTTGTGGATCTGTTCGTGAGAGCATCTAACACACCAGCCATCAAGATGTATGAAAAGGTAACATGTTGCATCTTTCCGTTTATTGTCAAAACGCCTTTGTAGCTTACTTCATCATCGTATTCAATTTGATGAAACAACCTGTTCCTCTATCTTTACTCGCAGCTTGGCTACATAATCTATAGGCGGGTTCTACGCTATTATTCAGGAGAGGAAGACGGGTTAGGTGAGGCTTGCTTGATTCGATTATTGATGAACCTTTACTTTTATTCTCCTTGTTTAGAATTAACTTTGAAATGGTTTGATCTCTCACTAATCAGATATGAGGAAGGCATTATCAAGAGATGTAGAGAAAAAGTCTGTGATTCCTCTCAAGAGACCTATCACACCTGATGAATTGGAGTATGACTAAGACGGACCCTTATTGTTTCACTTCACAAATGTCAAAGATTCTTGTCTTCTTTTCCTTCTTGTCATATTTTTCTTCTTTCCACACAAATTGATAATCGATTTGATCTAAATTTAATTTGTGTGTAATTTAAATTGATTATGTTTTGAACAAAATAATCGCGCCGTTTTATATATCTTCGGATGGGCCAAGCGGATATTAAGAGATAAGAAAACTAATCAGAAACACACAAGAAATCTCTCACTCTCTCTCTCTCTCTCCTCTCCATGAGAACTCTAGTCTCTCACCGGCATTGTGTGACGTCACCGTTTCTCATCTCCGCCGCAACTCCGCCGTTTCCTCGCTGGTGCTGTCGGATATCCTCATCAACGTCCTCTTCTCCTCCACGTCATAGGCGTATCGCTTCTCTCTCGATCAGAAACGTGTCGCATGAATCCGCCGATCAGACTTCTCCCTCTAGGCCGCGAACTCTTTATCCTGGCGGTTACAAGCGTCCCGAGCTCTCTGTTCCCGGTCTTCTTCTCCGGCTAGACGCGGATGAGGTTACGAGCGGGAATCGTGATGAGACTTTTGATTTGGTCGACCGTGCGCTAGCCAAATCGGTACAAATCGTCGTGCTTGATGGCGGAGCTACCGCCGGTAAGCTATACGAGGCAGCTTGTTTGCTGAAATCACTTGTCAAGGGCCGTGCTTACCTCTTGATCGCCGAACGCGTTGATATCGCCACGGCCGTTGGTGCCAGCGGTGTTGCTCTCTCCGACGAAGGTAAATTTAATTTCTGCAAATTCATTCAGTATTAGCTTTCTTCGTGCATGAGACAACTCCAAATGCTGTGCACAGGTCTTCCGGCGATAGTGGCAAGAAACACCTTGATGGGTTCCAATCCCGACTCGGTAGTTTTGCCTTTGGTAGCTAGGATTGTGAAAGATGTTGATTCTGCTCTAAGTGCCTCCAGCACTGAGGGTGCTGATTTCCTCATACTTGGATCTGGTGAAGATAATCAAGTTGGTGTATTGGCAGATTCTTTGTTGAAGAGCGTGAAAATACCCATTTTTGTGACTTGCAGAAGCAAAGGAGAAGCTAAAGAAGAGTTGCAGTTACTGGAGTCAGGTGCCTCTGGTTTTGTAATTTCGTTGGAAGACCTGCGTTCTTCCAGAGATGTTTCTCTTCGCCAGTGTCTTGCTGGAGCTTATGCTGTGAATCACGAAACTCAAAATGAGAACGAAAGCATACTTGAGGAAAAACCACTGGTTGAGGCTAGTGAGCTGCAGGAGCAAAAGAGTTCCGCTGGCTTCATAAAATTAGAGGACAAGCAGAAACAAATAATAGAAATGGAGAAATCGGTGTTGAGAGAGGCAATTGAAATCATCCAGAAGGCGGCTCCACTGGTGATTTTTATTTAAAACATTTGGTAGTTAAAGTCAGTTTTTTTCTGAAATGGTTCTAAACTAGATTCTCTGCGGTTATATTATGGTTTAATTTGCTTCTTGGACTGTTTTTTACAGATGGAGGAAGTCTCTCTTCTGGTTGATGCACTTTCCCGGATTGATGAGCCATTTTTAATGGTTATAGTGGTAATTCTGCACTCAACTCCGTCAAATTGTGGTTCCAGGAATATTTCTTGGTATTAGCTCAATTCATGAAAAAAATATTTTTAGTTACACACTTTTGCCAGCACTAGATAGCTTGAGATAGATCTTTGCTAGACAATGCACTAGAAGTTATTCTGATGGGCATATGTCTTATAATTCGAAATGGTTTTTTTATGGATAAGCATTTTATTGGAATCCATAATTTGTTGGTACCAGGGGGAATTTAACTCCGGAAAATCAACGGTTATCAATGCACTTCTTGGGAAGAGATACCTCAAAGAGGGGGTAGTCCCCACAACCAATGAAATCACTTTTCTGTGTTACTCTGACTTGGAATCTGAAGAGCAGCAGCGTTGCCAAAGGCATCCAGACGGCCAATACATCTGCTATCTTCCTGCACCAATACTCAAGGATGTGAGTCATTCGACATTCTGCCATTGCTGTCCTGAATTTTCTTATCATCGGGAAGAATTGATTTCGGTTGTTCTCCTTCCGAGCAGATAAACATCGTTGACACACCTGGGACCAATGTAATCCTTCAAAGGCAACAACGCCTTACAGAAGAATTTGTTCCACGTGCAGATCTGCTTGTTTTTGTTCTTTCTGCTGACCGTCCTTTAACCGAAAGTGAGGTAGAGGTTACTTCACGCCCCTTCCATTTTTCTGTCTGCCTTGTGTCGTAGTATTTTAAAACTATCGCTACCTGCTGTCATTATTGTACTGTAGGCTGACATCTCATTTTGTGCTTCCAGGTTGGGTTTCTCCGGTATACACAGCAGTGGAAAAAGAAATTTGTGTTTATCTTGAATAAAACTGATATCTACCGTGATGCTCGTGAGGTTTATCAGAATCGAGATTTATGTCCTTTGCATCATAGGTTCTGTTGTCTTGAATTTCTGTTGACTCAGTTTTGATGTTTCTGATGCAGCTTGAGGAAGCTATCGCATTTGTTAAGGAGAATACACGGAAGTTGCTTAATACAGAAAATGTGATATTGTATCCAGTGTCCGCACGGTCTGCTCTTGAGGCAAAGCTTTCAAAAGCATCTTTGGTAGGCAGAGATGATCTAGAAGTCTCGGATCCTGATTCTAATTGGAGAATCCAGAGCTTCAATGAACTTGAGAAATTTCTGTACAGCTTCTTAGATAGTTCAACTGCTACCGGGATGGAGAGAATAAGGCTTAAATTGGAGACACCAATTGCGATTGCAGAGCGTCTCCTTTCTTCTGTGGAGTCTCTTGTGAGACAAGACTGCGTAGCTGCTAGGGAAGATTTGGCTTCAGCAGACAAGATTATCAATCGTACTAAAGAACACGCGCTTAAAATGGAATATGAGAGCATTTCTTGGAGAAGGCAGGCACTCTCGTTGGTATAAATCCTATTAGATACATCTTGTTGAATCGCGTAGGAGGAAATTGGATTGTTCTAACTTGGCTTTTTGTGTGTGTTTATCTTCCGACTATAATTGCAGATTGATAATGCCAGATTACAAGTTGTTGATTTAATAGGAAATACCCTGAGGCTTTCAAGTCTCGATCTAGCTATCTCTTACGTGTTTAAAGGGGAAAACTCAGCCTCAGCAGCAGCTACGTCCAAAGTTCATGGTGAAATACTCGCTCCAGCACTTTCAAATGCCCAAGTAAGTCTGATGCTCATTATTTCAGTTTCTATTCATACAAAAATTCAATATCGTCCAACCTTGTCTTGTTGTGACCTGTTGCTGGTTACAGGTTTCTGACCCTAGGAAATTGACTTTACTTCTTGCCACCGACTTTGCCTTCTGTTTGTAACTACTGTATTACCTTTTGCCTGTGAGGAAATATATATTTGCTTATTACATTTTACTGGTGTGCAGGATTTGCTTGGTAAATATGCCGAATGGCTACAGTCGAATACTGCCCGTGAAGGGAGCCAGTCCTTGAAATCATTTGAAAACAAATGGCCAAAATATGTCAATTCAAAAACTCAATTGGGCATAGACACATATGACTTGCTTCGCAAAACTGATAAATTCAGCTTGAAAACAATACAGAACTTGAGTGCCGGAACCACATCAAAACGATTGGAACAAGATATTCGAGACGTGGTGAGTCTCATGTAATAAATACTTACGTTTTCGAACTAGAATTCAGTCGATTAAGTGTCTTGTTCTTTTAATATTGTTTAATTGTGTCATCAGTCTGACCTTAAGATTTACAGGACAAGTTTTGTTTGCATTTTCTAGTTCTTTGTGACAGTCGGTGGGCTTGGAGCTGCGGGACTATCTGCATCACTTCTAACCTCAGTGCTACCCACCACATTGGAAGATCTACTTGCTCTTGGCCTCTGTTCCGCTGGAGGGTAATAATAACACTTCTCTGCCATTGTCTCATTACTCCACCTTCTTATATCACGTCGCCTAGTGTAGTTTTTTTCTTGCAACCAAAGGTATATCATGATGTTTTAGAAAAGAAGAAAAAATTACTAGTTATCTGTATGACATAATTTATGTGGCAGGTATGTGGCTGTAGCAAACTTCCCATATCGTAGACAAGCTATAATTGGTAAGGTGAATAAAGTGGCTGATGCATTGGCTCAACAGCTCGAAGATGCTATGCAAAAGGATCTTTCAGAGGCGACAAATAATCTAGCAAGCTTTGTGAATATTGTTGCCAAGCCTTACCGAGAAGAAGCTCAGCTAAGACTTGATCGTCTTTTAGGCATCCAGAAAGAAGTATCAGATATTAGAAGTAGGTTACATTTGCTGGAAGTTGAAATTGATAACATTCATGTATCACGAGACGAGATGAGACTTTAGTTGTTCCAACACATTCTCGTCGGGTTGAGTGCGGAACAAAGTGTATGTATTTTTGTCATAATGAATAAGATCTGCCCGTTTCGACCTGAAATGGACTCAGTGATGGTTTATCGAAGGCAAATATTCAATAGATGGGCATGACACTATGGTATAATGTTTTTCTTACTCTTTTTTTTTCAGATTGTTTGTGATACAAATGGATGGATGAATTGGAAGCTCAGGTGACTCGTGAAGAAAACATTATTCTGTTCGTTGACCTCCACATGTATCTCACACCACAGGTTAGTATATTAGATGACTCAAAAATCCACAGCATATACTAGCTATGATTTCTAAAGATAAAGCATACTGCATACAAGTTTCTTTTCTAGGTAAGGATTGGTTAAAAAATCCAGAATTGGTAGAATAAACCATAGTGAATGCTTGATGCTGGAAATTATTTAGAATTAACGTTAGACTAACATTACGGAAAAGCTTGTTCATAGGTTCCCTGTTAGTTTTCTAATCAAAGTCATAGCTTTAACTAGTGACATGTATGCTTGATAACCAAACCTTATATAGCTTTATATTATGAAGTATGGTCAAAAGTTAGGGAAAGAGAAAACCACCAGTTGACATGTTTTTGTGTGTAAGCGTGAAATAGATTCCACCTTCCTTTGTTGCTAAAGATCATAAAGTTAAAATAGACTAACAAAATAAAATAACGTAAATTTCGAAATATGAAAGGATCTAGCTTTGGATTGTCCTTTTTTCATTTGGGGACCAGAAGTGGGATGATGATGCAGAGAAAGCCCCACTTTTTTTCTGGTTCCTGTTTCAAAGTTTCTCTTCTTCTGATTGGTTTAGACAAATCTAAATTAAAAATAAAGAGGAACACACGGAAAAATAGCGATTGGCTAATGCGAAATTCGGATGGTAAGAGAGAGAGAAAATAAGGTACAGATTCTGTCTTATAACTTTACTTAGCACTAAGTTACTAACCCTCAAGCTTTGTCGACAATTTCATTACCAAAAATATTGTTGTTTTCACGACACATGAAGATTTGAAAAAAATTTCTCGCTTTAAATGGAAACTTCTTTTGCTACCCGTAGCTTTTTAAAGTACCGTTCCATTAACTAAATGAATTTTTAAAAATAGACGTCGTCACTACTGATCACTCACCTCTATTAACATGAGACATGCTTATTGTCTTTGTTCCTTAACCGACCCTACATTTGTTACCTGTTTGAGAACCTACGGGGGGGGGCTTAGGCTATAGGAGGATCGTCTCTAACCCGAGCATTGATTCGTGCTCTGAACCACGTAAAGACAAAGAGCATACCCCCATAAGTTTTCTATTACGGAGCATACATGTTTTAAAAACATTCGTTACATTTGAGGTGTAGATTAATCATAAGAAGAAAACTCAGTTTTTCGTATGTTGTACTTCCTTTTTCTTTGAATCTAGTTACAATGCACCCACAAGTATTAGGAAACTGTCAATATTAATACTCTCATATCATATGATGGATGCTGCAAAATCAGAAACACAATCTCAAGGATTTGGACATGAAACTGATTTCGGGTCATCGGCCATATCTACTCTTTGATTGGTAAGTAGTATGTGCCGCTTTTGTTTGATTCCGGGCTTATTCTAACCAATTCCGAAGAAGAAGCGATTACCAGGTAGTACCGCGGATCCTATGGTTGAAATCGGTTTGGTATTGGACAAAAAGAAGACCAAAGATACATGTGCATCTTTTTATATTAAGATTTATTTCATGATTCATGCGACTCTGCATTACAGTTGCAAGTTGGAAGTGTAGCTAAAAGGTCCCAGGAAGGTGTGGACTTCGAACTCTTGCCTTTGTGATTTCTTCGTCTTCAATTATTGAATTTGGAAGACTTTCATCAAAAGGGCATTTTGGTCATTTTATTTTTATTTTTATTTTTAATTGGCAATTGCTCGATTGTGGTATTGGTACGAGCGGTGACCGGATATAGCTAAGATATCCAGTATTCGAACGGATAAAATCGTTTTTGTCATCCGTATTAATTTGGTTTAGATTATTATTCCTGTTTTCCAAAATATTTAACCTGTTTAAATATTTTTTCTGGATTAGCGAAGTACTGAATGATTAGTTTGTTCGAATCATGTTTATAAGTGCAAATAATTTATTTCCTAAAACAAGAAATATGATTGTCAAAGACTCTTTGCTCAACAAAATGTGTGTTTTCTATAAGAATACTAACGTACAGGAATGCAAAAGAACCTCCAAATTCTTGTAGACACAGTTATTTCAACAATATCAAGTTAGTTACAGCCACGAGTTGAGGAAGAAACTTAACAACAAATCTCTCAAGTGACTATAGGTTAGGTGAGCCTATTCAGTATGATACTTTTCACTAAATGTTATTTCTTTGGAAGATTAAGATTCAATGATATTTACTGCCAATAATTGGATGGTATGTTACCAGTTAATATGTATTATAAGGTTGTAAGTATATGTTAATGCAATAAAGTTGGAGCATAATAAAAGCGTAAAAGAATCCAATGTCTAGTGGACTCACCACTATAAATACTTCTTCACCCCTCCCTCTTCCCTTTCACATTCATTCCTCTTTGTTTAATCACCTCTTCACTCAAGTATCAAGTAATAAACCTCTCTCTCTCTCTCTCTCTCTCTCTCTCTCTCTCTCTCTCTCTCTCTCTCTCCAAGTTTCCATCGATCAAAACCAACCAACGAGAAAAACCGAAAGATCTCAATAACAATCATAAACTCTCTCTTTAACAAAAACAAACACAAACTCTCATCGTGATAATCTGTTTTTACTCTCTTTTTGTTTTTCTCGAGAGAACACACACAAAAAATGTCAATTGTTGCTTGGCAAGATCAAGATATAATCACAACCAAGAACCAGAGAAATGAAAGTTTCACTCAAAAGGGCGACATGGGTGGGTTGAGTTTCCTACAATCTATGTCCGATATCACTGCCATTGTCCGAAACAGAGAGGATAAAGCTTATGTTTACCCGAACGAGAAACGCTCTGCTTCTATGCTGAATGAGAGAAGCTTAGAGATGTGCACTGAGAGCCTCGGGACCGAAACAGGAAGCGAGAGTGGTGACGAGTTATCGTTGCTTGCGTTTGAAGCAACTGCTACTCTTAGGGCTCCTTCTCCTCCTGCTCAGCCGAAACCTCAAGATACTAACCTGCTGGCCAAGAAATCAACGACGAGTCGCAACAAATGTTTCCCGCCACCGATAAAGTTCGTTGAAGGATCAAAGTACAATCGTATGGTGAGATCGTTAGGAGAAGATGGTCGTCTTGTTGTTCAAGCAATTAAGGTTTCGTCTCCGCCTCGTTGCTTTGTAGCGGAACGTGGTGATGGAAGGCTCCGTCTCTGTTACTCGCCGGAAAGTTCTTTACTCAGGCACGATCGCGAGGAAGAGGAAGAGGAAGAAGAAGACGAAACAGAGGAGGGCATGGAGGAGGAAAATAGTGAGAACTTGGAGGGTAAAAATGGAAATAAAAAGTTTACCAGATTAAGCAGCAGATGCAAGGAGAATGGTCGTGAGCCTAAAGCAATGCTTACTTGGAAGCAGCAGCAATTTTGGGTCGCCACTTAAAGACTTCATTCGACTCCAATCTTTAATTAAATAATTTGAAATATGGTTTTCTTAATTTTAGTTTTATATATAACATATGTTTTTTTCTAATGATTTCTCGAGGTGACTGTGAGTGTTTGCTAATATTGTTTACTGTAATGTTAATTGGGAATTATTGTCATATTTATGAATAATCATCATAAAGAACAAAAAAACTGAAAATGTATTTTCATTCTGTATGTGATGCAAAATAAAAATAAAAAAAAACTCCGAGAATGTCCTTTAGGAAGCTTCCTAGAATGATTTTCCGAAACACAACTTTTTTCCACTCATGCTATCTTTCATAGGTTTCCGACAATTTTTTTAATTGCAGCCAACATATTTTGGTGTAGTTAAAAAATTCTGAGCGGTTCATTTCTTTCCCAAACCAGAACTAGCTAGAAATATATTAAAGATGACAATTAAAACTAGAAAAATAAAAATAAAAGAGAGAGAGAGCAATAGAAATTTAGATGCCATCTCCCGAAGCCTCGCTTTGCGGTAGATGCTTCATCAATACCCCAAAGGAAAATGAAACTTCAGTTTGCAATATGAATACTCAATCTCTCTTTCTGTTTCTGCCGCTTGAACTGATACGAAGAAATTGAACCTAGTTTCACTAATGCCTCTTTTTTTTTTAACAATTTTATTATAGAAACCATATAACGTCTTTTTCCTTTTCGAAGAAAGATTCCTTTCCTATCCAAGTCCAGAATCATCCAGGAGACCTACATCACATCGGCAAAGACTTAGTTAATCCACAAATTAAATTTGCACATACAGAAAAAAAAAAGCCAAATTTAACATGAGTACTTTTCCAACGAAATATTTTTTTTTAGAGAAGCATACATCCAATTACAGAAGTTTAAATATATGTACAGCACTATATTATTTTATGAGCCAAACTGAACTGACCAGTTTAATTAGGAACAAACAACATCAATATTAGTTGGTTTATGAATTTTAATTTGGAAGATCAACATCAACAGAAGTAATGAATAAAAAAAGAACATATATGTTTAGCTTTTGTAACAGAAGTTTTTAAAAATTCTTCGACCAAAAAAAAAAAGTTTTTAAAAGTTCAAACGACTATGCAATGCATGATTTTTTTATAAAAAAAAAAATTACGTGCGTAGAAAACATATGTGGTACGTACAACGCCCACATGAAGATTGATCCCACACGCCCACATGACCATCACATGCGAAATCTTACCCCTCTCTCTCTCTCTCTCTCCCCTTTTAATTCCAAACATTTTTGTTTTCTTCTTTAATTTACCTTTTGCTCACATTTTGATTCTGTTTCTGATTTTTCCTTGTACGAATTGTGAAGACGGTCCTTTTCTTTTTTCCTCCTAACTTTCTTTTTACGTCATCATCTCCTACCAAAGTGCATGACCTCGCTAATGCACATTAAATCATTAATGAGAACGAAATAAACTCATCATATCCCTAACGGGATGGATTGTTTCGTCTTTAATTATTATTGTTAGTTATATTAGGTACTGCTTATACGGTAATCATAGAACCGGTTAATAATCCTGCAAAATTTCCAAGTAAATTGATTAATACGTACGTGGAGCAAGTGAATATGTTGTACTGGTCTTTTCAACTGTCCTTTTGTTTTATAGCTAGCTTTCATTTAATCAAATCTTTGGTAAATGAAAACATCATTAATAGCCATTTTCATTAATGTTAACTAATCTTAGATGACACTCTGAAAGCGAATGTATATCTTTCGAGTTTCGAGAATCATGCATGATCCATTTTCATTAGGATTCATCTGAGCATGGATGTCACTGAAACTGAATACACATCTTAAGAAATTATTTGTTTAGACAATAATTCACAAACCCCCATTTTTCTCAAGATAACAATATCAATGGATGTGTAGATCGATCTGTTTCTAATTCATGTATCTCCCAAATCCCAAGTTGATATATATACTTTGTGATGCTTTTTTGGCCATTATATACGTCTTAAATATCCAAATTTTATAAGTATAGATTTTCGTTCATATCCCTTCCGGTTATAACTTTTTTTTTTATTTAAAAAAATAGAAAAACTGGTTTTAGGTGTATATATTCTCCGACATGGACGAAGGTTAGTCACAGAGTATCCGTAAATATGTATATTGCATTCCTATATATATATATAAATGTTAACCAATGAGAAGTAGACAAGATATGAACGCAATGTCTAATCCAAGGTCCTCAAAAGTATGTAAATATATCAAAAGAGTACTTTGTTTCTCTGCAATCGAATATCGAGGGAGGAGTCTGTTTCTATGGTTCTATGTGCCACTTGATGCTTATTATTGACCACTATCTCGTGCGGCACCCATTTCTGTGATGTTTCCATCATTCTTTTTCCATATCAAACATTTTTTCCCACTTTTATTTGTTTATACTTTCTATTTTGGTTATCTAATCTCTTAAACCCAAACAATCACCAATTTTTATTATCGTAACCACGATATAATAAAAAATTGTAGTGGTTAAATATGTGCATTCATCATAATGTTTACTACATTTTAATGGTTCGACTTGAAAATGATGAAAATATTCAAAGGCACATCTAACAAGATGTTTTAACAGTTTTAGTTATGTTTCCTTAATGGAATACAACTAATTTCAGTGGAATCTATCATTCTGTAACGGATATTAACAATATTTAAATCCTACCTACCATATCATACATTAAAAATGATTTATAAGATATTAGCTTGATACATATTTAGTCCTAAGAAAACTATTAATAAACCCACATAATTGGGCCGAAGCTGGGCTTAGGAATCATAACTTATGATTGACAAAGAACATGAAGCAACATACATTAAAAATGATTTATAAGATATTTAGTCCTAAGAAAACTATTAATAAATCCACACAATTGGGCCGAAACTGAGCTTATGAAGTAACTAACATACTGGTCCCCACTGTTCGGCCCAACCCTCGCCACAGCAGATCAACAAGCTTATATTTTGAAATTTAAAAGTTTAGGGGCGGATTTGTTATTCAGATTCTCTCTAGGGTTTGGTTTGTCATTTGTTTCTTCTTCTTTTTTTTCGGTGATTTATCTATTTTGCTCAATCAAATCATAATGCTTTGAAATTCTCGAGCGATCTGTTTCTTCTTCTTCTTCTCTCTCCCCCGCCTACCGACTTTTTTCAAATTTCTTCAGCAACACAAACGCGCAGGTTTTCATCTAATCAGAGCTTTCGATAACGATGGAAATGGCGGAAGGAGAAGGAACTACAGAGGAGAAGTACGACGTAGACATCGCAACCACCGCTTCTTCACTCGGCGGCTCCGGCGCCTTCCATATCATCAATGACATCGTTGGTTTCGTCCTCTACATGCACCAGCAGATCCCTTCGTGCGTTTCCTCCCTCTTTTCGTATCTGTTTGCTTCGATTTATGCTTATTCGATATTCGATCTGGTGCGATGTATCTGTTCGTTTGATTCTTCCATCTCTCGCTTAATTTCGCGGATTCGAATGTTTACTGCGTTCGATTTCCCGCGACTAATTGGTTTTGATATAAGAATATAAGATTACTGGTTATGGATTTTAAGGATTCCGGATGAATTAGTGTGAGTTTAGATCATCAAGTCTTGGTAGGTGAGTTATGTTCACATTCCTAAGAAAAATTGAAAAGCTTCAAGGCGTTTGTCTTCCTTATGATGTGTTGTTCATCTTATGCTCAATTCAGCTATTGTGAATATCTGTTGGTATTACTCCAAAAGGTCTCTTATTAAACGCTCATATTGATCACTTGTGTACACTACTTCCATTTGATTTTAGAATTAACTATGCCGAATCCACTGATGAGCATCTTGTGTGCTTTAGCGTTTATTGAAAATCAAAGTGAGAGACCTCAATTTGCAGCTTTCGGTTTTGGCCACTCAAAATTCTTTTACCAATTTGCTTGTTGGTTTCATCTGGAGCAGGGTATTGCAAGACATGAGTCTTGACTTTGATGGATTGCAAACAGAATTTATGGATTTGGTATGTTCGTTTTACAGACGCCATTGTCACTGTACGATTACTTCTTTTTTTCACACTCTAAGAATCTTAGGTTGTAGGAGGCGCATCTAACACAACCAGATGTGAAGCCCTTGGCCAGAAGAAAACTTGTGAGTAGAAAAAGAGAGGTGAAGCATGAAATTAAGAAACTGCAGAAACTGATGAGCTCCATCTCTAGTCTTCGAAGCGCACTGCAGTTAATGATCCGTGAAGCTCCTGACATTCAGAGAGTTGTGTTGATCCTCGGTGGTAGTCCATTACGGCCTCAAAAAGCTTACGAGTTATTATTCACACACAGTGATAATGTTCTGAACTTCGAAAGTGACTTTTCCAAAAGCAAAGCTACAGAAGCACTTTCAAAAAAGGTTTTGTATCTAACCTCTGAGTTCATGTTGCTTGGAATCATTTCCATTTCATATACTATGCTTAAAGTGTTAATCTCTTCACTCTTTTTGGCTTTCTAGACTATCCGAGCACTGATCTCGACAGGTGCTGGATCAACTTCCTGCCCAGGTAACTTTTGCAGAAATCTCAAAATTCATCAGCATTGTTTATAAAATGTTCAGGGAAACTATGGTTTAAACTGTAGAATTGATTCTTTTTACTTGTGAATTTTAGGTCCAATGAGGCTCTTCATATTGGTTCACGCTCCACCTTCTTTGAATCTTCCCCAACATTTCATTCCTAAGCGTGACTTCAGATACAACAGAAAGGTATAAACTTTTGGTAGCTATTCAAGTAAATGATTTCGATATCGACCACACCGGGATGAAATAACCTTTGTTATTGCAGTTTGTGCCTCTAAAGTTGCGATTCAAGTGCAGAGCTCAAGACGAGGCGGCAAACTCTCCTCTCAACTCTGGCACAAATGATCTAATATGGTAATTCTCTTCCACGTTTTTCCATTTGACAGTCTAAACAAGTGAAGTTATTCATCACCGGTTCTTGATAGTCCCCTCGGTTTCACTGCAGGTTTCAGTGTCGGCATGTGATAAAGGGCTTAGCTTTCCAGCAACCAGTTGAAGAATAATAAGAAGTGCTTGAGTTTTGTAGTCACTGGTAACTACACCCGCTTGAAGTTTCTCTTTATCACAACTCGTCTTCAAAACCAATCTTGAGATTACATGTACTCTTTTATATGGGTTGATTCCCACACCTTACTAAGTTGCTAACCCCATTTGAAGAAGAAGAAGAAGAATTTCTATAGTGTATGTTCTTTATATAATTTAGGGGCCAAACATATATAAAAAAATAACTAGGGGTCAGAGTGAAAATAACAAACATGGGCCAAAACTCTTCAAATATTTATATTTACTCTTCTACTTCCTTCACACCTGTAGTAGTAGTCTCTGCTTAATTCGACGAACGCCAAATTCGCAGATTTTCCTTCTCCTCCAATCTGATACCGATTCCTTTCTCATTCGTTAACAACAGCAAAAGCTTCCATTCTCGCCGGCAATAATTCTCTCTCAGTCGTGAACAACTGATACCGTTTTCGAATTTTAGGTCTTTCACAGGAGCAGGAAGATGATCTTCAAGATCGAAGACGTAACTGTCTACTTCCCTTATGAGAACATATACCCAGAACAATACGAATACATGGTTGAATTGAAGCGAGCCCTAGACGCCAAGGGACATTGTCTTCTCGAGATGCCCACCGGAACCGGCAAAACCATTGCCCTTCTCTCCCTTATCACCAGTTACCGGCTCTCTCGTCCCGATTCTCCGATGAAGCTTGTCTACTGCACTCGTACTGTCCACGAGATGGAGAAAACGCTCGGCGAGCTTAAGCTGCTCCATGAATACCAAGTATGCCATCTCGGCGCCCAGGCAAAGATCCTCGCCATCGGTCTTTCCTCCCGGAAGAATCTCTGCGTTAATCCTCAGGTTTTGGCGGCGGAGAATCGCGATTCCGTCGATGCAGCGTGTAGGAAACGGACAGCTAGTTGGGTTAGGGCTTTGTCCGCCGAGAATCCAAATGTAGAACTCTGTGACTACTTTGAAAACTACGAGAAGGCTGCTGAGAATGCGTTGTTGCCTCCTGGTGTTTACACTTTAGAGGTAAGATTAGCAAAGGCTTTGCGTTTTTCACAATTGTTTCTGGATCGATTCGAATGGTGATTTTAGCTGATGGTGAAATCGTGTGTGTGTGTTTAAATGTCAGGATTTAAGGGCGTTTGGTAAGAATCGAGGATGGTGTCCTTACTTCCTGGCGAGGCATATGGTTCAGTTCGCCAACGTCATTGTTTACAGCTACCAGTACTTGCTTGATCCTAAGGTTGCTGGAATCATATCCAAGGAGTTACAAAAGGAGTCTGTGGTAGTGTTTGACGAGGCCCATAATATAGATAACGTCTGTATTGAAGCACTCAGCGTCAGTGTGAGGAGGGTTACACTCGAAGGAGCTAATCGAAATCTTAATAAGATTAGGCAAGAAATTGATAGGTACGCTCCTCTTTTCCCTTTTTAAGCATTCCACTCTTCGTATATAAAAGAGTCTTTTCTTTTTCAATTGAATTTCCTGATACTTCTTAGGATCCTATCTGTGTGTCTGCTCTGAATTGCATTTTCTATTTGCGTATTAGGTTTTTTTTTTAAATTCTTATCACACTATTAAAACTGTCTAACTGGTAGGAAGGTTCAAGGCTACAGATGCAGGAAGATTGCGAGCTGAATACAACCGCCTGGTTGAGGGTTTGGCACTGAGAGGGGACTTATCTGGTAAGTTTATAGTCAGAAAGGTGATACGTGGATTGTTTTATTCTATGAATGTGACGCAACAAATATGTTTTTTATGCAGGAACTGATCAATGGCTCGCAAACCCTGCACTGCCCCATGATATTCTAAAGGAGGCTGTCCCTGGAAATATTAGACGGGCTGAGCATTTTGTTCATGTTTTACGCCGATTACTTCAGTACTTGGGGGTACGGCTGGATACTGAGAACGTGGAGAAAGAAAGCCCTGTTAGCTTTGTCTCGTCGCTTAATTCTCAGGCTGGAATTGAGCAGAAAACACTCAAGTTCTGTTATGACCGGCTCCAGTCTCTCATGTTAACCCTTGAGATTACAGATACCGATGAGTTTTTGCCTATACAGACAGTGTGCGACTTCGCAACTCTTGTTGGGACATATGCACGGGGCTTTTCCATCATCATTGAGCCTTATGACGAGAGAATGCCCAACATTCCAGATCCTATATTGCAGGTCAGTCAGTATGTGTTGATCAGCTTTTGTTTTGAGTAGATTGTTGTTCTGGTTTCTGAGATATTTTGACTCGAATATCTAATGAGAAATATGTCTCGTTTTGTGTCTTAGTTGAGCTGTCATGATGCGTCTCTGGCAATAAAACCGGTGTTTGATCGTTTCCAGTCAGTAGTGATTACATCAGGCACCCTGAGCCCAATTGATCTGTATCCCCGTCTTCTTAGTTTCAACCCGGTTGTTAGTCGAAGCTTTAAGATGTCAATGACACGAGATTGCATCTGCCCTATGGTTTTAACTCGAGGAAGGTATGTAGGTTATAAACGAAAGTTTCCTAAACACTAGCCTTATTGTTTGTCTTTTATGTATTCACAATATTGATTTTAATTCTTGCTTGTTCAGTGATCAGCTTCCTATTAGCACCAAATTTGACATGAGAAGTGATCCTGGTGTTGTGAGGAATTATGGAAAGCTTTTGGTGGAGATGGTATCTATTGTTCCTGATGGAGTTGTCTGCTTCTTTGTTAGTTACTCATACATGGATGGTATTATTGCCACATGGAATGAAACTGGAATTCTTACGGTAAGAGGATTATTTTCAGTTTTGCTTGAAGTGGAAATCTTTATACGATACCTTAATATATTTTTTAGTTGCTACAGGGATTAATGTGTACTTGTTTCCAAACATGACCACTTCTCTTAATTTTTATGTAGGAAATTATGCAACATAAACTTGTCTTTTTTGAAACGCAAGATGTTGTAGAAACAACATTAGCACTGGACAACTATCGCAGGGCTTGCGATTCCGGAAGAGGTGCAGTTTTCTTCTCTGTAGCCAGGTAAACAAATGATCTTTGAGTGCTAGATGATATAATATTGGATCCATCTCGTTTGGAAATCGCAAAGGGAGTAATCTAAAGTTTTTGAACGGCAGGGGAAAAGTTGCTGAAGGTATCGATTTTGATCGTCATTATGGAAGACTGGTTATAATGTTCGGAGTGCCTTTTCAATATACATTAAGCAAGTAAGTTTTACTAAAAGAAAACGTTTAGTGGTAGATTCTGCTTCCACAGTTTCATCATACAATCAGTGGTAGATTCTAAGACGGGAACGGGAAAAAATGTCAGGATATTACTAGCAAGGTTGGAGTATTTGCGTGATACATTTCAAATAAAAGAAGGCGATTTCCTAACTTTTGATGCCTTGGTATGATTCTTATTCTATGATCTTATCATATTCTGGTGGGTTCTTCTAAAATGTTTTACATGTCTGTAACTGACTTTTGTTTGCTACAAAACAGAGGCAAGCAGCTCAATGTGTAGGACGAGTAATCCGGTCAAAGGCTGATTATGGGATGATGATATTTGCAGACAAGAGGTATATCTATAGTTCTTAAAGTCTCCCTATCTGAGTCTGATAATTGAGGTCCTTGCTATTTACCAAATGTGAATAGAAGATCATGCTCACACTGTTAGTTTTCTTCTTAGGACAGAAGAGAGAGAGAGAGATGTGGTTATGTTGGCCTAATAATAAAGTGCCATTGATGTGCAGATATAGCCGTCATGATAAGCGGTCGAAATTACCCGGTTGGATACTTTCACATCTGCGTGACGCGCACTTGAATCTAAGCACTGACATGGCTATCCACATTGCCCGAGAGGTAAGCCAACAAAATTTAACTCTAAATACCGGTTAAAGAAACTATAAAAAATCTTGGGGTTACATGTGCAGTTTCTAAGGAAAATGGCTCAACCGTACGATAAGGCGGGTACTAATACTATGGGCAGGAAAACTCTTTTAACACAAGAAGATTTAGAGAAGATGGCCGAGACTGGTGCGCAAGACATGGTTTATTAGTAAACCGTGGAACAAATTTTTGAAAACGAGAGATTTTCTTACTTGTGGCAATGGTTAGACAAATGAAAAATTGTAATGATGACGATGATACAAGGATGCGCTTAGCTCTTTTTCATTCAGCAAAAGTTGAGAACATCATCACAATCCATCAATCAGCGTATTACACAAAATCAATGGGCTAACAATACATCTTAGTCTAAGTTCTTAATCCTCCAATGCTGTTTGCTTCTCCCACAGCTCGTGTTTCCTGTTGTTGCGGGCAATGATCTTGAGGAGCTAGGCTCGTGGTCTCCACTCCTGTTTGCTTTTCCCACGGCTTCTTGTTGAGGCCACTTGTTGAGGCCATGGTAGTAGCATCCTTGGGATGAGAATGAAGGGAAGCCTCTCCTTCGTCAGCAGCCATGGTAGTAGCATCACCCGAGGCTCGCGGTCTCCACCCGCTTTGCCCAGCAGCATCCTCATCCTTGGGAAGAGAAAGAAGGAAAGCCTCTTCCTCCTCAGCAGCCAATGCCATGGCATCACGCGAGGGTCGTCCTGGTCTCCACCCGATTTGCTCATCAGCATACTCAGGATCCAAGTTTCCAGGCACGGTGTGCGACTCACTCACTGCGTGTACTCTACCCTTGAGATGCATGGTGAAACCTTCAAAGGTTTGGGCAGCAAAACTGCAAAGCATGCAAAACAAAGCAGGTTCACCCGTTTCACGATGCTCCAGCCTCCTCTTGTCTCCTGTTTCACCTGTGAGTAAGCTTTTCCAGAGCCACACTTGGGAAGCGTATTGGGGGGAAAATCCCATACGTTGTGGAATTGCGCGAAAGATGGTGTATCCCAGGGCTTTTTGGCGGGACAAATCTTCGTGCAACATAGACTCACGACCGGATATGACCATTAGACTAGCCGGAGGTGGATTATCATCTTCCCACTTCCACAAATCCATCAGAAAGTCTAACACACCGAGGTGGGCGTGTCTAAGAGAGATTCCAGAGAGAGAGAGGGGTTGCAAGACGCGATTAGGGACGCCTTTTAGGTTGCCAAAGGCAGTGATGTCCACACGACCTGCAGGATCCAAGTACTTGTTCTTGACGAGCGCCGATTCTATACTCGAACGCACGTGATAAGCGTCATAACCACGGGGAACCGGACAGAGGTCCATGTTCCACCACACCCACACCGTCTTAGCCACGCCCTTCTCCTTCTTGTTCTGCATCATCATCATCGAGTATTCTTTCAACCACAGTAATTATCCGACCTCGTTTCTTGTCGAACAATCTGAAACGCCCAGAAAGAAACAGACGCAAATTTCACAATAGTTCAATAGCCAAGTATCGAATACAAAGCCTTATATAGGGGATGCTAACCTTAGCTACATAAAATAAAATAAATAACATGAAGTAAATAGATAATTAACATAAGTAGAAAACCGACTCAAAAGAGAACCGACTTTTCATAAATAGAAATCCAATTTAAAAGAGAACCGACTTTTCAAAAACGCTGATGTCATTACTGGGAAAACAACGACAATATTATTCAATCGTTACATTATTCCAATCATGTAATTAAAAATTGGCACATTGGGCCTTTATTGACCAACAAACCACATCAAAGATACAATCATAACAAGCCACTGAAGATATTTTATTTTTGAGAAAATCACATAAGCAAAGTTAAATCAGGCAGTGGAAGTGAAATTAAAGTTAGCACAATTAGTGCGACGGCCCAATAACGTGGAACTAAACCCAAATCTGTTACTCGCCAAATCAAACTCGATCAAATTATCTTCGAGCTGGAATCCTCCGACCACCACAGAGGTTCTTGCGTTGACTCCTCCGTCTACGAAGCCCAAACAGATGACGTCATCACTGACGCTCACCATCGAGTTTGCTCCGAAGATCCTCCAAACGACGTCCTTGCTGTGAAGCACAAGCTGGATCTCCGGCACGGCGTATCCAAGGCGCGTGACACCAACGTTCTGCGTGCTGAAACACGCGCCGAACGGTTTCACCGACGAAACTCGAGTGATGTTCCTCGCGGCTGCTTCTCTGACGAAAGCCGACGTGAAGGCGTTAAAGATCGACGTCTCCATCACGGTGTACGGATTCACCGTGCTGATTTTAGTTCCTCCGAATCCGGTACTTCCATCGATCTTCAAAAGCGCTTTGTTGATCGGAACGGATTTCTCCATGATTTTGATGTCACTCACGCCGATGAAATACTCTGAGGATTTCTCGCCTTGTGTATACGCAGAAGCGGTGCTCACCGGATTGATGAGAAGCGGCGTCGTTGCGAGCCCTGAAATCTGGATACCGGGGAGGAAAACGTACGATACGTTACCGAAGAAGGCGACGCCTCTTCCCGAAGTGAGACAGACGGCGAACTTCCGACTGAAGCTAAACGCGGCGGCGAATTGCGACGGCAATCCGACGTTGTGGCGTCCCATTCCAGCCATGCCGACGGTTCCTCTAGCGAGTCCTTTAAGCAGAAACGTCGACCCGCAATCGAAAATCAAATTGGGGATTTTAACGACCCGACCCGGATTCGACCCGTCAGTTGACTGAATCGACACAACGTCTATAGCAACTTCGCCGGACGTCGCGGTTCCAGTGACGGTGTTATCTGGAATGGAGCTGCAGGTGTTGTTGTTACAGCCAGGTCTCGGAGGGGAGAAGCATTGGCCGCAGCCATTGGAGCCGGCGCGTGAGCACACGGCGGAGCGGCAGCGAGGGGAGCTGTAGGTGGTGGAGACGTAATTTTTGTCGCAGTCGACCCAGAAATCTCGACCACCGAGGTCGAAGACGACGGAGGCGGCGACGAGAGGCGTGCGTTGGTTGATGATGGTTGTGTATTGGAGGGTAGATTGGTCTTTAGTGACTGGGAGGAGGAGGGCTTTTGGTCGGAAAGATGATTGAGCAAATGAGGATGATGATGAGAGTGAGAGGATGAGGAGGCAAAGGACGGAGAAAATGATCGGAGAAGAAGCCATTAGGGATGATGAAGAATTGTAGAAGAGGATTGGTGTGTTAGTGTCTATTTATAGGAACATTTTGAAATTTTTTTGTGTGTCGGCGGCCATCAATTTGAATAATTGGATAATGGTGTGACGTTATTGACTTTCAAGATAACATATGATATAGTATATAGTTTCGTGATCTTGCTTCTCTTTGTGTGAAAATGACCCAAATCAAGTCCAGATTTTTTTTTGTTTCTTGTGGTTAGGTAAAAGAATAGTTATATGAAAAAGCATAATCTAATCGTTAAGTTTAAATTTTGATAAGAATTTCGACCGTTAGGTTCTGCAGTGTATAAAAATTACTAAAGATAGTTTGATTAACAAAATAAAGGTAGTGTGTAGTTACTAATTTAATGATTCGGACCGTACGTTAAATAATTGACGAAATAAATATTCGACAGAGAGGAAACACCGTGGGCGTGGGTAATGCAAACCAGGTGGCTGGGTGCCTTTCTTGACTTGTTGACCTTTTTACTCGAGATTGCATTTAAGGTTTTGTATTTTTACATTTAAGGATCTGTCTTTATTTATTTATTTTTAAAGTCTATATCTCTTTGATCTCGACTTTTATTTGTTGTTATATTCGCGATCTGCTACTATTTTAGATTAACCCCGGACACGTTCACGTCTCTTTTTTCAATCATTAAGATAATAATGATTTTTAATATCAGCATCTCTATGAATACCCCCGATTTTCCACGGTTTGAATTCTACATTGTCACTCCATTTGAATAAAATAACGTCATCATTGCATACTGAAACTTTATTATATAGTAATCTATAACCAGTCATGAGACATCAAATATATTATATTTTCTATTACACATTTACACCAGTCATCCATTTTTCACATATGAAACGAGTAACGAGTACAAAAGTTTAACATACAGTACGAGCTAAGGTTTGCAATCATGACGTTATTTTATACTCGTTACACGTGGATATGCTGAAAGAATATAAACACGTTACTATCTGACATTTCAACGGAAGAGTCTCAGAGAGAAAACAAGTGGGTGGCCTGTCTTTTTGCAATCATGGGATTGAAATAATTAAAAATGGGCTTTGTTTTAAGGCCCAAGTATTGCAACTTGATCGTTTTGGATGAAAACTATATAAAAATGGGAATGGGCTTCGTTTTTCGAAATTCGGCAAATGGTCTCTAACCTCTACTACGACTTAAAAAAGCTCTAGTGAGCAGTCTCATAAACACACAAAAGTGATCCTGTGATCTCATCACAAGCAAATTCAAATTTAGGGATACAAATACATCCCCGAGAACATATATAGGTTTACGAAAATCTTTGTTTTAAAAGAGCCAAATCAAACCAAGACACATCCTTCCATTACAGTGATTGCTTTGCCTCTCAGCAGAACCCTCTGCTTCTCTTTGTCTATATGAACCTTGAGCGTTCCGCCTCTGCTTGAAGCCTAAACCCATTTCCAAAAACAACTAAATCTTTCTTCAGGAACTAATTGTAATTCTCTCATCAGAGAGAGTGAGAGAGAGAGAGATTAGATAGCGAACCTGGTAGGCTAAGAAATCACACTTGTTCATCTTGGTGCTCCAGTAGTGTGCTAAGGCACAATGCGCACTTCCAGTAACAGGGTCCTGAAGAGAGCACACAGTTAAAAGCAAAATACTATATGATAGCTAAAGATCTTGGTCACGGTTTGTGTCCACGGGAACACTACTCAGTCACCATTTTACCTCATTGATTCCGAAATTAGGGGCGAAGTAGCGACTACAGAAATCATATGAAGATCCTGCAGAAGCAGCAGCGGTCACCATCATTCCTTCACAAGGGCATTTCCTTATCTCATCTATTAATGGCTGCAGTTCAGTAACAGATTCCCACGACGAAAGCACAACCTGCGATAAATCCCAAACAAAATTTCAGATTTGGTCCCAACGACGCAATAGCCAGCCAAAACAAATGAAGACACTTTGATGAAATTTTTACGAGGAGGTCTTTCTCTGTGGCTTTAACATCAACAATGGTAGCTCCATTTAATGCTTTGGAGAAGAGAGAGAGATCACTAGTGGAGCTGACGATTTCACAAGTTGGAACAACGGGGAAATCCAGTTCGATCAAGAAGGTTGATTCTTCGAGCTCTGAGGTAAGTGGAACCCGTTTAGCTGTTAGAATCCCCGATCTTGTGGCGAACTCAACTACTTCTGAGTCAACCAAACCGTTTGAGAAGAGAACGTGACCAGATGCTAAAGTTGCATGACCACACAGATCCACCTGCAAAAACAGGAATCTCATTCACAAATCATAGCTAAGAGATTCACAAGAGCCAGAGGAAATTGAAAAAAAGTCACTAATCAAAAATTTCAGGAACTCGCAAAGGTCAAAAGAGCATTAATTTCATGAATTCGAGTCTGAGATTCTTATATGTATATATAGATTCTTTCGTCCCTATCAGTCAATAACAAGTCAACTGAAGAATCCAAAATCGAATCTTGGAAAAACGGGAAACTATAGCAGCGATTAGCGAACCTCAGCGACTGGAGTGAACCAACGGAGACGAAAGCGAGGGAAATCGCAATCATCGGAGACGGTGATCGGAGTGAGGAAACAAGTCTCGGACAAGTTGAATTCGGCGGCGAGAGACTGAAGCCACGCGTCGTCTTTCTGATTATCGTCGTCCAGAAAGCAAACAGCAGCTGGATTCCCCTTGAAGGCGGAATCAGCAAAAGCATCAACCACGAAGTACTTGACTCGCTTCTTGGCCACCATTTTTGTTTGACCAAAGCTTGATTTGTTGCTTTTCACTCTTTTATTGGTCGCACGCTCACTCTTTTATTATGAAGTAAACGTAAAATTAAAATAAATAAATGGTATTTTTGAATTTTTTTTTATCGTTGGCTATTTAATCTAATAATAAATTAAGCATACAGATTGAGAATACAACAAAAGCTTGCAAGACCACATAGAGGAAGAAGCAAAGAGAGTCTTTGAAATCCTTTCGCTGCATAGAACCGGAGGAGGCCAATGCAATGCAGCATTTTTATTCATAAAAAAAGTTACAGCTACAAAGGAGTGGATGTGAGATGTTACCACGCTCCTTCCTTGGACATCCTAAGGAAATGAGCGAGGCCGATGCTCGGTTTCTCTCCTGAATCGTCACTCTTCTTCCATTTGATCCTCGTTGTCTTCATTGCTTTCCTTCCTATTTGTTCTGTTGCCGTTGTGGACACCAAATTATGGTACTGCTCCAAAGAAAAAGAGTTTCTTTTAGGTTTGTTACTCTTTATATTCAATAAACATGTAAGCAGAGCCATAGCTCAGGAGATGTCGTGGCTCGTACCTCACAAACACCGTGCAAAAGCAATCTATGGAATGGGTCTTGAACCTTGAGCTCAAGAAAGTCTCCTTCACCGCCTTCTTTGATGAAATGGCTTATACAGTTCTGTGAAAAGGATTAAAATTTTCTTGAGACGAGGAGCCAAGGGTCTCTATATAAATGCCTGGATTAAATTGTCGTCTCTGAAGAATCTATACCTCATACCCCTCGATTAGTTCCGGTAAAAAGCAACGTCGAAGAGCCTCTCTTGTTCTACACTCTATTCTTCGCCAAGCATTTAAAACAGCGGTTTTATCAGCATCCACACGACCTTTCTGCCTTATGGATGACCGATTCAAGGAATCCATGATCTTGGCCTGACAAACAACACAGTTTTCAATTTATGTCAAACAAATCACACCACTGATTCTTCTTCTAACAATAAATTTTCAGATCATTATTAGCGTAACTTGTACTTCTCACGACACACCAAGTCCCGAAAGACGGCAACTTTACCTCCTTGTCCATGTCTATGTTTCTAAATTTGTCCCATTCTCCAACATTAGTCAAAGAAAAGGCAGAAGGTGGGACATCATCACCTGTAGAACATTTGTAGAGTCAGTGAAACGATGAATGTTAACACCAACCGCATTAGCGAAACAAGGAAAACATAGCAAAAACTACATTTGAGATTTATCTACTTTCAAAATGGAAAAGTAATCATACCCCATGGTGGTGGAGCAAACAAGCCTCTGATTTCTTGAGCATCTAAACGAGGAACAAGTTCCATCAGAATACGATCATTGAGCCACCTCCGAGATCTCCGGTTACTAACCTGCATTAAGCGAAAATAAAACACATTAGCTACTAAAAATTCATCTTTGATCCCCCCATTGTCTTCTGTCATATATAACCAACATTTTGGTTGCAAAAAAGTCACATATCAAAAGAATCCCATTGCATAGCAGAACCACTCTTACACAAAAGGAAACATTGTGCCAGTATATGTTACAGGAATCAATCCTATGAGAGGCCAAAAAGGAAAAAAAAAAAACTCACTTGTCCCGTCAGGCTCTCGAGGGCCTCAATTTTCTTCTCAAGCGAGAGGCCACGAGAAACACAAGCATCTCCTGCACTTGAGAAATTCATTCCCGGAAACACACAATTACCGTTATCAGAAACCCCTAATCCCCCACATATAAGAAATTTCTCGAATTAAGGAAATGAAACCAATATCAGTCGCTGATTATTCCATTTCCTTGGAAAAATTCAAAATTTCACATCGAATTACCTCTATGAGGATCACTAGGGGACGACATAAGAAGGCTCTCATCTCGCCGCATAACATTGGTAGCCGCCATGATTCAACAAACAATTATGAGCAAATCCGTTGAATTGAACAGAAATCCGAGCCACGAGACTGCTCGCTTGGAAAAGGAAGGCTCTTTCGGAAAAGGTTTTCGTATAGCTGCGGATACAGAGAAGGCAAGCACCACGAGAATCAACGGAGACGAAGGAAGCAGCGGTCAAGCAGATTCGTTGATAAATATGGCAGACGCAAACGTATCAAGGAATATGCCGGGTATGTGATATTTAAACCGAACCCGACCCACACGGTATAACCGGTCCGATTGTGACTCGAGAAAAATTAGTTTCGGGTTAGTACAGTACAGTATTGACGGATTTGCTTTTTACACGATTCCGAAAGCTCAAGTAAAATAAATATAACCCAATGAGAAAAAAAACGAATTAAACAGAGAGTGAACTAATATGATGATGCTATACAAAACGTATCTACTAATATCCTCCTCCCACGGTTTCGAGTTTCCTGAAAAATTTACAAACTCAAGTGATTTGGTTTCTCTTGTGGTCTCTTGCTTCAAGTATTGGATGGGTCGATTCTGATAATGAGAGAGTCGTGTAGCTGATCCGATGGTGGTTCTGCGATGGGGAGCATGGAAGCGTCGTCATTCTTTTTGCCATCTAATAAATCATTTGCATTCTCAGCCAATGCTTTGTCCAATGATGATTTCGCCACTCTTGTTATGCATATGATCAGAATTACTGCACCCACAAAATTCAAATCAACAACTTACAAAGACAATATAATCAAAATTTTCAAAATCCAAGTTTAACATTCGAATACGAAACTTTATATCATCACCATTTGATCAGATCAGACAATCTAGTAAAGTTTCTATTACCAAACCAAGGTCACGATTGACTGCTTCACTCAACCGCTATATATATATACATATTTGGAAATGATTAGAGAAGAGACTCACCCGCTAGAGCAATGCCAAGCATCATTAGCACCTGCATTCACAAGTTACAATGCGGAAGAGAGAGAGAAATCAGACTTGCACTGCAAGGGCGCATAGATAATTCACAAACCACAACTACTTATATAAAATATATGAAAGAGCCGAGATTATCGCCAGTATTAGGGTATCCAAGATAAAATTCCCAGTATTTCAGATCCCAGAAATGTATGTCACATGATGGAAAATAAGCAAATAATCTAGTAGCCAAGTGGAAGTAAATGAACAAAAACTTACCCAACGAAATACTGACACCTCATGCCATCCATGTGTAATATCAGAAAGATCTTTCAGAGTAGTTCCAACATAAACTAGCGCAAACGTAATGGGCTGTTACATTAAAACATTTCAGAAGATTAGTATAACTGTTATGGATAATATGAGCAAATACCAATTTCACATTAATGCTAAGTTGAAACAGTCTCTGTTGCTTTCTCAGTTTCGCCTCTTTGGGGTCGATCCATGAATTAGGAACATACAACGCAAGTCCATTTGGGTTAAACCATTATAGCCAAGGATAGATTAGTTCTTGGGCGTATAAACAAAGAACAAAGCACTGGACTCTCCTTCCACAACTATCAAAGTGAACATGCAAGCGAATACTGAAAAAATGTCAGTACCATCATTCCCAACCAAGTTGCCAGCATGTATTCCCCTAAGCGAACGGGGGTTACCGATAGGAGGTAATTCAACATATTGAAGGGCAGTATCGGGACAACGCGGAGCAGTAAAACTATCTGTAAAAGAAGAATATATCACATCAAGTAGTTAGCAGTCAATCAATCAAATGTAGCCAGAAATTTAAGGTTCTTTGCCATGCTGTTGGTCCCAGGTATAGCTTGTGTGAAGAAAAACGAGTTGTTAATTAATTGAGAGAGTGCTACTTTCATACCTTGAAGCCAGATCTCTGAATTGCAACGGAAACAGCTTGAAACTTCGGATAATGCTTTATTTTTGAAGTGACATAAGATTTGCCAATCTGCATGATACCAGAAAGACAAAAGATAATCATTATCGACAATGAGATGGCGAAGATAGGAAAGACGCCACACTTAGTTTGATTGCCTAGTTGTGAAGATGCAAAAAAACAGGAATCAGCTACTTCTCTGGTTATAGCAAGCAACACCATTGCAAGCGAAATGTATCAGAACAGATAATACCATATCGAATAGACATACCGTTCTACCAAGCAGAAATGCTGCTGTTGCACCTAACGTAGCTCCAAGAGAGTCGGCTACAAATCCTACTGGTAGGCCAAAAAGGTAACCACCCCCAAGCTGCAGAAACCAAATTAGGACTATCAGAACAGGGTCAAAAATTCATAGTATCTAATCTTACAAAGAAAAATTTATAAATAAACATCATAGAAAAGCACCCTACGACTCACTACATAGTTATGAATCAACGCCTACCGTGAGTACAGAAGCAGGGACCGCCACAATTGTGAGGGGAATATAAGCCAAAGCCCTGCAAATTGCAATAAGTTAAAAGGGGCATACCAGAAAATTCTTTAAGGCAGCCAGAACACAGTCTTAGCGAAATGAACTGCTTTGTGGTGGGAAACTAAAATTAAGAACGAGAGAGCAAAAAAAGTAGCAAGCATGAAGAACTTACAATGCAAGTGGACCAAAAGGTCCAAGATCTTCCTTAATCCATAACAAGAAGTCCTTCAATTTCTGCGGAAATGGAACAGAAACAATGATTCTAAATCATATGTATTACCATTCGCCTGATCTATGACTACTGCTCTACGACCAAGTCCAGAATTAACTTTATAAGAAGACAACTCGCTTCCTTCAAACTATAGATCTTCGCAAAATGGGATTTCATATAGAGTCAAAGTGTAAACACAACCTAGCGACCGAGCAACACTGTTTTCAAACAGAGATATAATGATCTGGCGAGAGTTCCAAGAATACTTCGTTATATCCATTCTAACGATATAATAGACATTAACGTTAGCTACATTATCACTACAGCACAGCTACAAATAAAAGCAAAACGCGAATAGCGGGGGAGAGAGAAATTACCTGCTCAACCGGGAGAAAAACGAAAGCGGTGCCGATAGCTACAAGGAGGAGCAGTGAGATTGCGATTCGGAAAGTGGACGGAGTAAGGGACCTCGCCGCCATATACAAGGATCTGAGGCGACGCCGCCACCAAGGCCTGGAATGGTCGTCCTCATCGCCGTCATACTCGTATTGACCTCCATTTAAACAAGCTCCTGGCTTCAGCCACGGCCTCGCCCTTAAGCCCTCCACTTTCGCCAGATTTGTCTTCCCTCCCAGAACGAATCACGACTCTTCTCGCCGCCCCGATTCGGGAATATGCTTCAGACGTATCGCCTCTCTCCTCCGAATGTGTAAAAGAAGAATGAGAGAGAGGGTTGCAGAAATCGATAGATAGATGGAGAGAAAGAGGGGCTTGTGCTTCAATTCTACGATTTTCACTGTTCTTCGATCTTGCGATTCTGTTGCGTCTCGCTCATTCCAGTTTCACTGTCAAAAACTTTTTTCCGCGAACACTTTCTTTTTTGTCCTCAATGGGCCCAACATTGGGCTCATAAATGACCCAAAAGCCTAATAGAGGATTTATTTTGGTTAAAAGAAACGAGGGAAATTAAACAACTAAATTATTTATCAATTCACTTTGACCATTGAAAAACGTCTATGTTACAGATTCAACTAGCATTGGGCAGCACAAAATGCTATAGCTTTCCAAGATTTGACCCTTTGGGTTCTCTTTTTGAGAGTTGCATTGTCTCTGGCTCTAGCAAATGACAAATTAGTTTAGAATTTTAAAACACATAATCCGAGAACACCCATTTTTGTTTCTTATCTAACATTTTATTTGGTTTTCTACTTCTTTGGCCAGCAAGATCTGTCTCATTTTTTTTTGTTTTACAACTTTGACAGTTAAAAAAAAAGCTAATAAGATTTTAAATAACAGTCTAATGATATTTTGGAAGATCTCAAGAGTTGTGTGATGGGGGCAAGAGGCAAGTGTAGTGTATCCTTCTCGGGGCATTAAAACCGGCGAGGGCTGATACGTACAGTATGATAGCTAAGTAATTAATAGTTATTACGTTGTCACAAAACAATACTATACTACAGCCGATAGGTTTAGTCAACAACAAATCAATTAAAGGGGAAAAAAACGCATGAGTAAATAACAACGGAAACATTAAAAAAAAAAGAGAGAAAAGAAAAGGAAAAACGCATGTTGAGTGCCTGATGTGTCAGTAGGTCCATGTATCCCCGTATCAAGCCATTCATCGTCTTCCCTGTAAACAAAAACGATTTCACATCACAACACACCGTACCGTAGTCGCTCTCTCTCTCTCTCTCTCTCTCTTTCTCTAGCTCCGTCGCTGTTTTTTTTTTTGTCTCTCTGCAAGCGGCCAAATCGAAGCTGAGAGGAAAAAGGCGTCGACAATGATTGTTCTGAGCACGGTGGCGTTGGTTAAAGCAGCTTATTCGCTTAACGGCTTCGTCTTTGAAGCCGAAGACATCGGATTCGATTCGCCGTGGTGGTTCGTAGTCGTCGGCGTGGCTTGTCTCCTCGTTCTATTCGCCGGGATAATGTCGGGACTCACGCTTGGACTAATGTCCCTTGGCCTCGTCGAGCTAGAGATCCTCCAACAGAGTGGCTCCTCCGCCGAGAAAAAACAGGCCGGCACGTTTTCTTCTTTTTTATTCGCTACTAATTCCGTCCGGTTCTTTATGATCAGACAAGATTCCACTTTTCGTTGGCTTTTTTTATGAAACTAGTTTCGATTCGTAATGGCTGTAGAATTATATAAAAAAGATATGGTTTTTAATTTCTTATTCAGTGATTCTGGCTGTAACGACCCTCGTGATGGAGAGTCTCTATTCTTACTCTTGATGGGTATCTTTGAAATGACTTGAAATGTCTATTTTTTTGTGTGTGTGGATATTGCAGCTGCTATCTTACCCGTGGTTAAGAAGCAGCATCAACTTCTTGTGACTCTGCTTCTATGCAATGCAGCTGCCATGGAGGTAAACTTAATTTGATTTCATTTACAGCGATTAATTCCCTCAGAACCAAGAGATTACTGGATTGATGCAGAACCAGTGAATTTTAAGCTTTGATGGTTTTGTTTTGTTTTCCTTTATCAGGCCCTTCCTATATGCCTGGATAAGATATTTCACCCCTTTGTGGCTGTGTTGCTCTCAGTTACTTTTGTTCTTGCTTTTGGGGAGGTGAGTTTTCTTTATATGTCTTCTTGGTATTTTTATTTTTGTTACTCTGCACTTTCCATACATAACTGATACAATTTATGCTGCGCGACTCCAACCAGATCATTCCGCAAGCTATATGCTCAAGATATGGACTTGCTGTCGGCGCAAATTTTTTGTGGCTGGTTCGTATTTTGATGATAATCTGCTATCCGATTGCTTACCCCATTGGAAAGGTGATGTTTTTGTGACTAATCTTTTCTCAAAACAGTAAAATTCAATAAACTAGTTGTGGTTGGTGGCTTTGTTTGACTAGTTGCTTCAATGGTGAATAAGCAATGTTACAAGTATGGAAGAATGGGAGATTTGTTGAAACTTGCATTTAATCCAGAAATGTCTTTAATAAGTGTTAAATTGTCCAAGCTAGCTGCATTCATTATATCACCTAGACAAGTGGTTACATTTATAGATGTCAGAGTATGGATGTTTACTTCTCTCCACGTTTTTATATGCTTCAGGTTCTTGATGCCGTAATTGGGCATAATGACACACTTTTCAGGCGAGCTCAGCTGAAAGCCCTTGTCTCAATTCACAGCCAAGAGGTTGTTTTTCTTTGTGATCTAAGCAGACAAATTCAGGATAGAAAAAAATACAGATGAACTTGATTGTAAAAGTATTTTATGTTTCCATATTCCATTGACATGCTGTTTCTCTCCAACATAGGCTGGTAAGGGAGGGGAACTCACACACGAGGAAACAATGATTATAAGTGGAGCCCTCGATTTGAGCGAGAAGGTAAGGATTTGAATTAGCCATACATATATACGATTCTGAATTAAAACCTCCAGATGCCTGTAGCCCTGATGAACAAGTTATGTTGTTGATAAAACTGTTTGTGACCCATTATTTCGGATTTAGATTCTTCATCTCCATGACAATTGTTGCATATCGAGGATGACATAACTTTGCTAAACTGATGCATACACTTTAATTCTTCTGTCCTCCAACTCAACATTACTTTGAATTTATTCTTCTTTCCACTGATCTAATTCAAACGCTTTCACTTCATGGAAGTTCAGACTGCCGAGGAGGCTATGACGCCAATTGAATCAACATTTTCCCTGGATGTAAATACAAAGCTAGACTGGTGAGTTAATATCAGACTTAGTTTTTTTACTGACGATTTACTTTCTGTGTACTGTATGTCAAATCTTTCAAAGGAAAAACGGCTTTGAGAAACTCCATTGGGCTGATTAGTTTTAAGTCCATACTGTAAATGGATATAAAGAGTAGGGAGAGTAAAATCTTTTCCCTTAGTCTATCTACCTAGTAGTTGCACTTGGCAAAAAATCTAATTGAAATCATGAATTTTCAGGGAAACAATTGGAAAAATACTTTCTCGAGGTCATAGCCGAATCCCGGTCTACTTAGGGAATCCGAAAAATATCATTGGGCTTCTATTGGTACAAACTTCTGCATTGCTTCATCTCACTGAATCCTTTAACTTATTTTTGAGTCTGCTGCTATTATCTAGGTTAAGAGCCTTCTAACTGTACGAGCAGAGACAGAGACACCTGTAAGTTCTGTTTCCATCAGGAAGATCCCTAGGTATGTATACAGTATCTTGCTTCCTAAAGCTTTACATACCCATCATATGTTTCCACATGAAACGAGTACAAGTTCCCATGCATTTCCTTTCCAGGGTTCCATCAAACATGCCGTTGTACGATATCCTCAACGAATTTCAAAAGGGAAGCAGTCACATGGCCGCGGTTGTCAAAGTTAAAGACAGAGAGAAAAAGACTAATACGCAGTTATTGAGTAATGGCGAAATACTTCAAGAAACTACGAACTTTTACCCGAGTCCTCATCTAACGGCTCCTTTGCTGAAGCATGCTGTTGATGAACCGCGTGATGTTGTTGTTGTTGATATTGATAAAGTACCAACACATGTGAAAAACAGGGGAAGAAATTTCCAACAGAACGGTATTGTGAAAAGGGACTTACCTCGTTTGCTGGAAGATAACGAGGATGCGGAAGTGATTGGCATCATCACGTTAGAAGATGTCTTTGAAGAACTTCTACAAGTATGATCTTATGCTCTTTTTTTTTCTTCTCTTTTTCTTTTCTGGTTTGATAATTTCCTGCGCGTTTTAGTCATCGCCATGACTTTGCTATATACATTTCACTAAAGAAGTTTTCTTTTTGGTGATTTACTGGAATTGCAGGCGGAAATCGTGGATGAAACCGACGTTTACATTGATGTACATAAAAGGTATTGTAATGATATATACTCACTTCAGAGGAGTCACTTTCTCTGTTGCTTGATTCGCTGAAAAAGTGCTGAATCATATTTGAACATGATTTCAGAGTACGTGTGGCTGCAGCAGCAGCAGCAGCTGTATCATCCATAACACGAGCTTCACCAGTGGTAAGCAAGAAAGGGATCCCAAATCCTTGTGAGATCTAGTGAATCAAAGTTTTTAAGACTTAATTTTGTGCGTGAGTCGCAGGAGTATCAAAGCAAGGTAGGAGTAGCCGTGAAGAAGCTTGTGGGGGAAAGAAGCACGAGGAACGAAGAATTACACAACAAGAATGAATTAGCCTCTTTTAGCAGAATCAGATAGATAGTTTTTTGAGTGTCGTCACGTCTCTTAGCACTTTAATTTGTTTGTTTGTATGTGGTGTGTATACAAAGATGGAATAAAAAGAAAAAAGTTTTTGTTATATGTTTTCTTCTTCTAAACATGCCGAAATCTATATATCAATGGCAAGTTATATCGTCTCTGCGGAAAACCTAATAATCAAAGTTTGAATCCCATTTTCTCCACTCCATTTTCCAGTAGTGCTTAGATTTAAAAAAAATAAAAGCTGTACTGATGATCATTAAAAGAATAATAGGAATGAAAATAGTGAAAAAAACAAAATAATAAATATGAATGGAAATGAAATGTATAAAAAGTACAGAAATCATTAGTTTTTGTTTTCCCTTAAATTTGATAAGTAATACTTTTTATTCTATAAATTTGTATTTTATAAGGAATAAACAAGAATCATATGTAGTATTATATTACTTATAAAAATGGTAAAAATATCAAAAAAAGGAAAAGTAATTCATTATATTTCTTCTCGTTCCTTTGGTCACCAAGTTAAAAACAGGGGAAAAAGGGTAGACAAGAAAAACTGAAAAAGAATCACCACAAGAGGCTTGAACGCCGTTTGTTGTTTGTTCCTCGCACTCCTCTCCGGTAAGCTTCGTCGACTTATCGGGGGATCTCAAAAGTAGAGAGACTTGTGGTTAACCTTGATTAGTCCGGTTTCGTGGTTGCTTCCAGTTGAGTTGATCGGCAGAACCCCTAAATTCGCGGTTTCCGAACACCGGCGTGACTGAATTTCACCCCCTTTCCCAAATCATTCACTCTCTCTTCTTCTTATTGAGTCCTCGCCGTTCCTCGCCGGGGTTCATCAATTCCTATCGTAGCCGCTGCCTCTATCTCGCGCTAGGTGCTCTATCTCTCCCTAATTCTCTCTTATCTTTCGCTCTGAGTTCAACTTTATTCTGAGTTTGAATTCCTTTCCCTATTGCTGCCTGATTGCGTTGGATTTTCTTCAAATTTGGGTTTGTCCTTTGAGTTTTTGATTTCCCAAATACTCCGACTTTTCTTGTTGCCGATAAGTTATTCCTGCTTTGGTTTGAATTTAGGAGTCATCGTTGGATCTGGGTTTAGAATTGAGACGCTAGTTTCTTCCATCTTTAGCAAATATCATCACACCTTTGCAACAAGTTTTCATCTCTTTTATCTGTTCGCTCTACTAGTATCATCGAGTGGGGATATGTATAGCTTATTCTTCAGTGTGGTTAAGAGTTTTCACAGCTCCTGCTTTCGCCTTCCTTTCTAGCTTTTGTAACCTCTCTTAGTAACTTGAACGGTGATTGCTCTGTTCTATGTTTATTCTCTATGCGGAAAGTAATATCGATGCAGAATTTGTATCAAACTCGAACCTAACTTTGGTTCCTTGACTGGTAATGTAAAGTCCATGGAAAAATCACGCCCAGTGCAGAAAACCGTTGTGCTCGAGCCGTTTATCAAGTAATCCTCTATACCGTATAACTTTTTGCTTCCATTCAATCACACCGTGCCCTTATATTGTTTGCATTTCTTATGTTGCGCTGCATTGATTTTTAGGCTCGTGAAGCTTATAGCAAGGGCTTTCTATGATGATTACACTACGAAAAGTGATAATCAGCAGAAATCTGCAAAAAGTGACAACAGAGGGATTGCCGTTGTGGTGCTGGATGAGCTTGCGAGGTTTGTGCACTTCTCTTCCATTTTTCTATCCCCATGATTCTATTAAGGCGAATTTTGATAACATTTAAGTTTGTTTCCAGTCAACTGTGCTATTAGGTTTGTTGAGTAATGGTAGAGTAACTTTTGAGACTTGATTATGGGATGTTGAAATATATTTACTTAGATTGGTTATTTAAACCCGCTGTGTTTTCACTGACGTTCATTTCCGGAATTTCTTTTGATCTATGTCTGATAGGCGGCAATGGGTTAGAGAAGAAGATTTAGCAAAAGCGTTGAAATTGCACGGCAAGCAACTTCGAAAAATCATAAGACACTTTGAAGAACAAGGATTGATCGTGCGTGACCACAGGAAAGAGGTCTGTGCAGAGACTATATTCTTTCAGATTAATATGTCACTTATTGTTGCACAATATGCTTCTTGCTTAGATTTTAACTCAACAACTCTTTTAGTCTTTATGGTAAATAGCATATTGTCATAAAATATCGAGGGTATAACATTTTCTTGAAGAACACAAGTGAGAGAATCATAGGTTGAATACTTAGTTTCCAAGTTTTGCGTTCTTATACTTCCCTGTAGGGTTAATGCTCATTCATTTGGAACTTGTGATTGTATTCTTCACCACGTTTTCTGCATTTTTTTGGGTCGAATGTTTGCTTGTCTTTAAGTGCCCTTGCTGATCTCAATATCTTCTATAGACTGCAAAGAATGCAAAGATGTATAGTGCTGCAGTGGCTGCTACAACTGATAGCCGAGCAGAGGACAAAGTTAAGCTCCACACCCACTCGTATTGTCGTCTTGACTATTCACAGGTTTGCTTATGTCCCGAGTACCCTTTTTCTTTCTTTTAAGTTTGCTGTTTTGCTTCTTTTTTTTTTTATCAGACAACTCTAAGCTTGTTGGTTAAACTTACAATTCTTCTCTTTTTTAGATATATGATCTTGTTCGTTATAAACTGCACTTGATGAAAAAAAAGCTCAGAGATAATCTAGAAGATAAGAATACGGTTCAGGAGTATGCCTGTCCCAACTGCCAAAGAAAGTAAATTCCATTACTCTTTATGTTTTTATAAAAACTTTACATTTTCGAATTGTATTTTGTTCACTAAAGCTGAATATGTTCTCATTTCTGATTTAGATACAATGCACTGGATGCTCTGAGATTGATTTCTATGGAAGACGATTGTTTCCATTGTGAAAATTGCAATAGTGAGCTTATTGTGGAATGTAACAAGCTAACTCCCGAAGAAGTAATAGATGGAGATGATAATGGAAGGAGACGGCAGCAGGAAAAACTGAAAGATATGCTTCAGAAGATGGAGGTTTGTATACTGTTTTAGGCTTTTAGCAATTCACTTCAGTTTTTAGCGATTAGTTTTGCTTGATTGTGTTTTCTTGTATTCTGGTGTAAACCGCAGGTTCAAATGAAACCTCTGATGGATCAAATAAACAGAGTAAAAGACCTACCAATTCCTGACTTTGGATCTCTTCTGGCATGGGAGGCTCGTGCAGCTTTGGCCGCTCGTGAAAATGGTGATTTTAACCCTAATGATCCTTCGAGGTCACAGGGTGGGTATGGTTCAACACCAATGCCATTTCTCGGGGAGACACAGGTGATAATTAGTTACACTTCTCAATGTACATAGAATTTCAATGTTATTTTTGAAGATGAGGAAATGGTATTGTAACGAAATTTTCTTTTGTTTCCTCATTTGCAGTCTGTTCATGTTGAAGCTTTTTTTTTGTTTTTCATTCCACATATTCATCTGCTAATATTATATTGTGCTATAAAAGCTTTAGTGGATCAACGGAGTTTTGTTTTTCCATGTGGGAACTCTAACGAGGGATAAGTTTACTCAGCAAAAGTTCAACTGCATATTTCCTCTTTCATTGTGGTTAGTTGATTTCTTAAATCTTACATGGTTAGGTTGAGGTTAACCTTGGTGAAGGAAAAGAAGACGTCAAATCTAACGGTGGAGATTCTAGTCTGAAAGTCTTGCCTCCATGGATGATCAAGGAAGGGATGAAGTTGACTGAGGAGCAAAGAGGAGAGATGAGACAGGAAGCAAATGATGGTGGCTCAGGAGAAGCATCAAAAATGTCAGATGACAAGAAATCAGTCATGGAAAATGGCGATGACAAAGATTTGAAGGCATGCTTATTGCTTTTGGGGACATTTGTGCCTGTTTAGATTCCCATAGTAGCTTCTTCTGGATTGAGTTTCCAGAATTTTGATACATTTTTATTTTCATTTTTTCGTCAGGACGAGTATCTTAAAGCTTATTACGCTGCTCTACTGAAGCAGAAGCAGCAAGAGCTAGCTGAAGCGGCGAATCAACAAGAATCCGCAGGCGAATTAGCCTCTGACATACAATCGGCTTCGACAACCTCAGTTCGTCGGGTTGGTATGAAGGCCAAGCTGGAGGAGGAAGATGAAGAAGATGTTGAGTGGGAAGAAGAGGCTCCTGTTCCAGGTCAGTTTGAGTTTACGTGCTTAGTAGTTTGATCATATAAAACAATGCATATTAGTTAGGTAGAAGAAACCTTGTTCAGTATTTCGATTAAAGCCAAAACAAAATAGAGCGTTTGCATTTGCTCCAAATACAAACTATATAACGTTAGAATAGAGGTCTCTCATGGGCACATGATATATATGTATGAGGAATATGATATGCTCAATTTGGTTACTTAACTTGTAATTGCAGCAAATGGAAACTACAAGGTGGACTTGAATGTGGAAGCAGAGGCTTCAGGTGGTGAAGAAGAAGAAGAAGATATCGATTGGGAAGAAGGCTGAAAAGCAAATGTATCATCACCATATTTGATCGTAGAGTTACGGTCGATTGTTAACTGTCATGTGCACTAAATCTACTGTGGTAACCTTTTGGGAACCTCATCATCGTCTACACCAAATTCCCCAAAGCTTACATTTTCATAGCAGACAAAAAGGTTGATTGATGCATATGTGAAACATAATGGTCGGACCACATTTTCCATTTTCTATTTTAAAGGCTGCCGGAAAAATATTCATGGATCTTTCTTATTAGTTTCGATATGTGGTGATAGTAAACTGATATAAAGTTCTAATAAAGTACATTGTATAAAAGTTTTGTTTTTATTTGGGCAATAAAAAATTATTTAGAGTTATTTTAGTAAATCCTTTATCTCAATCAGATTTTATACCTTCTGTAAAAGTGGGTAAGTCTAAAAAAAAATATTTTCGGATTTATCTGCTTCTTATTAAAGAATAAATAAAAGATTCTGTAAGCAGATAAATCTGATGAGAAGTAGATTCACACACATAACTTTCATTAGTTTTTGATTTCATCCAGAAAATTTATTTGAAATTTCAGTATTAATTTGTTGTTTTTTTCTTTTCTGACATGGCCAATCAAAATCCAACTGTTGAGCGAAAATCCAATTGAATCCCATTGGTTGTTAGCTTGAGACCTTAAGCTACGCCGAGAAACACACGTCAGTCAAAGAGCCATTTTACCTGACCAAAATACCCTCGGATACGCTCCGAGATTACGCATCAACCCACAGTACCGACCTAGTCCTCTGGGTTTGTTTTTGTTTTCCATAGGAGAGAAAAGCTAACACTTTACAATTACGAAGCAAACAACACACTTCTTCTTCCTCACACCTCTCGCTGCCGATCCTCAATACGAAGATTTGTAACAGGTTTGTTCTATTTGCTTCATTCGTCTCTTTAAAGCCACAAAATTGAGGAAATCGAATCGTCGGATTCATAATTCTGTTTCCCTGTTTGTATTTTTGATGTTTTGTGGTGTCGTTTTGTTTGATCGTTTCATGATCCATAAGATTCTAACGACTTAAAATTTATCTCATTTTTATTATAATGGATAATAGGTTTTGTGATCTCTGTTTTCCAATTTAGAAATCTCATGTGATTCTCCGTTATAATTCTCAGTTTTGCTTTTCTTTGTGCCCAAGTGTGTGATTATGATCGTATCTCTCTCTTCTCTCTGTATTTCGCGGAACAAAAATCAGAGTTTTTAGGGTACTCCAGAATTACTATAAGAAGTTCATAAAGTTGATTCCTTTACCGTCTTCTATGCAACTTTAAAGATTGACATATTACATATTACCACCTTTTCCATTTCAAGTCGCTTTATATGCCAAAAAAATTCTGAGAAGCATCAAACGGATTACTATCCTATCCGGACTTAATATTATTTTTCTTGTTTATTGCAGAGTTAATCAACTTCACTGATGGGTTTCAGTTCTGTTTATCAATCTCTTACGGAGATATTTCCTCAGGTAAGAACTGATCATTTCTCTCTTGTTTCTTCCATTGGACTTTCCCGGACTGAAGAACAAACCGTGGATATGGTGTTTTCCTTAAAATTCATAAACTTAAAGTAGGGTTCTGTTTTTTATTTGTTTGTTGATTAGTGGTGGAGTTACGACGTGTGATGCTGATTTCAAAACGTGTTTCTTTATAATTATTATTATAACTGTTCCACTGCAGATTGATGCGCGAATACTGAGGGCTGTTGCAATAGAGCATCCGAAAGACGCTGATGAGGCTGCTGCTGTTGTTCTTTCAGAGATTGTTCCTTCGTTGCCCTCAAATTTGTCCAGTAGTAATACCGAATCTTGTAACAAGCCTTCTGGAAGCATTTCAGAGCGCGACGGTAACTTTGGCTCATGAAAAATAACCATTTCTCATTTCCAGAGGATATGTGTCACTAAATTGCTTGTTTAAAATGCAGTAGAACGTGATTTGGAAGGTGTTGTTTCTCTGTGCCGTGGTTTACTTGTAGCTTCTGGTTCAAAGTCGAGCGCCTCTTCTTCTTCAGAAACTGTCCCCCTGGTTGTTGGTCGTGGCTACCATACCAGTGCTCCAAGTACTAACTCGGTCTCAGCTGGGAACGAGCTAACAAATTTGCCACTAAATTTTGGTCGTGGCGTTATCCTTGAAGATGTCGAAAGTGAGCAAGTCCAGTCTTTGAAAAGGGCTCCTGGACTAGAGCATGAGGACTTTGATTTCTTTGGTAAGGGTTTTGATTTTCCGAGCGAAGCCAATATTGGGTTGCACGTGCCAGAGGATGATCTTGCCTCTGTGGTTTTTGCTGTCGCTCAAGACAACGTCAATTCGACTAACGATTTTTGGCAAGATCTTGGTTTTCATATGACATGGAATCAAGCGGAATCAAGCGCAAGCATATGTTCAGAAAATGCTGTACAGAAGCTGGTCGATGTAACTCCTGGAGACACTATGGCAAATATACATCATGGTTCATCTCTTGAAGTTGGGACCGGGAGTACAAATGTTGTGGACGAGAATTCAAAGGGTTCATTGGCCAGTGATAATGGTGATACTGAACTAGGTGGTGCTTTTAGCTCATCGACTCATGGATGCAGTGTTGATCACCTTGAAGAAATTATCCAAGATGCCAAAATTAACAAGGTATACTGACTGGCATATATATTCTTTACTTTCTTTAAGCCTGTGAAAATGTTTTACTTTTGTTAACATGCATCGGAGTTGTGTTCACTGGAGTTTGAAGCATGATTCTTTTCCGATTGTGCAATTGTGTAGAAAACCTTGCTCACTGTGATGGAATCGGTCATGAATCTGATGAAAGAAGTTGAACTTGAAGAGAAGGACGCCGAAAAGTCAGCAGAGGAAGCTGCTAGGGGAGGTTTGGATACTCTTGAGAAGGTTGAGGAGCTCAAGAAGATGCTGGAACATGCCAAGGAAGCAAATGACATGGTAATGTTATTATTACCTATAATGTGCTAATGTGCTTCGATTTTTATTCTTTTTGTAATTAGAACTAAGTTACTATGATGTTTTGCAGCATGCTGGAGAAGTATATGGAGAGAAGTCGATTTTGGCCACCGAAGCAAGAGAGCTTGAAAACCGGTTGGTCAACTTATCAGAAGAACGAAACAAATCCCTTGATGTCCTTGATGAGGCATGTTTCATCTGCTGATTATAAACTTTGTCTCATTTTTTTTTTTTTTTTCTGTTTTCACACTGTAGAGAGAGAGATTTATATAACTGTGTGTCTTTGTAGATGCGTGGAACTCTTGAAATAAGACTAGCGGCAGCATTGGAGATGAAAAAGGATGCTGAACAGGAAAAGAAAGAAAAAGAAGAGACTGCACTTAAGGCACTCGCTGAACAAGAAGCCATCATGGAGAAAGTAGTCCAAGAATCAAAGCTTCTACAGCAAGAGGCAGAGGAAAACTCCAAGGTAAAGAAAAAATCACTGTTACCAACACTAGAAATGAGTTTCCTCTCAATGTCAAAACTTCTTCTCAATCCCAGTTTATTGTTTTGCGTTTTTCAGCTTCGAGAGTTTCTTATGGATCGTGGTCAGGTCGTTGATTCCTTACAGTAAGTCCCATTCTCGACCCACCAACCTCACATTGCAATCTTTTTATTTAGCGATTTGTTCATGCAATTTTTTCTTTCAAATGGATGTTTAATCTCTCTTTTCGTTCTTGGAGCAGAGGAGAGATTTCTGTCATCTGTCAAGATGTGAAGCTGTTGAAAGAGAAATTTGACAACCGAGTGCCATTAACAAAATCAATCTCCTCGAGCTCATGCGGATCATCTATTGGAAGCTTGGTGCTTGAGAATTCTGCGGAGCCATTAAATGGAGTGCTTGAAACCTTAAGCAACAACAAGAGCGGAGAAGCAGCAGCGTCCTCTATGAACGAAGAGAAGAAAGATGATTGTAGAGAGCTTCTTGAAGATGGTTGGGACATCTTTGACAAGGATATCGAATTTTAGAGTGGAGTTGGTGCTGATTGCTGGAAGAATGTACATAGAGGTTTCTTATCGAAATAGAGAATGCTATAACTAGAGAATAAAAATGGATTTGGGATTGTATGAGCTACACTATTCAGTGTTTCAGACTTTCAGGGTTGTTTTTACAAAATAAAACAGATCAAATTATCCCACTGAAATATATATATTTTATAATGAAAGATATGGGACCCTACACACTACACACCCCTATGGACTCCAAACAAAAAGGCTTAAACTTGGGCGGTCCGTTGAGAGTGAAGCCATAAAACTTCAAAAAGGAACAAGACAAAACCTTTCACCCAAAAATAATCAAATCATAAACTCGCGGACACACTCGATTTCATCAGATGGGTATTCTCTATGCTTCAATCACTGTGAAAAATCCCATCTTGGAAGCTCGTATTCTGCTTCAATGGCGGTGATGATGCTTATGCGACAGTAAGCTCGACTTTCTGTAGACGTTTGTCTCTTCTTTACGCTTTCTTATCCTCCTTTTTTTTGTTTGTTCTTTATTGGTTCTTCGTGTTCTCGATTTATCTTGATCCTGAGACTTCTTCTTCTTGTCGATTCTACTGCTTCATCTCCTTAGAATGCGCTGAATTTGAAATGCCGATGATAGAAAACAAAAAGGGGGGAATTTTGCCTAGTGGGTCTTTCAGTGATCTTAGTTTTGAGACGACAGTTTAGCTGATTCGATGACTTGTTATCTTATGGTGGATTGTGTTATCTGATTCGAGCTCATTCTGCCACATCTCATCAAAGGTGGAGACAATTTCTGCGAATAATCGAGTCTGTCTAAAATTACTTTTATCTCAGACCAATTCCTTGAGCTTTTGTTTCTGCAAGCTTGAACAAGTTTTTAATTCAAATGATGAGATTTTCATTTACTTTTGATCTCAGTGATATTCATTGATTGGATTGCTAAAGTTTGGGGGAGAAGAGAGAAGCTTTCTACTTTGTTTACGAAATGGCGTCTTTCTTACTATCAGCTGGGATAGGATCGTGTAGCCTTAACAATGGCATCACTGGAACATGGAAATTTCCTTCTGCCATTTTTACAACTGGTAAGAACAAGACCAAACCTGGATCTGAGAAACTGATGGTTACAAGAAAACATATATTGGGGGATTTGGTTACAAGTGCGTTGCAAAGTTATCGTTTGAGTAAGATTTGTGCTTCAAAAACTTCTATCGAGCTGAAGGAACCGGTATCTACTAGAAGTGCTAAGGTCGATGACTTAAAGAAGGCAACATCCTATTTGTTCAGGACGAAATCTGGCGCTCTTGTTAAAGTGAAAGTTGAAAAGAAGAGAGAAAAGTACAGTATTATGGTGTTTGTCTCATCGCTGGAGCTCAGTGGCGATGACAAGAGTAGACTGGTGATGGTTTGGGGTGTATACAGGTCTGATTCTTCGTCTTTCTTGCCTCTGGATTTCGAAAACTCTTCTCAAGATTCACAAACCCACACAACAGAAACTCCGTTTGTGAAAAGCTCCTTGTCCGAGTGGATGCTAGGGCTAGAGTTTGATGGCAAAGAATCTCCTTTCTATCTATCGTTTCGGCTCAAGTTAGTGTCAGGAAATGATCCGAACGGTCTAGAAATGCCGACCCACAGGGACGCAAACTTCTGTGTCCCGGTTGGTTTTACTGCTGGTCGTCCATTGCCATTAGGCCTTTCTTCTGGGACAGATGATGACTCGTGGAATTTCGCATTCTTTTCAAGGAACTCAAAGAGCGTGGTTTTATGCTTGCATGATGATAGCACAGCCGACAAACCTGCGTTAGAGCTTGATCTCGATCCTTATGTCAACCGAACAGGTGATGTTTGGCATGCCTCGATTGAGAAGACATGGGATTTTGTGAGATATGGGTACCGTTGCAAGGAAAGTGTTCACCCTGAAGAAGTCGACTTTGAAGCAGAGAAAATTGTTTTGGATCCGTATGCCACAGTTATTGGGAGATCCGTCTCTCAGAAGTTTCTCGGAAGTTTATTCAGAAACCCTTCTTTTGATTGGGGAAAAGATGTCTCTCCGAACATACCACTGGAGAAACTCATTGTTTACCGGTTGAATGTAAATGGTTTCACACAACACAAATCCAGCAAGTTGCCTACTAACGTAGCAGGGACTTTTTCTGGTGTAGCTGAGAAAGTGAACCATTTGCAAACCCTTGGAACTAACGCTGTTCTCTTGGAGCCAATATTTTCGTTCTCCGAGCAAGAAGGTCCTTACTTTCCATTTCATTTGTTTTCACCGATGGACTTGTATGGACCTTCCAATGGACATGAATCCGCAGTTAACTCAATGAAAGAGATGGTAAAGAAACTGCACAGTCATGGGATTGAGGTACTTTTGGAAGTAGTTTTTACACATACCGCTGAGTCTGGAGCTCTTCGCGGGATTGATGACAGTTCCTATTACTACAAGGGAAGGGCTAATGATTTGGATTATAAAAGTTACTTGAACTGTAACTACCCTGTCGTTCAGCAGTTGGTTTTGGAGAGCCTGCGTTATTGGGTAACTGAGTTTCATGTAGACGGGTTTTGTTTCATCAATGCTTCGTCTCTCTTGAGAGGCGTTCACGGTGAACACCTTTCTCGTCCTCCTTTAGTTGAAGCAATAGCTTTTGATCCGCTGCTCGCGGAAACAAAACTAATCGCTGATTGCTGGGATCCCCATGACACGATGATGCCGAAGGAAGTACGGTTCCCGCATTGGAAGCGATGGGCGGAACTCAATACAAGATATTGCCGAAATGTAAGGAACTTTGTGAGGGGAAGAGGCGTTCTTAGCGATCTGGCTACAAGGATTTGTGGAAGTGGTGACATATTCACCGATGGAAGGGGACCGGCTTTCTCCTTCAACTACATTTGCAGAAACTCAGGACTCTCCCTTGTTGACTTGGTCAGTTTCAGTGGCCCTGAGCTAGCTTCAGAGCTAAGTTGGAACTGTGGGGAAGAAGGTGCGACAAATAAATCAGCTGTTCTTCAGAGAAGGCTAAAACAAATCCGCAACTTCTTGTTTATACAGTACATTTCACTCGGAATCCCAGTGCTCAACATGGGAGATGAATGTGGAATCTCTGCGAAGGGCTCGCCTTTGTTAAAATCACGTAAGCCCTTTGATTGGAACATGTTGGCTTCAGCTTTCGGTACGCAGATCACGCAGTTCATCTCCTTCATGACTTCCGTTAGAGCAAGGAGAAGCGATGTGTTTCAAAGGAGAAACTTTTTGAAACCTGAGAACATTGCTTGGTATGCAAATGACCAGACAACTCCGAATTGGGAAGACCCTGCTTCAAAATTCTTGGCATTGGGGATCAAAGCAGAGTCAGAGGAAGAAGAAACAGCGTCATTGGTTGAGCCAACCAAGCCAAAGAACAATGATCTGTTCATTGGGTTCAATGCAAGTGATCATTCTGAGAATGTAATCTTGCCTTCGCTTCCCGTCGGAAGCAAATGGAGGCGATTGGTCGACACAGCTCTTCCTTTCCCGGGGTTTTTCTCTGTCGAGGGAGAGACCGTTGCAGCAGAAGAAGAGATGCAGCAGCTGGTATTGTATGAGATGAAGCCGTACAGTTGTACCCTTTTTGAAACCATCAGTTCTACTGCTTAGACCTCTCAAGTTGTGTGTGGTCTTTGTATATGTTATTGTGTTATCATATATCCAAATAAGAATATTCAATCAAATCAATGACCTTCACAATATGTACGTTAAATATTACTTATGCACTTCGCTTGTATCCAACAAGCTTGATATATTTCTCAATTTATGGACTGATTATAGGAGGTGTCTATGAAACATGCCTTTTATGGATTCAATAAGATTAACCTTGTTTCTTATTTCGTTATATATATGGAAAGAAGATTTTCCCCCTGGATTTAGGAGTGTAAAGATGGAATATTTTTTCATTTAATGTTAGACAAGATAAGATACGGATTTAGGGTTTGTAATCTTGAGCATAACGGATTCTATAAGTAGAACCCAAAAAAGTTGTTCGTCTCTTTTGTTTTTGATTGAAAGCAGCAGAAACGTGGCCTGAAAAAATGAACAAAATGAATAACGGTTGCTGCTCAGAATGTCGGATTGAATCAAAGAAGACGAAGAAATCGAAGAAACTCAAAGGTAAGTGTTTTTTTTGTTCTCATCGGAAGTTTTTCTTACTAAAATTCTTCACAGATTTAAAGTTTCTGACTTTCTGATGAACAGAGGAGCCTGATGAAGAGGATGTGAAACAAAAACAGAAAGTTACAGAGGAGGCTCCGAAAACAGATTCCAGTGAGGAAAAAGGATCTCAGGGGACTTCAGATGAGAAGAAGAAGAAGAAGAATAAGAACATCGTCACATGGCAACACGAAAGTACAAAAAAAGACAAGGGTCACGGTAAAAACTTGTCAACAGAGCAAAACGGCGTTAACCGGCCTTCCTTCAGCGCCAAGTCAATGATGTACAATGGTGGGCCCAATCCTTCAAACCGGTGGTCCATGTCCGCAGCCCCGGGAGGCTATTATCCGCCATTTTCTAGGGCACCAATGTATGGTGGTGGTCGTGCTCCATTTCAACCATACCAATCCATGAATCCAGCCACAATGTGTGGACCGTTTGGTGGTGGTCGTGCTCCGTTTCAACCATACCCGCCAATGACTCCAGGCGCAATGTATGGACCGTTTGGTGGTGGTCGTGGTCCATTTCAACCATACCCGCCAATGACTCCGGCCCCAATGTATAATGGAGCTCACATTTCACCATATCCGCCGATGGCTGCACCAGTTTTCCCTCCCTATGAATGGCAATCCAGACAGCTCAGGGATGCTAATCCTATGACGCGTTACACTACCTACCTAGACAATTACTCTTATCTGACTTTGTCTTGATGAGTCCATATGTTTTTCCTCTGCTTGCTTTTTTACTTAAGAGAGAAGAAACTAATAAGGACTGAATAAAGGTACTTCTTTGTAAACTTTAGAAGCTTTTTCATCAAATAGTTAAAAGAAAACAGATTATCCTTTGATAAAGATAATGCAACCAGAGTCATTCCAGATCAAGCGATTACACGAATATGAAAAAAACAAGTTTTGTTAATAAAGAGATTAAGTTTGGAGATACAACAGCTTGGCGAAATCATCCACCTCTAGCTTCTCTTCTAGCGGCATCGTGAAGTAGATCAACATCGACTCCATCCGGAGGTAACTGCACGTACCTTACCACTGAGCCTCTGATGAAACAGTTTCTCACCGAAAGCTACACAATTCAGCAGAGATAAACCATAAGCAATAAATCAGTAGGAGAAATCGAGGGCCAAAGATTCTTAGAGGAAATATGTAACTCTCTTAGAAGATATACCAAGTATGACAAGAAGAGAATTCGAGTGCCAAAGATATCAATATTAAGCTAAAAACACCGGGTTTCATTCCGCAAACAAACTGCAAAGACATTGTACTTCTGAGCAGAATTGACAAATCTCAATGGCTACACAAACTGCAGTATACAAGCAAGAATCTCGATAAAACATGTCAATGGGTACTCAATAGTTACAAACTTGTCACTTTAGACTGTTTCTTTGCGTTTGTAAATTGAACCAATATCACCTCAACGCTTTTCAACGCTGCTCATAGCAAAAGCACGAGATAAGACCAGAAATCAAAATCACACCTTTTTACTACTTGATAGATATAACAATAATGATCAATTCAACCACATATTAACCAAGAAAAAAGGCAAATTCATCGTGCGCCGCCGATAAACCCTAAATTCGCAAACTAAAGAACTCGATTTAAAGAAGAAGCATTTACCATGTGAGGGTACTTGTCCTGATCAACAACCCTAGTGTTCTCGAGCTTGATATTGAGGTACTGATCCACTGAATGAAGAGTGCCTCTTATCGCTAAATCGTTCTTCAACTCAACCGTCACTTCTTGTCCAACCAAATCCTTGAAGTATGAAAAGAACAACTGCGCCAGATAACAAGCAAATCTCAAAACCCATCACGATAAACCCTAAATCATCAGCGAAAACCATCCCCGAAAAAACCCCAGAACCACACACACCCACGAATGATAACGAAGAATGAAGAAACCTTTATTTGTGAGGTCAAATTATAAAATCCCAACACTCGAATTCAGAAAAGACGAAAGGAAGTATAAAAATTTACCATTTTCTGTTTCTCTGCAGTTCCTTCCTCTGCTCGCAATTCAACAAAGAAGGTGAATTGAAAACTTTGCTAGAGTCGAGAGACTTTAGAACTTTCTGTCGAGTAGAGTACCCTAATAAAACAAAACCTACATTTATGTAATTATTCAAAAGTTTGGGAACGATCTTGCTAATTAAAGTAATATAGGGCCTCAAAAAGTAAAATATTTAAAAACTCAAAGCGTCTTTTCCTCAGCAGCCAAAGCCGAAAACAAAGATTTACACAAATCACCTAATATATCGGAGGGACGCATATACTGTATATACGTGATTGCTGACGATAAGCTTCTTCCTTTTTCTATATGGGCTTGTGACGAAGAAGAAAGAAAAAACAAAAAAAGACGAATTCAGGTTTCTCTCAGGTTGAATCACCAAAGTTTTGCTTTATGGCTTCTCATAGCTATCCAACACTTGGCTCTAGTCTTCTTCAAGAGCTTGGAATCAATGTAATCATCAAGGTGACTCTTTTTTTCTCTGTTTCAGTCATTGACATCGTCTAGATTTCTCGTTGAGTCATTCTAATCTGTTCTTCATTCTCCTTTTCAAAAAATTCTTATGTCTATGAATGATTCAGAAGAACCGGGCTTGTCTGCTGAATCCTGGAGGAAGGAGACAAGAGATCATAATACCAGAAAACTGTTTTAGTCTGAAGCTACGACACTCGGAGCCATGGAAACCTTTTTGTTCTGTGAGAAAGTCCAATCACTTTTTGGAATTTGACTCCACCATGATGAAGCCTAGTCTCTTGGACGTTCATGGTATGCGTGTGGTGTCGATTTGCTTCTGGTTTTACCAAATTTCAATGTTTTTTTCTAGATTGACATGAACTGATTTGTATGTGGTTTTGAGACTTTACAGAGACCGGACAAGAGGAGCTGATTGAGTTCCTTATGTCCAGAGCAGGCGAACTCAAGGAAAGAGGATTCGACATGTCTCTGTTATCTGACTTGATGGATCTACGTGCTTCAAGATCCAGCTCCTCTTTCCTTCGCTTGAACCAAGAACCCGTGAAGCCGCTTTTGGATCGCATCATGCATAATCCAGAGTTCTCCATCAGTTCGGATGCTCAAATCCGCTTCTCAAGTAGTAGAGCTGAGCTGAATGATACGGTTTCTATCGCAGCCGAGATTCATATGTCAAAGAACTCAGCCAGATGGAGAAAGCTCTCACGCCTTGTCCCGCAGTTTCAGAGGTAATTAGTTCTTCATTGCGAGTAAAATCCATATCCTAAAAATCTCCTACTTTGGCTTCAAGTTTAAGTTTTTTTCTCTCTTTTTCATTAAGCAGATTTGACAGTGAGGTGTTCATAGACAATCCACAGCTAAACGCAGTTGATCTTGATGCAGTCACACAAAAGAGGTATGTAATATCATCTACTAGCTAGTTTTGATCTTATAACCTGTTTCTTAACGTTTTTTTTTTTGTGTGTGTGTGGTTATTTCAAACAGTACGGAGAAAACTAGGGTCAAGCCTTCACCAAAGAAACACAATCCGAATATAAGAGATAGAGAGAAAGATCTCCACAGACGAAATCATCTTCATGCATGTGAGAGCCTTATCTCGTTGATGTTAGGCAGTGAACAACATAAACAAACCACATTGCTGTCTCTAAAGAAATCACGTGGAGAAGTTTCAGAGCTTCTGACTCAGTTTTCAATCGGTACTGCTGGAACCGGCATCGCTGTGTTCTACTCTGTGGCCTGTAGTGTTGCTTCGGGGCGAGTACCATTCTGCGCAAACAAGGTCTTTGACAGTGCACTTAGTTTGAGTTTGGTATTGCTCTCGTGGGCGGTGAATAGACTCAGGGAAGCCATTGTCGATGTCAATAGGAAATCAATCAAACACGAAGAAACGACAAACAGAGTTGAGAGAAGGATCAAGGATGTTTACTTCGGAGCTGCAACAGTCTTCACCATGCTCGCACTTAGGTTTGGCTGAATGTTGAAATCCTGGTGATTTGGAGTCGAGCTTCAACTCCATTGAAGGCTTTAAGGTTAATTTGCGAATATGAGGATGTTAAAAAGAGTTTTTTTTTTATTAGTTTTTTTTAGAGTTTAAACAAAAGAAGCTGCAAAGCGAGAAAGAACTGTGAAAATACTCACATTTATGAGTTTTTTTTCCTCCGTTCACTAATAACTAAACACGAATCTCTTTGTTATTTGATCTAACTTGAATCTCAGAGTAGTAGCAATCTCATGAGAGATGGATCTTAAGATACTCGAGAACATGGAACATGGAACCTTTATAGCAACTTAGCTCATCACTTTTGATACCACACCGGCTCCAACTGTTCTACCTCCTTCCCTTAGGGCAAATCTTTGACCTGTTAAAATCACAATATTTGAATCACTCATGAACAGCTGAAGAAAGTCGGACGTAACATGGAAATGCGAGAATCTAACCTGTCTCAAGTGGAACAGGAAGGATTAGTTCGAAAACTGCAGTGACATTGTCACCGGGCATAACCATCTTCACATCTTCAGGCAATTCTACTTTTCCCGTGACATCGGCGGTCCTCAGATAAAACTGAGGCCTGTAGTTAGAGAAAAAAGCGGTATGGCGTCCACCTTCATCCTTTGTGAGCACGTAAATCTCCGCTTCAAACTTCTTTGCCGTCTTGCAAGAACCTGGCTTAGCGATAACCTAAACAACACCAAAGTAAATTTCAGTAAAGCCACTTTCGTGAAATTGGTCTTTTATCACTCTCCTGAATCCTGAGCTTACCATTCCGCGCTGGATGTCTTCTCTCTTTAGTCCACGCAACAAAAGTCCTACATTATCACCAGCCTAACACATTTGAAAACCCAAAAGGTTTTATCAATATCACATGCCTATATAGTTTCTAAGAAAAAAGGATCTCTCTTAAGTTGCTTTTACCTGTCCATTATCCAAAATTTTCTTGAACATCTCAACGCCAGTTACCGTGGATTTCAGAGGAAGTCCCTGGGAATCAAATATCGTACAGTAACTAGGCTTGAGAAAGTTCTAAAGAACAAAGCTTTATTGTAAATGCAGCCAGTACTAACTCACCGAACTTATCCCCAATATTTCCACTTCTTCACCTACTTTAATCGTTCCCTGTTCAATACGGCCGGTTGCAACAGTTCCACGTCCCTTTCAACAAACAGAAAACTATCAGTCATGATTTTTCAAGAAAAAAAAAAGTGAATGAGAAAAAGATTCAACATGGGTGTAGATTACTATACCTGAATGGAGAAAACATCTTCAACAGGCATCAGGAAAGCTTTATCAAGCACACGAACAGGATCAGGTATATACTCATCTACAGCTTCCATAAGCTTCAATATGGCTTTCCGTCCGATTTCTTCGTTTGTGCCCTGCAATGCCGACAGAGCAGATCCCCGAATGATGGGAATATCATCCCCTGGAAACTTGTAGAAGCTGAGAAGTTCTGGCAAACAAAATGGTTGACGTCAGAAAGCTGAGAAGGAAATGTGTTCTCAAATTTGTAATTTCAGGATACACACCACGTAGTTCCATCTCTACAAGCTCCAATAACTCTGGATCATCAACAGCGTCAACTTTGTTCAGGAAGCACACAAGTGATGGAACGCCAACCTGTGTGGAACATCAAAAAAAACTTGGATTGTGGCCTATAGTCTTAACTCATTCGACTGTCTTCAACTGTTCAATCAGGTTTTTGTAATAGTGAGAACCTGACGTGCAAGCAGAATATGCTCCTTAGTTTGAGGCATAGGTCCATCTGGTGCTGAAACCACGAGAATCCCACCGTCCATTTGTGCAGCTCCGGTAATCATATTCTGAAAATTAGCAATTGAAGCTATGAGACTCAAGTGTCATTCAACTTATTTCAAAAAAAACCATATATTTTATAACATATCCATCCATTTTAAGGCATGGATAAAGAATGAATGATGATAGTATCTTACTTTGACATAATCTGCGTGTCCAGGGCAATCCACATGAGCATAATGACGCTTAGCAGTCTCGTACTCGACATGCGCCTACAGAACCAACTAGTAGTGTCCAGTAAATACCCACTTTGATGACTGTGTGGAAGTAAAAAAAATATAAAAAAGACGAAAAGATAATAACTGCAGACCGTTGCAATTGTAATTCCTCTTTTCTTCTCTTCAGGAGCTTTATCGATTTCATCAAACGCAACAGCTTTAGCATTACCTTCCTCAGCCAAAACCTATAAAATACAAAATCGACATACTGATTTTAATCGGATGATTCGTCATGTACATTGGAGGAATTTACAAAAAAAAAAAAAAAAAAAACACACCTTTGTGATAGCAGCAGTTAAAGTGGTCTTCCCATGATCGACGTGTCCAATTGTTCCAACATTCACATGAGGTTTTCTGCCAAAGCAAAAAAAAAAAGAACCATAATTTGAAGTAATTTGCTAATAAAGAAACTCAAAATTCTATCAAACCAATTCGAATAAAAAACTAAAAATTGCAATAACCCGGAAGAAGGAAGAGAGAGAGAAAACTGACGAGTGTTTAGAAAGGATAAACTCACGTTCGGGTGAAAGTGGCCATCGATCTCCACCACGAGGTCGCGTGACTTGAGGAAAAGCGATCATCTCCTCCGTCGAAATGTGAGATCGAGTAAGGGGAAGGGATGGAACCTCCGCAGCGTAGGTAGATCTGAGAAGAAAACGGAAGAAGACGTTTCGAGCTATGGTTTCGAAGAGCCACGGAAGCCATTTGGAGTTGAATTGGTCGGAGCCACAGAAATAGAACGACGAACACTTCAGTTTCTCGGCCTTGAAATGGTGGTTGGGGTTTAAGGGAGGGTTAATAACTCACCCGAGGGTTTCTCGTCAGTCGACCCGGAATCATTTTTACCCGACCCGTAAGCCGTAATTTGAGTAATGGGCCTCGGCTATTGATAGCAACCACCTAAACTGTCCTTAGAGATGGAGATTAGTAAGTGTTTACACATGTAGGGCTGAGTTTAATGACGAAATCGTATAAGATGTTTATTTTTAAGAACACTAGTTTAGAGTGGTGATGATATTATTATATACCGTTTGTTTAAATCATCTTCTTCCAAAAGTTCAAAAGTTGTAGTGAAGTATTTGTATCGTTAGTTTCCGAGTAATGGTTTCATGAAGTTGACATAGAGACGATTAAGAATACTCAAAAGACTTTTCTCAAACCACTTTATTAAGAGTAACTGTGGTAATTAGACTCGGTCTTCGAAGATCAAATAACTAATTTCAATCGATTGGGTACTATTATTGACCTAATTCTGAGATATAATCAAATTTATACCATATATTTTCAAATCAAATTTATATAGAACGTTAAAGAGGAAATAAGTGAATAATGAAGGCAAATCGCCAGAAACATACAAAAACAAGTAAAAGGAGAAAAAAAAAGGCACACCACTCATAAACTACATTAAGCTTTGGAGGATGATGCTGATTCTTCGTCGTCATCTTCAATGTCCCAACTCAAGTCTTCATCTTCCTCTGCAGCACTCAGACGTTTACGCAGCTCAGCTCTGTTTGGACTACCACTAGATCGACTCGCTTCCTTACCATCGATGCTGCTCATATCCTCAATCTCGTCCCATCCCAAATCCTCTTCCGATGGTTGTTGAGCTGATGAAGCAGCAACACCATCTGGTTTAGCTGAGTCTTGGGGAGGAGCAGTCTCATCAGATTCAGGAACAGCCTCGGGTTTGACCGATGCTTGAATCGGAGCCTCATCAGATGCACAAGCAGCAGAAGCATCAACAACTGTTTTTGATTCTGGAACTTCCTCATTACCAGTTTCCTTCTTCTCCTCCGAATCTGTATCTGTCTTCAAACCAACATTGCTCACTTCAGCCACTAAATCTTTCACAGTTTCGCTTACATCTCCACTACCCATATCATCATTCCCCTCAAGTTTCAATCTTGAAACTTCTTTGGTAGCTTCAGTAACTATCTCGCTAGACTCCTCTTCATCATCAATATCCCAGCTCAATTCTTCCTCATCATCAAGAGAGATGGCTCGTTTCACAAGATTAGCCCTCAGGTCTTCAGCTTGCTTGAGCTTGTGAGCCTTGTAGAAATACCTAAACCAGAAGGTCTCATGATCAACCGTATTCGGGACAATTCTTTTATACACACCTTTCATATCTCCATTTTCCTCAAGCAAGTTCTCCATTTCCTCAGCTTTATCACCCAGAGAAAACCCAGATTCCCACTTTTTGTAATCATCTGAATCCTCAGGCTCTTCACAGTAGGTGTTGAGATCGCCTTGAACAGCGCGAACCTGAGCATCGAAACGACTATAGGGTTTCGAGCTAAAGCTATCACGACGACCGAAACTGTTACTGCTATTGTTATCAGAAGAATCAGATTCGTTACCGGCAGCTAATATCGCTTCTTTACCTTGAGCGATGATCTCAGCGGTACCTTTTAGCACGGTGTTGCCAAGTTCGTCGATGGCATGTCCCACGGTGCCAAGCGATCCCTGCGCCACTTCGATCTCCTTCTTCAAACCTGTCCCGAATTCTTCGAGATCTCGTCGGTAGGTTTCTATCACGGTTTCGGATCTGGTGGCTAGGGTTTTCATCAGACCACCGAAGCTCCATCCGCCGTCGTCGTCAGGATTAGATTGCTCCGGATTTTCGTGCTCGTCGCTGTGTTTTGGTGAATCGGACTCCGATTCGGTTCCTGGAGGATCAGGGTCGTCCGAGAAGACGGATTTGAAGAAATTCATAGCGGAAAGCTCAGATCTTACCGAACGGTGCTAAATGAATTAAGGACTTCAATTAATTTTATCGGTGGAGGAAAGGATTTCGTGAGGGAGGATGCGAATTTGTGTCAGAATATCACAGGGCTTGAAGAGGGAGATAGACGTCAATTTCATGATCTATATCGGAAAAAAGGGGCAATTTTTGTCCTATTTTCTTAAACATTTTTTAGTGGACAATTATCACTAAACACACAATATAATGATAAAATTGTATATTATTATCACTTTGTTATTTTGATAAATTTTGTACTTTAGTTCCTTTTTAACCTTCGGGTTTAGATAATTAGAGATATACTAATTACGAAGATAAAATGATTTATAAATCTATTGGAGTCGTAATAAAGCTCTTAAGTGTGGTTCCCAATGCAGAATCCCTAGTTCTCTGATGGTCGTGCTTCCGTCCTGAATCCTTCGTCTCTCACCACTGGTGAAATACTCCTTCTTCCTCCTCTTGTTCCCCCAGACCCTCCTGACCCTTTTTCAAACTTTTCCTCCGATTTCCTCCCTCTTACCCCCCCTGGTAACCTGAATCCTGGTTCATTCTCACGTACTGCTCTTCATGTGGTGCCTGTGGTTTTGACCTCTACTTTAACTTCTGCTAAAGTCTCCCTTGACCATACCACTACTGATGTTGAGATGACTCAGTCGGAAACTGTTGCTCTGAAGGAAACAGGCGTAAGTCCCCCTAAACTTAGATCTGAAACTACTGTTCCAACAAAATTTACTGTGCTGAAACCAAAAAATACTTCCCCATTAACCACAAACAACGCTCTAAATTTTCCCCGTCCGCCCAATCCTATTACCCCAGCTCCCCTTTCTGCTGTTGCTGAATCCTCTTTTGACCTGAATGTCTCTCCAACCCAAACTGTTGTGCCACCTGTTGAAAATAAATCCGCCAATTCTCCTACTTTAGCTGAAAGAATCAGAGTTTTCGAAGACCGGTCTTTGTGTAGGGTGGCTTCCGTTTCCTTCACTGATAGTGGTCGGCCTACTGTCCTCATTCCAGATGAAGTATTCAAGAAAGGAGAAGAGCTTCACAAGGATTTTATTGTCTGTTACTTCAATGGAAGAGCTCCTTCCTACAGCAAAATTCAAAGTGTACTTAATCATATGTGGGGTAAAGGAGGTAAGCTAGAGATTCATAACAACCCTCTTGCCCGCAATATGATTGTGCGAATTACGAGTGATTACCTAAGAACAAAAATTCTGGAAAAGGATACTTGGTACAACGGGGATTCCTTGTTCCGTGTGGCTCAATGGACTTCAGAGCACTCGGGATCTTCTCGTCATTTTGAATCAATGCAAATCTGGGCTTATCTGACAGGAGTTCCTCTAGACCTGCGACATCAGAAAGGACTTAGTTTTGTGGCTGGTTTGGTTGGAGAACGAAAGGAAACTGATGAATTCACCAAGAACTTGGTCAGTTTGACTATGTCTCATGTCAAAGTTGAAGTAAATCTTACAAAAGAACTGCCTCGGGTAGTTGAATTCACTAGGCAGAGTGGAGAAGTGGTTGAAGTTCTTGTTGATTATCCTTGGTTGCCTCCTACTTGCTCACATTGCAAAGAGTTAGGTCATATTGCCCGTAATTGTCTACTGCTGCCCCCTCCACCGAAATCTGCTGATCCAGCAAGCAAAAGGGCTCCAAAGCTCACAGTTTCCTCTACAAAAGCTGCTACTACCTCCACAAATGAGTGCGCGGAAACATCTTTAGCGCAACTATCCCCTAAAGATCATGTGGAAAATGTTAAAGTGACTTCTGAAGATGAAGAATTGGCTAATATGGAAGTTGATCCAAAAAAGATTGTTATCCCTCACTTGGCTCCTGCTTCTGTGATGGGAACTCCTCTTGCAGCTCTTGGTGATGAAATAGATCTGGTAACTCCAACTAAAACCAAATTTCCTAATTCGAGTTCTTTGCCTCCTCTGGTCCCTATTTTTACCCCATTCGTAATAGCGCTTCCTGCTACTATCACTCCTACTGGAGAGCCTTATCTCTATAGCCCACCTGAAAATCCACAAAAAGCCATTTTAAAACGTACTCGGTCTCACCCGTCTCTAAACACCGTTTATTCGACTCCTTCCTCTAACGAACCCTCTTTAAGATCACCCATAAATAACCCTTTATCCTCTAAAACACCTACCAAATCAGTTTCTAAGCCTCTTTCTAATTCGGTTACCTCTTTTGAAGATTCTCCCTATTCAGGGAAATCTGCTCCCCCATCTTAATGTGTTCAAACCTATTTTTTTGGAATGTTCGTGGTTTAAATGATCCGAACAAGCATCGGCCTTTTGGTCAGTGGCTTTCCAGTCACCAGCCTATTTTTGGAGCAATTATAGAAATCCATATCAAAGATCTAAATTTGAGCCTTCTTATTTCTACTATCTGTCCTGGTTGGAGTTTTACCTCAAATCACTTATCTGATGATGATGGTCGCATAATCATTGTGTGGAGACCTCCTGCTTCTGTCCGTGTCCTGCACCAAACGAGCCAAATTATTACCTGTGAAGTGCATCTACCGAGTGCCAATCCGTTCATCTACACGGCGGTTTATGCATCTAATACGAACTCTGAGAGAACTGACCTTTGGGTTGAACTGTTGAGCCTTCACCAAACTCTCTCTCTCTTCACTCAAGTTCGTGGATGATTGGAGGAGATTTTAACCAAGTCATTCATCATGCTGAACACTCAAACCCAGATGTGAATAACCATACTGCTGACATGATCGCCTTCAGAGACTGTCTTTCTCAAATGAGCATGTTCGACTTACGGTTTCATGGACCGCTTTTCACTTGGTCTAATCGTCAACCCGCCTCCCCTGTTGCAAAAAAAGCTTGACCGGTTACTTGTGAACAGTCATCTGATCTCCCAATTCCCCCACAGCTTAGCCTCGTTCTTACCTCAGCTAATTTCTGACCATAGTCCTTGCCTTATAGACCTTGCCCATAACCTCCCTAAAGCTGGAACCCGCCCATTTAAATTCTTCAACTATCTCACAAAGCACCAAAACTTCATCAGTGTGGTGCAAGAGGCTTGGATTCAGGCCGGAAGCTTTGGTTCGAATCTCACATTCCTGTGTTGGAAGCAAAAGATCATCAAAAGAGTATTGAAAGAGCTAAATAGGGACAATTTTTCTCAAATACAAAGGAGAGTTAGTGAGGCTTACAGTTTGTTACAAAATGTGCAGGTACAAGCTCTGCAGGCGCCAAGCACAATCCTATTCCAGCAAGAGAGGGATCTGCATGAAAAATGGAACTTCCTAAGGCAAATAGAGGAATGCTATTTTAAGCAGAAATCCCGAATAAACTGGCTCAAAGAAGGGGATCTTAATACAACTTACTTTCTCAGAGTAGCACGGGCGAGAGCAAGTTTCAACTCTATTCGCTCTTTCATCCTCAACTCAGGTGTTGTTCTACTAAACCCTCTGGAAATGAGTATTCATGCCATTAACCATTTCAAGTCAATCTTGGGCCCAGAAGTGCAATCCTCCCCCTCTATCTCTTCGCCGTTTCAATGGTTTCAGAGCTTGACTCTGTTCAGATGTTCATTAGCCCAGCAATCAACAATGACGATGATCCCGTCTGTGGAGGAGATTACGAAAGTTATGTTCAAGCTCAATCCTAACAAAGCACCGGGTCCAGATGGTCTCTCTTCAGGGTTCTACAAGGCGGCTTGGAACATTCTTGGTTCGGAAGTTACCACCTCTATTATTCACTTCTTCCACTCAGCCTTTATGCCTGCTTCAACAAACTCAACTATCCTGGCTCTTGTCCCAAAGAGGCCTGGTGCTTCAAAGATCACCGACTATAGGTCTATCTCTTGTCTGAATACTTTGTACAAAGTGATCTCCCGGTTGTTAGTCGCTCGGCTGAAGCCTCTGCTTCCATCCCTCATTCTTCCTAACCAAACAGCGTTTGTTAAAGATAGAATTCTAGTGGAAAATACTGTTCTAGCAGGAGAGCTGGTAAATGGTTATCATAAGGATATAGGGACAAGAAAGATTACCATAAAGGTGGATATAGCAAAGGCGTTTGATACAGTGTCTTGGGAGTTCCTCTTCAGCTGCCTTGAAAGTCTGATGATCCCCCCTCTTTACATCAGTTGGCTAAAGGCCTGCATATGCACAACAAACTTCACAGTGGGTTATAATGGATCAGTTCACGGGTACTTTAAAAGGAGAAGAGGATTAAGACAAGGTGATCCCCTCTCCCCTTACCTCTTTGTCATAGCTATGAATTGTCTCTCTCTAATGCTTAACAAGGCGACTGAGGGAGAAAGGTTCACTTATCACCAGAGTTGTGCCGCCTCAAAACTCACTCATCTCTGTTTTGCTGATGATCTTCTGATATTCATGGAGGGCTCTATTTACTCTGTCCAATCGGTACTCCAAGTGCTTCATGAGTTCGAACTAAGGTCAGGTCTCGCCATTAGTGTTCAGAAATCAAGCTTCTTTGCGTCTGAACTCTCTCAAACAGAGTGTAACCTCATCAAGTTCTCTACTGGATTGCCTCAAAGTACTCTACCGGTTCGTTATCTTGGTGTCCCTTTATGCACGAAAAAACTTTCTCTCATCAACTGTGAATCGCTAATTCAGCAAGTAAAAGGTAGAGTTACCTCTTGGAGTGCCAAGTCTCTGTCTTTTGCTGGCAGGCTCGTTCTCATCAAGACAGTTGTTGCTGGCATATCCAACTTCTGGTGCTCTTCATTTTTCCTTCCCAAAGCTGTTATCAAAAGAATCAATTCCTTGTGTAGTATTTTCCTATGGACGGGAGACATTGAGGGACATCACTCGGCAAGAGTGTCATGGGCAATTGTTACTAAACCAAGAAACAAAGGTGGATTAGGTATTAGAGATCTTACAGTTTGGAACCGGGCTTGCTGTCTTAAACTAATCTGGCTAATCTTCTTTCAATCTGGATCGGTGTGGGTGGCTTGGTATCGGCAGGAAGTTCTTAATGGATCGCTGAATAACTTCTGGACAATGAAACCGCACAGAAATCACTCTTGGCTCGCCAATAAACTGCTAAAGATCAGAAATGATATTTACCCTTGGATTAAACTGAGGATAGGTAACGGCCGGCGATGCTCTTTTTGGACAGACAACTGGACGCTGTATGGAAGACTAGAAGACTTTCTCCGTGGGAATCGTAATTACCGCTTGGGACTGAGAGACAAGACTCTTCTTTCGTCTTTGTTTGTTCAAGGTCGCTGGTCTCTCCCTCCTGCAAGATCAGAGAATCAGGTTAGCCTGCAAGCTTATCTCACGACTATAATCCTAACGGAGGAAAACGACTACTATGAATGGGAAATTGATGATAAAGTCAGCTATCGATACAAAACTGGGGTGGTTTATGAAAAGTTAATGGAGCTGTCAGATGTGCAGGATGTACCTTGGGGACAAATAATCTGGAATAGAGGAGGAATCCCTAAACACAACTTCTTATCTTGGATTTTCCTTTTAGATCGGTGCCCAACGAAGGATCGTATTATCTCTTGGGGCATCTTGGTCGATCCAATTTGTCTTCTGTGTAATGCAGAAACTGAAAGTCGGGATCACTTGATGTTCGACTGTGCTTATAGCTGGTCAATTTGGGAGATGGTGGCGAGGAGATGTAATCTTCATGCGATGCGCTTATGGTCAGACTCTGTCCTGCAACTGCAGTCTCTGACGGTAGGGAATTTGATGAAGCGCCTTACAATACTGGGATGGCAAGCTTCAATTTACTGGATATGGGATGAGCAAAATGGGAGACTTCACAGCAACAACTTCAGACCGGTGGAATTAATCTTCAAGATGATTGAACAACAGATCAAAAACAGAATCTCAAGCTATCGAGACTGCAACCCTTCTTTGTCTTCACAGCTACTCCAACAATGGCTATCAACCGAACCTCCTCAATAGAAGTTTGCATGCGGTGACTCTTCGATGGTTTGTGTTGACTCATCTCTTCTAACTGGAAGTTTTTCTACTTGGGCTTGGGCTCCAAAGCAAAAATGGCTCAATTTAGATTGTTCTATAATTGCTTTAATGTCTATTGAACTGGGCTTCGGTTCTGAAAAAACTATAGCTTTAAGCTTGTAAATTTTTTCTTTTCTTATGTATTTAATATGAAAGCCTTTTTTATAAAAAAAAAAAAAGATAAAATGATTTTTATTTGATTTATCAGTTCATTTTATCAGATTAGCTAAAATTTTATAGAAGCCTGAAAAGGCCTAAAGTCGATGAGTTTTATAAATGGGCCACAAGATGGACCTGTCCAACAAAAAACCCAAAACCCTAGAATTCAATCAAGGGATGAAGGTCTGACTCTGAGGTTTTTGCTCTCCACTCCCAAACCTTGGTTTCCAATCGCCATTTTTGAGCTGCTGAACCTTGAGGAGGTAGATAGTATAGAGAGAGAGAGTATCTAATGGTGATGCGGAAGTTAGAGCTACCGTTGAGCCAGACGCAGAAGGTCAGGTTTGAGAGAGCCATCGAGCGGCTACAATCACTGTCATCGACGGCAAACTCTGACACCTCTGTTATCGTTACCGGCTCAATCCCCGTCAACCACGAAGAGTCCTTCCTCAAGTAATTTCATCTCCTTCGCGCTCTCTCCGTATCTCAGCTTCTCCGTTTTCTGGATTAAAATTGTTTCAACTTCTTTTATTCACGTTTGGTTTTTTAAATAAAGGGGGCACGGAACTTCCGAGGTCGACGGTGAGTTGCTCGCGACGGTCTGTGGAGTTGTGGAGCGCGTGGATAAGCTTGTCTATGTACGCACCTTACGAGCCAGGTGCTTTGAATTTCCTACTCTTTTCGAATTTGTTTATTTCCCCTTCAGGAATTGTGAATGGAATTAACTGTCTACTCTGAGATTAGACTAGAAACTGATGGCTCAACGATCTACGTTTAGGTACAAGGCTGAGACTGGGGATATTGTGGTAGGCCGTGTTAGTGAGGTATATTTCTGTGTTGGTGGTTTTGGGTTTTGAAATCGGATTGAGAGATTACATTGCACGATAGCTGAATGAATCTTGACTTATTCAGGTTGCTCAAAAACTTTGGAGAGTGGAGCTTAACTGTACTCAAGATGGAGTACTTAAGCTTTCTTCAATGACCACGACCGATGATGTCCAGGTTCCAATTTGATTCCTGATTTTTTTTTTTTTTGGTATTTGCCATTTCGACGGTTGCTGGCTTCCACATTGTATGTTCCCTTCAGTGATATAAGTTTCTCGGTGTTGGCAGAGGCGAAGAACGTCTGCAGATGAACTGAATATGCGGAATATCTTTGTAGAAGATGATGTTGTTTGTGTAAGTCATTTCGTTTATAAATGTTCCAGCTTTTCATAAATTATTGGCCTTGAACAAAAATTCCCTTTTTTTGATATTTTTATAAATTCCTTAGGCCGAAGTACGCACCATTCAGCGTGATGGCACCTTGGAATTACATGCAAGAAGTCACAAGTATGGAAAGGTTGGTTCTGATCTGGTCATACTACTCGATGGTATACCTTTCAAACATTGATTGATCCATGAATCTCTCTACAGCTCGAGAAGGGACTGCTTCTGAAGGTCGATCCTTACTTGGTTAGGAAAAGCAATCATCACTTTCATTACATAGAAAGTCTTGGAATCGATTTGATTATTGGCCGCAATGGCTTCATATGGGTTGGGGAACACGTGCAAGTTAGAGATCCTATGATGGTTGATGATCAAAAGAGTGACACCTACGACGCAGACAGAGAGCAAATCCATACTTCACTCGAGACTCGACAAAGCATATGCAGAATGGGGAACGCGATTCGCGTCTTGGCTAATCTAGGATTCACCGTGACTTTAGAAGTAATCATGGAGACTGCTAACCTCAGCAACTCGAAGAATATCGACATACACGACATGCTTGGATCAGAGTTTCACGTCGTGGTCGCGGAGAGTGAAGCTGAAAGAAGGCGTGCGAAAAGGCAAAAGTGAATGTACTCATGGAACTCCCATCAAAGCTTGAGACTTTTTGTTACCGATTCAACTTGTAACGTGTATTATTAGATCATGCGGGCTTGTTTTATCTTAACTTCTATAAAGCCCGATTTTTAAAGTACAAGATGTTTGGTAGTTAAAGACAATAGGAAGATGATGATGATTGTGAAATCGACTTGTGTTTTTTTTTAGGCAGCTTTCTTCTTCCGTTTCATCAATATGTCTGTTGCGATTTTAGTAGCTTAAAATTCGTTTTGTAATGATTAACCGAAGCAGAAACAAAACAATAAAGATTCGACTTTGGGACTCGGAGAATAATATCTAAGAAATGACAAAACTACCCTCAAGGGAATACAGCAATTTACCAACCTTCGCTAGCCCCCGAAAGAGAGTTTACGGCCAATTCCTTCGTGTCTCGTGTTCCCTTTCAGTCTCTCGCTCTCTCTCCACACTCTTAGACAATATTCTTCTTCGATCCCTCCTCTCTCTTCTTTCTCCCTTCGTCTCATCGTTTCGTTACCGATCTTCTCCCCCTAGGGTTTCTCGTCCGGCGCCGTTCTCCGTAAGCCGTTATCGTCTTCGTTGAAGGTCAGTTTACGCCTTCGTTTGTTTATCCGTTTCGGTGTGCTCGTGATTGTCTTTGATTGAATGATCGTGGGATTGTTTATTTGTTTTTATTTTTCGATTAGGTGTTGGTTCTAAATTGCACTACGATTAAGCACTCAATCAGAATGTAGTAGTACGCTTTAGATTTGAGGAATCTTATACGTTTACTAGAAAAATTGCTTCTTAAGCCATGTCTCTGGGAATTCATTACGAAATGTGATTCTGGTCCAACGTCTCTGTTATTCGAATGGATTTTGCATATGAACAAATATATCATCTATGTTATACACCGTTCTGTGTTTTAACTTAAATCGTTCACGTGTAATGTATGAAAAGGTGAGGAAGTATGGTTGAAAAGCAGGAAGAAATGAATGGTTGTGGTCTCAATGGAGGAAGGAAAAACAAGAGAAAGTTAGCTGATCCTTCTCGACACAATGCGGCTTCTCTGACTGAATTCCCTCGATATGAGTTACCTTCGTTGAAATCGGAAGACCATTTGAGTGAAAATGGGTCGACTGAGGAAGTTTCGGATCAGCTGAAAGTTGAAGAGCCTGAGTCTGTAGAATGGGATGACCCATTTGCTTGTCATCTTGAAGAATTGTTGTCGTCAAATTTGCTCACGCTCTTCCTTAATGCAATGAAGCAACTTATTGACTGTGGCTACACCGATGATGATGTTCTGAAAGCTCTTTCAGGCAGTAGGCTCTACTGTGGAGGCAATGACCTTGTGTCAAACATTGTCAAAAACACCTTGATTATTCTCAAGCATGGAAACGAAGGTGCTGGTTCAAGAGATTATGTTTTTGAGGATTTACAACAGCTTGTCGCTTATACGTTGGTGGAAATGATAAGTCTTGTTAAGGAGGTTAGACCGTCCCTGTCAACAGTCGAAGCCATGTGGCGGCTTTTGATGTGCGACTTGAATGTCTTGCAAGCATTTAAAGTTGAATCATCTGAATCTCCAGGTTTCAGTTGGAGAAAATCGTGTGAGTCTCTTGGTACTGAATGTAATCCTCCAAACTCGAGTGACCTAGATAACCCCAAGCCTCTGCAAACCAATGCGCCGGAGAGCAATCGGAGTGAGCCACTGAAATTTGGAAATTTCCCAAATGTACCCAACTTTAAAAATACTCATCATATTGGAACAGCATCAGGAAAAGAAGTATGTTCAGGTAGCTCTGTTTGTGGTGCAGGCATTAAAAGTACATCTTTTACTCTGGTCTCTGAGGAAAAATTAGTATCTTGTCGAAAAGGCCGCACTAAAAAAGAAATAGCCATGCTTCGTCAGAAATCATGTGTGGAGAAGATTAGGACTTACAGCAAAGGCAGTGGCTATAAGGCGGCAAAGTTTGCATCAGTCGGCAGTTTCCTTCTAGAGAAAAGAGTCAAATCATCTTCTGAGTTAGGCGCAAGAAATTGTTCATCAAAGATAACAGCAGAGATTGGGGTGAAAGTTTCATTAGAGGAGAGCAGCTGTTTCGTACGTAAGAAGAGTAGCAAGTTAGAGTCACCTGTGGTAGTGGTAGATGCACAGGGGTATATAACTGCTTTACCCGCTACTTCAGTACCATGTGCTTCAAGAAAAAAGTCTGGATCTGCGTCTGCAACGCTGGCACCTTCAGCCTCAGGAAAGAAGGCTGTTTCGTCTGTACCCATAGATTCAGAAAAGAAGTCTGGTTCTGAGTCTGAAGAAAAGGCTTCTGTGTCTGAAAAGCTAGCACCAGATTACTACGCTGGGATCCCGTATGATGCATCTCTGGGTAAATATGTTCCTCGGGATAAGAAGGATGAATTGATTCTAAAGCTCATTCCTCGAATGAATGACCTGCAGAATGAAATGCAGGTATGGACGGACTGGGCCAATCAGAAGGTAAAAGAAGCAACTGGTAGACTTCTTAAGGATCAACCAGAGCTTAAGGCACTAAGGAAAGAGCGAGAAGAGGCACGGCAGCATAAAAAAGATAAGCTGTTATTGGGAGAAAACACTATGAAGAGGCTGAGTGAGATGGAGTTCGCGGTGAAAAATACGACCAGTCAGTTTGAAAAAGCTAACAATGCTGCTCGCAGGCTCGAGGTAGAACAATCTTTACTGAAGAAAGAAATGGAAGCTGCTAAGAAAAGAGCTGCTGAGTCTGCTGAGAGTTGTAGAGAAGCAAAAGAGAGAGGGCAAAGATCACTGAAGGATACTCAGGCGTGGGAAGCGCAAAAGATTCTGTTGCAGGAAGAGCTCAAACGTCAAAGAGATAAGGTGGCAGGGCTGCAAAAAGAAGTTACCAAAGCAAAAAATCGCCAGAATCAAATTGAGGTTAGCTCGTCTTTGCACGCATTAGGTCTTCTCGTCTTTAATATGTCACCGTTAGTTATCGGCAATTCACTAAATTTCTCATCTGGAAAGTTATATCCCTTCCTTCACGTACTTATTTCAGGTCACGTTTTCGTTCTTTTGGCTAAAAATATGTCGTTTTTAAAAAAAATTGTTATATCTAAGGAATGCGATAGATGAAAAGGGAAAAAAAAGATGCTTGCGTTAATTGGTTTTACCCTGTACGCTTTTTTTCCACTGCATCATTCTGTTTCAAAGTAGCTTTGGTGATAGAATCAATTTCGGTTGTTGATTGCAATTGATTTGAGTTGCAGGAGTTGATGAAGGTAACTAACGAAAATTCCTCTGCAGGCTACATTGAAACAAGAAAAGACAGCGAAGGGGAAAATCACAGCTAAGGTTTGTGCAATAAAGAAAGAAAGAAAGGAACTTGAAGCACTTGGAAAGGCAGAAGAAGAGCGGATCAAAGCGAAAGCAGAAGCAGACGTAAAATACTACATAGAAAACATCAAAAGACTTGAGAGAGATATCTCAGAGCTGAAACTTAAATCAGAGTACTCGAGAATAGTGGCACTGAAGAAAGGAGGCAATGACACAAAGGCAACAAAAAGAGAGAGCCTTGGAATGACGAAAGTTAAGAGAGAAAGAGAATGCGTGATGTGTTTGTCTGAAGAGATGAGTGTGATCTTCTTGCCTTGTGCTCACCAAGTTCTTTGCTTTAAATGCAATCAGCTTCATGAGAAAGAAGGAATGAAGGATTGTCCGTCTTGTCGTGGGACGATACAGAGGAGGATTCAAGCTCGTTTCGGTCGCACCGGGTAGAAGTTTTTTTTTTTTTATCCCAGTTAAAACTTCTAGAACAGTCTCTCTCACTCTGTCTCTGAATAACAACCACAGCTTTGCTTAGAAACCAGCTTGGCTTTTGCTTTTTCTACTTTGAAAGGTGACTGATTTTGAATACTAAGCCAATTTAAATACGCATGGTTTACCTCATAGTATTTATTAACTGTGGCTCTTCGTATTTTCTCTACTACTGCCATTTTTCTCGTAAATTCGTAATCCCTGTTTTTTTTTCCTCGACGAAAACAAAAAATTTCAAGGAATATTCGAAAATGCCAAAAAATATCTCTGTGTTTTAAAGAAATCTTAAGAGGCCCGCCTTGAGTTATAAAATCCATAAATAGTTGGAATGATATTTTCTACCATGTTCTTAATTTATTTTTCTTAGGACAAAATAAAATTGTTGTTTTGGATAATTCTGAATCCTCATATTTCTATTTATCATTAACACAGCACGATAAATTGACATGAGCTGTGTGTATGACGTATGAAAATTTGCTTTATATGGATAGAAATAAAGCATAATTTGGGAATAGGTAACCCAGATTTGACCACTACGGTGCAGATTAGATTGTAACTTTTAATATTTGGTGGCGATAGGACTCGGTGTTATTTAATGTTTAAATTAGGTCCAAATATAATTTCAAATTTCAAAGAGAAAAATAAGTATTATTAAATTGAAAATATAGGAGAATTTGGTATATGTAATTGAAATAAGTAAAGTAATAAGAAAACCCATGAATATTATCCAATATTTAAATTAAATGATAAGGCAAAGTCTGTAAAATAAAAATGGCGGAAAAAATGGCTTGGTGAAAATCGCTTTCTCGAAAATCAAAGGCGAACGGGTAAGAGAAGTAGACGAGAAGACAAATTTTTGGAGAGAGAGAGAGAGAGAGAGAGAGCTCTGTTTCTGTTGATATTATTAGCTTTCGATTGAAGTCAAACACTACTCAAGAGCTTTTCATCGATAGAGAAATCGATCGGATTCAATTGTCGGATGTTATTTCTGTTCGTCGGTGGTTATCGGCGGAGATGCTCCGTGGTTGAGTCTGAGGTTTTGGTGGCCGGTGAGGCAGACGGTGATGACGGTGGGGGTGGATGATCGAGAAAACAAATTGAGCGATGTTCGGTTTTTTCCTCTTTTTCTCTGGTTTTGCTTGGTTGTGAGTTTGTTGCTCGTCGTGGTTACTCTCTCTTAGGTTGTGGTTAGAAGATGATGAAGAAAGGCAAAGGGAAGAATAGTGGCTTACTACCGAATTCCTTTAAGATAATATCGTCTTGTCTCAAAACTGTATCGGCCAACGCCACCAACGTTGCGTCGTCGGTTCGTTCCGCCGGAGCGTCCGTCGCCGCTTCAATATCCGCTGCAGAAGATGATAAAGATCAGGTCCCTTGATTTTTATTTTTACTATCATGATTTTGATGCTTGCTTTTAGTTGTGCGCAGATTTTTGCTATTTTGTTGTACCGTTTAAACTCTAAAAGCTAGGACGTATTTAGGATTCTTTCCTGTTTGGAACCATGAGTGAAGTGGTGGTTGGTGGGGTATTTCATCGCATATCCTAGCTTTTACCGCTGTGTCTTCAAATGACTGAGATACATAGGCTCAGTAACAAAATCGCAAGTGCTTCTTTTCTGATCTCCAAATTCTGTGTTGAGTTTGTTAGATACATGTATATGGTTGGTTAATTCCGGAATTGGATGTCTAGTTCCTTTTCCTTGTTGAAACTCAGTGAAATCGGGATTGCAATTTTTTCAGTTGTAGGTAGTAACATGTATAGCCTGTGTTGCTTGTACTCTTGCCAAATAAATTTTGGCTCCAGAGTGAGTATCTTTAATTGTAGTTTTGGGTTCTTAGAATGAATAGCCTAGGATCGTCATTCTGCAACTTTCAGTATGCACTTTCTTCCCTTGTTTTCTTCTGATTGAGAGTTTGTTTTCATGAACAGGTGACATGGGCTGGATTTGGCATTCTTGAACTGGGTCAACATGTCAACAGACATGTCCTCTTACTCGGTTATCAGAATGGCTTTCAAGTCTTCGATGTTGAGGATGCCTCTAATTTTAATGAACTGGTCTCTAAACGTGGTGGCCCAGTTTCATTCTTACAGATGCAGCCATTACCTGCGAGGTCTGGTGATCTTGAGGGTTTTGGGAACTCGCATCCGCTTTTGCTGGTTGTTGCTGGGGATGACACGACTGGCACGGGTTCGGGTCACAGTTTTTCCCATAATAATGGTTCATTAGCGAGAGACGGTAAAGCAGAATCTTCGGGGGATGCTACCAGTTATCCTACTACTGTTCGCTTTTACTCCCTTAGGTCTCACAGTTATGTATATGTCCTGAGATTTCGGTCATCTGTTTGCATGATTAGATGCAGCTCTCGAGTAGTAGCTGTTGGCCTTGAAACTCAAGTGAGTATCAGTGTGCTTTAAGCTATTCAGATTCTTGTGATAAAATTCTTGCATACCAATAGTAGTTTGTCTTGTTAGATTGGCATGGTTAGTGTTTGGTATTTGGTCTTGAGTCGAAACAAACCATGCTTTCATTGAGTGTAACAGATTTATCTTTTGTCCTTATGTCTTACGCTGATGGTTTCTATTTGGTTTGTGCAGATATATTGCTTTGATGCACTTACTCTGGAAAATAAGTTCAGTGTTCTCACGTATCCTGTTCCTCAGCTACTGAGACAAGGGACAACTAGGGTGAATGTTGGCTATGGTCCGATGGCTGTAGGCCCGAGGTGGCTTGCATATGCTTCCAAAAGTTCCACGACCATGAAAACAGGACGCCTAAGTCCACAGAATTTTATTTCTTCACCCAGTGTCAGTCCAAGTAGATCGACAGGTGGAAGTACCGTGATGGCCCGTTATGCGATGGAGTCTAGCAAGCAGTTAGCAAATGGACTAATTAACTTGGGGGACATGGGATACAAAACGTTGTCAAAATACTACCAAGAAATGCTCCCTGATGGATCTAATTCTCCAGCATCACCAAATTCAATCTGGAAAGTTGGTGGGGTTTCTGGATCGGATGCAGAGAACGCTGGAATGGTTAGTTTTATTCTGGATCTGAACATCGTGAGCAATTCTTAAGTCACGCTACTTTCTTTCACTAGAGTCGTCTAGCAGTCATTATTACTCAGGCGTGGCAGAGATACTTAAAAGCACAAAGATCTTAATCAATAGTCACTTGCTTCAAGCTTTGTTTCCTTGCTAGTGTTTCCGATTATTTTATTGCCAAATTGTGATACATTTTGAATGTTTATGCAACAGGTTGCTGTCAAAGATCTTGTTTCTGGAGCTGTAGTATCACAGTTCAAGGCTCATACAAGTCCTATCTCAGCCCTTTGTTTTGATCCTAGTGGAACCCTATTGGTTACTGCTTCGGTGTGTGGGAACAATATCAATGTCTTTCAGATCATGCCATCTCGTTCGCATAGTGCACCTGGTGACCTAATTTATGAGTGGGAATCATCTCATGTGCATCTCTTCAAGCTGCATAGAGGGATCACTTCGGCTGTTAGTATACCTAATTACCTATAAGTTGAAATCTTATCCTTTCTTTTTAATGTGCGCTTTTCTTAATTGGAATTTTCCTCCCCTTTTTAACAGATTGTCCAGGACATTTGCTTTAGTCATCACAGTCAGTGGCTGGCTATTATTTCATCCAAGGGTACTTGCCACATCTTCGTTTTAAACTCGTCTGGCAGCGATGCTGGGTTTCCACCTTTAAACTGTGAGGGTGAAGAGCCTGCCCGAGTTTCGGCTTCAACTTTGCCATGGTGGTTTACTAAATCCTTGTCAAATAATCAGCAGTCTTTACCGCCACCACCAGTTGTTACTCTTTCTGTAGTAAGCAGAATAAAGTATAGCAGTTTTGGGTGGCTTAACACAGTAAGCAATGCTGCCACTGCTGCAACTGGAAAAGTTTTTGTACCATCAGGTGCCGTGGCTGCTGTTTTTCATAAATCTGTTACTCACGACCTTCAGCAGAACTCCCGGACTAATTCTTTGGAGCATATCTTAGTCTATACTCCATCAGGCCATGTGGTGCAGCACGAACTTCTGCCATCAGTTTGCACAGGGTCACCTGAAAATGGTTCGAGAGTGCAAAAACCATCACATGTTCAAGTTCAGGAGGATGACTTGAGGGTCAAAGTTGAGCCTATCCAGTGGTGGGATGTATGTAGAAGGTCCGACTGGCTGGAAACAGAGGAACGGCTTCCCAAAAGTTTCACTGAAAAGCAATACGATTTGGATACAGTGCCAAATAGCTTGCCAGCCCATGAGGATGCAAGTCCTTCCCTTGAGATCAATAATTTTGGTCAAGATAGATATTTGAAAACTTGTTCTGAGAAGGCCCCTGAAAGATCCCATTGCTATCTTTCTAACTTTGAGGTGAAGGTTACCTCAGGGATGCTACCGGTGTGGCAAAATTCGAAGGTATATGTTGTCAAAAAACTCCCCTTTTCTTGCTTACAGCTGTACTTGTCTGTTGATTATTTATTTTCTTGATGTGATGCTAGATTTCTTTTCACGTGATGGACTCTCCTAGAGATAATAGTTCCTCTGGTGGAGAGTTTGAGATAGAAAAGGTCCCAGCCCATGAACTTGAAATAAAACAGAAAAAGCTGCTACCAGTTTTTGACCATTTCCACAGCACCAAAGCATCACTGGAAGACAGGTAATCCCAAATGTCGGACAAACTTTTGCTGTGTATCTTGCATTTCTTATTAGAAAGTTGCCAGTTGGACAAGAATTCTAACGTGATTGTTCACAGCCTATGCATTCCCTTTTCCAGAATTCCTCTTTTATATTCCCTGATGCGGATCTCATGCTTTGAATCATGGAACGTTTGACATAGGTTTTCCATGAAATGTTATCACACATCGGCATCAGGATCTTATCAAGCTAATGGAAAGATATGCCAAGAGATAATCAACTGTCATTCTAAGCCAGGATCAGTCGAGTCTGCTGACAGTTCTGAAGAGAGTAAGTCCATATTCTTTTTCCTAGGTATCAGTTAGGTATTTGTTCATCACTTTTCCTTTCAAGTCATGTGCGAGTAACCATTTGGTTTAAATTGAAATAGGCTCGTCAAAACAGATGGAGAATTTTCATGATTCGGATCACAAGAACAACTCGTTCAAGTCTTCTTTTACCCTATACCCAACATCAAACGGGATCTACAAGGAAATAGAGAAAAACAACAAAAATGGGTTGGTTGAGAAGTCCGTAACAGCCAAACTCTATGCATTCGAAGAAAACCAGATGGGAAAGCACATCACAAATGGCTTGACCGCACCATCTCTTCACACCAATATTACAGTCAATGAAGAGATGCTCTATACAGGAAAATCTCCTATGAACTTAGGTTTTGCTTTGCGTGAAGAACACTGTAAAGCAGTAGCAGATCCAGTAGAACACCTGCAGAAATTAGATGAAGTTACCAATGGTCATCATCTAAATGTCAACAACAACACAGAGAAACTACAAGGAGACGAGACGGTATCTGGTATGGTTTCCTTTGCGGGCGATTAAATCACTCGGAACCACACCCAAAGCCTCAGGTCTCTGTATAATCTCTACGGTAAATACTCTTCACACCTTTATCACGTTTATTGTTAGTGAGAGAAGCTAACCTCTTTGCTATCTTCCTAATCTTGTGTTTGAATAGGTAAATAGTTGTCAAAGTCCTGAAGGCTTCTGGAGTTTGTAAATATATAAAGACATGGATTTGGAAGATGTGAAATGATTTGCTCCGGTTGTTTGGTAATAATTTCTCTGTCCTGTTGCTTCTTTATATATCTGCGCGATTACGTCAAAAGAATATGTACATTTGTATAGATGGGAGCTTGGTAAATAGGGGGTGTCGTTGGGCCGTGGTTGAAACCTTAAGTTGAAAAAAAAAATGAAGATTTCCGAATTTGGGGTTTCATGTTGTTTTTAAATCCTTCTTGTGAGCCCTAAGCTTTTGTACAGATAGATGGATCCATGTGGAGATCAACACTTTCGCTTTAAACTTCACCGATGTTTCTTTTTCTTTTTTGGTGGGTTTCTCGTGCTCTTTTACGTGATTCTGATAAATTGTTCTGTGACTTATGTTTGATTGGGGATATGCTTTTTCGAGTATTTACAGTTGTTGGAATAATATCAACTGCTATTAAGAGTTGCTTACATATAATCATGAAAGTGGTAATATTTGTGAATGATGTTTTACTACGACTTTTTTCGTCCCAACATTGCCTTATTTATGTACAATCATATAAAGAAAGAAGCCGAGTGAAGTTTTGAACAGCAGGAGGAGGCAAGCAGAGGCAAACCAACATGCTTTGGTCACCACCAGATTTGACTCCACCTTCAGGCAGCAACACACAAACCTGTGGCGTAGGCCTCAAGTCAATTGGTCCTGCATAAACCGGTTTTCCCCATCCGAAATCCGCAGTCTCATACATTTCAAACCGGGTCCATTGCGTTATCATTAGCTTCCCACCGAACTCTAACCTCTTTGGCCGCTTCACATCCACGTAATCCACCATAGACCGCAAGTAGTCCTCTGTAACCCTAACTCTCGCCTCTTTAACCAAACGTGTTGTCTTGGAAAAAGGATCGTTCATAAGACTGTCAACAGTACTCATTGCGCAAGCTAAGCACACCACATTTCCGTAAAACCCTTTTCTCAACTTTAGGGTTTCGAGTTTTGTTCTTACGTTGACCGAGAATGTGAGCCTGAGATCGCATTCCAATGGCTTCACATCAAGAGCTTTGACCCATGATCTCCATATATGCGCAGCCATTGCATCAAACGTGCTGCAAACTAGGCTCGAGTCTTGTCCTTGAGCGATGTTCTTAACACGACACTGAAACTCTTTGCTTATCCTGTAACATTTCTGCAATGGCTTCCTTTCCCACAATGAGTTCGTCAAATTCGATCTTTCTTCAATTGGAAGATACTCATGATGTGGGTATTTCACCATTGGAGGGTTTCTTGGTTTGAAAACTTCTCTATCCCAAACCGGCTCAGGATCGGCAATCAGTTTCCCGGTTTTTGAGGTAGCAGCCCACGAGCCAAGAAACTGCATAGCTCCAAAACCATCGCAGATGCAATGGCAGAGTCTGATCCCAAGGCTAAATCCACCGCAGGTGAAAAACGTCACTTGCGCTATAAGCAACGGCATCTCGAGGATTTTGTACGCTTCTTCTCCTGGGTGTTGAAAGATTAGTGGTAACCAAGCTGGATTTGGCACTGTAAGATCTCCAAGATCAGCTAAAGCCAGTGAAGAATTTGCCGACACCATCAACGCACCTTGCTCTTCTCCAAAGAAAACTTCTAGCTTCCCATTTTCCACTTCCCTTAACCTACCGGAGAGTGGATAATACGGAACTAAAACCTCACCAAGAGCATCTTGAAGCCGTTTAAGTACCGAAGATTCTCGATTATCAGGTTGATTAACGGCCGATCGATAGAAATAAACAGAGGGAGTGAAGACACGCGCTCCGATAGTATCATCAAGGTTTGACAGGTAGAGAGTATGGTGGGGAGATTGATTTGCAGGTGTTGGACTTGATGGATGTACAAGAAACTTGTTGTTGATGGTTACTGGGATATGGAGGTGAGAGAAATGAAGTTCTTGGACGCAAGAATCCATTTTGGAAAGTTAAATTGCAAACTGTTTTGATTTTACACCAATACATGCACCCCCATGAGGAAGAGGGGGAGAATATGTAGAGAGATTTCAATTAGTTAAACCGGTTTGGTTTAGGTGAGAGTTAGGTTGCAGGTGTTGTTCTTGCATGTAAATTGGTTACTTATTTGTTGTATCATCCAACAAGCATGGTGAAAAGAAGATGGTCGTCTATGTGTATTAGGCAATAAGAGGTGCATAATATTTTGTAGCTTAGGTTGTATTCTCGATTCTGTTTGGGATACTCGAAAGTGTACACTATTGTATGGGATATCATGGCGTGAAGATGAAAATATAAGTTTTCATAATCATAATGTACCTTATTCGAAGATTTCAAATATCTTACATACATCATTTGAAATAAGAAGTAGTGTCACGAAAAATATAATAAGCAACGATGGTAGACAAACCCAAATGTCTCAGATCTTGAAATGGAGTAACCTACTAGTGGTGATCTCTTTTGAAGTGAAGATCTCAGAGAGCTCGGTGAGGGAAGAGTCTCTATACTTGGGAGGGTTATGCTGAGAGAGGAGCTCTTTGATGGGTCCATAGACTCGAGGATTCGCCTTCTTGAACGGAGTGAAGAAACATGGCACTGAAACACGCGCTTTAGATGATCCATGCGCTATCACCCTATGCTCCGCGCTTAGGAACTTGTCATTGCTTATGAGCTGCACACAACAACAAAAAGTCACTTTTAAATGATTAAATCTCCGTAGACTAAATGAAGCTACAAGTAAGTCACAACAGTTTCTTCTAAAGTCTTATATATAACCTGGAGAAGATCTCCGATGTTAATGACAAGAGCTCCAGGGAGAGGAGGAACATCAATCCAGGCTTGGTCATGGAGAACCTGAAGCCCTCCGATATTGTCCTGAAGAAGAACGGTGAGAAAAGAAAAATCACTGTGCTTGCCTAAGCCTAGAGTGAGGTCAGGCTGAGGGCAAGTTGGGTAGTATTGGCCAGTCATCATTTGACACTTGGCGCAGTCCATCTCCTTGAGGTGATTAGGATTCAACCCCAAAGCCTCCGAAAGAAGCTCAAAGACTAACTCACCTAAATTCATCATTTCCTTCGAGTACTCCATCATAATCTCCCTGCCACCAATCACCATCATATAACTTTGTAATTATCTATTTATTGAACTAGAATATCTTTCTAACATACTTAAAATAACTAAATAAAAGGAGACGGGAGATGAAAACGTCTGAGTCTCTTTCCAAAACTAGAAACTAGTGAAAATAATAATAGAATGGGAAATAATACCGTAAAACGGGAGGCAAGTCCTGAGATGTGGGAGGATCAGGGGCCGTATAACAAATAAGGGTGTCTCTCCAACTGGCGGCGGAAGAGCTGAAGAGATCGATGTTGGTGTAGTAAAGCAAGTTCCGAGTGTGGTCGCGAGAGTAGAACTGTTTCTTAAGCTGAGTGTCTTGCTCGTGAAACCCTCGAATCCCTTCCATCATCCTCTCCTGCACCTTCAACGGGATCCCGTGATTGATCACTTGGAAGACTCCCCATTTCTCTGCCGCTTCTCCGATCTGCTCCACCACGTTCCGCCGTTGATTCTTGCACTGGACGCTTCCGCCTTTCAGATCGACGGTGGGGATCCTGACCTGCTGCGAAGCTGGTGCTGCTTTCAGGCTTGCTAAAATAGCCGGAGGTGCACGGAACATCGCCGGAATCTCTGTGATTCCCGAGTCCGCCAGGCCTTTCACGCCGGTTTTGGCCTCATCGAAAACTTTTTTTTCAGTAGAATGATCCCTTGATGACTCCATTTCTTATAGAAACAGTTTCAGCAAACTCCAATAATAATCATCGACAGACATCTTTTCTTACTTTATATATTTTATATTATTCAATGCCACTGACAAAATATATTAATAAACAAACAAGGATAATGATTGGTGAATAACAGACGAGTTGTATAGTGGTGTATTATTATTTCATGCAATAACAACAACTTAAAACTTGGTCATGCTCTTCCCCAAAGAGCTTTCCAAGATCGCTATTGTTGCTCCTCACATTTTTGTTTTTTTTCACGAAAATTATTATTGAACTCGGATGGTGTTTCCGTGTTGGAATCAACAGTTGGTTATGGGCGGTAAGAGCGCATGCACCAGTCATCTGGCAGATTGCCCTTCTATACATTTGTAGGCTCATCTATACATTTACACCTCATTTCAGGCCCATCAGTCATCTGTGGGAGACCTCATTTTAGGCCCTCTGTGTTGGTCTTTGTTTCAGGCCCATCAATCATCTGTGCTACTTGAATTTGTAACAGAGCCTAATCCTGGTGACGTTGCAGCCTTTAGGAGAGTGTTGAAATGCTGATGTAGATTTGGGTTAAAAACTGCTAATTAATTACATGTACTTACAATAACACCAACTACATCTATCCTTAATAATCCTCGAAGATATTATATTAAACCAAGTCAAAATCAGTAAACGGAACTTTGACGCTCCGATCAGATTCGTCTCTCGCTGCAGCTATCTTCCTTCGGAGCTACGTCGTCGACTATTTTCGCTCCTATCTCTCTTCTTTTGCGGTTTGATTTTCGTTCCGAATTTTTTTAATTTCTTAGCTCAATACGTCAATCCCAAGTTGGAAGAAGCTTGTGTGTGCTTATTTTGTTGTCCTTTCGCGTAGTGTTGAACTGTTTTAAGCTCAGAATCTCCAAACTTAGATCGACGGGATTTGTCTTTCGATTCTGTTGAATTGTATCTTCTCCATTGTTGTTTCTGGCTTTTCTAGCGATCTGTAATATGTGAATCTCGGAAATAGAAGTTCAGGGTGTATTTGACGATGGTATTCTCTATTTAAACAGCCTTTACCATCTCCGCGTTTCTGGTTCGTGGTAAGCCATGAACACCGTCGTTGCTCAGTTGCAGAGACAATTTCAAGACTACATCGTTTCTCTTTATCAACAGGTTCGTGCTGCTCAACAAAACATTTCTATTGACTACATGGGCTATGGATTTACAATTTAGTCTTTTTGTGATTCTGGAAAAGTGCAATTCCTTGTTCAGAGTTGTATTCTAAATAGAATTGGCTTGATGAGATAGATTCAGCGTTAGATGATGAGCTTAAGGTAGCGTGTGCATACGAAGTTGAGGGTGTTTTTAAGATGATAGGTATGTTTATTTGGTTTTTTTTTAAGGGATTTCTGGATAATCAGTTCTCCGAGTTGAGAAAGTTGCAAGATGAAGGCTCTCCTGATTTTGTAGCTGAGGTTGTCTCTCTATTCTTTGACGACTGTGCCAAGCTTATAAATAGCATGTCTACATCGCTGTAAGTTTTTTTCCTACTCTTTTTAGGCTTCTTCTCTACTATGCATACGTTTCTGGGGCTTTGTCTCTAATCCTCATTCATAATTTGAGGTGTTTTCGTTAGATGACAGCAATTTATGAGTTTGTTATCGCAATAGGGAGCGGCCAGAAAATGTGGATTTCAAACAGGTTGATTCAGGGGTGCACCAACTGAAGGGTAGTAGCTCCAGGTATATCAGAATGTCTTGGGGATCCATAATTATGTTTTTACTCGGTGAACCTTTCTTCGTTATATCTATGTAGTCTATAAGATACTCAGCTCAGTCTCTCTGCTTTGTACACAGTGTTGGTGCAAGGAGGGTAAAAAATGTGTGTATATCTTTCAAGGAATGTTGCGATGTTCAGAACCGTGAAGGGTGAGTACTGTTTTTAAACCAAGTCGTCACTTTCTCTCCCGTGTATAGTTTAGCTTGTTATTGGATCTGTCTGATCTCTGAAATTTCCGAGAAACTATTCCTCTATTTCACACTCGAGTTTTTCATAATTTTATCTTGTATAGGTGTTTAAGGTGTTTGCAGCAGGTGGATTCTGAATATAAGATGTTAAAGACCAAACTTCAGGTTCTCTTCAATGTGAGTTTTAATCTTTGCGGAAACCTACTTGCTTTGCTCGTGAATCCTTTTTTAATACAATGTTATACTGCGCCATTTGTTACATCTCATAGCTCTGTTTCTTTCATGTGATGTCGTTGCAGCTAGAGCAACAGATCCTCCAAGCTGGAGGTACAATTCCTCAGGTGGATATAAACTAGACCAGTGCTCTTCTTGATTTTCCAAATGTTCAAGGCTAAACAAACGATGAAACCGAACACTCCTCCGTAGAACATATTGTTCTTGTAATGTTATATATTGATTGTTAGTTCAGCAAGCAATTCGCCCACTTACACTGTTTTTCGCCAGACATCTGCTCTTGTTGAGACTCTTGATTGAGTTGTAAGAATAAATTTACATATAACTCGACATGTCCATATATATTATCTATATGTCTAGTTCTCTATTTGGTCTTGGTTGACCCAAGGTTTTGTTTGTTCCAGTCTGATATGTATTGTGATGTTGATACAGTGATGATACTGAAGATCGATATGTTTTTCTGCGTGAATTTTGTGAACCTTAATGACTTTCGGATCCAAGTTCATAAGTTCCTTGATTGAAACTTTAACAGGTTCTGTTTATAGGTTCCATCTTTTTACTTGTGAAGGCTGATTCAGTGCTACTTTTGGTTGAATATTGCACGTTGTTTCTCAAAGCTGTGGACCCGGCTACCACTATTCCAGGTAAACACTTGTAACCCAATACTTCTTAATCCAATTCTCGGTGCTCTTGCATCATACCATCTAGTTGACGTTTTGTTCTGACAATCATAACTTAGAAGTCTCAGCATCATTCTGAGTCTCATTGACTCTAGTGGGTTCGTGATTTGGGTTAAAGCCGTAAAGCAAAAGGGTATTAGGAGATTTGATTATGTGTGGATTAATCAACAATAATTTGTTTGAATAATGGATTCTGCACCGTCTCTTTTATGCACATTATTAGGTATTGTCATAGGGGTTATAGGATATGATTGTGACAATAGATTGGGAATAGATTGGTCATGTTTTGTTAGGTATGTATTAAATATAATGTCCTAACCTCGAACTATAATTGGAATAAAAGCTAATAGCAACAACAAAAAAAAACTGATTGTTTTATATGTGGAATCAAAATGTGATGGCATGTGTTTATGGTAATCACTTGATGAAGATTTGTTTATAAGTATGTGAAGTGAAAGAGACTTGTGAAGATAAATTGAAAGCATGGAGGCGTGTAACAATAACAAAGCTTCTTTTTTGATCTTGCGATCATTTTGTCTTATTGGCTTTCTCATCCCTCTTCATCATTTTTAGATTATTATTTCACTCAACAAAGGTTTCTCAATTCATTTCTTATCAAGGATCTGAAGAAAAGTAAACCGATTCAAAAGTCAAATAAAATCTTATTTACTTACTAGTGATCTTTGCCTTGTTTGGTGAGAGGATTCGACCACAAACCAAACAAACACAGAGTCCCAAAACGAGTGTGCTAATTGTCTCGTGGTGGGACCATCTTATTCTTCTAGGGCTAGACTTTTGTTCTTGTTCATTGTGGTTGGAACTTACTGCGTTGGCTTTCTTGCAAAGGCAAATTTCTTTTCTTAAAAATATGATTTGGTCCACTGCCTAGTCTCTTAGAATGAGTAATAAATCATTTTCTAATCTAAAATATTTATTCTGTATTCATTATTTGAAACGTATTGTACAATTTAGGACGATGATTCAATTATTTTCCATGAATGTGTTTGTTTACATCTATATATATATATACTAGAGATGAATAAGCAAATATATACCCAAAATGCAGAAGCTTTGTACAGGTATCGAGCTATATCTGTGGCTAGCGAATGTAGTGAAACAGATGTAAAAATTGGGCGAGTGATATAAATGTTGACCATCTTATATGCATGTGTGTTTGTTAAGACTTGTGGTCCAAGCTCCTATTCCCTTTTCTTGCCTCGATTCATACAAATTTCCTTTTTTACATACAAACAACAAGTTTCGTGATAATCAAATGGAAGTCTCTGTTTTTTACTTTTTACCCTATTTACTTTATAAAATAAAAAATAATCTTTTTTTTTACCTGTCCTCTTTCTTTACGCCCACGGAATGGAAGGACCATTTGCCAGCTACCTTTGTCAAAAATATACAGTTGGTACAACCTTGCTCTATTTTTTCTTTGACCATCTAAAATGCCATCACTTTTATGTCTTTCTCATATTTACAGTTGAGTGATCAACAAACATTCTTTTATCCGGAGTCTAATCCCAGCAATGTAACATTAACTGTTTCGGACTACTCGTTTATTGATTTATATCGACGAGAGTGGATTTATAGGTCATGTTTTTATCAGCACCAAATATCTAGTGCTAATGAAAATGAGGGGTTCTGTTATTTTTTTTTTTAATTTAAAACATTATTTTTATTCTAATTATCTTTTCTTGTATATAAATTTGGATTAAAAAAAAAAAGAGAAGTTAACATTAACCTGATCGAACCAATTAATTATTCAACTTGGGTATTCGAGTGACCCTTAGGTATGTTAAAAAGTAACTAACTATATATGAAAGATGAATACGCTTTTGGTCGCAAGATTTGTTGGAAGTGGATAGTACAGTGAAGCTTAGTTATAGAATAGGGCACATTATAAAATTGAGGATTCGTTTTGCTTTTTTGACTAAGCTTTCATAAGTTACATGGACCATTAACCATATTTCTTGTAAAGTTATTATAGTATTACTTTTTTGTTAAATATTATAACTTTATTAGGTTCAAAAAAAACTTTATTAAAATGAAACTGTATCGCTGATATTGTCTTATGAAATGGTAACGATCTCTTTTATCTCAAAAACCAAAAATTGTAATGCTTTGACTTATAAAAGCACTCTGTCTGTCCTTGATGTATATATATATATATATATATTTCGAGAAGAAAACAAATTAACAAAAACTTATAAAAGCATTGGTAGTACGTACTATAAAGTAATGATCAACCACAAAAATTAACAAAAACTTAATAAAGCATTGGTAGTACGTAGTATAAAGTAATGATCAACCACAAAGCTGACGTGTCACGGAATTCTCGCTAGGTCAAGCTGTCACTCGAAACTGTAAAACTGAACGCACACACAAGTCACGTGACGAACCTCTAACCAAACCTGATGAGTGATATGATCTGTTATATCCGAACCTAAGGCTCGGACAGCCGTTTTACCAATTACCTGTTCCCCATGAAAACACAGATAAAAAACTCGCCTTTTTCATGTATTCACTGACACACCCCAAATCTTTAACCTTTCTTAATTTAGCATCCTTTTCTTTTTGTCCTCGATTTTATTAATTTCATATCGTCTTCCATCACAAGCCACCAAAGGAAAATAAAAGCAGAAAAAAATAAAACGAGTAAAGAGGAGGAAGAAGAAGAAGAAGAAGACGAAGAATATTCACCTCTTGTTTTGGCTTCCTTCTCAAGCCATTTTGATTACTCTTTCTCGTCTCTCGAAAAACCTTTTCTTTTTTATCATTTTTAATCGTTTCATAATCCGCCATTAAAGCTCTCACGGAAGCTCCCAACAGAACACCTCCACTTCCACCACACAACCTCACGAGAAACCAGAAAATAAACCCCATTTTCTCTACTTTACAGCTTCACTCCGTACTTCCCTTTTGTATATATATATATATATAGTCTCTGTTTCTTAAAGCTGTAACGGCTTAGTTTAAAGAAGAAGACGAAGATGAGATTTACACAGTTGATTTGGTGTTTGATGTTTCTACTTCGATTCGGGTTCTTAGCGGAGGCGATTCTCGACCCAGTTGATTTCTTGGCTCTGCAAGCGATTCGTAAGTCTCTCGATGATTTGCCCGGTTCCAATTTCTTCCAGTCGTGGGATTTCACCTCTGATCCCTGTGGCTTCGCCGGCGTCTACTGTGACGGGGATAAGGTGGTTTCTCTCAATCTCGGCGATCCCAGAGCCGGGTCACCCGGTTTATCGGGTCGGATCGACCCGGCGGTAGGCAAACTCTCTGCTCTCGCGGAGCTCTCCATTGTCCCTGGCCGAATCATGGGTGCGTTACCGGCAACAATCTCTCAGTTAAGAGACCTCCGATTTCTCGCAATCAGCCGGAATTTCATCTCCGGCGAGATCCCGGCAAGTCTCGGCGAAGTTCGCGGTCTCAGAACTCTGGATTTGAGCTACAATCAGCTAACCGGCACTATTTCTCCGTCGATCGGATCCTTGCCTGAGCTCTCCAATCTGATTCTCTGCCACAATCACTTGACCGGATCAATCCCTCCGTTTCTCTCACAATCCCTAACCCGAATCGATCTCAAACGCAACAGCCTCACCGGCTCAATCTCACCGGCGTCTCTCCCTCCGTCGCTGCAATACGTCTCACTCGCCTGGAACCAGTTAACCGGACCAGTGGACCGGGTTTTACTCCGGTTAAACAAGCTTAACTACCTCGACCTCAGCTTAAACCGGTTAACCGGCACAATTCCCGGTCGAATCTTCGCCTTTCCGATCACTAACCTCCAGTTACAACGCAATTTCTTCTACGGATCGATTCAGCCGGCGAATCAAGTGACGATACCAACCGTCGATCTCAGCTATAATCGATTCTCCGGCGGGATATCTCCGCTTCTCTCAAGCGTAGAGAATCTTTACCTGAACAGCAATCGGTTCATCGGTGAAGTCCCGGCGAGCTTCGTCGAGCGATTGTTATCGGCGAGCATACAGACTCTATATCTGCAGCATAACTTCTTGACGGGCATACAGATTAGCCCGGCGGCGGAAATTCCGGTGAGCAGCTCACTGTGTCTGCAGTATAACTGCATGGTACCGCCGTTACAGACGCCGTGTCCGCTTAAGGCCGGCCCACAGAAGACTAGGCCCACTACACAATGCAACGAATGGCGAGGGTAATTTCGTAATTACGATTTCTTAATGATTCCTCGGTGACAATATTATTATTATATGTTTTTTTTTTTTTTTTTTTTCATTTTGTTATAGTTTTGGTTTGGAGAGACACAGTGTCTCAATGTGTTGAAAAGAAAAAGAAGAAGAAAACGATTCGTTTATTCGTTGGTGACTTCAGTGTGTAGAAATGTCTTTGGAATAAGAATTATGTTTATGTGAGAATGAAGTATATCTCACCAATCGATCTGTTTTTTGCGTAATTAAAATTGGAAAATGACGGTTCTGTTTTATTGGAAGAGTGTTCAAAGATTTTTTTCAAAAATGATACAATGGACAAAAACTACGTGATTTGTCACTAGTGTTTATATTTTCTTTAGTAATAATGGCTTACACTTGGTCTATTTAAAGTAATGATATTTTCTGTTCAAATGAAAAAAAAATCTACATCATATGAAAATAAATATTAGAAATGAGAACTACATGTTGCTCATAAAAAAAAAAGAACTACATTTACGAACATAAATACACAATGCTGATAAATTTGAGTGGGAATATATGCTTTTAAGTTTCAGCCTCATAACTATTAATTAGAAAAAGATATTTTAAAATCAATGAAACGAGAAAATGCCAAAGTGAAAAGGAAGCACGGAAAGGGAAGATGAATGTGATGGTTTTGGAGAGGTAGCTTCTCAAAGACTTGAAGGGGACGAGGTTCTTTTGTTCTTTAGGACATATCTTAATTAAAACCCTTACAAGATTCTCTGTTTTTAAAATTTTAATGGACATTTCTTAAATGCATAATGTTCAATGTTGATGTTAACACTTGGCCCAAGAAAAATGAATTGATGTAACACTGCTAGGAATATCTGCAAATGAAATGGTTCATCTGGAATAATTGGATTTTGAGGTATGATTTAACCAAATTGCATATTTATATATATCATGTTAACAAACATATTCGGCCCGCTTTATTTTTGATATCTGGCCCAACTTGTCTTTACAAGCTAGAGTAATGAAGAAGACATGACCAAACCGAACAAAAACGAACCAAATCCAAACCGAAATTATAAGACTAGTTAAATTCGATTAAAACTTTAGTTTCATAACTCTAAAATCAATCTAAAAACACAAACTATAATTTTAGTTCCATAACTTTAAAATCAATATAGACGGCCAAAAAAAACACCTCTAAAAGACAATTTTTACTAGTAACATTTTGTAGACTTTTTGGTGTTAAAGACAAAGTAATGATAATCAATAAAATATTACGAACCAATACTAATTAAAATCAATAATATCCAAAATGATAATGAAAATTATTCTTAAAACGGTAAACAAAATATCCGGCTCTCCCACAAATACCAAATAAAATAGAGTTTCGAGAAAAGATAGAAGAAAAGAAAATACCAAATAAAACAGAGTTTTGAGAAAAGATAGAAGAAAAGAAAGGGATTAGAGCAATGATAAGTCTTTTGCGGCTTGCAGATGAACAACACTTGGACCTCTTGAACCGCAACTTCTCTTCTTCCTTTATGAAGTTGAGCCTTGCTCAAAGGCAGCCGTTCGCCCCCCTCGAACCGGAGTAGGTGGCCCCTCGCTGTCCACCTACAAAATCACAATACTTAGCGACCACAATATGGTTTCATCTGCTAGAAACACATTCACGCGCTCATAAACATGGTAAAGAAACATGATTTTATCTTTTGTGTTTACCTCCATCCATGTGTTGTCCAGAGAGTTTTCTGAAGGTGAGATGGGAGGTGGAAGAGGATGAATCAACTTGGGAACAACCACCAGATCTCTACCAATAACCAATATTGCTCCAGCATTGTTTATATTTCCTGTTTATCACAATGTATATATAGTGAAATCAAGGGTTTTTTTGGTTTGTCTTTAATATTAAGAAGAAGAGAAAAAAAAACGTACCGCAGTAGTTTGTAGCAGAAAAGACAGTAATAAGCTGTCCTTGCGCAAACCTTTCGAAGCCATCGAGGACACACTCATGCGCTCTTACAATCATATCTACCTTATTCCTCTCGCAGAAGTCCTTGACTACATCAGGCTGCATATATATATAACAAAAACTATGCCTTAGTGATGGAGCTTGAAAATGGTGTGGTTTTAATAAAAAGATATAAGACAAATAGAAAAGCCTTTACCCCAAACGAGTAAACACCTTTTCCTCTAGCGTTTCGTCTTACCCCCAAAACGCTATCATTCTCTGTAGGATCAGACCTGTTCGATGTAGTAAAACGAAAAATAACATATTACCAAGCTTGGAGAGGGAAAAAGTAAGAATAAGAGAGGATTCTTGATTTTTTTTTTTACCATAATAAGTCTTTAACAATGTTGGGTGCATATTCGGAATCAGGGTAAACGGGCCTGTGGATATCTGCAATAGCTTCCAACGTATTTACGTACGCTCCAATCCCACCGTGCATACACAAGATTTTCTTCTCGATAAGCGCAGCAAGAGGAAGAAGATTGAAAAGGATGTTTATCTGTTCCCATGCTTGTTCCCCATCGCTAACCCCCTGGTAATTAAACAAGATCATTATTACTTACTTCATTAGCCAAATGACAAGTGGAAATTATGTATACTTGCGTGTGCGTACGAACCATTCTTTCCATGCATTCTGCTTTGAAACCATAGACTTCGTTCGTCAGACGAGACTCATGATTTCCACGAATCAAGTGGATGTTCGTCGGATATTCAATCTGCACAAAGAGACACATCTTAGAACAATAATGGTTAAACCAAAACATCAACTAATTAACTGAAAAAGAAGCTAGTATGAGTAAACTATCTTTGCCTTCAAAGCAAGCAGCAACATGATGACCTCCAAGCTGTGTGTCCCTCGGTCCACATAATCTCCCAGAAACAAATAGTCAATATACCTGAAGGCAACATATATATACTGATCAGTGACTTTATCTGAGCAAAACTCACACACGGTAATAGATCTTTGCTTCTTCAAACTTACGAGATATCTCCTTCCTTTGTAGAAGGGCTTCCGTACTCATAAAAGAGTCTCATCATGTCTCTGAATTGCCCATGGAGATCCCCAAAGATTTTGATGGGGGCATTAAGCTGCAACAATGTGGGTTCTTCCTTGATTATATCTTTCGCAGCAATGCACAGATCAACCACTTCCGTATAACTCAAGAAAAACTTTCGAGAGGCAGGAGCTTCCCAGGAATTAGGTCTCAACAACGTTGAAATGACCTGCAAGGCAAACGATATCGTTAGTGCGTATAGAGTGTATATATGGAGGAAAGAAAAAGAAAACAACAAATACCTTTTTAACTAAGTCTTGAGTAGACTTTTGTGGTCTGATCAACTGTGGCCTCATAAACTGGTCAGAGCTAAGCTGTCTCTGGTTTGATCTCTCAACCTACAATACGAGATAGCCACCAAGTTTAAGTGTGTGAGTAATATTAATAGGTGCAGCTATCACTTATCATATATATCTACACCACCTAGCCAAAATACATAAATGAAGAAAGAGGACTGAGTGAAAAAAAAGAAGAAGCATACAGCTCCCTGTTGAAGCGGAGCATAGAAACCATTTTCTACAGTTGGTAAGTTTGCATGAGCCTCCGCCAATCTAGCCAATGAACTCTCGCTCAAGCTGATATATCATTATGGAAGAAAATGAGTTTTTTTTTTAAAAAAAAACAACAAGATAATTAAGGTTAAGCACAAATGTAGGTTATATAGACCTCCTCCTAATATAAGAAGGGTTTGCTTGTTCTGTTTGGGGGTTATCAACAGGATCAGAGAGTAGGACATCATCAAGCAATAGACCTACACAAAAATTAACTTGTTACTTTTGGTTAATTCAAAGAAGAAAATTGACCGATAATTTCAATATATGCAAATTTCAGGATCATTAACCTTCTGTGATTCCACCAAATACATAAATGCGGTTGAAAACAGATTCAGCAGCGTGGTGAGAACGCCCATGAACCAAAACCTGTGACATACTCGCACTTGGCAGATTGCCAGATTTGTTCAATCTTTCCCACACGTTTGGTTCCCGAGTGGTATCCAGTGACCATGCATCGGCCAGATTTTCATTTCCTACGCCAAAGACAAATTAACTTGTTTTAGGATATTTAGACAAATGCAATATTGTTAGAGAAAGAGCCCACACACGTAAAAGTTCACAACCGTCTAATAAACTCTAGCTAGTTGGTATAGATTAGGGATTTGTTTGAGAAAGTTCATGTTCTTTTTTTCTGAGGGAAACATATCATCTAAATGTTTTCTTACACCTGTACTATATGATGTATGCCCTAGCTAAGATAACAAACTAAAGGTAGAGTTACAGTTACGAATTAAAAAGCGTCTATCAATGCCAAACCAAATGGGAAAACATGAGAGATTTGTATACATCATCTAAATGTTTTCTTACACATATTATGCCTATACTATATGATGTATGCCCTAGCTTAAGATAATAAACATAACAAACTATAAAAGCGTCTATCAAATCGGAAAACATGAGAGATTTGGTACCAAGTTTCCCGCCGAAGAAGGTAAGCCTGCCGTCGGCTATACCCATAACATGGCCATAACGAGGGCCTGGAGTCTCCCCTTGAACCACCACCCTACACATATATAACATTAAATGCGTAAATTAAAATTTAACTCTCATCATTAAAATAAAAAGAGAAACCCATAAATTAATGAGCTCACTTATGCCACACGAACTTATCACTAGTCATATCAAGAATGTGGAGATCTCCGTTACAAGGCCCATCTGGACCAATCCCACCCTGCAGACGAAAAACAAGAGATGCGCTCATGTGTCAGATCTATCTCTATACCTAAATTAGCCACCAGAAACTAAGGCCACAAACAGTTTTAAAACTAAAGTAATTTGCACAATCATTTGAATCACCAGAATAGCGAGCAAGCGGCCACTTGCAGCCGCTGCATGACAAGCTCTCGGAGACGGAGGCTGACCTTCCGGACAAATCCTGCACAATCACGGAATATTATTAAGAGATGATGAGATCCACCATTAATTAATCCAAAGTTTAGATCATCAATTAATTAAAAAGACAAAACCCTAATTAATACCAACGATCAATTATACCTTGCCCACTTCCTTGTGAAAACATTCAAACAATGCACCGAATTGGTCACACCATCTAAACCTAGAAAGATCAACCAGAAAAAAATCTATCATCAGAGGGGATTCCGAGATCTAAAAAGAAAATATTGAAAACCTCAAAATCTTACAGATCCCGGAGCCATCGCTCGTGACGGCAGTACTTCCGCCGAAGAGGATCAGGTTGAAGAGAACCGCCGTGAGAGTATGGCCACATCTAGGTCCCGGACAGTCCTCTTCGGTGTTGGCGAAGGTCTGGAGCACCTTGTAAGCAGGAGGAGATGGGTGTTGCAATTGCATGTTGGGAAAAGCCATAAAGCACAGATTCGGAGATTCAGATTTCGCGGCGGAGGAAGACGATGGCCAAACCCAATCTGACTCGTCTCCATTTTATAGCCTAATTATTCTTCTCTATCTCGAGTGCTCTCTCTTTTGTTTTGGCAAGCAAATTATGAAGTTTGTAGTCAAACCAATTTCTTCAATCGATGCGTTTCCTTTCTAGCCAAGGTCTCCTACGGCTACGTGGCCACCAAATTACGAGAATGCCCTTTCTTTTGCCTTTCGATGACTTGCTGCCACGTGTCTGATTGTTGGTCTATTCAACAATTGTTTTCTCTTTCGTAAAAATGGTCTTCCAAAAATGCGCGGCAATTTTAGGAAGCAATATGAATTAGTTTTATCGACGTGACCGGAAGAGTATTATACTATTATGTAAAATAGTTTATTTAAAGTATTATACAGTTTTTTTGTAATTTTTATTTCTTCATCATCTTTGTTGTTTACTTCAGTAAAATTTGGCTTTTTTTTTTGCTCACTATCCAAGTTGTTTCTGGTATATTTTTTTTTTTTAGGACAGGTTAATTGGATCTGGATGTATATTTTAGTATGATCATGTTACATATTTATTCATTTACCACTTTATCATGTATACATATTCATTTTTTTTCTTTTTTGATAAAGTGTGTATACATATTCATGTCTATACAAGGTAGGGTAGTCAAGAAGATATACCCAAACTTAACAAAAACTAACCAAACCGAAAAAAAAAAAATTTGATTATAATTTTAGCAGCTTTGAACTAGCCGAACTGACAAAAAAACGATTAAAATCAATCTAAAAAAAACTCAAAAAATAATTTTTTGATTAATAAAAAAAAATTCTAACTGCTAAGTAAATTTTTATGTAGACTTTTTTTTGTAAAGACAAAATAATGAAAATAAACAAAATATTACGATTCAACATAAAAAAATCAATAATATCCAAATGATTTTATGAGCAAAGCTTAAAAACAATTCTAGCTGCCATTTTTTTTTTGAGCAAATCAATTCTAACTGCCATATTAAGATTTTATGTAACTTTTCTGTGTAAAGAAAAAATAATGAAAATAGATAAACTATTACGAATCAATATAAAAATCAATAATATCCAAATGATAATGAAAATTATCCTTAAAATAGTCAACAAATACCAAATAAAACAGAGTTTTGAGAAAAGATAAAAGAAAAGAAAGGGATTAGAGCAATGGTAAGTCTTTTGCGGCTTGCAGATGAACAACACTTGGACCTCTTGAGCCGCAACTTTTCCTCTTCCTTCATGAAGTTGAGCCTTCCTCAAAGGCAGTGTTTCGCTGCCCTCGAACCGGAGTAGGAGGCCTCTCGCTTTCCAGCTACAAAATAACAATACTTAAATCAAGCTCACGGACCACAATATGGTTTCATCTGCTAGAAACACATTCACGCGCTCATATACTCTATACATTCAACATGGTAAAGAAACATGATTATGTTTTTGTGTTTACCTCCACCCATGCGTTGTCCAGAGAGTTTTCTGAAGGTGAGATGGGAGGTGGAAGAGGATGAATCAACTTGGGAACAACCATCAGATCTCTACCAATAACCAATATTGCTCCAGCATTGTTTATTTTTCCTGTTTATCACAATATATATATATATATATATATATATACAATCCCGAGTGAAATCAAGGTTTTTTTGTTTTGTTTTGTCTTTAATATTATATAATAAAAAAAACGTACCACAGTAGTATGGAGCAGAAAAGACAGTAATAAGCTGTCCTTGCGCAAACCTTTCGAAACCATCGAGGACACACTGATGCGCTCTTATAATCATATCTACCTTATTCCTCTCGCAGAAGTCCTTGACTACATCAGGCTGCATACATATAACAAAAATGGAGCTTGAAATGATGTTACTTATAAAAAAAAGATTAGACAAATAAGGATTATATATATGAGAAAAAGCCTTTACCCCAAACGAGACAACACCTTTTCCTCTAGTGTTTGCTCTTATCCCCAAAACGCTATCATTCTCTGTAGGATCAGACCTGTTTTATGTAGTAGATAAATGTAATAGTTATGTTACTAAGCTTGGGGGAAAAAAAAAAAAGAAGAAGAGAGGCTTCTTGTTTTTTTTTTTACCATAATAAGTCTTTAACAACTCTGGATGCACTTATGGAATCAGGGTAAACGGGCCTGCGGATATTTGCGATATCTTCCAACGTCTTTACGTGCTCTCCAATCCCACCGTGCATACACAAGATTTTCTTCTCGATAAGCGCAGCGAGAGGAAGATGATTGAAAAGAATATTTATCTTTTTCCTTGCTTTTTTCCCCTCGCTATCCCCCTGCTCATTAAACAAGATCGTTATTACTTACTTCATTACCCAAATGACAAGTGGAAATTATGTATACTTCCGTGTCCGTACGAACCATTCTTTCCATGCATTCTGCTTTGAAACCATACATTTTGTTCGTCGTACGAGACTCATGATTTCCACGAAGCAAGTGGATGTTCTTCGGATATTCAATCTGCACAAAGAGACGTACGTCTTAGGATAGGACAATAATGATTAAACCAAAATCATCAAGAAACTGAAAAAAGAGAAGCTAGTGTGAGAAAATTATCTTTGCCTTCAAAGCAAGCAGCAACACGATGACCTCCAAGCTGTGTTTCCCTCGGTCCACATAATCTCCCAGAAACAAATAGTCAATATACCTGATAGATACAACTGTTCAGTGACTTTCTTTTCCCGAGCAAAACTCAACGGCAGTAATAATCACTTTGTTTGCTTCAAACTTACGAGATATCTCCTTCATTTGTAGAAGGGCTTCCGTACTCATAAAATAGCCTCATCAAGTCTCCGAATTGCCCATGGATATCCCCGAAGATTTTGATGGGGGCATTAAGCTGCAAGAGTGAGGGTTCTTCCTTGATTATATCTTCCGCAGCACTGCACAGATCAATCACTTCCGAAGAACTCAAGAAAAACTTTCGAGAGGCAGGAGCTTCCCAGGAATTAGGTCTCAACAACGTTGAAATGACCTGCAAAGCAAACGATATCGTTAGTGCGTAATGATGGGAATATATGAAGAAAAACAAGTAAGAAAAAAACTATACCCTTTTAACCAAGTCTTGAGTAGACTCTTGTGATCTGGTGAGCTCTGGCCCCAGAAGCCAATCCAAGCTTGGCTCTCTCACCAAGTCATCCAGGTCTGATCTCGCAACCTATAATACAAGATAGCCATATGTGTGAGAGTGAGTATATTAATATATAAGTGCAACTATCACAGATCAAATCTACACCAAACACAATCTCATCTTTTAAAAATGAATTATTCGTACAAGTCAGTACGGTATGAAAGTCACAAACTGAGCCGAAATTACGATAAAGTAAAGAAAAAAGGAATGAACATACAGCTTCCTGCTGAGGCGGAGCAGGTGCTTCAGTTGCACTATCATAGAAAGCAGCTTCCACAGTTGGTAAGTTTGCAGCAACCTCCGCAAAACTATTCAATGAACTCTCGCTCGAGCTGATATATCATTGTGGAAGAAAGAAGGATTTTTGTAATGTTTGAAACAGCAACATATATATGTAAGGTTTAAGCACAGACCAACTAAAAGAGTGTAACAAGTCGGATACAGACCTCCTCATCAGTGATGGGCTTGCTGGTCCAGAGCTTGAAGGCATATATATACCATCAATAGAGACTAGGAGATCCTCCAGCAATACACCTACACGTGAATAAAATTGATGATGCAGTTGTCAAACAAAATCGTTCTTTTTGATTAACTCAAAAGAATTTACGTATTTCAGGATTACCTTCTTTAACTCCACCATATATATAAATGCGGTTGGAAACAGATGCAGACGCACTTAATGTATACATACCAGCAGAAACATTCCTTGAGCAAAATAGTAAACAATCAAGAGTTAACTTTCAAACCAAATGATTTAATTACAGCTATTACTTATATAAAATCAACCAAATTACTAACATTATCGCACTTGGCAGATTCACACTTGGGTTCAATCTTTCCCACACATTTGGTTTCCGAATGGTATCCAATGCCCATTTATCGGTCAGATTTTCATGTCCTGCTACAAATACAAAAGGAACAAACTTGTTTTAGGATGTTACTTTTTACATGATAAACAAATGCAGTATTGTTAATTAGAGGAACGAGTAAATTGTTGCCAGCATAATTACTACTAATGCCACAAAATTAAGTTTACTTTACTCATGCCATATAGTAAATTAGGGATTTCTTGTTCTGATGGAAACATATCATCTAAATGTTTTCTTTACTCATGCCTGAACTAAAATAGGATATGTATGCCATGAGATAGACATAAAAGACTGAAAGCTACAGTTACAGTTACGAAAAACATTAGAGACTTGGCATACCATTTTTGCCGCCGGATACGACAAGCCTGTGGTTAGCTAAACCCATAAAATGGCCATAGCGAGGGCCTGGAGTCGCCCCTTGAACGGTCACCCTAAACATATACATAATAAATGCATAAAACAATCATTAACAAAGTAGATATCATATTATCATCAAAGAGAAATCCATAAATGACCTTTACCTTTGCCACATGAACCTATTACTAGTCATGTTAAGAATGTAAAGATCATCGGTACAAGCCCCGGATGTACCAATCCCACCCTGCCAACGAAAAAAAATATGCTCATGTGTATATATATATGGTCTATACTGTATAGACAACAGCCATGCACCAAAAACGAAACCTAATATTAACCAGGAATTAAGGATGCTTTTAACAATCGATTCTAAATCAAATCCTTCCAAATACTACTCATCGTGATCCGATTAAAATGATCATTCTTCAATTACGTCAAAATTATAAATAAAAAAGAAAGAAGAGAGGATAATGTTAGTCACCAGAATAGCGACCATATTAGGGCCACTTGAAGTCGCTGCATGACAAGCCCTGGGAGAAGGAGGCAGCCCATCGGGATAAACCCTAGACAATCACGGAATAATATACATTGCAAGAAGATCCACCATTAAAACCAAATCTAGATGATCATCAATTAATAAAGAATAAAAACATCATCAACATCACCAAATGATAAATATCTATCATCATCAATTACCTTGTCCATCTCCTTGTGAAAAGAGTATAACAATGCACCGAATTGGTAAGACCTTCTAAAGCTAGAAAAAACAAGAAACAAATCCAACATCAGAGAGAGGATTCCGGAAAAATCCAGACACCGCCCTAAAAAAATTCAATATCTTACTGATCCCGGAGGCATCGCACTTGACGGCACTACTCCCGCCGAAGAGGATTAGGCTTTGCAAGACGGTCGTGAGAGTATGGCCACATCTAGGCCCCGGACGATCCTCTGGGGTGCTGAAGACGGTCTGTTGCACTTTGTAAGAAGTCGACGGGTATTGCCACGACCACGAGCGGGAAAAAGCCATGATGATGATAGTAAACACACAGATTCGGAGCGGAGATTGTGATTTCGCGGCGGAGGAAGACGGTGGCCAAAACCAATCGGATTCGTCTCCATTTTATAACCTAATTTTGCTTCTCTCCCGAATGCGCACTTTTATGTTTTGGTAGGCAAATAAAGTTTGTAGTCAAACGAATTCCTTCAATGCGTTTCCTTTCCGCCGATGGTGTCCTACGGCTACGTCATTATGAAATTACGAGATTGCCCATTCTTTGGGCTTTTGTGTGCCACGTTTGCTGCTCCCGTTATTCAACAATTGCTCTTACCAAATGATGAAATGTTGACTTATAAAAATTATAGCATGCACTTGAATTTCAGATATATCAAAAGAAACACATCAACAATGATATGTAATAAATTCGGAAATAATATTAAATAATTCCAATAATGTTGGACCCCCCCCAAAACTTTTTACAATAATGTAAAGTCTTGAATATGTGTTTTTTTTTTGGAATATATTTTGATCTTTACTATAGTACTAAAACAGAGGCTGCAAAAGTTTCAACCAGTCAACGTTATTACTTGATTCATTTTTATCAACTAATTAAAATCATTGCAACGATATGTACATATGCAGTCTCATATAGCCAATAATAATAATTAACAAGTTTCTTCATTCAAAGATTTTTCCTTTAATACTTTTGTTTAATTTAATGGATTATTGGATTCTATCTTGTGTCATAAGAATAATGTTTAATGCATCAAGGATTTCTACATACTCTTCTCTTTTTTTGAACTTGAAGATTTAATTTGTTTCTCAATGATTTTTATAGCTCTCTTTTGTATGCTACATGTGGTCTAAAGGTGTTCCAGACTCATCAATTGCATTTTCCTCTAGCAATCCACTCACGATCAATCGAAGCAACTTCCTGCCAATTCACACCACTACGTACGTAGTCGCCATCATCTCTCGGCTGCTCTCAATTAATCGTATAATGAGACGCTTTTAATTTTTCGTTTTCAGTCTCATAAACATTTTTTTGTATGGATAATAATATTTAATTTGTATGGATTCTAATCCCCGATCAGCGATCGAAATTTGTAACCTGTACTAATGTCTTTGTCGAGTCATATAGTATATATATAAACACATATCTTTTTTATATAAAAATCTAAATTTTAATTAAATATGGGATCACGCATGTTCGAACTGGCGGCGTTGCAGAACCAAGACAATAAAAAATCACGAAAAAAACTTTCAAAGTATTCCAGCACAAATATCTTATAGGGGGCAGCTAAGCTAATAGATGTTTAATGCACACAATTTTGAGTATCGTCTTATTTTTATCAAACAGTTGCAGTGTTTTCTATCTTATTTTATTTTCTTAGTTTGATGCATTTTTTTCTTGCTTTAGGCTCCAAAATACAAATGAAAGAATCTTGTTTTAATTGTACCGTTTTTATTAGTTTTCTTTTCTAATTGCACTTTCTTGATAAATATAAAACAGAATTATGTAATGTCATCAAATGGAAATACATATATTAATTTTTATAGGCCTTTCCACCCAAAATATATTCTGGATCCGTGACTGTCCGCACCTGTTGTTGGTGGCCGTTGTCTCTCTTAACCTGGACTTTCAATTTCTTACCGCTTAATTGGCGACCGTTCATCGTGTTAATAGCGTTTCGAGCAGCTTCTTGTGAGTCATAGCTAATGAATCCTGCGGCAACATAAAAAGGATATGCGTTTTTCTTTAACCGCTAATTCGAGTCTTGGGAAAAGAAGTTGGGTTAATGACATTAATTAGTTTGCTTACCAAAACATTTGCTCACACCAGTGGCCTTGTCTACAAACACCTTGGCGCTTACAACCTTACCGAACGATTGAAACGCAACCGCAAGTTCTTGATCCCCGAATTCCCGAGGTATGTTATAGATAAATAGATTTGCACCCGCTGGTCCTGAACACCGGAAAAAAAATGTTATAGGTATCATCATCAGTCGCATAACGACTAGAAATTATAGTTAGCATCAAATTCTCATATGTTATTTCTTGTTTAGGACTAAACAAACCTTCAGTTTGAAACGAGGAAGGTGTTGATGCGCCGTTGCTAGAAATGCCAGGTGGAACCGAGGTTAGAGGAAGGCGAGCGCTGATCATTCCTCTAGGAAACGCCATGGGATATTGAAGACCGTGATAACTGTAATTTCCAAGAGCCACCGGGAAGTTTCTACGGCCGGCTAAACGTGGTGGAACAGACTCGGCCAAAGCAGCGGCTCCCTGAAACGTGCTGTTATTACCTTGGTTCGGTGAAATCACATTTTGAAATGCAGGTTGAGTCTGGATAGGTGGTAGCATGTACCCATAAGTTCCAGGTGCCTGTTACAGAGTCAATTTGTTAATACTAGTACTTTTAAAAACTTTTTAAATCTCCAAATTTTTGTTCTGTCTGATAAAATAGTTTTCTCAAGTGACAATGTCATTGCTAGATTTTATGATAAAGCAGTCAAGATAACTTGTACTTGGAAAAATGAGAGTGTAACAGAACTTACATGATAACCATATCCATTATAAGGAGGAATATAACTCATGGGTAAGGCTCCAAACAGGGAGGGATCAGAGTTAGCGAGTCTGGAGGCGTGAGACTGAGCTTTTTGAAGTCTTCGGGATTGTCTTTCCCTTTCTGTGTCTGCCCATTTCACAACCAAAGGAACATTCGAACCCTAACAGAAAAAAGATATTGTCACAACTCTCCATAGAACTCTTTACAAACTAATAAGAATATGTTCGTAACTTGTAGTAATTAGCACACACCTCCATTATATGTTTCCCATTGATGGCTTCCATAGCAGCGACGGCTTGTTCTTTAGACTCATACTTAAGAAATACACAGCCTAAGAGAGCTCAAAATAAGCCAGCCTAAAAGTTACTCGAAAGCTTTGCTATATATAGAGAGAGCTTAATTAAGATGCACAATCAAATGATGGACATACCTTTGCTAGTTTGTAGAGACCCTCTTAGAATCTGGACATCCTTTATGGTTCCGTACTTGGAGAATAAGGATAAAACTTCAGCCTCAGAGACATTCTTTGGAAGCATACCGACGAAAAGTTTGTGCTCTGGATTGCAAGAACATCAATCAGACTCAACATCCAGATATGATACAAAAATACTAACATGCAGACAATCTCTAACAGAAGGAAAGAAAACATTTTGTGCTTCTAATAACGTTTAAGCGCGACCCAACAACACTAGTCAGAAACATTTTGCGTACCTAGTCTTTCAACCTCGCCATCTGCATACTTAACTTGCAACGGACTAGATGCCTGAAAACAACACAAGAAAGTGAATGTTAATACTCTGTGGGTTCCTATCATTTTCAATCCACAGATTTTTCCAGCTTTTTGCATATTGCACGTTTAGTTTTGTGAACCGTACATATCATCTATAGTAACAAAGTGATTTCTTGGGTTTGAAGAAATCATGAAGACAACGTTTTAAGCACATGTAATCAAATTCCAACAATCAATGCCTCGGTCGGGCAGGTTTTGATCAACTAAATCAGATTCATAAAAACATCATGCAAAACTCTGAAATAACCAAATCCAGAATTAACAGGGGAAAAAGAAAGTACAATGCAGATTCATAGACAAAAAAAAGGATAATCTCGAGATTCCAACCGGCTTGAATATGGTGCAACTAAGATCAATTATTTAAAGGTACCGAAACATCACATTCGAGCATCAGGAAAAGAAAAAAAAATCCAAGAAAGTCAAGTAAAAATGGAAAGAATGATAAAAGGTCAGAAATTAAACTTACTCCAGGCAATGTCTTCTTGTTATGGCAACCATTGACTACCTTGTCTGCTTCTTCTCTTGAAGGACATATCAGAAAACAACATCCTACAAACATATCGAGGAGAGAGAAATTACTCTTACCAGAAATCAAAAGAAAAATAAAATCAAAGACGAAATCAAAAACATTTTTCCCTCATCTCGAACAGAGGATACAAAATAACAGAGGAAACTCCCAAATCAAAAAGAGTCCAAATTAAACGAGGAGGCGTGAAGAAATTCGAGAAATTGGGGTTTTTCGAATCCAAAAATTAAATCATACGAATCAAAAAAACCTTTTGAAGTTTTCGCAAATCAGAAAAGAAAACAGAGGAAGCTTCTTAAACAAATAAAATAAAATCAAAATTAAACGAGGAAGACGGAGAAAACAGAGGAATAGATTGAAAAACCTCGGGAAGCTCGCGTTATCTTGTCCTTAATGATGTTGACTTCGTCGACGATGGAGAATTCCTGAAACAATGCGAGGAGCTGAGCCTCCGTCATGTGCTTCGGAACTTGTCCGACGAACAGCTTAACCCTCTCTTCATTCTCCTTCGTCTCCTCCGCCATTGTTGTCGCCGTCTCTTCTCTTTCTCTCTCTCTTGACTTCGTCGTCTTCTTCTTATTCTCTCTACAGGTTTCTTCCTCAATATTTATTTACTTTTTCGAAAAAAATACTCTATATGAAGAAAAAAAAAACTGAGGAGTTTCTGGATGGCAAAGTTGGGTTTATATTAAATACTGACTAAATCTGGGCTCGTTGTTATTGCTATATTACGAGATTGCCATTTAAAACAGCTGTACAACAAAGAGGAAGGCAAGCCTGTGGGATGCGAGGGAACACTTCGGATTGTTTTGTCTGATTAAGGGATTGTAATGCCAATTTTACGAAATTGTCCTTTTACCCGCGCTTTATTCTCTATTTTTTTATAATTACTTTTAGTATGGAGTGTGTGTATAAGCTGGCAATATTTTGGTTTTTGTTTGAAATAGCTGTCAATCTCTCTGCATTCAAAATTCAAAATATTAGTTTTAAGTTTAGAAGATTTCTCTTCAATTATTTTTTTCCGGTTAGTTTATTGTAATTTTGTTTATTTTAGGTCCACCTGATACTAGTACGTTGTAGACTGAAAAAAGGTCTGAAGGTCCAAATCAAAAATACAAACATAAAAATAAATGAATAAATACGACCATACGAGTTGACCGTGGAATTTTTATCCGTAGCGAGAGGTCATTTTCAGTGACAACGAGGAGGGACAGGAAATAAGGGCAAAATGGTCATTAAGAAATAAGGGTAGAACCGTAAATAATACGAAATACGAATGTCAAAAACATAAAGATGACAGACTGTCCTGCCATTCGCAAAGTCTACAACGGAAAAGAAACACAAGAAGAGCAGCTCCAACTTGAAGTAATTAATTTCTTAGATTACATCAAATTTCGCAAAAAGACCACTGACTTTATTCAACTTTACGCTTTGACCCCACATGTTTTCCGTTTACGTGCATGTTTGTGAATTAGTCCTTGATAACAGAGTCATTCAAAAGTGACACTTGCAGTTGCAGCTCAATTAGCTAATTAAGTACGACTCCCGTGTGTGTTTTAAGCGATTATGTTTGAATTAGTCATCAAGAAGTAACAGAGTAGGTAAAAAGGAAAGAAAGCTAACCATTGCCGCTCAATTTACCATAATATCGTCTAAAATAATCTCCACTGTAATTAACATAACTACAAGTAAATGAAAATGATTTCCATAGTTTTTTCTCTTTTCTTTTTTGAACTTTGATTTCTATTGTTGTGTTTTTTTTTGTCCAACTCAATCCTCTGAGGCATGTTTCTATTGTATTTCTTCTACATGGAGAAGTCAATAATAATAGCAACAAAAAAGATAGTAAGACTTGAATAACGAAATTGTGTCATATACAATAACGTAAACTATAAGTCTATAACTATAACGTTAGATCAATATATGTATATCCAATTTTGCTTGTTATATAAAGAAAAGGTTAGAATCTACATCTGACGAGTCTATGCCATTTTGTTCTAGAACATTTGTTTGATAACGTTAAAACGGCGCCGTATTAATGGTTGATATTCGTCGTCAAATAAATGTCTACGATCGATAGAAAATAAAAGAGAATTCTTAAACTTTAAATTGGATCTGCACCATTGAAGAAAGAAAATGAATACTATCTATCTTTTTGATATCCGCAGAGTCCAAAGTTTGAAGTTGTAGCTTGCTATATATTTCTGTTGATATAGATGGCAAATTGCTGATGCTTTTTTATGTGAACGTCACATTGCTCGTTTTTTTGTAGACTTATCATATACCTTCGACACAAACCACATAATGATCATAAACTTTTAAACAACTTCTTATTGTAACCATTTAAACACCCCCCCACCAAAAAAAGATCTTACACTATAAAGAACAAAAAAATTGATTTCCAAAGAAAGAAAAAACAAAAGAACTAGCGAAAATGTAAAACAAACATGCATGAACTTTAGCTATAACTATAATCCTTTGAAGGCTTACACACTAACTACTTGAGTATACCCTACCTGTCACAGAGTACAAAGATATATATATAGAAGTTGGTCGGTTTGTGTTCTTCATCACACAGATCTCTCTGTTTTTTTTTTTAAAGAGTCATGAGCTCTCTGGAAGTAGAATCGGTCTTTGGGAGGACCCAATTGCCTACTACTCTCCCCAACGCTTCAAGCTTAATCTTCTTAAACTCGAAAGGCTTCCACATCTGTTGCTTCCTCTGAGAATCATCACCTTCCTTATTACGCCTTGCAACAGCAGTGGAAACACATTTCTTGAGACCTGAGTTTTCTTCTTTAAGCATTTGTATTGCTAAACTCATCTGCCTTATAGCTTCTCTCTTCTCTTCATCTTTCTCTCTCACCATCTCACTGTAAACCTTATTCTCCTCTCTCAGCCTCTCCATCTCTTCTTTCATCATCTCATAATCTCCGTTAGCCTCACAACGATCGACTTGAGGTGGCTCCGTTTCCTCAACAATGCCATCATCGACCCATTTGGTTTCACCATCATCTACTTCAGACTCTGCGTACTCCTCATGAGTCTCGCACGCCTCGGACCAGAAAGACTCATGGCAAGTTGATGATTTCTCATGACTCTCGGAGCCATGTTTGTGCACAGAAGAGGGTCTCAACAAGTCATACCTCTCGGCTAACGAGCGATGTGAACGGTAGAAATCTTCCACCATAGCTATAAGCTCAGGCCTTTTCTTATAATACATCTCAGCTCGTGCGGCGAAAGAATCCGCATCCTCCTCAATCACTCTCAGCATTCCCTTTGTCTTTTCATCCAATTCTTCAAGTTGCAAATTCAAAAAAAAAAAAAACCACCATGTCAAAATCTCGATCAAGTTTGAAACACTTTTAATCTCAATTGAACAATTCTTCATCCAATTCTTCCTTTGCAAAATCATTATCTCAATGAAAATTAGACACTTTTATCAATTTATCACTAGCCAAATGTTCTCAGAGAATCATAACCAAAAGGTAATCATCTTTTCCAATTATCACCCAAATTCAACAATTGAAAACCATATACACACATGATATACCAAAATCAAGAGTTTGGTTAGCAGAACAAAAGTGAGGAAAGGAAAGTTTTTTTTTTTTTTTGGCTCAAAACCCAGAAAGAGAAGAAGTTACCAGAGAGAGTAGAATGAAGCCATGGAGAGAAGTTTGTCGTGTTGTGATTTCCAATCCACCACCACTTTGATGAGTCCATCACCATCTTTCACTCAAAATACGAAAAACACACACAGATTCTTCAGTTTACAGTTCCCACTCTAAAATCCAGTCCAAGATTCACACTTTGATTAAGCAAACATTAATTTCATCATCAACAACAACAACAAAAAAGAAACAGAGAACACAGACACAGAGCCTCGGAAATTCACTGACCTCAGTAACGGATTCCGTTTACACGGCGTGAAACACCAAGACAGAGACTAACTCGGCGCCGTTTTTCTTCCTTTTTTCACTTCTTCTTTCTTCTTTCTTCTTCTCCGCCTTCTCGATTTTGTAGTCACAGAGCAGTTTTAAGGACGCATGTATTTATTCTTCATCAGTGGTCTTTTATCATTAAACATCACTCTCTAGCCAATCGCATGTTCCCACGTGTGGTAATTAGAGAACCCACATCTGCTGGCAGTTTACGGATATACCCCTAGAGATCTAAGCGGCGGATGACATGGCACACCATTTTACGCTGGTTATCTTCTTAGATTACGTTTTCACCCCTCAATTGATTTCGGATTGATAGATTTCGTTGATCAAACGAATTATTTATTTTCCTAAAGTTACGATATTTGAACAAAGAATTTCCAAAAACAAAGCCACCAAGAATATTTATCCGCTGATTTCCTCCCTAGATACGATTTGTTAAGAATGTTTTTAAGGTATCAATTTAGACGGAGACCCGATTTTTAAAGTGGAGCTACGAACGGGGGTAGTTTTGGAATTGCGTTCAGTTGATAGGTACGAAAGTTATCTTAATGGGCCCCACGAGACCATGTGGGCCGTGGCGAGCGCAACACGCAAAAGGTGTTTGTGCAACGGTCGATAAACTCTTTGCCGCAACTTTACATGCTTAAAGAATAAGACAAAAACAATTGATGAATTTCATTTTTATTTTCTTTTTCCAAATACGACAAGTAAATCCTATCTTTTCATTTTTAACAAGTTTAAGGGATGTTAATGGTATTGGTGACTAATCCGAGCTTTGTATAGTGTTTTGACGTTAGTAGCGATTACAATTTTTCACTATTTGATAGATTAACAAGCGTTAGTGGTGTTTTCTATTACTTAGCACACGTTCAGAACAATGGCTTCTTTCCTGATATAGTTTGCTTTGATATGAGATGTGAGAAATTCGACTTTATAAATAGAGCTGCCCAAGGCATGGATAAAATCGCGGGAGCAAAGATTGAATCAACTTTGATAAACTACAAAGGTGGATTAGCCAAGCTTCAGCCTAATTACATTGATCCTTATCACAAACATTGCACCGGTATTCAATTATGGGTTCTACAAGACGCCAAGAAACATCAATGGTCGAGCCATATCTACATTTGGTCTCCCCCCTTGGAAGAGTATATTTGAAGAGACCAAGTTATGTTTTGTTGGAACGACTGATACGGGTGAAATTGTCTTGTCACCACACAGTATATCACTTTTTTTTTTACCTTCTCTACTACAATCCCGAGACTGACACTATCACTATAGTTGAAGTCCAAGGATTCGAAGCTTTTAAACTTCATAAAGTTTACACTTTTCTAGACCACGTGGAAGATGTGAAGCTTATGGCAAGTGTTTAGGAGTAGGACCACCATGGGCTCTTAAACACCTGGAGAGTCTTTTAATACATCTTACTGGATTTTTGTCTCTTCTTGTTTTCTACTGTTGGTGTTCATTTTAGTGAGCCACGGTTGGTTCAAGCTTAAGCTTTTTCTTTTAACACTGCTCTAAGTTTGTCTTTGTTGCCATTGCAAAGAACGAAAAACAGCGTTTCAGACTCATGTTAACATGCACAACACCTTACAAACTCCCTTTCTCCACCTCTTCGGTAATCTAATCCTCTAAAGCTGCTCACAACTAGCAAGAAACAATGGAAACAAACTCACTCGGTCTCATTAATGATACACAGGCTAGATCCACTCCTTCGGGTTGATACAAGCATCCAATAGCTTCCACTCCTCGGTTCCTTCTTCCGGTTTCTGCACTCGCAACCACGGTTGTTACATTGTCATATATCCGACTGAGTTAAGACTTTTCTGTCTTCACAAACGAGAAAGGAACTTACATGGTCATATTCCCATCTTGCTGACAGCGGAAGAGAGACAAGAATACTCTCTATTCTCCCTCCTGTCTTCAGACCAAATGTCGTTCCACGATCATATACCTTTCCAAACCATTACAAAGCCATTAGAGAACAAGGTTCATAACGAAAGGCCGGAGAAATAAACCGGAAAAGCTAGAGTCTGATTATAATACCAAATTGAATTCAACATATCTCCCTCTTCGCAACTGTTGCCATGCCTTGTGCTGCTCTGTGAATTCCGTGTCTTTCCTTTTCTCTACTATAGGTATATAAGCCGGTACCACTGAGTTCGCACATTCTGTAAATCCCAATCACTAAATCAGTCTACCAAGAAACTAAACAGATTATAATATCGTTCACTGACAATAATCAATTACCAGTGGAAAATGACAGAAGCATTTCCTGATCATAGTCGTTAAGATCGTCAAAAAATATCCCACCAAGTCCTCGTCTCTCACCACGGTGCTGCAAGCAAAGATCAAAGACTTTTAACATTTTCAAAAACCTCACACAAACAATAGGCTTATCAAAGACTCTTAGCTGTTCTTACTCCCTAAAAATAAATTTTAAACTAAGGCCTTCAGTTCTAAAACAATCGGAATCACATGAAAATTAATGGCACACCTTGATGTAAAAGTAGTCATCGCACCACTTCTTGAATCGGGGATAGAAGGAAGGATCGAATTTGTCACAGGCTTGCTTTTGAATCTACAAATAAGAAAGAGAAGTTTATAAAATACGAGCAACTCCATGATCACAAAGATCCGATCTTTAGAACAAGGAATAAGGTAGAGACCGAATGGAAATGCTTGACATCCTCTTCGAAGATGTAAGCTGGTGTGAAATCGGTGCCACCGCCAAACCACCATTGCCTCGGAGCTCCAGGAACATCTGCACGTTGAAAAATAGCAAATTAAGCAGTGTCGAATCAAAAGACTGCAACTTTACTCTTCAACGTAGAAATTAGCTTTTACCCTTTGGAGCATCCGTCTCGAAATAACGATAGTTGAAATGAAGAGTTGGGGCAAAAGGGTTCTTGGGATGCAAAACCTAGAAACACAGATGATTTTGCTTTGAGCGAATGAAAGATGAAAACCCAAATTGTACAATTAAAGAAAGGGAGAGATCATTACCGAGCTAACTCCGGCGGCGAAGAACGGAACCGGGCCTGGTTTCTGATCGGAAGCTGAGCCTTTGGCGGCTCTGTATGCTTCAGGAGGCATAACACCATAAACCACAGAGACATTGACCCCAGCTTTCTCAAAGACATTTCCGTCCTGCAAAACGCGGCTGATTCCGCCGCCTCCACCTGGTCGAGACCAAACATCTTCTTTGAATTTTGGACCGCCTTCAACAGCTTCAATTGCCTCGCAAACGCTGTCCTGAACACCCCTAATCATAGTCTCGAAACGAGCCCTGACGGAAGAAGTTGGTGACGAAGAAGATTGAGTGGTGTCGTCAGATTCTCTAAGGAAAGTGAAGGGTCGTTCCGTTTCGGGAACTTCCTTCTCGATTGAGACTGAGCATCGCAAAGCTAGATTGGGCTTGCTCCTGATTGGACGGGAAAAGCGGACAGTAGAGAGATTGGGAGAATGATGGAGACGATGAGATGAGAAGGGAGCGAAGGTAGGCGAAGAAGTAGAGAAGAGAGTCGAGGAGTGAGAAGCCATATTTTCAGGATTGATCCGAATGGGATTTGATGTTGAAGAAGATGGAGATGTTTTATGATAAGAAGTCGTCGTCGTCCACTGATTTTGACCGCTTCCTCTTTGTTCACTGTTAATAATTAAAAAAAAAAATACAGTCCCTGGTTTTGTTTCTCTTCTCTTGAAATTTCAAAACCATTTTCAACCAAGACTAGAACTCAAACCAGACACGCATTTGAATCACGGTTTAATTTGGTCAGACCGAGTTGAATCTTGCATGATAAACAACTTATATGATATACCTGATTCACAATCAAATCCAAATTTGGATTCAGTTTGGCTTTGCTAAAGCTCAAATTGAGAAATTAAACCAAATCAAACCAAACATTTGAATTAATTTCAATAGTATCCAATATTAAACCAAAACTATTTATGATGCCAAAGAAAGCTGTCTCAGGCTTTAGCTCCTCTTAATTCCTTCTTTCCCAAATAATGAAGCCCAACTGATGAAGCCCAAATTTGGCCCAAAACGTCTAGCCGGTTAACATTATCCCAACAAGGCTCCGGTTTAATACGGATATCAGGTTCCGGTTCACAGGACAAGACTTTTTGTTTTTCTTTGAACAAAAACACAAGGCGAGACTTTTGTTGTGCAAACTAGGGGTGGGCACCATTCCCGTCCCATCCCGTCCCGTCATATCCCGTCTCAGTCTCGATCCCAAATTCCCGTACTATATGGGAATGTGCTTTCCATATGATATAACATATTGATTCTCATTTGGGAATGGGACAGGACGGGACGGGAACGGGAATTCCCGAAGTCCTATTTGTTCCAAATTATATATAAATAATAAATTAAATATTTAAAATATATTACCAAAATGATCATTATTATACATTAATATATTATTTTATATAAACGAAAGTTAAAACTTAAAAATTGCACCTCTAAAGTTCTAATTTATAAGTTATAGTCTAAATGCATGTTAACTGCTGAGATTTAAACAGATTATGTTAGATTTTATTTTTTATTTTATTATATATGACTAATAGACAATATGTGGTTTTTTGTTTACTATTCAATGGATTATGTTGGTTTTTTTAAAAAAAATTGAAGCTTTTAAATTTTAATAATTAGGTTAAGTTTGATTTCATTTGTTTCTTGGTTAATTTATAATCTTATATGACATGTTATTATTATTTATTAGGATTTAGGAAATGAACAATGGACAAATATAAATTGAATTTTAATTTTTTTTTTTATAATTATCAATTTTTCATGTTATTATATTTTTTGGGAATTCTCACCTCATTCACGTCCTATCCCGTCCCATTCCCGTCCCGTCCCAAATTTTGAATGGAACACATATAGGACAATTATTTTGATTCCCATAATCCCGTCCCGTTTCCATTCCCGCAAAATCCCGTCCCATATTCCCGTTTGCCCACCCTAGTGCAAACGGAAGCTTTCGTTTCCCTCGCATGAGAAAATCAAGAGTTCTTGAACAAATGCTGGTTTCATAGGTTTTCTTCTTAAAACTCTCGGGAATTAAACGAAGCCCATTATTTATAAAAGGCCCAAATATGTTTACAAACCAAACATAATGGTGGTTGGGGAGGTTGGGGATCAAATCACGCAAACAAAAGGCAAAACTTCTTCACTTGCCCGGTGGGTTCAAGTCAATAGTCAAAAACTCTTTCCTTTATAAAGAAACAAACTCGCTTCCTCAAAACTTAAAAGCACAAAATGGCTCCTCTTCAATCTCCTAATATCATCGAGACCAGTCACATCTCCCCCTTACGCGGCACCGTTCCATCCACCACTCTTCCTCTCACCTTCTTCGATGCACCGTGGCTCTCTCTCCCACTCGGAGAATCTCTCTTTTTCTTCTCTTACCAAAACTCAACCGAACGTTTCCTCAGAGACTTCGTCCCTAACCTCAAACAATCACTCTCCATCTCTCTCCAACATTTCTTCCCTTACGCCGGTAACTTAATCATCCCACCTCGTCCCGACCCTCCCTACTTAAGCTACAAAGACGGCGAAGATTCTCTTCTTTTCACTGTCGCAGAGTCTGTCGGAACTGATTTCGATTGTTTGAAAACCGATTCACCTAAAGATATCAGAGTGTTACATGACTTCTTGCCCAAGTTACCTCCTCCTCTTGTCTCTCCGGAAGGAGTTCAGACGCGGCCGGCAATGGTGATCCAAGTCACCATCTTCCCTGGAAGAGGAGTCTGTATAGGCAACACATCTACACATGTTGCCGGAGACGGAGTGACCTTCACTCATTTCATGAAGTATTGGATGTCATTGACCAAATCCAACGGCAGTGGTCCTGCCACGCTTCTTTTACCCGCTCCGCCTGTTCACAGCTACAGAAGCATGATCAAAGATCCAGGCGAGGTAGCCGCGGGACATTTGGAGAGGTTTTGGAGCCAAAACTCTGGAAAGCACGGCTCACATGATCCCCCTACGAACATGGTCAGAGCGACTTTTACGATGAGCCGGAATCAGATAGACAACCTCAAGCATTGGCTTACAGAACAGTCTACGATACAATCTCCTGTTTCAACCTTCGTGGTGACTCTAGCTTTCACTTGGGTGAGCTTGATCAAGACACTTGTTCAAGACAGCGAAACAGAGGCTAATGGGGAAGACAAAGACGAAGAAGTCTTTCACTTGATGGTTAATGTCGATTGCAGGAATCGTCTGAAGTACAAAGAAGTTCCTATACCAACAACGTACTTTGGCAACTGTATGGCTCCTGGTATCGTATCTGTCAATAAGCGAGAATTGCTTGGACAAAAAGGCGTCTTGGCTGCATCAGAAGCAATCGCAGCGAAAATCAAAGATATGTTATCAAGCGACCTACTGAAAACAGCACCAAGTTGGGGACAAGGAGTACGCAAGTGGGTCATGTCCCGTTTTCCAACATCCATCGCCGGTGCTCCGAAATTGGGACTTTACGACATGGACTTTGGGTTAGGAAAGCCCTGCAAAATGGAGCTGGTGCACATAGAAGCAGGTGGTTCTATTGCATTCTCAGAGTCCAAAGACGGCAGGAATGGAGTGGAGATTGGAATAGCACTGGAGAAGAATAAAATGGATGTTTTTGCTTTGATTCTACAACAAGGGCTCAAGAAATTTGAAGTGTAGAAGCCCCTTTCTCATCCGACAACTTATTGCAGCAGTGAATCGGTCATTATTCTTAATTTCCCTTGCTTAAAATCACTTCTCCATCCGAGAAGTTAGATAAAAGCAAATAAAGATTTAAACTTTTACTAAGAACGCCAAACATTCAACCAGTCATGTTGAATTTAAAATTTTTTCCACTCTTTCTTAATCAATATCCTGATATAAGGTTTCCCATGAACAATAACTCGGAAACTTTATCATCAAAGAATAAGCAACAGTCAATGATTCATAACAACTCGATCCCTTCAGCCGAACAACACAAAACCTCATATTCGTAAGCTTCAAAACCACCATCACCATCACCGTCAATAAGAATTATACAACGTTGTTTTGATAATTTAACTAAGATCTCTAGAATAAAGGCAACAGGTAAACAAACAAAACAAAACTCAAGTGAACTTGGGAAGAGAATAATGTCGTGATCTTGTTTAACTCCAGTCTCATTGAAAAAACAAGAGATGAAGCTGATGAGAACACTCGCAATTTCCGAGTTTTTTCAGACTACAAGCACAACTAGAAATGTGCAAGTGTATAGTTTAAACTCGGAAGAACGTTCAGAAAAATATGAAAAACCAAAGAATTAAGGATGAAAATTAATGGAAAGTCTCAGTAAAATCCGATGAAATCAAAGAAATTGCAGCTTCTGCCAAGGGGTTCTCCCTGTAACCAGGGTCTCGGCTCCACTGCACCTCGTACAGTTGGATTACATCCTCATCAACTTTCCAAATCCAAAAACAAAAAAAAAACATGATTTTGAAGACAAAAAAAGGAATAATGTAATCGGCTCAGATATGAATTACAGCTTTTCTATCAAGAATTATCTGAAGCAGAACTGGCGTAACAAGCTGTTGAAATTAATCATCACTGCCACAAATCAAAACCAAAACTTTGAAAACTCAAAACAAAACAAGCAGTTGGCTCATATTAAGAAATTCAACCATGTTTTACCGTATATGCTTCATTGACCTAATGAATCTCAGAAGCGCGGGTAAGTTTATAATCACAGCCATCAACAAAACTCGATTCAAATCCATAAGAGATTTAGCCGTTTTATTGACACAGAAAAGCCTAAGGAACAAGGCGAGCCTGCAACACAAACGGCAAAAGCAATCTAGCAGGAGCTTTGGGGCTTACTTCCTCATCAACTTTAATCAGATTAGCCCGGGAGGCTCCTGCGATCCAGACAATCATAAACACACTATCGACTAAGCAATTGAACAACACAGATCTAAAGATGTATAATTGTAAGAAACGAAGAAGGAAAGAAGCTGGTAGTTTAAAGAGCTTCACGCGGCTGTTATATATAGCTAACTGTCGATGGTCAAAAGCCCTAGCACTTATTTCTGTTCTCTATACCAAAAGTCGAAATAGCCCCCGTTAATTGATTGCGGTTAAATTGTAACCGGCCTAACAAATACTTTAAAGAGTTGGTTTATGCCGATCTGGCTCATGTTCACTTTGCTTTATGTCTTGAGAGGTCACGTTTTCTAAGGCTCGGATGGTATTTGTTTTCTTGTAGCTGATGCCTAATAGTCAAAGCCATCAGTCCAAGATCACACAAAACACCAACTTCATTGGAGAATATTACTTCCTTCGAATTAATGAATATCAGTGAATTATGCAATCTTGATTTTGAGATGTGTATATAACGTCACAAAAATTTAATGAGAAGAATGGTAATAATATCTCTAATCTTTGAACAGACACCAACTACTACCAGGTGAAACCTTCACTCCTCTCTCCTTCATCTCCATTCTAAGTCGCTCTGCCTCTTCTTGTCTCCCTACGCTCATATATATCTTCCCCAACAGCACATAATTCGCCGGATTCTCTGGCTCTACCTTCCACAACTCCTTCGCAGCAATCTCCGCGAGCTCAACCTCGCCGTAGTTCCTACAAGCTCCAAGCAAAGCCCCCCATGTCTTAGCCGTTGGCTTCTCAGGCATAGCTTGGATCACTTTGTAAGCCTCTTCAAGCCTCCCTACTCTGCTTAAGACATCCACCAGACACGAGTAATGGTCCTTGCTTGCACGCAAACCGTAATCATCCTGCATCCTCTTGAAGTAAACAAGAGCCTCATCGGCTAATCCAGCGTGACTACAAGCCTTAAGCACGTTCAGAAACGCTACGTCATCGGGCAGCACTTTAGCAGATTCCATGTCTTGGAATGTTTTGAGAGCCGATGCCGCGTCACCGTGAAGTGCATAAGCAGATATCAAGCTACTCCAGGCGACCACATCCCTATCAGTCATGCTCTCAAACACCAATTGCACAGAGACAATGCATCCACACCTCCCATACGCCTCTACTAAGCCGCTTTTCAACTGCGGGTGAGGCTCAATCAGATTCCTAAAAGCATATGAATGAATCTCTTTTATCAATCGAAAAGCCCCAATGAGTGAACAAGCAGATACTAGGGCAAGAAGGGTGATCAAATTAGGCTTGAATCTAAACTCAATCATCTTCCTATAGAATTCGATTGCCCTGTAAGACCCATCTACTGTACCCACTAGACCCTTTATGATAGCATTGAAAGAAGACTCATTTGGCATAACGTCCATTGCATCATACAATTCCACAGCTTCCCGGATCTTTCCACAATGAGTATAATGTGAAATCATCGCGTTCCACACAACCGCATTCCTCTGAGGAATTTCGTCGAACAGGTTGCGCGCGTGAGAAACAGACACGCATTTGCCATACATATCGAGTAGAGCGCATCCCACAAATGGGTTGGACAGAAAGTTCGATTTGAAGGTGTGGGCATGGAGTGATCCGCCGAGAACAGGACGAAAGGCTGCAGCGCACGACTTGAGGGCGAGTGAGAAGACGTGTGCGTCGAGAGGTAATGCGAAAGAAGAGTGCATTTGGTGAAAGAGATTGAGAGCTTGTTCATGGTTCCCTTGGTTCGCGTAAGAGCTTAATTTTTTAGTGAGAGAGATTAATTTAGTGGAGTTGGACGCGTACGAGGAGGACATGGATAGCTTTCGGGTGTTTGGGCGATAAGAAACGACATTGACAACGTAAGTTGGCCTTAGTAAACATTAAACAAGAATAATATAATTACCATAGTGTTTATTGTTGATTAATCTGTTTGTAATGGATCGAACAAGAATGTCGTTGTAGTATAGTGGTAAGTATTCCCGCCTGTCACGCGGGTGACCCGGGTTCGATCCCCGGCAACGGCGCATTTTTTAATTCTTGTGTGTGAAAGCTAAATGGGTTTATGCTTCTTGGTCAATTACGGTATTCGGCCCACACATCATTCTCGGAATTATACATCGTCTTCCTTGACCCATCGAATTTCTAAGAAATTTCTATAACCAAAATTTGATAACCAAACAGGAAACAAACCAATATACAATGACATTTTGCATCATCATTAGATAGGTAACCTCAAAAATTCGACGCGGCGAAAGAGATACAGAGAGACATGGCAATTAATTTCAAAATCAAACATTTCGTAGCGTTATCTTTAATCGTTGGCAAGATCAAAATCAGTGGAGAATTTAATGAACATGGGCGACTCACCACATTACAAGCGATGAAGTACACGTGGCAACGGATAATCAATGCGTTAGAAAAGTACCGAAATTAACGGTGACAAAAATAAACGGTTCCTTTGGAGACTCTTGAAAAAGACATGACTAGTGTGAGATCAGTTTGACGACTTCGGTACAAGAAGAAGAAAGATCAACTGTCTTGGTTAGATTAAGTGTTGGCAATTGGAGAATGTATGGAGAAAATGATCATAAATCACAGCTGAGTTGTTTAGTTTACGAAACAAAACTGGCATACAAAGCTAATTAAAACCTGCTTTTGACACACATCAATAAAATTCTTAACAAAAACAGTTTTATCCAGATTGTTGCCGACCACGTCCAAACCGACCACGGCCCCTACCCCTACCACGACCACGGTGGCCCCTTCCCCGTTCAGAAGACTGCCCGTTGCTAAAACCTTGAGACTGTGGTTGCGATGGGGACTGCAAGTTAGTTGGTGACTGAGAGAACTGAGACTGTGGACGAGTTTCAGATTGTGGTGGCATTTGAAATTGCGGCGGGTTCATTGCGGACTGTGGCGGGTGGTTCATCATTTGGTACTGCGGTTGCATTTGGAACTGTGGGTTCATCGGAGTCTGTGGTCGGTGCATTTGGGGCTGCGGCTGCTGCATCTGAAAACCTTGGGAACCAAACATATTAAAATTCAGCTCATTCGGTAACTGCGGACGCTGTATCCCGCGGCCCATCCCAAACGGTTGTTGGTTGAAACAGTTCTGACCAACTAATGCAGGCCATGGCGCTGAAGCCTGTCCTGGGAAGAAGTTTAATCCCCCCGGTCCACCAGGCATCGACATCTGGCCACCATTGAACTGTGGTTGAAACATCATTTGATTCTGATTTTGCATTGCCATCAAAGGTATCTGCATTGGACCTAGATTCGGCATTCCCATCTGGTTAGGTGTAGGAGGAAGCTGATACGGGTTCTGCTGATTGCTCTGGGGTCTCCATGACCCACCATTTGGAGGAAAACCCTCCATCTGAGGACGCGGCTGATGATTCGGAACAGGACCACCCATTTGCGGTTCAGAACGGCTTGAGGATAGAGAACTAGATCCATGGTTCTCTGTCAATTCCCCTGAGTAACTGCTTGTAGGCCTTCCGTGATCCCGGTTTTTCTTCTTCTTGTTTCTTGAGTTACCGGTTTTTTGGTCATTCGCCATCCCTCTCTTTTCCATCTTCTGCATTCTTCTGTACTCGGCCTCCTTTTCATCATCCGAGAACTCAAGCTCGTCTGATATCTCCTCGTCGTTATCTCCAGATGCATCGTAACCTTTCTTCTGCAGTTCCTTGATATTGAGGATATGCTGGGCGAAATCCGCGACGAATGAGACAGATGTACCTTGACTGATACCCTCTGGCACTTCGCTCTCTGAATTGAACCTCACAATATAGTAAGGGCACTTTACAGGTCCAAAGATCTCATCCACAAGTCCCAATGGCGATCTTCTGTCAGTTATCCATAGGATAGAACCTTCAGTCAAAGGATTATGCTTTTCCCTCCCCTCAACTATCACTTGTGCACTCATTACCTGTTAAACAACAAATCACACACAGGTTTACTTTTAGCAGCGGATTGCTAAGATCAAACAGAGAAGCAATAGCATACAAGTAGAGGTAATTTTATACCGAAAGAACAACTCCAACAGGAAGCGTTACATGATGCGGTTCCAGACTGACATCGACAGCTGGAACTGGAGGAAGTTCCTGCAAAAAGTTTTAAAAAGTGGAAAAATCTTTCATAATTTACTCGACACAAAGAAGCCAGAGGATAGTCAACAGTTTTCTTGTTGCAATTTTTATTCAGTACTTTACAAATCAGTGGATCGTTCTTCTTTCAAATAAACAAACCCTTGGGCATTGGAGTTCGCAACAGTTACCGAACTTAGAGACACCAAAAGAGATCAACCACTAATAATAACTATGAAATGTGAAAGGTACCTTGAGCTCATTCTTTGACCTTATAGGATCTTTTGTTTGCAAACCGAGGTCCTCATCCTCATCATTGCTCCAAGCAATCATCTCATTCACTTCATCGTCGTCGTCATCATCATCATCATCATCGTCGTCGTCTTCAACCTCATGCTCCTCATCTACACTCTCTATCTCGCCCTCTTCAAGTTCCACTGCCAAATCATCCTCTTTCCCGATAACCATTTGATCTTCAAGCTTCTTTTCCTTCTTATTTTCCTCCTCTTCACTCTCCTCGTCATCACTCTCTTCTTCTTCACTGCTACTACTATCACTAGCGCTCGAAGAAGAGCTCGAGGTTTCGCTCTCAGACTCAGCAGTATTAGTTTTTCCCTTAGCCACATCACTCTTCTCATCATCATCCATGGTCAAACTGACCTTCTGCAACCCTACTTCAATAGAAGAAGCCAAACCCTCATCTGTTTTCTTCAATTCCGGTTCATCCAAATTCATGGTGTGAGAAGCAACATGCATAGTCTCACCTTCCATTGGCCTAGAGCTGTCAGAAACAACAGGTTCTGACTCTCTCGCTGCTGATTCAGCCACACCGTTAAAATTTGCAGACATGTCATCACAAAGCTCAGGCTTTACCTCAATCTTCGACTCAGACGTAATCGAGCTCACTCCAGTTTCTTCAGGGATGTCACCACAGAGCTCGGGTTTGAGCTCAATCGACTCAGGCATAACCTGAGACAGATAATCCGGACTCCCTTCCTCGCTAACAGTAACACCTTCTTGACCAATCTCCATCTCGTCCTCGAAAAAATCAAAGTCCGTATCGTCTATGCTAAACTCCTCAGTGTTCCGACTATTCCCCAACCAGTTGCAGGAATCGAAATCAAGGAAGGAATCGATGGAAGGGAAATCGAGGGAGTCGAAAGCTTTTACCTTTGAGTCCTGTTCGACTACTTCAACCGATAGCTCTTCTTCAGCGGTTTTAAGTGGCTTAGCTGGAAATCCAACCATGGCAAGAAGAGAGAGGGCGAGGAAGAACCAGGCAAGTAAAGTTAAAGAACATGACTTTGAGAGTAAAAGCGGCGATTAAGTTATAAAAGCAGCAAATTGGTCAAAAAACGGGAGGGTTTATCGCAAGTACGTTAGGGTTTTATGAGGAGCAGAGTGCGTGCCACTATCAATTAGGGTTTTACTCTCCCTTTCTCTCTCCCTCGATGTTACTCTCTACTCTCGCTATTTCTTTTCTTTTTTCTCGTCGTATATGAATTTATATTTTAATGATATCTACTATATATTAAAATTCAATTTTCTAGTCTATGTTAACACTAATTGTCAAAAATACTATTCAAAATAACTCCAAGTTTTACAATAAATCTTACAAAAGTATATTTAATTTAACTAAAATCAATTTCATTTAATAATTATCTCACTTTACACAGATACACAATAAATCGTTAACTATATTACAAAACACGCAGTAGCAAATTCGATTACAAAATGTATACAGATTTCACCCTTTTTACTGACTTCTTATAAGATAAAGCGGTCCGGTTTGATGGTTCTCCATCAAATTCAGGAACGTAGTTTCGTTCTCAAATATATTATTGTAATAATTGAAAGAAAAGACACAAAAGTTAACAGGTCCATTAAGGGCCCAATAATCGGGTCCTGAGATAAAACATATTAGATGAGCCAATAACATAATCGGCTCTGTTCATAAGCTTATTACAGGCCCAGTAATCGAATAACGTTGTTATTAGTTATTACAACGGTAAGATTTTGAAAATTGATACAACGGTAAGATTTAGAGAAGTTGTTACAACGGTAAGATTTAGAAAACTCTGATCAGTAAAACACTCGCTAAACGGCTAAACGGTCTCAATCATTAACTCTCACCTCATTTTTTTTTTCTGAGTCTTTCAAATCTCTCATTCTTCATCATGATCGTGTATTATCCATGGTCGCTCTCTGTTCCGTACGAAGTTCTAAATCATTCCTCCGTCCATTGCCAGAAATCGATCGGAGAAAGAGGAAAACATTGACTAGAACAAATTTGCGCCAATTGATGAAAGATAAGGTACTCTTATGTTGTCGATAACCCTAAAATGCCACTTCTGATTTTTTCTCCCATGAGAGATTTCGGGTTTGCGTTTTCGTTTCCTTGGTATTCTGCATTAAGCTATGGAATCGGACTTTGTCAATTTTGATTAGACTGTTTTATCGGCAATTTCGTCTTCAAACGTGAATTGCTTGTTAGTTTCTGATTTGGGGGATATCATATGTTTGCGGTTCTGAATTTCTGTGACTTTTAGAATCGGAGAAGAGGTGTTGAAGCGTGAATGCTTTTATCTCATTTTTTTTATTTTAATCATCCTGTGTATATGTTTGAACTTCCTTTGATTCTATTTTGATTGGACTGTTTTATCGGCAATTTCGTCTTCAACAACAAAAAAACGTGAAAAGTTTGTTAGTTTCTGATTTGGGGGATATCATATGTTCGTGATTCTGATTTTCTGTGACTTTTAGATTGGGAGAAAAGGGATCAGAGATGTTGAAGCGTGAACGTTTTTTTTGTATTTTAATCATCCTTTGATTCTATATTTTTCATCAAACAAATAATTGGACTGTGTATGTGAACTATGCAGGGTCTTGCTTTTGAAAATCTGGTTGCCGCTAGCTTTTTCTGGAAGTGAAGTTCCTGTTTGGTTCAATCACAAAGCTTCTGGACCAGTTAAAGCATCTTGGGATGCAAACGTTGAAGCAAGTTCAGCGGCAGGGGAATTTAGACGAGGTGAAAGTAGATGGATTTAACCAGCCTCTGGTAGTTTTTTGTTTTTCCAAAGCAGTCTAGTGTTTATTATTGCTTACTCATGTTTCTGGGTGTCAGGCAAAGCGAAGAAACATTTCAAAATGGAAACTTAACTCCTGTTTCTGCAACACTTGGCTAACCTCAAAACAAAACGTAAAATCTCTATTTCCTCTTCTTCTTTTTTATTTAAATGTTAAGAAAATCTCTGCTTCCTCACATGTTTATATTACATGGATTTGTGTAATTTCAGGAGAATGGTATGCGGCTTGCGATCAACAATAAAGCAACCTACTTGTATCAGCGAAGCCAAGGTACGAATTACCACAGTGAAAAATAATTAGGATATAATAAAAAAAAATTAAGATACAATTAACACTCTTGAAAATTTAAGGTATTTCCACAGTGAAAGAAACATGGGTGTTATAATATAAACGCAGACATGAAATTATATATGCTAGATTTGGTTTAAATTAGCCAATTAATTAATTTTAGATTGTTAGAATTATTATAAAAACTATAGTGCTAAAATTACAATATTGTGTAAATAAACAGAATATGGCATCTTGTCTTTTGAAAATATACTAGGTTTGGTTTAAATTAGCCAATTAATTAATTTTAGATTGTTAGAATTATTATAAAAATTATAGTGCTAAAATTACAATATTGTGTAAATAAACAGAATATGACATCTTGTCTTTTGATCGTTATTAGTGTCATATTCCACTTATTTTCACTTAAATTTATTTATGCACTTAAGTTTATATAGTTAATTCAATAACATTTTTTATTCTTCTTTAAACCAATTAGGTTAGGTTTGACACATGCTCTTGAAAATTTAAGGTTTTTCCATACTAAAAGAAACTTGGGTGTTAATTGCTTAGCTGAATAATAGGAATGCAAACATGAAAATATAAATTTAAGGTTTTTAAATTAACCAATTAATTAATTTAGATTGTTAGAATTACTATGAAAACTTAAGTGCTGAAATTACAATATTGTATAAATAGATAGAATATGGCATCTTGTCTTTTGATCGTTATTGGTGTCATATTCTACTTATTTTCACTTAAATGTATATTTATGCACTTAAGTTTATATAGTTAATTCAATAACATTTTTTATTCTTCTTTAAACCAATTAAGCTAGGTTTAAATACAATTCACATATTTTTACAAAAATAAGATTTTTCCATACTAAAAAAAACTTGGGTGTTAATTGCTTAGTTGAATAATAGGAATGCAAACATGAAAATATAAATGTGCTAGGTTTGGTTTAAATTAACCAATTAATTAATTTTAGATTGTTAGAATTACTGTAAAAACTTAAGTGTTGAAATTACAATATTGTGTAAATAGACAGAATATGGCATCTTGTCTTTTGATCTTTATTGGTGTCATATTCCACTTATTTTCACATAAATGTATATTTATGCACTTAAGTTTATATAGTTAATTCACTAACATTTTTTATTCTTCTTTAAACCAATTAAGCTAGGTTTAAATACAATTCACATGCTCTTGAAAATTTAAGGTTTTTCCATACTAAAAGAAATTTTGCTTAGCTGAATAATAGGAATGCAAACACGAAAATATAAATTTGAGGATTTTAAATTAGTTAATTAATTAATTTTAGATTGTTAGAATTACTATGAAAACTTAAGTGTTGAAATTACAATATTGTGTAAATAGACAGAATATGGTATCTTGTCTTTTGATCGTTATTGGTGTCATATTCCACTTATTTTCACATAATATTTATGCACTTAAGTTTATATAGTTAATTCAATAACATATTTTATTCTTCTTTAAACCAATTAGGTTAGATTTAAATACAATCCACATATTCTTAAAAAAATTAAGATTTTTCCATACTAAAAGAAACTTGGGTGTTAATTGCTTAGTTGAATAATATGAATGCAAACATGAAAATCTGAATGCAAGGTTTGGTTTAAATTAACCAATTAATTAATTTTAGATTGTTAGAATTACTGTAAAAACTTAAGTGTTGAAATTACAATATTGTGTAAATAGCACCCTAGGTATGGCATCTTGTCTATTGATCGTTATTGGTGTCATATTCCACTTATTTTCACATAAATGTATATTTATGCACTTAAGTTTATATAGTTACTTCAATAATATTTTTTTTTCTTCTTTATAGGTTTGAATACAATTCACATGTTCTTGTACTAAAAAAAATTTGGGTGTTAATTGCTTAGCTAAATAATAGGAATGCAAACATGAAAATATAAATGTAGTAGGTTTGGTTTAAATTTACCAATTAATTAATTTTAGATTGTTAGAATTACTATAAAAACTTAAATGCTAAAATTACAATATTGTATAAATAGACAGAATATGGCATTTTGTCTTTTGATCGTTATTGGTGTCATATTCCACTTATTTTTACTGTATATTTATGCACTTAAGTTTATATAGTTACTTCAATAATATTTTGTATTCTTCTTAAAACCAATTAGGCTAGGTTTGAATACAATTCACATGTTCTTGAAAATTTAAGGTTTTTCCATACTAAAAGAAACTTGGGTGTTAATTGCTTAGCTGAATAATAGGAATGCAAACGTGAAAATATAAATGTGCTAGGTTTGGTTTAAATTAACCAATTAATTAATTTTAGATTGTTAGAATTACTATAAAAACTTAAGTGCTGAAATTACAATATTGTGTAAATAGATAGAATATAGCATATTGTCTTTTGATTGTTATTGGTGTCATATTTCATTTATTTTCACACAAATGTATATTTATGCACTTAAGTTTATATAATTCCTTTAATAATATTTTTTATTCTTCTTTAAACCAATTAGGCCATGTTTGAATACAATTAAGGTTTTTCCATACTAAAAGAAGCTTGGGTGCTAATTGCTTAGCTGAACAATAGAAATGCAAACATGAAAATATAAATGTGCTATGTTTGGTTTAAATTAACCAATTAATTAATTTTAGATTGTTAGAATTACTATAATAACTATAGTGCTAAAATTATAATATTGTGTAAATAAGTAGAATATGACATTTTGTCTTTTGATGGTTATTAATATCATATTCCACTTATGTCACACAAAAGTATATTTATGCGCTTAAATTTATAGTTAATTCAATAATTTTTTTATTATGTAAACCAATCAGTTTTTTTTTGCTAATATGATGGATCCATATTTTCTTGATAAAATCATGTAATCATATTTTCTCGCTAAAAAACTGCGAAATTGCATTTTTCACTAAAACCAAAAATTATGTTCTTTTGTTTAATCTTTGAAATCACTTTTTCTCACCAAACTCCCAAAATATTGTATACACATTCTCTACTAAAATTCAAAATTATGTTTTTTTGTTCAAATCATGAGATCATTTTTCCCAGCTACATATTTTTTGTTTAAACTACAAAATCATTTTTCCTACAAAAATTGTAAAATCATGTTTTTTTGTCAAATTCACAAAATCATATTTGTCCGCAAAAATAATAAAATTATATTTTTAATTAAAACTGTGAAATTATATTTTTTTGGCAAAACAGCTAAATCACATTTTTTACCAAAAAATAGAAATTATTTTTACGTTTTTTAGTCAAATTTCCAGCCATATTGTCAAAGAATAAACAACTGAATGCGGTGAATACAAAAATGGTGAATCCTGAAATATATATGTCTGAATTCAAGTTTTACTAACATTAAATTTCACAAACAAAGGTTCTTTTATTGAAAAATTAATCAGCTTTGTAAATTTCAATTTTCCAGTTCTGTTTTGATAAGTGTACCAAACTGTTAAAGAAGTTGTTCACCTGTGATTGTGGCGCCTCCGATGAATCTCATCCTGAAGCGCCATTTCAGTCAACACTCCTCGCTATGTCTCAAGGCGTCAATTTCATCCTCTTCTCCGACGAAACAATCTCGGATCCTGGAGCTCTGTAAATCGGGTCGGCTCACGGACGCCATTCGGATCCTAAACGCAACAGACTCGAGTGAAATCTTTGCGAAGCCGAATCTCTACGCGCCTCTCCTGCAAACATGCACCAAAGTCTTCTCCTTTATCCACGGACTTCAGTTTCACGCCCATGTCGTCAAATCGGGCCTGGAGACGGACCGGTACGTTGGGAACAGCTTGCTATCCCTCTACTTCAAGTTGGGACCCGATATGAGGGAGACCCGGAGAGTTTTCGACGGGATGTTCGTCAAAGACGCCATCTCGTGGACTTCGATGATGTCTGGATACGTTGGGAGTAAAGAACACGTTAAGGCGCTTGAGATGTTCGCCGAGATGGTGAGTTTTGGTTTGGAGCCGAACGCGTTCACGTTGTCTTCGGCAGTGAAGGCTTGCTCTGAGATCGGGGAAGTGAGACTAGGGAGGTGCTTCCATGGTGTTGTTATTACTCGTGGGTTCGAGTGGAACCATGTTATCTCTAGCACATTGGCGTATATGTATGGTGTGAATCGAGAACCAGCAGATGCGCGCCGAGTGTTCGACGAAATGCCTGAACCAGACGTTATTTGCTGGACAGCAGTGCTCTCTGCGTTTTCGAAGAACGACTTGTACGGTGAAGCCTTGGGACTTTTTTACGCGATGCATAGGGGAAGAGGGTTGGTGCCTGATGGGTCTACATTTGGAACGGTTTTGACGGCTTGTGGTAATCTAAGGAGGCTGAAGCAAGGGCAAGAGATTCATGGGAAGCTTGTTACAAATGGGATAGGCAGCAATGTGGTTGTTGAGAGTAGCCTTCTAGATATGTATGGAAAATGTGGATCGGTACGAGAAGCTAGGAAAGTGTTCAATGGGATGTCTAAGAAGAACACCGTATCTTGGTCTGCCTTACTCGGGGGATACTGTCAGAACGGAGAGCACGAGAAAGTGATTGAGATGTTCAGGGAAATGAAAGAGAAAGATCTCTACTGTTTTGGGACTGTCCTTAAGGCGTGTGCTGGTTTGGCGGCGGTAAGACTTGGGAAAGAGGTTCACGGTCAGTACGTTAGAAGAGGCTGTCGTGATAATGTGATTGTGGAATCAGCTTTAGTTGACGTGTATGGAAAATCCGGGTGCATAGATTCTGCTACTCGTGTGTACTCCAAGATGTCAATTAGAAATATGATAACATGGAACGCAATGCTATCTGCGCTGGCTCAGAATGGAAGAGGTAAAGAAGCTGTTAGTTTCTTCGATGATATGGTTAGAAAGGGGATAAAGCCTGACTACATCAGTTTTATCGCGGTGCTCACCGCGTGTAGTCATACGGGTTTAGTTGACGAGGGACGAAACTACTTTGTATTGATGGCTGAGAGTTACGGGATTAAACCAGGGACTGAGCATTACAGTTGCATGATTGACCTTCTAGGCCGTGCGGGTTTGTTTGAAGAGGCAGAGAATATGTTGGAGAGAGCAGAGTGTAGAGATGATGCGTCTCTGTGGGGAGTTCTACTTGGACCTTGTGCTGCAAATGCAGATGCCTCCAATATTGCAGAGCGGGTTGCCAAGAGAATGATGGCATTGGAACCAAAGTATCACATGAGTTATGTGCTTCTCAGCAACATGTACAAGGCGATAGGTCGTCATGGTGATGCCCTCAAGATCCGTAGGTTAATGGTTAGAAGAGGAGTAGCAAAGACTATTGGACAGAGCTGGGTTGATGCTTAATAGAAAGCTATAAAGGCTCCTATCTCTCTAAGGGTCTTTGATTTAGCATTCATGAAGAAATGGTTTTTGACACCCTTAAACCAGACAGTTTTGCCCTGAGGGTCTCCATGTACTCGATTTATTCTTTACAAAGTAATTCAAACAACAAAAATTTGCCAGCCTTAGACTTTGCAGAGAAAACGGATTTGTGTCAAATGTTGTGTGGAGGATTCAAGATATGACAACAAGCCACCGTTGATACAATTTTCCAGTGGAGTGTTTTGTCTTCACAGTGCACGCATCAAGGTTGATTTTGTAGCTTCGCGCTTCATCTCTGCAGCTTTGCCACTCCCTCGGAAGTATGCATATACTTGCTGAAAATCGAGCAGTGCACTTCACGGGTTAGAAAAACGGACAGATTAAAGTGATTTAGGATGTCGATAAATTCTGGAGGACAGGAAGTTGAGAAACCTGAATAACCCAGATATTGAGAAGTGTTTCGATGCAGAAGAATCCCGCACCAATGAAATACAGAATCTGAGTCGGTGAAAAAAAAAAGAAAATTTGGTAAGACTGTCACAAGCCGAAGTTAAGTACTTGTGTATGGGCAGTTAAGGTACTAACCCCAACCGCCGCATTAGTAGTTAGAAGCTCAAGTGCTGGCAAGATACCTCTGTCCACAAAGCCAACAATACATGGGATCAGATGGAGTTCAACAAAGATTCAGAAGGTTCTAACATCTTCAACAAAAGACGAATCATCAAAAAAAGTTAATGAAAAGGATGATTCTGATGCTTTTATATAGAAGAAAACTCTTACGTGAGAGACTTTCCTTGAAAGATGACTGGTGGAGCAACTGCAGCAAAGCCGCAGAATGCAATGTGAAACTGGAAAAGTGCAAGACAGTGGAAACATAGAAAGCTTAGTGGTTTTATTTTGTTTCATGGCTTCCTGAAAAGATAATTGATGCAGAGGAAATCTACCAATGGGGGGATGCGATTTATCTTACCACGTAAAACACGAAAAAAGCTCCAAACTTCAGGGCACTGTCAGTTCTGCAATAGGTACGTAGAAAATATCTAAGATATCTTTACACCATTTATTCATATATACTTAGAGAGTTGTTTTTTTACCTGGTAGCTCGGTAAAGAGGACGGTACCACAAGACGTAAGCCCCAGGGACCCCGGAAATGAAGTAGATGACTGAGAGAAGCCATATAGTAGGGCCTGATTACAAGAAAAGCAAAAAAGATGAGCGAAGAGGAAATAACAATATGAATCTTGATCATTTGGGTAAAAAGAGTAACCTTCTCCTTTGATCCAAGCTACAGTTACTGCCACAATATTCCACAAGAGACATCCTACTAATCCTGCATATATATGGTTCAATAAACTTTTTGTCTTATCTGGCAGATCCAGGTTTTGTTGCAGCGGTGTAAGCCGGGTTGTACGTACCTAACAATGTGGTGAATGCGACGTATTGGATCTTCTGTAAGTGAATCGGAATCTCATTTGGAATGTCATGATGAATTAGAGGGAAAAACTCTGGCCAGTTCTTCTCCTCAATGACAACTCCAGCTGCCAAAACAACCGTATCACTATCAGGTTAGTTACAAAAACCCTGAAAACGCCATTTGAAAATGTAAGAAAAACAGATATCGAAGATTGTTTACATTTCGCTATTGCATCTTCTCTTCTTTTAAGCTCCTGCGCATTACAATGGGAAGAAGACCATTTAATACAATTCACATGGAAACTGTAGGTATCAAGATTTACTTGGAATTCGACCTATGAGACTCTGTTACCAGAAACTACCTGCTCTTTCCGCTTCAGTTCATTCTCCTTAGCCTGGAGTTCCATCTCTTTAGCTCGGAGATCCTTCAAACAAAAAACAGAGGAAATGAGATTCGCGTTTCATCGAACCAGATTTTGAGCATACATGAACGGTAATGAAGATGGTATACTGAAGATATGGTACCTTGCCGGAATCCAAAGGGATGTCAACCGTTGCACCACGATCATAAGGTTCCGGTGGAAGCGGCTTGAGATAGGAGTTGCTTGCAGGAGGAACACTTGTATTATTCTACAGCATTGTAAAATCGAGACCAAACGGGTAAGATTACAGAGAGATCATTCATTTATTCTAGATTCAAGAAACAGAGCTCATTACCGCAAAAGGATTGATCTCTTCTTCAGCAAATGGATTAGGATCGTGTCGTGCCATTTTCTTGAGATCGTTTGTTTTAGATCAAGAAACTATTCAAGAAAGAGTTTTTTGGAGATTGGAGGTCGTTGTATTTTGACAGAAATCGAAAATGGGAAGAAAATGATTTCAACGAATGAGTACTTTGTAGTCAGAGAGAGAAAACAAAATCAATGGCATTGTGCGCGCGAGAGAAATCGAAGGCATTTTAGAGGGTGCTCGCTTCGTTTGTGTCACACAAAGTTTCAACACCTATTCAACAGGAAAATTTTCCAATTTGGTTTCTGGTTCGGTTTACTGAATTTTATTCGGTTTTACAAGTCTTCTTCAGTTTGGATTATCAACGAAAGGGTACATAAGCGGATGGTATTGGATTTTTTTGTTTGGTTCTCAAATTAGGATTTTGAGCTTGGTTTTGTTCGATTTGGTTACGTGAGCTAAGTAACCCTCTAAGCCACTCGAAAGGTTTGAATCCCGAAATTTGCGGTTAGTGGCTCGAAAGTCACAGGTCACTACTTCGCCTGTAACACAGATCATTCTATTGTTAGTTTATCACACTACTTTACCATTAGCTCAACTCTGTAATGGAGCTTATATTAAAAGGGAGACACCTAAAAAACTAATTCATAAAATCATTATTTTAATGTTTTCGAGTTAGACATGTTAGCATGTTTTTTTTTTTTTTTTTTTTTGAATCCAATGAATCAACTTGATACTAATAAAAACCTGTATACAATACAGTAGCCACTAAGGTTGGTCATAAGAATTACAGTTTCTTGTCTAAGAAATGGCAATTAAAGGGATGCCCAAGAAGGATAAGGACATTCGTATTCCCATCCTGTTCCATGGATAAGGACATGTTAGCACGTTACAAAGTACAAACAAAGCACACACCAAAGACTGACAAAAATTGAAGTAAAACCGGCCAAATTTTTTGATCAAGGTTCTAAATTGGTCAACCACACAAAAAAGTTAACGCAATTTAGAAACTGCGTTCCAAATTTGTTTACAAAGTGCATGCGATTGATGTTTTACATTCATAACTAAACGACAAGAAAACTAAACGTAAACTGAATCAGAAGAGAAACAAAATTTAAAAGTCAGGATCAAAGGTTTCAAGTAAAGTTTTAAACTTGACACGCCTTTTAACACTACCCATTCTCTCATAACCAATCCCAATTTTGCTATGCATTAGCTTCATAGCTAAATCTGATTTTCCCACTTTCCTCAAGGCATTGATCATAACAGTACGGATCCTCCCAGGCACTTCTCTTCCTCTCTCAGTGATCCCATCAGCCAATTTACAAGCTTCCTTAATCCGACCAGCTTTACACAACGTGTTAATCATGTCTTCGCAAGCTGCATCAAGAATCACACCCATTGGAGCTAACTCATCCAAAATCTTACACGCTCTCGCCACTTTGCCCGACAAACAAAGCCCTGTCGATAATGCCCTGAAGCAAGCTGCGGTTGGTGTAATGCCTTTGTCGATCATCATGTCCCAAAGCTTTAACGCCTCTTCATTTCTGTGTTCTTTAAACATTCCGGATATGAGTATCGTGTATGTATAAACCGTTTGATCACAGCCTTCTTCTTCCTCCATCCTCTTAAACAGCGCTAACGCTTCATCGACTTTCCCAGACTTTGTGAACGCGTCCATCAGTGCATTGTAACAGTATGAATCCCTAGTGCATCCCTTTTCAGACATCTCTTCGAAAAGCCTCTCTGCTTCATCGACCCGACCCGCTTTTCCTAAACCGTCAATGAGACTAGAATAAAACATCGAATTGATAGCTAACCCTTTAAACCGGCAAGCCTCGAAATAGTCCAACGCCTCTTCCACTCTTCCACTTTTACACAAACCATTCACAACAACTGAATAAGTTACCACGTCGGGCTCAAACCCTTCGTTCATCATTCTCTGTAAAAGCCTTAGAGCGTCTTCAACACTTCCGTATTTCGCATAACCATCTATCAAAACAGTGTATATAGCTACATTTGGTTTAGACCCTTTACGGATCATATTCTCGAAAACAGCATACCCTTCATTCAATTTCCCCTCCTTGCAAAGTCCTCCGATCACTAAACTATACGCATGAGGCGGGACTTGAAGTCCCTTCTCATCCATTTCTTGATACAAAGCCACACAAGAACCAAAGTCGCTATCTGCATAACAAGCCTGGATCATTGTCATATACGTGATCTTATCAGCCTCAAGGCCTCTCGTCTCCATATCTCGAAGCTTCTCCATAGCTTTCTGTGTCTGTCCCGCTTTGCAGTAACCCTTGACCATCGTGTTATACGTCACAACGTCTGGTTTGATCCTGCCACTTTCCATAACCTCAAAAACACGCTCCGCGGAATCAACGAACGTCGAGCTCACTAATCCGTTCATCAGAAAGTTATAAGTATACAAAGTTGGCTCAATCCCGTTCTCTTTCATTTTGCGCCAAACCCACAACAACTCCTCCACCATTCCAAGCTTTCCAAAACTCTTTATCAAAGAATTCGACGCAGAAACAGTCATTGGAAACTCAAATTTCCTGATTTCACTGCAGACAAGCCTAATCCTGTCCACATCTTTCGCCAGAGCCAAAACATCAACCAAGGAGACATAACACTCGAGCTTATGCGTATACTTCTTCTGCTTCCCAGCCCAACAGAAGAAACGCCAAGCAACACCGGGATTTTCGCGAATCTCGTCGGATTTCAACACAAACGAGACGAAACTGGGAGGTAGTTTAATAAGGAACTTACGGCAGAAACCATCAAGATTCGATTCCATGGAATCCGAGCCATCGAGGAGGTTGAGAATTTGGCTTACCCATGGAGATGGCTGGAGATTACGAGTCGATTTCACCAAATCGGAGACATCGTTGAAGGGTTCGATCCATTCGGGAGGAGGAAGTGAACTGCTACTGAACACACACCTAACACTCGTCCCCGAGCTTGGCGAAGTCAAGCACTCTGAACCATCCGACAAAAAGCCGCCATTTTTGTGCAGACAGAAGCACTCTGAAGAACTACGCGGACGATTCAGAGCAGCAACATAGAAGGGCTTCCGGTAAAGTCTTCGCATCGGTAATTTCCTCAGGCTACCGGTGTTGCAGCGACATTGGCCATATAGTGGTACTCTTGGACATCATATTTGCGTTTAAAAAGTTATCTGTAGGAAATGGAGTCAAATGGTCCCATGGTCTAGCGGTTAGGACATTGGACTCTGAATCCAGTAACCCGAGTTCAAGTCTCGGTGGGACCTTTTTGGTTGCAAAAACTATTTTTCCTCACAAAGTTTCGATTTTTTTAGAGTTGTGAACATCAACCACTGATTTTATGGAAAAAATCAAAGACCTAAGACATTTACATATGCTTTATGAATTGACGAGTCCTATAAACTCCTAATGCTTGGGCATAGATGCAATCAGATGACTTTTTTTCTTTCTTTGGGACTAAAACCAATTCTTGAAAACAATCAAAAACCAATGTCTCAACTCTCAAGTCTTCGGTTTTTCACCAGAGAATCTCGGAAGCTGAACAAGCGAGTTCACTCGAGTAACGCCTTCTAGTCCCGACCAGTTCTGTTCTCCCTCCGTCGTTTTCTCCTTCTCTGCATCATTAGTCTCTGCATTCACGATACCGAAACTGTTGTGTCCTTGATCCGTCGATGATGATCTGACTGTGACGTTTCTCTGAAGACACGGTTCTGTCCTCTGGCTTTCGTCTGATTCCACTGCGTTTGTTGCTGAAGAGAAACCTTGTTCTTCGTAATCTGGTGAATCTGAGTCCATTTTCCCGTCTAGGAACAAACACACAACTGCACAATCGTCCATTTTCGAAGTCGGGTACTTTAGTTTCCACTCGCGTGCAGCTGAATCCACCACTAGCCTAGCCGCTGATGCCCGGCTTGAAGCCGATGCTACGACCTCAACCACTTCTTCGTTGCTTAGCACATCCCATACCTATCGAAACAAAGCTTGGAAGCATCAGTAAGAGCAGTTCATCTTCAAAATCTCAATGCTCAAGAGAATTGAATAAGTTCAGTGCTTACTCCATCTGAAGCCAAGACAATGAACTGATCTCTATCTGTAAGAACACGGTGAGAGAACTCGGGTATTGAAATCACTCCGTAGTCTTTCAGACAGAAATCACCAAACGCCCTAGCCATGGCTAACCCAGGAGCGTTATCAAATGGTAGCCAGACTCGTGGCACCTCTGGTTCGTCTTCCAGCGCAAAGACCCGACCTTTACACTGTTTGATCCTCTCTGCTTCCCCTATCAGAACCAAAGCAGTAACACCATTTCACAAATCAGACAACATGCAGATAAAAGTACAGATGTAATCAAATATTGCAAAAATATTGTTTAAGCATAAATACTTGGTAAGTCAGGCTTCAAGTCAACTGTAAGCTGAACTGCAACCATGGAATCGTTGCTATCTTTGGATCCCAGAATCGCCCGAGAATCCCCAATGTTTCCCATGAATAAATTTGACCCCTGAAACAATCAAAAACCAATATTTGAAACACAAGGAAAACTGATTTTGTAGCGAAAAATAAAGAGATGTTTTTGTTTTCAGGATAATACCTGTTTAATGATTGTTACAGCAGTGCTCCCACTGCAGAAGCATTCCAGATTAGGATGGGATCGCAGTTCCTTATCCATAGCATTGAACGATTTCAAGAAAGCTTCTTCCCACAAGAAATTCAATTTATCCACCTCACTAGATTCTTCCTTGTCAGCTTCTTGGCTGTCGAATTTGGTGCTTGTACGAGTTCCCATGGATCCAGTTTGCTTCGACTGAATTGAACTCAGGAAAGACAGTAACTTTACAGGCAATGATTCTCTGACTTTACGAGAAACAAGATGACCATGAGGACCATGTCCATCAAAAACACCGCAAAATGTCACATCTTTCGACATAAAATCCTACAAAAAAAAAAATACACCAAATCCTGCTTATTGGGGACACTCAAGGCTCTATAATAAGCAATTATTGAAGGAGAAGAAGAAGAGGAGAAGAAACTCACTTCCCACACGATCATCGCGTCTTGATTAATACCCTTGCGTCCTTGCTGAGTGAAAATGCAAGAACTCCTGCTCTTTCCGTTGCTGGTGATCCGATTCGGTATGGAAACCAAGTTGTGAAGCGAAACGATGCCCATTTTCTTCCCCATTTTGCTCCCACAACATCCCATCCCAAGACACGGTCGATGCATAGGCTCTTCATTGCTCCAATTACTCTTGGAGACACAACCCCCCATTGGTCAATGCTTGTAGACGATATGAATCTGATCGCAGCGAGGTTGTTAAAAGACAAGAAAGACTCCTCCTTTTGCACCAAAACCAGATCCCCCACCCCTCAATGCAAAATGATTTACCAACACATTTGGTCAAATCAAAGAGCTTTCACACGGGTTTCTTTTTTTTCCTATATTAAATACTCTTTGTGAGCAAAACCTTTTCTTCGAATCTTGGTCAATGATGATGCATGGACCATGAGCTGAAAACATTGCAGAAAAATGATTTATTGATTAGTTTATTGCAAAGTTCCAAAAAGGAAAAGCAGACTCCAACAAGTCACAAAGAAGAAAACCCAGCATGTGATCTTAGCTATAGAATATATATATATGTACTATTACTAAACAGCCTGTCCTAACTGTTTGTTCTTGAACCAGCCTTAAGGCTCTTATTGCTTCATGTTGGGTTTAGATTTTCACTAATCCTAGCGAATAAACTAATCAAAATAAGAGTCAAAAGACATGAAAACAGAAAAGAGCATTCAAATCAAGAACGGATAGTTTCCCCATGTGTCTTATAGGCACATGAATTCAGACGATTGTGATGTTGAGAATTATCATGAAATGAGTTTTGACTAAAACCAAAAGACGTGTCTAATCCTAATTCTGCAGCAGCATTCTTCACAGATGGTTTTTTTATAACCTTCACTAAACCATATGCATTTGATTTCATAGAACTTTTTCTTTCACATTTTCCCAAGGAGAAACAAAACTAAAACCCCCAAAGATTTATCTAGAGTAGTGAGAACTGAAATCTCCTGAAGTCAAAAGAGATAATCTTTGGGTTTTATATACATACATATATGTACTAATGCTGCAACCAGCCTTAACAAAATTGTAAAAACCCAGATTCTTGTAAATGTATATATTGCACGGATAGGTCAAAAGGTGGGATTTTTAAGTGGAAAGGCAAATCACTTTTGAGGAATCGGATTCAGATAAATGGATCTGAGAAAAATTCTCATAACTTCTTCCACGCTAATCCAAACAAGTAAGAGTTGAAAAGAGCAAACCAAAATTATCAGAGAAGGTCCAAAGAAACTCGAACGAGGCAAGGCAAATGAGATCACACAGTAGACGAGAGTAGTAAGCCCAGAAAGAGAAACAAACAAAGAATTTGAAAGGAATTTAAGGAATCCTGAGGCCAAACGAAATTACCTATGTGGGATGATGAACAGTTGATTCACAGACAATGACTACGGAAGTGCGAAAGAGAGAGGAGGAGATAGAAGAAGAGAGATAGAGATTTGTGATTGGTGTAGTTGAAGTCGATGATATGGGTGAGATCTCATTAATTGAGAGAAAGCGAAGAAGCAGAGAGAAGAAGATAAAAGAAAACAAAGAGTTTCCCCACAGAATCTTTTCTGGTTTTTCGCTTCTTTTATGAAAAGATCAAATCAAATACTTGCATGCTTCTTTTACTTATTAACTTTCTAAATTTCCTACATTTTGGGTTTTAATAAAATGATATTTAGCTTTATTAATAGTAGTAAATGCAAGTTACCAAGAAAAAAACATATACAGTAGTAATAATTTCCTATTCCAAGCTGTGTCTAATACATAACCTAACCATGTGAGAATATCACAAATATCAAATTCTTAGAGATGTTCATACTTTGATAAGTGATGTATATGGTTAGTTTTTGTTTTTGAGGGTTGTCCTAATTAAAGCGAATTAAATGGGAACTTGCAAAGACAGATGTCTTATTCAACTTTTCTCCACATCCTCATCCACTTCGTATTTTCTTCATATATTTTGTATGTTTTCAAGTTAAAAGTTTATGAGTTTCACGCATACTGAAACACTGCTTCACAAATTACATGGTTTAGTAGTCAAACAGAAATGTAAAGGCAATGTCTAAAAACTATATAAAGATCAAAATGCAAGCATTGAGGTGAACTCCAAAGATATAGTTTAAACAATTTTCGTTTCACAAATTAGAAAATGATGAAATCCAAAACACTTTATTATTATCAGTTTGGTCTGTGTTTGCATTGTAGTTTGTTAACGATTAGTAAAAGAGAAGGACAGGTTGGTTGGTGTATCGTGACTAAAAATGTGTATTAGAATTAGATGGACTTCACAGCTTCTTTCCCACTTTGTTCGGTTGACAAATCGTTCACGAACTTCCCGCGTTGGCCTTAGCTTTCGTTCTTCTCCTTTTCACACCTGGCCAATTTAAGACAACTTTAGCTTTCTCGTTTTTTTTTTTTTTTTTTTTTGGTTAAAGTCATATTTTTTCTACACTTAGTTTAGGTTAAAACAAACCAAAAATCTGGTACAATTACACTAAAAAAAAAAAAAAAAAAAAACACTTGATAAGTTTACCCAATTAGATCTTTGTATTATCATATCATGAATTAACAAAAGTCACATTTCTTTTATTGAGGAAATGTTATCACGTATGATTTGATTACATGATCGACCTTATTTTGTTGCTCATCTTGAATAAAGTTGTGTTATTGTTATATATCCATCTACAGCTTTGTTATAACTTTTTTCAAAAAGAGAAAGAGAAAGGTTCATCATAATTATCAATTTATCATCCCATGTGTGTGACAGCAATCGAAATGTCATGTGTTGGTGGGTCAATTTAATCAAATGCTATATCCTCCAATTGCATGCATTATCAAAATTTCAAAACTATACATTAACCAAGACCACGCAAATTAAACACACTTATCGGGTGGGTGGGTTAAGACTTATGGGCTTCAGTATGTGGATTTAAAATTATGGGCATACAATAACAAATGAGGCCCAACCGTTAAGAAACATATCTTAAGCTGGAAGTGGGACCCACAGAAGAATCTACACAGGAGAGACTCCATTGTTGGACTTAGATATTCTCCATGGCTCATCCTCAAAAACCTTACAATCTAGATAAGAAGATAAGGGACACGTGTCAAAAATCCAACATCCCCCAAAACATATCCTCCGATTACTAACGCACGAAACTCTTCACTCTCTTACACCTTTCCCCGAGTCCCGACAATGGCTTCAGCTTCAGCGACAGCTACTCTTCTCAAACCCAATCCTCCGCCGCATAAATCGATCATCACCGCCTCCGTATCTCCGCCTCTTCCTCCTCCACATCGTCACCACCTCCCCCGCCGCGATTTCCTCTCCTTATCCGCCACATCGACGCTTCTTCTTACACAATCGATTCCGTTTGTAGCTCCGGCGCCGGCTTCTGCCGCCGAAGACGAAGAGTACGTGAAAGATACGTCGGCAGTGATCTCTAAAGTTCGAACGACGCTCTCGATGGAGAGGACAGATCCGAATGTGGCGGATGCGGTGGCGGAACTAAGAGATGCGTCGAATTCGTGGGTTGCTAAGTACCGGAAAGAAAAAGCTCTTCTCGGAAAAGCGTCTTTCCGGGATATTTACTCGGCGTTGAATGCTGTTTCCGGTCATTATGTGAGTTTCGGTCCGACCGCTCCGATTCCGGCGAAGAGGAAGGCGAGGATTCTCGAGGAGATGGAGACTGCTGAGAAGGCTCTCTCAAGAGGAAGATAAATTTCAGTGAGACCTAACAAATTTCTCTTTTTCCCCCATTTTCTTGTTGATGATATTTTATTTTCCCAAAAAATGCCAATCGAATCATATGAGAAGAGAAACAATTCGCTCGCTTGTTTGTTTTTTTGTAAAATACTTATATCATGATGATAATTACTTAATTATCATTTATAATAGCGAATTTCAATTTCTAATTAAAATGTAGAAATTCGTAGTGTCTGAGCACTGCCCTCAAACAGCATTTTTGTAGTAATTTACATGTGTCTAAGCTTTAAATCTTTTTTTGTTCTGTTAATAACAAATGAGGGAGAGGGAGTGATGAATCATTTTGTAACCTGTTAATAACTACGGAGTAAGTCGTAAGTTTGGTTCAACTCTCCGTTGGTTTTGAATCTTTTGATGGTACATTAGTTAGACAAATCCCCAAAGGCCGAAACTAGGACTAGATTTTATTGCGTCAATTGCTTAGCCCAAAAAAAATATGTTGGGTCTATGAAAAGCATCTTCTATGGCCCATCTGAAAAGCCCATAAAGGCACACTGTGTGGTTGGTAGTTTTAATTTTTAAGTGAACACAACAAGCATACAAACATGTCACGTGCAGGTCTACTACAGCCGTGAGCTACCACATGGCTCGTATTTATTAAAACTTCATTAGTATTATCCATTTGGATTAGATTTGTTTTGTGTGTAACCGTAGCTGTTTGCTGCGTCTAGTTTTGTGATATTCAACGTAACTAATCACTACACGTGTCAGTGTCACAAACAGTCTACCAAAACAGTGCTGATTATTACTGGCCTTTTCCAATACGTCAAAATTTATGGGTTTAAAATAATCACCGTGTTTGCTGTTGTATCATTGCGCCTAATTTATGATGTATTTGGTCAATATTTAATAATCTTGCATCACTTTTTCCCGTAATCAACGATATTTAATAATTTTGCATTTATGTCGGTACGATTGCACGTCACCTGTACAAGTTTCTTTCATATTTTGGGAGTCTTTTTTTTCTTTTTTCTTTTTTCTTTTTTCTTTTTATCCTATTAATTACGCAAATTAAATTTTATATTTGGTATCATACAATACAACTGCATTATCCAAACTACTAGACTACAAATTTGGGTATATATGATGAAATGATAAAATTAATTGTATTTTTTAGAAAAATTAAACGACTTTTACCAAGCCATATTCCGTACCTTTTTTGGTTGAACTTTGTAGATAAATTATTCATTCATAAATTTCAGTATGATTGGATTTTTATATTTAGTAGGAGTCTCAGAAGATAACAACAAAACCACGTGAAGAAAATGAGCTGTGGTGAGTGGTTGACGAAGAAAATCGGTCAAACTTAAAACATACTAACTCTTTGATTAGATTTATCTATTTTCCTCATTTCCTTTTCTGTATCTTTTTATATTATCATTAGTATTATATGATGGTGGGATTGCCTTCTTCTTATGTCATCGCTGGGTTCTTTGATCATCTTAAAAAAACCCAAATATCCAAGAGGTAAAATTGCAAAACATAAAAGCCAAAACCATTCCAAAATTTATTTGACACATCAAAGAAGAACACTTGACGAATCGTCGCGAGCAAAGCAAACGTTTTTCTATTATCGCACCCGATTTCCCGAGAAAAAAGTTTTGTCTTTCCCGGAAAAATCTCTTTCCTTCATTCAACAAAAGTTCAGAAATTTTCTATTTTTCCCTCATTTTCTGGCTTTACCATTTTATCTTTCACCCTCGCTGTGTAACTTTTGTTTTCTTTTTCCTTTCCCACAATCAGTTTGATTCCTGACATCAAAAATAAGAGATCTCGACGCGTGGCTTCGAAATTCTCTGCAAGAATCAATCGCAGGAAAAAGTAGAAAAAAAAAAAAACTAAGAAACAATATTCGATCTTGCTTACTCATTGTCGTCTGGATTGTGATCGTTCTTCTTCAGACATTTCTTTAAGAGAATCGATTTTCTCTTCCATACCTTTTGTTTTGCTTGTCCCATAAATTCAGCCTTCATAACGTCAAAGGTCAGAATACTCGCTTGCGTGCCTCTTTCTCTAAAATCCCCATCTCTCCTATCCAATTACCATCTCTCCCACTGAAGAAGAAACCCCATCTTTCTCTCTCTCAATTACTGTCGAGGATCATGGTGAATGGTGGTAAAGGGTCAACGAAAAAATCGAACCTTGATCGATTCCTCCATTGCACAACACCTGTAGTGCCACCACAATCTCTCCCCAAGGTTGGCCTGAGCTTTTGAAAACGTTTCATTCTGTCTTTTATCCAATTGCGAATGTAAATCGCGTGATTGTTGATGGGTTAATTGGAATTGCAGGCGGAGATTAGAACCCTAAATCGATTGTGGCATCCATGGGAGAGAGAAAAGGTGGAGTGTTTCAGGCTGAGTGATTTGTGGGATTGTTACGATGAATGGAGCGCTTATGGAGCAAGCGTACCTATTCATCTAACCAATGGAGAATCTCTGGTTCAATACTATGTTCCTTATCTCTCTGCCATCCAGATTTTCACCTCTCATTCCTCCTTGATCCGATTAAGGTTTGATCCTATTGTCCTCTGATTGCATTATATCCCCAGATTGAAAATTTTAAATCTTGGTGAACCATTTGATCTGGCTATTGCCGTCAGAAAAGGCTGTTTGATTGAAATTTTGGTGTTGGGTTGATTAGGGAAGAGTCTGAAGACGGGGAATGCGACGGTAGAGATCCGTTTAGCGATTCAGGTAGCGATGAGAGTGTCTCAGAGGAAGGACTTGAGAACAATGGGATCTTGCACCCGAATGATCGGTTGGGTTACCTTTATCTCCAATACTTTGAGGGATCAGCTCCTTACACCAGAGTGCCTCTCATGGATAAGGTAAATAAACCTTGTTTTCATCTCACGTATGAGCTTGATTTTGACACTTGAAAGATGATACGTGTTGATGATTTGATTCCAGATCAATGAATTAGCTCAAAGATACCCTGGACTGATGTCGTTGAGAAGCGTAGATCTTTCTCCAGCAAGCTGGATGTCCGTAGCGTGGTACCCGATTTATCATATACCAATGGGAAGAACCATTAAAGACTTATCCACTTGTTTCCTCACTTACCACACCCTTTCTTCTTCTTTTCAAGGTGCATAGTCTCTCTCTCTATCTCTTTCTCTATCTACTTACACCAAATCACACTGGGGTGTTTAATGCTTTGTAACATTACAGATATGGAACCGGAAGAAAATGGTGGGGATAAGGAGATGATGCAGAAGGAAGGGGAAGACATAACTCCGGTCCCGTTTGGGATGGCTACTTACAAGATGCAAGGCAATGTTTGGCTTTCGCATGAGCACGATGACCAAGAGAGATTGGCTTCGCTTTATAGCGTTGCGGATTCTTGGCTGAAACAGCTTAGGGTCCAACATCATGACTTCAACTACTTCTGCAGTATGTCGATGGCTCATCGTGGCTAAAACCCGGTTCGGTGACTCGATGTTTGTTTGTTTACTCATAAAGTCTCATCCTTGCTCTGTTTTGGAACCGCTGGCGTTTTCTAAAAACGCAATTGAGTGATTTGGCTTGACAGCGCTTTGGTTAGAATAGCGTTTTGATTCCCCTAACCTTTTGAGAAATATATGTCGTATATATAGAGTTTGTTGCTTGTTGAAACAGAGTAAATTGTTGTTTGCTTGTTAAAACAGAGTAAATTGTTGTTGCTTGTTGGAACAGAGTATATTGTTTCTTTGTATGTTATGACATTGTCGAGATGAACTTAATGCCTCAGTACCGTTACTGAAAACGAAGTAGCCATCATGTTAACAGCAATTGCTTCATTTACATTTATTTGAAATTATGTATATATTTCTCTAATACTACAAATATTCATTGTGAAAACGTAATGGATGGAGCATAATTATAAAAGGATGTTAATAAATTACGTGACGTCAAAAAGAAAATGATTGATATTAATAAAGTTGGGTAGCTTTTGCTCTCTGGACAAAAATGTCAAATTTATGAGAGGACAAAAAAAATCAATTGGGAACAGTGGGAAGTTTGACTTTTATGGAATTTGATGTTTCGTTTTGTTTAATTTCTCCGCCAAATTTTATAGAGATAACTGGTATTTAGTTACTTACTGAAAACGAATCATTACCTAGAAAATTTTAAAGAAGGAAAAATGTTTTGGAAGGATTAATTATTAAGGCTTGATCACACACTATTTTATCGAAATTACTCAAAAACGAACAACAAATGTCTGAATCGAAGAAATAGATATTTGGAATTTATATAGGAATCGTGGAAATGTGGTTGAAAAGTTGAAACAGGTAAGGCATCTTATTCTTCACGTTAGGTTTCAAAAGTGATCCTTCTCTTTTGTTTTATTCAGTGGATAACCTCATATATCCATTTTACGAACCCCAAAGCAGACGTAGAACCTTATCTTATTTTGATTTCATTTAGAATTTATATACAACAGGACCATCATTTTAGACCGACTTTTCAAAATAACGGTTAGGATGATAAAATAAATGTCGAGTATCTAATTATTTTGGTCTGAAGATTATAAATCAATCACGAACACCTAATATACAAAGAACCGACAAATGAAAAAAGAGTTTACTAGTACTAATTAATTCAAGTACAAAAGTCAAAGATCTCACGTTCACTTCTTAATTTCTATACCATCATCATCAATGTTTTTGTTTACTTTTTTTTTGAACACTTATCATCATCAATGTTATCAAACAAGGATGCATCATACCGATATGCTCACGATCTACCTTCTTCGCATTAATTAACATTTTATTTTCGTTCATAAATTTAGTAAATGTACATAAAAGTCGAAATCAAACTAAATGAAAGAGTAAAAAAAAAAAAAAAACTATTGGAACAAGAGATTATAGGCAGGGAGATCTTGAATCCGATGAATATCGTCCAAAGAAAGCTCTCTCTCTAGCTGATTCCGAGTCGCCTGCAATACTTCCTGATAATCACACCCACATTAATATAGACACAATCAATCTTCAAGAACTGGTTATCAAATGTTATGTGGAAAATTAGAGAGATTCGTCAGTCACATACATTGAATTCCATGTAAGAAGCGTGCATGGCAAGCCATTGAGCATCCATCATTGCGAAAGATATACAGTATAGTACATCGAATGCCTTCTCGTCTTCTGTACATTTTTTTGTGTGTGGATTTAGTTCTTCATTATTCAGCGATTATCATACAGTATAGAAATATAAATATCAAAATTTTACCTTCCAAGAGTTTGAGAAAATGTATTCCTGGAAGACATTTCGGCTTTGCTGCATAATGACCAAACAAAAATCTATAAGGTTTTTAATCGAAATTGCCTGAGAAAACTAGTCTAGAAATGGGGAGTTCATCATCGATCAAACTCATATAAAATTATATAGACATGAAAGATGGAATAGTATAATAGAAATCTAATTAAGGATGGTAAATAAAATGGTGATTAAAGTTCGAAAACCAGAAAAGGTAATTAATTAAGAAACGTACGAGTATTTTGTAGATCGAGCATTTGAATCAGCATGAATGAGATGTTGATTCCGGCCACCGCAAAAGGGTACTCCCACTTTGCCCGGTCGCCTCTTTGTTTCAGTAATAGCCTCCGGAAACAAGCCTTCACATTTTTCATTTGTAAAAGCATAATATATTTATATACAAATTCATGTTTTTAGTGGAGCAAAGAAGTAATATGAGAAAGCCATATGAATATGTTTATGAGTAATTACCGGATAAGTTCTTGCGGAAAATAGCAAATTCTCTAGAGCGATAAACCCGCAACCCCTACAGAGAAAATGTTAAACGAAACACTATTATTTTTTACCCTAAAGATGTTTATACAGTTTCTGGAGCAAATTTTAGTATATACACCCAAACTTACCTGAAATCTGTAGATGGATTGGGACCTTGCCATCCCATTTCTTTCCATTGTTCTGTAACTAAACCTGTGAGACTAACATTCGGAAATGCAGCATCCCACAATGCTCTAAGTGATTCCTGCCATTTATTACGCAATAGTTATATATTTAAATCGTTCGATTACTGTTAAACACATCTTTAGAATAATGCTTATTCACCTACCTGATGGTCAGGACGTGTCTCGTCAAAAGGTACAAGCAAACGATCATGCAGCCTTTGAAGTCTTTCCTCCTATGAATGATCGAATATCCATAAATGTTATAATGTCTTAATCTTATATGTACATGAAGCTATATGAAACTTGTGATTATGTTAACCTGAAGAGGAGACAATGTGTAGTCTATTGACTTGTCTTGTCGTCTATTGGAGCGTGTGAAGAGACCTCCTATCCATGATCTTGTTCCAACCATAGCCGTGGCTATAACCACCGGTTCACTGAAACACTTATACATATGAGATGATAGATCTAATTAATTATTACATAACTAATAAAGTAACCACACACACAGACACATCAATATGTATTCATATAAAATGTGTTTATCACTACATCGCGTGATCTCTACTAATATATATATATACTCACTAAAACAAATATATTTAGCAAATTGAGCAATTACGTGATTGGAACTACTTGACCGCTGCCTTCTCGGCTCTTTGTTCCCTTTTTCTCGCCTTTCCCACGCTTCATCCTCCTCTACCTGCACACATTTTCAGATGTTTGCTCTTGAAATTAGCAGAACACATTGTACTGAAACGGTGTCCTTTATTACACCAAATTTGATGAAACAATAATATGATACTAGCTTTAACTTTAAAGATATGAAGAAAATAACCAAGAGATGATTACTTGGGGAAGAAACAAACAAGAAGGAAAGTATTGCCTATGCCTCCTGATCTTCATGAGAGGGACACAAATGTTCAAAATTAAGAAGATTAACAAACGATATCTTCTAAACTAAGAGAGCCAAAATGTCTGAGAACGAACAAAATTTATCACAAAACCAAAAAATAAATGCTCGTAGCGAAAGAATTTAGCTATTACCCTAAATGCAAATTAAAAGAGTCATCAAAACAGAGATTACTCTGGAAAAAAAGAAAGTATGTAAAACATAATTACGCAATTCTGATGGTAAAAAGCTTAGACTTCTCCGAAGAAACTTGGAAAAACAAAGGAGAAGGATGATTTATACAGAGTTAAGTTGATCACAGATAGGTTTTAGTGTTTTTTTGGTTGCGTACAGGTCAGAGCTTAATGTTTTAAAAATAGAAATATATTATTGATTATTTACCACGTTTAGCTAAACTAGACAGAATTGTGGGCTGTTTTACATAAATTTGTAATTTCTTACCTCTTTAATTTGGGTTAATTTAGAAAAAGACAGGAACATGATAAAAAATTCAAAAGCGTAATGAACGATTATATATTCACTCATGTTCCATTCTCAAATATTCAACAATTCATCATCATTTCCATTTTCACTTAGTCACCTTTTTGGGTATAATTGGACACAAAGTTGTCTCTAGAAGTTGTAACTAACAAAATAGCACAATTTCAATCAAGAAAACATAATAGCGCAATCAAAGGGGGTTTTCTTTTCAATGCAAATACCTTCAAAACATAATTTTCAAACAATGTATAATTACGAGCAAATCGATATGATTAATTCAAAAGTCGAAGAGAGGAGAAAAAGTTACCAGTTACAGGCACAGGAACAAGAAAATGAAGGAGGAGATGGTCTAGACACTGTGACGGAGGTGACAGAGGAAAGAGAAGAAGAAAACAGAGGAGAAAGAAAAAGAAAACAGAGGCAAAAATGGACTTCTTCATTGGAATTTTGCAACTTTTAGAAATTGCAGAGGATGAAGAACCAAAAGTGTCCCTTTCTTTTTTCTCTTTCTTTTTTCTGTTCTCTCTCTCTCTCTAATCTCTCCGTTGACCGTTAAGTTGCCGCCTTCTTCTCTCTTCCACCAAATTATGCTTGGCACATTTGGACCGTGCAGATCATTTACTCTTTACCTACCAACGGTGATCAGAAACAGTTTAGTTAACAAGCAATACAGACGAAGCCCATCCGAAGGCCCAACAAGCGAGAGATAGATTTTCAAGGGACTCAGAAGAAGAATCCGAAACTAGTGATCTGATTGGTCGAGGGAAAAGCTTTAGCCTTGAAGACACGTGTCACTAACCCGATACTACTACCTTATCTTTTGTCTCTCCCTCAAGTCGAACAACGTCGAAGACACTGAACTCTATAGCAAATTCAGTTCCGTACAGCAATGGCTCTTCAGGCTGCCTATTCGCTTCTTCCTTCTACCGTTTCAATCCACAAAGAGGTATGTTTTCGAAATATTGATTTTGAAGGAAACGGGCTTTACAGTATTCCGATAAAATGGAGAAATGTCTCAAGAATTTACCTCAATGCCATTCGTGATTTAGCAGGGTAAACTCACTGCTTCTTTGAAGGAGACGACTTTAACTGGTCTGTCTTTTTCAAACCATCTCAGAGCTGACAAAATCTCCACCCTGTTAACCGCCAAGGTAAAATCAATCACCCTATCAATGTTCAATTCTCAAATACACGGAACGCTATTGAGAATGTCCTGAGTGTTACTCTGCAACGTTGCAGGAGCAGAGAAGACAAAATCCGAGGTTTTCCACTGGTATTCGTGCACAGACGGTTACAGCAACTCCGCCGGCGAACGAGGCATCGCCGGAGCAAAAGAAGACTCAGAGAAAAGGCACCGCAGTGATCACCGGAGCTTCGTCTGGTTTAGGTTTAGCCACGGCAAAGGCTTTAGCAGACACAGGGAAATGGCATGTGGTCATGGCCTGTAGGAACTTTCTCAAGGCCGAGAAGGCAGCAAAATCTGTAGGAATGTCTAAGGAGGATTACACAGTGATGCATCTCGATCTTGCTTCGCTCGAAAGCGTGAAGCAGTTCGTTGATAGTTTCAGGAGATCAGAACGGGCGCTCGATGTTCTTGTCTGCAATGCCGCGGTTTACCAACCCACTGCTAAAGAACCTTCCTTTACAGCTGAAGGGTTTGAGCTAAGCGTTGGGACCAACCATCTCGGCCACTTTCTGCTTTCAAGATTGCTTCTTGATGATCTGAAAAAGTCGGATTATCCATCAAAACGTATGATCATCGTCGGATCTATTACAGGTAAAATAATAGTCAACTAGTCTGTTCCCTCCAAAATGGTTCCTTCCTCTTTTCAGACAATGAATGTTTTTGTTTCTCCTATGTTGTTGCAGGAAACACAAATACTTTGGCTGGGAATGTGCCGCCAAAGGCAAACCTTGGAGACCTGAGAGGCCTAGCATCGGGGTTGAATGGGCAAAACAGTTCGATGATAGATGGAGGAGAGTATGATGGAGCCAAAGCATACAAAGACAGCAAAGTGTGCAATATGCTGACAATGCAGGAGCTTCACAGGCGTTACCACGAGGAAACAGGTGTCACGTTTGCTTCTCTCTACCCTGGTTGCATCGCTACAACCGGGTTGTTCAGAGAACACATACCGCTCTTCCGGCTCCTGTTTCCGCCTTTTCAGAAGTATATCACCAAAGGTTATGTATCTGAGGAGGAAGCCGGGAAAAGACTAGCACAGGTCAGTTTGTGAATTTGGTTGAGTTCTCTAAGTAATAGTACCCTGTAGACACATGCTTGATTGATAGTTTGATACTGAGGCTGTGGTTTGTGTAGGTTGTGAGTGACCCGAGTCTTGGAAAGTCAGGGGTGTACTGGAGCTGGAACAACAACTCGTCTTCGTTTGAGAACCAGCTCTCCAAAGAAGCAAGTGATGCAGAGAAGGCCAAGAAACTGTGGGAGGTTAGCGAGAAGCTTGTTGGTTTGGCGTGATGCCAAATGCATTCTAGCTGCTTAACAATCTTTTGTGATATATGTGTACCATAATGACTATATATTGGAAGTGAGTGAAGTTACAATATAGCAGAGTTAATTAATTAGTCGAGTTTCAAATCCAGGAACACTTACAATTAGACTGAAGACTGGTAAACTGCTTGATAATTTTAGGATTCGAAGATATCTCTCGATTTCTTCCTTTGACGACTTCGCTTCCCATCTCTTCTCATAGTTCCTTTTGCGTGGCTTTTGGCAAAACGACGCTGTTTTGAATAACCTAAAAAAAAATTAAAATGCGGTGAGCGTGGATCGAACACGCGACCTTCAGATCTTCAGTCTGACGCTCTCCCAACTGAGCTATCCCCGCTGATGGCAGTTGTGCAGTAGTTCTATTTAAATAGTAGCAAACAGAAACTCAGTCCAAAGTCGAACATCATCATCTTACACCATTTCCTTGCATCCAAAACACTAATTCCATATCATGTGAATTCCAGAGATAATTTTGAGGGTCGCATAAAACAACCAAAACCCGGTAAATATATATATTGATGTAGAAAGTGATCAGTGAGTGTGTAGTGTTTGTACATTCACCAGCAAAGATCTGAAAAACTTTTTATAGCTCCTATGAAAATATTTTTGTCTAGATGGAGTCATCAGAATCTAGGTACATTCTGTAAGCATCTCTATCCGCTGAGTAGTAGCTTTTCACCACACAGTCTACTTGGAACCCATGTTTTTTGTACATATTCACCGCAGCAACTCTCGTGGGGTCGACATGAAGTGAAACACGTTGCACCTTTCTGCTTCTGCACTTGTCGATAGCCGCTCTCAACAATGCTTCTCCATGGCCTTGTCTCCTGCAATTCTCCTTCACTACATAATACATAAACAACAGACGTCCTTTTCATCAATCTTTTAGCATGCCAAAACACAAGCGCTAGAACAATGTAATGTAAAGATGTTGTCTAGTTCAGAATTTCTATCGAAAGCTCTCAACTTTACAAGAATCAATGGTTCCTTGACTATATATATTCTGCAGGTGTATTTACAGGTATTTCCAATTCGTCTTCTTCACAAGCTTTAACCTTTGGAATTATTATTAGGAGTGAATTATAATTCACTGCGTTATTTCGTCGAACAGTTGGTCGACATCTGCCTTTACCTGCGAGCTTGGTGATGGAAGCGGAAAGCGAAGACGGCCAAGAATACATGGCATAGCCCACAGTTTCTCCGTCGGCGTCCACGTATAGCAAACCGGCGTTTCTCTTGCGCAGCTCCCCGTCGAAAGTTTGGGCGAGAGATTCGTGTTTAGGGAATGTTTTCTTCTCCAGCTTCACGATCTCTTCCACCACTTTGGCCCAATTACTCGAACCTTTAGTTAGTTCCATCACAACTCCTTTCTCCATTATAGAAAGATTCTCTCGCTTAGGGTGGATGGAAGAAAGGTATCGCCTTTGATAATGGTGTTTTTGCGACGCCGGCGACTTTATAAACTATATGAAATTGTGATATGTTTTAGTTTTGTGACAATTTAGTCCCCTGAAAGAGAAAAGAGGAACACAATCCACCAAGTAGATGATTTTTTTGTGTGCGGATGTTTAATTCTTTCGTTTTGAAGTGGAAGGAAGAGGTATCGCCTTTGATGATGGTATTTCTGTGATCGCGGCGGCTTTTAGAAATTGTTAACACAAGTTTTAGTTTTTTGACAATTTAGTCACCCGAAAGAGAAGAGAATAAGAACAGCATCTGAATGCAGAGGAACACAGTCTAAGACTCTAAGTGACCATAATGAAACTACAAGAATACACGATTAGATCAGTTGAAGTACATTTCTAGAATCAAAGCTTTGTTTACATGGAAGAAAGTTGTTATTGATTCATCCATTGAAGTACATTTCTAGAATCAAAGCTTTGTTTACATGGAAGAAAGTTGTTATTGATTCATCCATTGAAGTACATTTCTAGAATCAAAGCTTTGTTTACATGGAAGATTGCAGAGAGAAACAATAAATAAAGGATCAGAAATAGTGCTCTAGATAATAATGGATTTGAACAGTAGAGAAAACATTTAGTTTCATTCCAAGTCATCGTCAGTATCATTCCACACAATGAGCATAAGAAGCCAAAAAGGGTAACGCAAGACATACCTGAACAGGGGTGGACTTGAAGTATAAGGGCAGATAAAAGGAACTACCAGCAGAAAAAGCATGCCCAAGAAGACGCCGCCTGATGCGGCGAGCAACGCAGGAAGCCAAACCTGGTTTCCCAGCACTACAAACATACCAGCTAGAAATGCGAAAGACATGGAAATAAGAGCTAAGCCAAGAAGCGGCAGGACGACCTTGAAGACATTGAGGATCAACACCAGATCACCAAGTTGTGCCCATATGAGAGCAACGGTTGTGAGAACAGCACTGTACATTGCTATTGTGTTGGAAACTACAAAGACTTGCAACGCAATTGGTTTATACCATTCTTTTGTCTCCTCAGCTACTTTTGTCACACTGAAAGCTGCAGAAAATGCCACAGTTGCAACGAGTATAGCAAGCAGCAGCAGAGTGTTAACTCTATCTTTGTACTTTTTGGCCGATGGCATCTCATTGGCCTGGATGATTCCTTCCTGAGGCCCAGGTACCAAAAGTGGATCATAAGGCATTAGTTTTAGAGCCCTTGGTGTACCAACACATTCTAAAGCCATCCATGTCAGTCGCTGCAATGGAAAAAGCAGATATAAATCATTCCTAAATCCCTATGCGGGTATCGGATAGTGTGAGTTTAAGGTCTAAAGTCTAAAGAATGTACCTCGCGGAAAGTGGGGTTCAATTCCATACATTCTTCAGCTGCATCAAGAGCTGTAAAGCCCAATCTGTTCTGCTCACCCACATTAACCCTTTCGTCGTTTGTAAGTGTATGCACAATCTTGGGATACCAGAACATTGTAGCCAAGTGTAGTGGAGTGTTTCCTTGATAATCCTTCTGGTTTATGAGGCCTGCATACCTTTCGGTTCTCAGAATGTATTTGACAACTTCGTTTTTCCCACATTCAGCTGCAATGTGAAGGACATTTTGACCTTGTAGGTTAAGTAGCTCTATCGTGTCAGGGCAGAATTGCAGGATAGCTTGCAGAGCACCCATATGACCTCTTCTGCACGCCGAATGGATGGGGAAGAAACCATCGGGATCCCTAACATATGACATATTCTCAAACCCGTCTAGAAGACGGTGCACACCTTCAGTATATCCTACAGAAGCTGCATACGAGAGAATGCTCCGTCTTTCTTCGTCCCTTGAGTTAATGAGATTGCGGTAGATGGGAACTAAAAAGAGATTTAAGACCCCTGCCATAAACATATTAAAAAATGCTTAGTTTCATTTAAATGTTAGCTCTACTAAAGAATATGTATGAAAAAGAATTTGAAGACCAAAGAAACAACTCTAAGAATGACACGTTTTACACACAAAGAGAAAAAGACTCTAGGAATGTAACCTATATTTCTGCTTTTGATTGCAGCATGCACAACTGATTTTCCTTCAAAGCGAGCGGGAGGAATTCGTAGCATTCGAATCACAAGTGACTCATCCCCAGCTTCAGCTGCCATATACAAGGGCGATGCTCTCTCTTCGTTAGGAATAAAAGAAGTCCTTTGATCGACGTCAACGAGATGCAAAGTAACATCATGAAGTTCTGCTTTCAAAGCTAGGTGCAGGGCAGTGTTTCCTTCATTGTTCTGCACAACCCAAACATCTCGAACTCCTACCTGTCTTCCTTCTCTCAGAAAAATTTGCATTGTAGCCGGAAGTCTATTCAGGGAGTTAATAAGAACGATCACAACCGGTGCCTGGCCTGCAGCAGCTGCAACATGGAGAGGAAGGTCACCATTGGAGTTTGGTGTTAACAAAAGGCTTTGGTAATCATTAGGCATTTCGTTCCAATTTCTCGTAACCCCTCCCTCACGGTTGATGATATGCTCAAGGAGTTGGATGTGACCATATATGGCAGCAAGGTGGAGGATTGTATTTCCTTGAGGGGTTATTTCTCTTAGAACAGGAAGAACTCCTCGTTCCCGCACTAACACATCAAATTCTACAATGTTACCTTCGGTGGCTGCCATATATACTGTTTTTGCCATGTAACTGAATGCCTCAGGGGATGGAACGGCAGCAGCATGAAGGATTTGCCTGTGGCGTAATTCCCTAATCCTAGCTTTTCTATGCCTTAGAACTGCAATTTCTATGTCAGACTTCCCCATGATCGTAACTCTCGAACCTTCTGGTTAGTGTCTTGACAAGGTACTTTAAAGCAAGAAGATTGTGGACTAACGAAAAGAAATTAGCAAGAAGATAACTGACATGAAAAAAAAATTGCAATAACTAATCATAGGTTAAATCGATTTAGTGACTGAAACGCTTTGATGCATACGTACCTTCAAATTAGAGGGACTTAAAGCATTCGTGAAGGAAACAAGATAGACGAAAAAACATATGAACGATTATTATACTTGCAAATCGCTTGATTAGATTAATTGCAATGTGCTTGTTTATACAGTTCGTGCTAAGAACGAGGTAGAGAAGATGTTGAAGAGGTCAAACATTATTGGACTCTGCTTAATAAGGCCTTCCAAATTATTACGATTTACAAGCTGGTGAAAGCATACATACTAATTATCAGCACAAGTGCTCTTATTAAAGTAATGTATAATCTTTTTCTACTAATGGAAAAAATATATCATGCAAGAAAGTAGCAACACAGGCACAAGAAATGATTTGTTTATGACGGAGACTTCGGAGTTCGGATAGGATAAGTCAACAAGCAACGAGATGTACAAAAGAAGAATACTAAATTACCGTTTCCTGTTCGCGAAATTCACTTAAAGTTTCCTTATTTTTCACTGTGGAATTCCATCGAGCAATTGGTAGACATCGATTCAGCATAGCATAGCTCATAAAAAACTCCCCACCAGCTTCCACGTGAAATTCGCCGCCTTCGTGTGAGACTCTTAGTCGATATAACAAGCAAGCCATTCGTGCTCAAGGAGAGTTTTCTTCTACGTCTTCCACGTGAAGTTATGTTTTCCATATTTCCTCGGAGAAAACCTCCCGAAGAAGGCGTCGATGGAAATGTAAAGGCGGATTTTTACAGAACACTTGAAATTATGAAAAAGACCCTAAAGGTTTTAACATTTCAAATTTCGACAGTTGCATTTCAGAAACATTTCGCAATTGTGAAGTGGCCCGAAACTTTTAGTTTTGTTTCAATTTAGCCCCAACGAATAGACGTAGTTGAGTTTCCACTGAGGTTCATGTTCTAAATCAAAGTTTTGTTTACACGAATTAGAAGTAATGCTCTATACAAGTATGAATTGACCATAGAGAAAAGTTTCATTTTGTGGTATGATCATGTCAATCTTTATGAGCTTGAATGTGTAATATAATCATGGAAAATGTTTACGAGTTAGACATGAAAGAAGGACTGCCATAGACGAAGGATCAACACAAGACAACCTCCAACCGTGAATGCAACCAACATACACACACACAAAATCATGACAAGTGCCATGGCTTGTAGGTTAGCTGGCTGCACGAAAAGAACATCACTCAGATGTCGTGCCCTGATAAGATCAATTACAATTTCAAAAGAAGAAAGCATCGCAACGCTGTTGCTCAACATAAAAACCGCGAATACTGCTGTTTTGACCAGACCTGTGATGCTTAAATCTGGACCAGAACTGATGTAGAGCTTTGTACATGTGAAACCCATAATCATTGTCACAGTTATTATAGCCGTTGCAGTCCACTTGAGAATTTTGATGCCATCCTTCGAAGTCTCTGTATTTTGGCGGTTAGGTCTTCTGTGACGCCGTGAAACACTCAAGAGAATTGGCTGTGAACCAATTGGTGAACCAGCCGATGCCAAGGCCATATCCAAGTTAGTTTAAATTTCTGTAAGAAATAATTAAATGAGACATATCATGATAGGAATCGACAAGCACATGTTTTTACAACAAGATTCAGAAATCAGATCATTAACGTTGACAAAAGCAAAAGACTTAAAGACCATAAACTCTTTTTTCAATTTAAATCCAAAAGAATAAGTACTTAAACATACAATAGACGCTCAAAGATTACCTCACACGCTTTGAAAGCTAGTAGATGAAGGGCGAGGAAGAAGATGATGTTGAAGTTTTGAACTTTGTCAAGAAAACTAGGGTAGAAACCATACTATTTGATCCGACGAAGCCATTGACTTAATCAGAATAAGAAAGAAAAAGTCTGAATGTGCGTACCAATCATCATCGATGCTTCACATTAGCTTGCCAAGCAAGAAATTAAAGAATAAAATAAGATCGTTGACTTTAACAAGAAGTCGCTGGTTCGTTGACTGAGAGTTGGCGTTTTAAGGTTCTAAAATCAAAAGATCAGATTTTTATCATCGGCAAGTTTGTAAGATGGAGTGTATCGGTAAAAATCATATAAAATCTTTGAAATCAAATATTATATATTATTATACAGGTCTAGATGAACAGTGATAGGTAAAGTTCAGATGCAGATACAGAGAAAAATGAGAGATTTTTTTAAAACCAGAGACTAGTACGTTACTTCATTGCAAGAATTTGTCGATGTTTGTTGCTAATGTGGTTTTAGGCACTGCGCCGATGATCGTATCCTTCTTCTCGCCCTTAACGAAGATCATGATGGTTGGGATGCTTCTAACACCGTACACACTCGGGGTTGCAGGAGAATCGTCGGTGTTTAGTTTGTAGAACTTGATTTTCCCTGCGTACTCTTGTGCTAGTTCATTCACAATGGGATCAATCATTTTGCAGGGTCCGCACCATGGTGCCCAAAAATCCACAAGAACAGGCTCATCGGCCTTGAGAACTAGAGACTCCCATGTTGTATCGGTCACCACTGGAACTGCAAGGAACAAGTATCAAAACCAATAAAAAGGTGTCACAAATTATGAAGAAGGGATAGAAAAAACATGATTTACATAACTCAGTGTCAGTCTTCATGAGTGAGAGTGAGAGAGAAAGATGATTGCAGACTCGTTTAAGCTACATGAAAAAAAAAATCACCATAACAAGCACACAAGTAGTTCATTGTTAACAGATACAATTAATGAAAGAAATGCAATAAAATGATGTTCTGTGATTCAAAGCCAACTATTGTAAAGGATAACGCTCTGTGTTTTTAACCAGAGTCCAATGGACAAAAAGTTTCTTGTTCTTCGGTATAGCCTAAAAGATCTCACGAAATTGATCCGGAATTTCATAGCCAAGATAATAGCATACTTTGTCTAAGATCTTAGAAACGCCTAAAGACAACAGAAATCAAAATTCCAATGGCATAGCAATGATAGATAACAAGCATCTCAGTTTATAGAGATCCTAATATGCATAACAAGCTCTCTTCCTAACCAAACAATCCAAATCCACACATTCTTGTCTCAATGCGTGTGAAATCCACCAACTAACAAGCATCTCAGTTTCTATAGATCCTAATATGCAAACCTTCTGCAATTTCATACATATGGTAGAGGTTACTCTTCCAATAGAAACCTCAATTTCACCACATATGTTGGATACTTAAAACAGTTTTATCAGTTAGCACAAGATATACAGAGCTCGTGTAGCCAAAATTCACTCAGAGTACTTAGAATTTACACAAACCAAGTAATCATCAAGCCAATGAGAGAGAAGATAGAGAATAACATACTCCCTGTGGCAGTTTCCTGAGCTTCACAGATGACCCCTCGTCGTAATCGGGAAGCCCTAGAATTCATCGAGACCGAAGACAAAGAGACGCGAGTCCTCAATCCTCTCGATTCCGGCAAAACAGAGAACATCTGTCGAGTAGAGAGTGAGACCGTCGATGACGACCGGAGAGAAATCGGCGGACGGGAGGTACACGTGAAAGCAGCCATTGAAGACAGAAGCAAGCAACACACTAGATTCTCCTGAGTCCCCAAATGTAATAATATCCAGAAGAAAAAAAAATAGTAATCAAAAGGATAACGAAAATGGGAGGAGACAAAGAAGTTGAAGGAAACTGATTGTGATCTGAAATTACGGTTGCGGCTCATGTTATCCTAAAATACATAAATAAAGCTCCTAATCCCAGAATAGCTCAAAGTCCAGTTATATTGGGCCTTAACTACATCCAGCCCATATTTATTCAAACTAGTAAGTTATAAGGTTGGGGAATTGATCCAAAAAGGCCTTTTCATTTTTAATACTTTTTTGTTGGTATCACGGTTATAATTTAAAACGCATTGTCCCTTATTTCTCTTAAACTAAGAAAAACATAAATTCTTTATAGTAGAAAGAGAAAGATACATTTTTTATTTATGAAACGGGTCTTATTTATTATAAAAATAAGTGTTAGCTATAAAAAATACCATGGAAATTTTTCGTGAGTTTAGACTAGAAAGTCGTTCTTCCTTGGGATTCTTCAGTTTGGGAAAAAATTAAGATTAATGCCTCTCTATATGGTTATAGCTCAGGTAATAAATAAAGCTTAAAGTCCCATTGGGCATTATTTAATTAAAGCCCATATCCATTATATTACCCATCTTCTCAAAAGCATAAATATTGTTTAATTAAAGCCCATGTCCATTTATATCACTAATCTTTTAAGAAAAGCATAAAATATTACCCAGAGTGAGCACGATGCGTTACCTCGCTGGGGCATCGGCATTCGATTTCTCTCCACCTCTGCTCTTTAGCCGCCGTATCAGCCGCCGTGAACTCGGAGCCACTGGCCGGAGATTGGTGATGACTTCCGTCAACTCGCAATCTCGTTTGAGGGATTCCTGCGGATGTGATGACGGCATCGTCACGGTAGAGGAGTGGCGGAGATGGGGGCCCGTGTCTCCATTTCCAGCAGCGGTCAAACAGATTGTGGATGATCTGAAGGTTCTTGAGTGTAAACTGGATGCACAGATAGAGTTTGGTGGAAATGGTGGCAAGTTACAGGTAAATAGCGATAATGATGAAAAGTCGTTGCTTGTTTCCTTTGGAATCGTTTATGCTTAGATTGTTTACTGCTTTCCTACTTTCGAAGAACTGTGAAATGAGAGTCTCTGGTTCTGTGATTTTGTGTTCAAACTAGTAAGTTAAGGTAGAGGAATTGATCCAAAAGCCGTTTTTACTTGAGCTACGGATTACGAAATTACTGCTCCTGTTTCTGTAGTACCTCTGAAGCTCTATGTGTATAGAAAAAAGTATAGATGATTCTTCTTATTGAGTAATGCCACTGGTTTCTGCATCAATCTATGATTGAGTTGATCTTATGGCTCTTAGACGCTAGTTAGGTTATAATACTTCTACTTGTGTGCCACTACTGTAGGGACCGTTTGGTGCATATGAAGATAAGAAACATAGGGCTACATACGAAGCATTAGACGACCCAGAGAAAAAGTTCCGGTTTTTCTCTGCTCGACAAATTGCTTGTCGGCTGCTTGGGAGCAGAGGTTATTTATGCCAGAAGGTAAGTCATTTTACTGTTCTTGAATTGCTGTGTTGCATAGTGATTCCATGACTAAGAACTCAATTTCCTTATTAGTTAACACCGATCTTCTTTGTTTCCAGTGTTGGCTTGCTATGGAGGATTGCATGTGTTCATACGTCAAGCCATGTGGCTTATGGAAAAGGATACGTTTTTGGCTGTACATGCATCCCAGGGTTAGTATTGCACCCACCAGTCTCGGCTATTCGGTTTGAGGTACTTATACCGCAATTCCTATGGGTTCACATGCTGTTTAGCTGTTGACAGGATTTTCTACGACAGAACAACACAGGGAAGTTGTTGTGGCAGATATTTGGCGTCCAATCTGCAACACTCTGCATCTTTGGAATAGCTGAAGACGAAGAGATCATGTGGAATGAATTTGAGCGTGCAGGTCTTTGATTCGCCTTTTCAAGCTTAGATGCATTTGTTTAATCTTAAAAGGATGCCACTCGAAATCTCTATTGATTTTGCTAAAAGCCTTTGCCTTTTCTCTTCTGATGGATGCTCAGGAAAAAGCCAAGTCTGCTGCCTCTATCCCAACCAGAACTCGGAACTCACGTTGTCAGTTGAAAACGCTTTTGGTAATACGACTTCAGAGGATCCCGGATCATCATCCATGGTAATGATTGCAACATAATGGCTTATAGGTTCTATGTTCTTCCATCTTATGCTTAGGCTAAACGTAAATAATTCTTAGATTAGGTTGTACAAAGATATTAAATGAAATGTCATCGATCGTTGCGCTTTCTATTTGCCAGGAAGATGATGATAAAACTCTGCATTTCATTTTGCTTGATGGCACCTGGAACAATTCAGCTGCAATGCTCAAGCGTCTAAAGGTACAGACTTTGCAGTCGACCGTAGCTCACATGGATTTTCATCTTTGTCCTTTTGCTTAAGGACTTGTCCAACACAAAATAATATGCTTACACTAAGACCCATCTTCGTAGGATCATGCAAAGTCAGTATGGGGAGATGAAGATCTTCCTTGCATTTCTCTTGCAACAGGTGCATCAGCAATGCACAAACTCCGGTAACAATAGTCTCAATATTACTCATGTTTCCGGGTCCAAGATTCCCCTGTGCCATAAAAGTGATCTCCTTCTACATTCGATCTTTCACCCTACAGGCCCCAACCATCATGGGACCGGACTTGCACGGCCGCAGCAGCAATCGGACTCCTATCTGAGCTGAGCCTTCTCCCACAGTTAAGCAGCTACGGGTTAGACAAACAAGCCGACGCGGTTGAGGAAGCTTTGGTCATACTACTGGACTCACTAACAGGACGACGCTTAAGAATGGGCAGGTCCATAACTCGTAAAGTGAGAAACACCATCAGCATTTGCTAACAACACAACCAGTCAGGAGGCGTAATAGTTTATCTTCATAACTATAGAATCAATGATTAGGTTATAAAGCAAAGAGATGGATTTCTGGGGCAAGTGGATCTCCATGGTTGAAGCAGATACATAAGTTTTGTAACTCTATTCTTTGACAGTCCTCACGCCTCATGATATGGTCAAGCATCAAAATTGATCCAATTTGCTTGGTTATTATTTGTTCAATAGCCACTTTCACCGTACGTATTCTCCATGTTGTCACGTCACGTTCCGTGAGATTGGCATCTGTGAAGAAAGCAGTGAAAATAAAGAAATTGTAAACTTATATAATAATACGTTGCTACTCAAATAATGTGTTGTAAACATTCGATTGACATTATAATTATACAAATATGTTTTGTTGATTCTCTCTTTTTCCTTATAATTATATTAATACTATTATGACATTGCGAGAAAGAAAATTTAACAGAGATTACGTACGTTGAATTGGAATGCAATTTTTAGTTTACATTTTCAGGACATGTAAGAGTTCAAATAGACTATAGCATGTAAAAAATTACGCAAGAGGACACATGTTTATCAAAAGTAAATCTAACGAGAAGAATTATTATACAACATCATAAAACAAATTCATCAACAATGATAGACTGAAAGTAGTAAGGTTGTTGTAATCCAGACTGTTTTGAAAGCAGAAATAAGATTGGAAATTATAGACGTTGCGTGTTCTTCTAAAGAGCCAATAGCCAATAGCCAATTAGCCATGGTACTTAAAAATGTTACGCTAAGGCTTAATCCTAGCTCCGACGAAACCGATTGAACCGGATAGTCAGATTAAAGTCGGCTAAACTGATTAAGATTAATCAAGTTTGGTTTGGTTTGATTTGGTTTACTAGGGTCGTTTTGTTTCCCCTAACTAAACCAAGATGGGAGACTATTGTATATATAGTCAATATTTGATATGCGCGCCATTATCACGAGACCCAGGTTTGTATGCTGTTTCTCTAAAAACCATTATATTTTTAGATAGTATGAGTCCATGACCTGATTTGTGATGTTACATTACAGCTTTTTTTGTTCGGTCTCTGTACGCGTGCACGGTGGTGCACCGTGCCTTAAAAACGCTAGCGTGTGAGATACAAACTAATTAATTCCAGTAACAAAGAGAAAGAAACAATATAGTATATTAACGACAGCTAATATGTAATTTGACGGGAGGGCAGTATTGTAAATTAATCACATTCGGAGGGGGTATAATCTAAATTCCTAACTATGTTGAAGATATTTTGTAATCGCTTCTCAAAATTTAGGGTTTGGCCTTGTCCGAGTCTTAGGTTTACCTGACAAATGGCTCCCAAATCCGGTGAGGTCGATACGGCTGAAGGAGCAAACACCGAGCCAGAGACGACGGAACTGATGGACTTATCCACCGAGGGCGATTCGTTGAATACGAAAAAACGCAAAGCCGAGGATTCGGCGACGGCAGATTCTACTGCAAACGAAGAAGAAGGCGACGAGAAAGAAGAAGATGACGAGGTGGAGGGGGGGGAAGCAGAAGAGGAAGAAGAAGAAGAGGAAGAAGAAGAAGAAGAAGAGGAAATCGTGGATAAGGACAGCTGCGAAAGCGATCAAGAATGGGATGTTGATAGTTTCAAAGATGTTCAGTTCCATACGTCGGATGAAAGCGATAGTGATGAGGAATGGCGTCGATACTCGCGCCAATGTTACAAAAGCGAGGTATTGCTGCTAAGTTACATCTCTAGATTTGAATATTATTGCTATACAAATAGCCTTCGATTCCACCATATTAGTCAGCTGATGTGAAATTATCGGGAAGCCTAAACCTTTTTGCTGTTCACTGTTATTACTCAGGGTTTCGATGTGCCTGTAGAGTTCCTTCCGACGAGTTCGACCCGAATTTACAGCGGATTTAATCCTGTTAAGCTTGATAATTACTTCGGACCACCCAACCTAACAGGGCGCCAGTACATGGAACGGATGGTGAAAGCAATCATTGAGAAGTACAACGAAGATAAGGCTAGTAGTTTCCACAACGCACTTGTGTTTGTGGTTTCTATTTTCTCTAGTCTTACTTTGCTTGTTGTCTGACTTTCAGAAGAAGACTCTGGAGCTGGTCGAAATTGAGAGGGCTGTCGTGAAAATGGACATTGGGGTCAAAGCTTACATAACGTTCATGGCGAAAGAATCTCCAGAGGGAGAGCTCGTGGAGTATCAAGGCAAAGCTGAATGGAAAGTGTGGCAGAGAAACATCCATCCACTCCTCTGCAGACCAGCCTCTGAGCAGAGAAAGCAAGGTGCAGATCTTCCTTGACTTGTAGGTCTCCGTTTTTATTATTTATGTATGGAGGTTTCTAGAGTTGGCGTTTGGGTTTGAATGTGAGATCAGATGTATGGAGACGAGAGTTGAAGTCAACGTGCGAATTTTACAGTCTCCTTTTTGCAACTCCATAAGTTGTCCGAAATAGCAACAAGGTTTTGACTTTACTTATCAAAATTTATTTACTTGATAATGATCAACTCTCTCTTTTATTCTGTATATATAATATAATTTATTAGCACGTCGGAAAAAAATAAATTATTAACGTAAATGATCATATCATGATGTATCAGTGTAATTTTATTTTGGTTTCCTAGGGGGTACTTGTACACAAACAAACAAAAAAATCATTTTAAAAGACAAAAGTTTATGGATATATATATATATATTAGGATATTGACCTATACGCATGTGCGGGCATGAACAATTTAAAAAATGTAATTATCTAAATACAATACTTAAATCCGTCTTAGATATTTTAATTTTTTGTAGTTTATGAAACTCAAGGTTAATGTTTTGAATTATAAGACTTTTAATTTAATAGTAAAATATGATCTAATTTTATATAAACATTTTTTATAATAAAATGTTCATTTATATTTTCAGACAGACTTGAAAAATAATAATTAAATTTGGAAAACACAAAATTATTTTTCCATGAACAGGTTTTGTAAAACTTGACCCGCTATGTTAGAGGGTCAAATGGTGTAAACCCGTGGATAGTTGGTTACCTTCTTCGGATTTGCTGATTAGGCTGCAAATTTTATCTTTTCTGTCTTTTTTCTTTGAACAAACATTTTTCATTTTCTTTATCTTCTAATAATCTTCTTCAATTTAAAGCATCATTTCTTCAAGGATTCCGTCATTGTTGATCTCGATCTATTCATATGTGCGATTTTTCTATTTATAATTTTATCAAATAGACTCTACAAATAATTGCAAGACCATCTCCACTTAAGCATCAAGTGCTTCAACTAACCATACTGCAAGACATGTTTCAGCGAAGGTTAGATATAAAACTCTGTTTACTGTCCTGATATCTTTGAAACATACTGATCCTCTCTGAACATTTAGCAATATTTTAAGGTAGAAAAGCTCACAATATTTTTTTAAAACTTCTGGAAGGCTGATATTGTAGGAAACATTATTTTTCTGTTGCGCATACGAGAGAGCCACTACTTAAATTTTTGATGCCAAATCCATTTGTTTGAAAATTCAGTGTAGCGATAAAACCTTGCTTCATTACACTCATGATTAGAGTATATCCAACCTTCAAGTTTCATTTTTGCTATATTCAATTTAGGTAAATGGATTGGTAGAATTGTCATGTCCGCACTTTGAGTTAGGGTTTGATTTGTTTGATACTCATGTATATTGTGATGTTTTCTTATATAAGGATCCGAGTATTTAACTTTTTTTATTACGTAGTTATTTGGCATGAACGTGATTTTATGTGGATTTTTTTGGTTTTTATTAAATGGACATTAAACTTTTTAAATAATGTAGAGGATTACAATTTTGGTTTTTCATTAGATGCATGTTAATTTTTTAGGATATCTAACGTTTGTTAAGAAAAATAACGTAGATAATTATTAAATCGAAATCTTATATTTATATTTGTTATTATTTTTAAACTAAATTAATTTTAAATTTTGAATGTTCTACAGAAGATCACAATAATATTTTATTTTTTTATTATAATTTTGCCAACTGAACTATGTGAAAACATATGTGCACGTAAATAGAGCACCACCTTTACATAAAATATGAAATATTAGGTAAATGATTTGATTAATGTGATTTTGTTATTATAATTTTGCTTACTGTGAAGTATATGAAAACATATGTGCATGTATTCCATATGAATATAGTATTATAATATATATGTAGATATGTGTATATATGGAAAGTCACAGTGGTCTACGGCAGAGCTATAGTAAATTTTATAGGTATATAATATAGTATTATCTATAGTATTATAATATATATATGTGTGTATATTAAAATCATCACGTTGAGCCCAAAATTTATCTACTATTACCCATGTAGATAAATAATAATATCAGACAATTCGTAGTGTATATGGCGAATCATTACATATTTAGTTATTAGTACATTAAATTTTGTCATCTAATTAATTTGTTATTTATAGAAATATTACAAAAATTCTTTTTGTCATGTCATCATCCACATGTGTTCATATCACAATTACATTATCATTACACATCATCATTTCCATGTCACATTTAATTAAGGTAGACAAATGATTTTAATCAATCAAATTAAAACAAATTAGCATTTTTTATTAAACTACATTCTCAATTAATAAGTAGAGGATATATAGATCATTTAATTAAGTTGGACAATGGACACGATTAACACGAAACCGAGATATCCAACGTATAATAAACCTCAGATATACTATCTAATATTATTTTAATTTTTAAAACTAAATTGTTTTCCAACGGATATTTTTATGAACTAAAATGTTTAAAAAATCAGTACGAGTGTAGAGGTGCCTAGGTTTTAGGGTTGGGAATTGGCTGTGAGATGATGAGAGACGAGATTCCGAAATCAAATCAGATTGTGAATTTACACAATTGTAACAGTCATTTTTCTTTCCCAAACGAGCAACAGAGATTGCACTATGGAGATTTATTTGTTCGTTTAATTAGCTAGATGTGATAGTGCAATCTCAATCTCATCAACACACATCTGTAGCTTGGAAAAAAATGATTAATTCAACTGAAAAGATGTAATAACGAAAAGATTTATCCAATAGATGGATGTTATATTTATAGCCATGAGTCCATGTACCTGATTCATGATGTTTCATTACAGCTTTTTTTGTTCGGTGTCTGTGTTATTATTTATAATTGGAAATTAAAGTAGTTTAGCTGTTAAGTTAGGATTGAATTTTTTTATCCATTCATTCATTATTGCTGTTACATAGATATCATACCTTGTCCAACTTAGTTATCTAGTGGTTGTGAGAGTTTTCATGATTGCTAATTTGTTTCTATTTTTTGTGAATGATGACGATGAACGTTTTTAAACACAAAATCAATCATTAACGGCTGACTCCGAAAACATCCAAGAATTATGGATAAAAGGTGTTTAAGGGTTTATAATGGAAGAAAAAACACTATCTTATAGGGGTAGACCATTATATGGGCTCACTAATGGGCTTCATGTATCATCCTAGCTTCCAGAGGAAAATAAGATGGGAGTATTGGATGATTGATTTTAAGAAAATACAAAAGAATTAGAAAATAATTAATTTTGAAGGAATTTAATTTTTTTGTTGAGAATTTAAATCAATTCTATCAATATGCCAGCAAAAATAGTAAGAATTGGTTTTTTACAAAATTTCATTGTAATTCTATTAAATTCTTTTAAAATGACAATAGCATAAAAAGAGCACTAAAATTGAATAACACTAACAATTAATGGAATTAGAAAATCACTACATTGAATAACACTAGAATTTAAAGTAATTTAAAAGAATGATTTCAAATATTGAATCCAATAACACATGAATTTAAAAGAATTTGTGAAATACAATATTGAATAACAATGGAATTTAATAGAAAATCTAATTTCTTCTAATTCAATTAAATTCCTTAATTGAATACCTCCCCCTAAATAACATCTTCTGATTCTCGGTATGGTCAGGTTTAAGTTCTGTACCAGAAGAAGATTCAGGGTTTGAATGGTATGCAGCTTTTTCACGTTTTCACGTTTTGGAAACTTGATTCTGTTATTTTTTACCATTCATGTTATTCATCACGTTTTCAAGTTTTCACGTTTTTTTATGTTTTTGAAACGTGATTCCGCTAGCGTGTTAAAAATATAACTAAAAAAAACAAAACGTGATTAATCTACTAAAAGTAGCTTTTCAGTGTTTCACAATTATTCAGCTAAAATATTATTCAGTTCAGTTCATTCCGCTAGTAATTTTTCAGTTATTCTGCTATTCTGTTATTCATCTGACATACCAGTCAGACCCTCAATTTGTCTCCATTGATTAGGTGCGGACAAATTAAAGGGCAAGATTGTTTTGTTTCTGTCGAAAGAGTAAAAGATTGTTTTGATCAAGCTTCAAGCACCACTGATTATAACTATTGCATTTTTACCCCTCTATAGACAAGATAATTATGGGCCTCGAGTACGGAAATATAATAAGACCAGAGAGTTCTCAAGACTATATGAATTAGTGATTTGACACGATTACTATATAAAAAAAAATTAGTAATTTGACACGATTTCATTTTCAAGAACAGAATAATGATAATGATTCGTGAACATCTCCGTTATATGATCATTAGAAAATGTACATATACATTGCTACATTAGCAAGAGGTTAAACAAGAAGCAAAAGACCAAAGTTTCTTCTTATAATCGTCACATTTCCAGAAAGAAACCCCCTAATCCAAACAAAATTTATCGCAAACCTCTAAATCGAATCAAAATCCTTTCTAATAAGAATAAAATAACCCAAAACAGCACAAATAGCAGCAACAGCATTGCCTTCTTTCAAAAGAACCTTAAACACAAATCCAAACACATCCCTTGTGATCTTACGAGCTTCAACAACCAAATCTCTCCTCGATTTCCCGAAAAACGCAAGCAACACAACCACCGCAATCCAAATCACCATAACCGCCGGAACAGCAACCGCCGCCGCCGCAACCATCGACATCGCTCCGAAAACCGCTCCTAACACCACAGACGCGTAAACCGCCGGTATTCGAGACGGCGACGGCGATGATGTGTACTGGAGCTTGTACCAGGTAAGTACAGATCTGAGAAAGTTCCACGAGGAAGACAGGAGAATGGCGTAGACAGCGACAAAGAGACAGACCCATGTCCGTCTCTTGCTCATGATTCGCATAAAGATGAGGTACGATCTTGGAGGAGATAACGAAGATGAATTCGATGTTCTTGGAGAATCTGTCGGATCCACCATTTGGAGAGATGTGCTTTGAGATTTCTCTTGAGGGATTTTTCTTGGGTCGGAAATTGAAATCTCCGTGATTTGGGATTTGTCCGAAGCTGAAAGAGAAAGAAGAAAGAAAGTCTTCTGATTTGGGGGAAATACATTAGTCCACGTGAGCCCCACTCTCATAACGAAGCGAGTGTTGTACACTCGTCGCTTTTGAGGTTTGTTAATGGATAACACGCGCTTAAAATACAGTTTATTTATTTATTTATTTTTCCCGATAAATCCGACATGAAATTGGGAACGAACGAATGAATGAGTATACAGTATATATACATCGAAATTGCGTGAACTGAGAGAGCATAGTAGCTAATTTCCAATGTTTCTTTTTTATGATCTTTCAATAAATATGTTTAAGACGTAAGCAGATTCTTTTGTTTTAGTCGTATCTGAAGTTAAGAACAAAGAAAAAAAAATGCGATTTGTCTTTCTTTTTTATATTGAAAACGCGAATTGTCTTAATGGTGCCTCTTACGCTTATGCTAGCCGACAAGAAAGTAAAAAAGAATCATGTAACCTTTATTTAACGATAATTATATAGGTTTTACTCTTTTTGTGTTAAAAAGGTTAATTTCGAACTTTAGAATTCATTTTTTTTTTCTTTTTCTCTTTTGTTAAAGATCTTTTGTCGACTTCTTATGAAGAACAAAACTTTACCGATCAGGCTAAATATAAGGAAATTTAGTCTTTCTACTAGTCATGAAATGAGATTCTTTAAAGGTTTATCCACAGGAGATAAAACACTAATCATATAAGCTCAGAATCGGTGTGACCATATATTTTTGATTGGAAATCGATATGGTTAGTTCTGATAAGGCGTTTTACCATTTGAATGATTTACTGTCAAGGTGACTCCCACTTCACCGCCAATCTCTCTTTCATCCTTAACTTTCTTGATAAGGCTTACCATTTGTTTGATTAATCTCTACTATTATATTGAAATCCGATATAGTTTTTGGAAATCAAGTGTCGATATTCATTCTAGCTACTATATTTTATTGATATTTTTTTTTTAATTTTCGTCTGCGTGTTATTGATTTTATTTTCGTAGAAGGATATAAATGGAGAAGAATACAATCCTAGTCATAACCGCATTTTCGTTGCTGAATTTTCCAGATTCTTAATAGAGAAACGGCTTTCGCTTCTCACTAGTCTTGCTTCACAAATCAAGATTGTCTGCAAAACCTAAACGGGCCATAGCCTTTAATGGCCACCTGGACAATAATATAGATTGGGGAAGAATCGATGATGCTTGAGCGAATGTAAATAAACTAGTTCACTCTAAAGACATCGTGCTGTCGTGTGAGCCAAGTAAATTAATGTACTGTATTTTCTAAGTACACCACGATGTCTTTATAGTATAAGACTATTACTATTACAAAGAAGCGTGTACATGTGTATTTGTCAACTTTATATTTTTATTTATATATCTCAGTCAAACAATATCTTCTAAATCACAATTCTGACTTCTTGTGTATTCGTAATTAGTTTCCTATACATTTTTTTTTATCATTGTTATAATACTCTCGGTGTTGTATATGAAGTTCCAATCTCAAGAGCTTCGTTGAAAATGATCACGGACTTCAGATAACTTGTGAATTTTTATATCGAAGTATAATTTTTGTGGTTAAACAAACGATAGTATAGTATTAGCCTATTAGGTAAACCAAACAAAACAAGTGGTCAATACAACTATACAAGTAGTCTTTGTAAGCGGGACCAAGACTTAAAAGGTAACTTTTTCCTTTTAAATTCAACTTGTAATTATCTAGCATCTAAGTTGACCAAAGCTATATTTCTACAATGCAATATACTTGAATTCGCTAGAATCTCTTGTACAATATATATACATATCTTAGGGTATCCGCACCAACTGACCTAACATTTTTCATTAATTCGCTATGAATTTTTTTTATTTGATAAATAACTCTGAGATCTTAAACTATTGAAGATTTTGCGCGGGTGGACAGAAATCCAAAATCCTTATTTCCAAAAATGCTACTTTGTCTCTTTGACAACTTTTTTTTTTTAACTCACATTCTATATAAACTAAAGTATTTCCGAAGAAAACTTGTAATAGCAAAATAATTCCAAAAGGTAAAGAGAAAAATGAAAAATATATCTTTCGTTGACGAAGGGCGGCGGCTGGTGTTAGTTAGTTATTGACATTCAGCGAATTAAATGTTTATATTCAATAATACATTTCTTATAGTTATATCGATGATGTGACTGAGTCTGAGTGTACGTATGCGTTTAATCAGTCAAATCTGTATCAACAGACACAAATCTCTCCTTTTGCATACATTTTTTCTCTTATTGATTCCGTTCAACGCCTAGGCTAAAGTCAATCATCATCATCTGCTCTTGATTGTTCCAGGTAAGAATCCCATGTCCCTCTCACTGAATTCCGGCAGAAAGTCTTGATTTTTCCGGTTCGAATCACTCTGATCTCTGTTTATCTCTCCAGGGGATTTCACAGTGTGCGTGGGTTTCCGAAGAAGAAGAGAAATCTCGATCAGGGTTTTGTTGGTTTTCGTGAATTGGTTTATTCGCTGAGTCGTTGAAGTTGTGGCTCTCCGTGTGCCTTCACTAGATTTCAGTATGGTTTTTAAGAGTGGATTAGAATTAGGGTTTCTCTTTTAGGGAAGTGGATGGATTAGATTGTGAATTGAGTGTTTTTTTTTTCTGTGTGCTGTTGATTGATTGATTGGTCGTGTATGTTCACGTGTATAGATTCCTGTTTTAGAGCTTACGATGGGTTGCGTAAGTTCTAGGCATAGGCCTTTTAGGAGAAAGTCTACACTGAAAGATTCACCGGAGAAACGTTCCTCCTGGATTGATTCGTCGAGGATTGATGATTGGATCCAACCGGAAGGTGGGCTTGAAAGATCCAGTAGCAGGGGAGATGCAAAAGATAGGATAATTGAATCCAAAATGTTTAGTCCCAGTAGGTTTTTAGATCATCAGATTGGTAAGATACTGGAGAACCCTGAGATAGCTGATGATATGGATCGAGCTGTTCATGACAAGGAATTGAAAAGGGCCTCGAGTGCTGTTGTGAAACCTGGTTTGGAGATTGATCCAAATGTTATTATCGAACCGAAGCTAGATGATAGATGGAACAGCAGAGATTCCAAAGTTGGATTACTTGAATCCGAGAAACAGAGTTCCAAAAGGTTTTCTGATCATCATCAGGCTGAGAAGGAACCAGAGAATCCTCGGAGTAAAGAATCGGTTCAAAATGTTCCTCGAGAAGTGAGTAAGAACACGAGTGGTGCTGTCGTTCCAAAGGACAGAGAGTTGTCAGCAGGATGGCCGACTTGGCTGGTCTCTGTTGCTGGTGAGGCACTACTGGACTGGGCTCCACGCCGAGCGAGTACCTTTGAGAAACTGGACAAAGTAAGTTTCTCTTGTTAACTCTCTTTGATCCGGATCCTGTTTTTGTTTAAAAGAACCTACCTTTTCCATGGACGCAGATTGGCCAAGGAACATATAGCAGCGTCTACAGGGCTCGTGATCTTCTTCATAACAAGATCGTTGCGCTAAAAAAAGTCCGGTTTGATCTTAACGATATAGAAAGTGTCAAGTTTATGGCGAGAGAGATCATAGTAATGCGACGGCTTGATCATCCCAATGTCCTGAAACTGGAAGGACTGATCACTGCACCTGTTTCATCATCTCTCTACTTAGTTTTCGAGTACATGGACCATGATCTCTTAGGACTTTCTTCGCTACCCGGTGTCAAGTTTTCAGAGCCTCAGGTACTGCACATAAATGCTTCCCCTACACCTAATTTGGAAAAGTGTCCGCGTCAAGATCCATTTCTTTCTGTTGTTTAGGTTAAATGTTACATGCGTCAACTTCTAAGTGGGCTTGAACATTGTCACAGCCGCGGTGTTCTTCATCGAGATATAAAGGGATCAAACCTACTGATTGACAGCAATGGAGTCTTGAAGATTGCAGATTTCGGGTTAGCCACATTTTTCGACCCTGCAAAATGTGTTCCACTGACTAGCCATGTTGTCACTCTTTGGTATCGACCACCAGAACTCTTGCTCGGAGCCTCTCACTACGGTGTGGGGGTTGATCTTTGGAGCACAGGTTGCATCTTAGGTGAACTATATGCCGGTAAACCCATCCTACCTGGAAAAACGGAGGTATGCAATGCACATTCTTATAGCTTTCATTCCTCCAGTCTCCTGTTTGTTTTACTCAAAATGTAGCTCTTGATCTTTTCTAGGTAGAACAGTTGCATAAAATCTTCAAGCTTTGCGGTTCACCAACAGACGCTTACTGGAGAAAACACAAGTTACCATCTTCAGCTGGATTCAAAACGGCGATTCCTTATAGACGAAAATTATCAGAGCTGTATAAGGACTTTCCGGCGAGTGTTCTGTCGCTTTTAGAGACTTTACTCTCCATAGATCCTGATCACCGGAGCTCTGCTGATAGAGCACTTGAGAGTGAGGTAACTAGCTCTTGATGTTTTACTCTGTTTCTTGTGATCATGGAATCATCTTTAGTCACAACACTCTGTTTTTTTTTTTTTTTTTTGCTGTCAGTACTTCAAAACCAAGCCGTTTGCTTGTGATCCATCTCATCTGCCAAAATATCCTCCTAGTAAAGAGATTGATGCTAAAATGCGCGATGAAGCCAAAAGGCAACGGCCCATGAGGGAGGAGAAACATGAAAGGCAAGACTCTCAAGCGAGAAGATCACACGAGAGCAAACTTGTCCCACCGATCAAAGCAAATCACTCTTTATCAATGATAATGGAGGTAAGTAACTGTGAAAGGTCCAAACTTCGAAGTTCACAAATCACAATGACCAATGGAGGCGTAACTGTACTCTTGTGGCAAATGCAGAAACCATACCACGATTTGAAGAGCAGAAATGATAGTTTCAAGTCGTTTAAGGAGGAGAGGCATCCTCATGGCCCAGTTCCTGATTATCGGAATGTGCACACCAGAAGCAATCAAACCGGTGGGAGAGTGTCACACTCAGGTCCACTGATGAGCAACCGGAATATGGCTAAGTCAACAACGTATGTGAAGGAAAATGCACCTCCTAGATACCCACCTGCTAGAGTGAACCCCAAGATTTTATCAGGCTCGGCCTCTTCAAAAACATTATTAGATCAACCAGTCATGAATCAACGGAGAAGGGATCGACGAGCATACAATAGAGCTGACACTATGGATAGTAGACACATGACTACACCAATTGATCCATCTTGGGTTAGTTAATGAATCATCTCTGTTTTCTTGTCTTCTCCTTTTGCGAAAACTGGTTTTTTTTTACTAACATTGTCGACTCGTGCTTTCCTGTGTACAGTATAATCCTAGTGATAGCAAGATTTACATGTCGGGACCATTGTTGGCTCAGCCAAGCAGAGTGGATCAGATGCTTGAAGAACATGACAGGCAGCTTCAGGAATTTAATAGACAAGCTCAAAAGACGCGAGAAGGCAAAACTGGCAAATGATGAAGCAAATCACGAGAAACCAAACACGCTGAGCTTTATCTTTTAACATCCAAACTACAGTAAAAGTTGCTCAAAGGAAAAGCAGAACCACTTGGAGTCAGACTTGCCATAAGAATCTGGCGGTTCATATTATGCGAACTGTTTATGGTCCTTCTGGCTTAAGCCGCGATTGTTTGATTTAGATGATTTTATTGTTGAGTTATCACTATAGAGGTTTGAATGTGTAAATAAACATAAAATCTGTCCTTTACATATATTATTAAGTTTGATACTTGCTATGGTCATGATGTAATGGTAAAAAGATTGGCCGACAATCAATTATATTGCAGCTTCAGTCAACTTTAAGGTTCTCTTAAGATGGGATCCAACTCTCATTAACTTGGGCAGTTCAGGTTAATTGTGTCAAACTCCAATGTCATACAGAAACGATTAACATGAAAATCAATTTGTTTGACAAAAGATTTGCGGACCATTAATATTAGTGAGATGAAAAATTAAAATTAACTGAAGATCAGATTTCGACGTCATTCTCATACACTATAACGTGTCAGAAGGTGTCCTAAGATTTATCTGATTTCTCATCATTTCTCCAGTATACGATTTTCAAATATCAAAATACTATTGAGCTGAAACGAAAAAGACGACATTTCCCACGTGAACTTAAAAAAAAAAAACCGTGAAGCAGAGAAACAAAAAAAAAAAACTTTCAGGGGAAATTAAGAAACGGGTAAGAATCAGAAAGAACGTAGCGAGTTGAAATTTTTATCGATCATATGGATCAAAAGATCATCACCGATCTACAACTTTCATCACCTTCTTCAAAACACGATTTGAAAATCAAATAATTGACCAAAAACAAATCGAAAGTACTAGAGAGAACAAAACAGTAGATTAGCGATGCATAGAATATCGGATTCGTTTTCCGGCGATATGGAGTAGGGATAGAAATACATAGATTTATATAGGAGATGAACAAGGAACCCTAAACCTAAAAGCATGTTAGGACAAAAGTACAATTTGGGCTTTCCTTGAATTCGGCCCATTTTGAAACGACACCGTCTTTCGCTGACCGTTTTCGATTTTATGTGTGTGTTAATTTCTCTTCTGGCCTGATATTTTCAAATAATTTTGATAATAGTAAGTAAGTTTTCAAATTATAAAAATTACAACTTTCTTCAATTTCTCGAAGAAAGAACGTCTTTTTCTCTCTTGCAACGCGATCGATTAGCGATGTCGTTGTTACATACTTTCAAAGAGACCTTGAAGCCGTGTGGTACTCTCTCATCATCATTATCATCATCAAGAATCTCGTCAACCAAAGAATTGGACCCGCCGCCGCCGAGAAAACCTCCAAAATCGTCTCTCTCGCAGCAGCTACTGCGTCTTGATGATTCATACTTCCTCTCCTCAAAGAACCAATCTAGAATCGCAGAAACCCAGGTCGGAGATTCTAATCGTGCCGAAGATGATCACAAAAGGAATATCAAGTTTGAGGAAGAAGAAGACGAAGAAGATGAGAAATCGATTGAATTTGGGAGACCTGGGTTAAAAAGGGCCGAATTTGACTATTCCGGTCCTTATGAACCACTTGTGCTGTCATCAATCGGCGAAATTCCGATCATACAGGTTATTTCCATACTCCTACATCTATTTTTCTGACGAAAGTCTTAGCCTTTGCTCATGTAATTTTGTGATTTGGCGTAGGTACCGGCTTCTATCAACTGTAGATTGCTTGAACATCAGCGAGAGGGAGTCAAGTTTCTGTATAATCTCTATAAAAACAACCATGGCGGGATTCTTGGCGATGACATGTAGGTTCTTCTTCTTTGTTGGGTTTCGAAATCGTCACAGTTTGATATAGATTTATGTCTACGATTCAGTAAAAACAAATTTCATGTAAATGGCTCTGGTTTTGTTTATCTCAAACGATAGCTGAAGTTAGTTTATGCCTGATGAAACTGGAACTCTGCTAATAAGTAGTGACGCAGGGGGTTGGGCAAGACCATTCAGACAATTGCGTTTCTTGCTGGAATTTATGGAAAAGACAGTGACGCTGGTGATGCTTCGGTTTCTGAGTGTGGAAAGGGTCCTGTATTAATAATCTGTCCATCTTCGGTTATCCACAACTGGGAGAGCGAGTTTTCTCGATGGGCGAGCTTCTTCAAGGTTTCTGTGTACCACGGAGCAAACCGAGATATGATTCTGGATAAACTCGATGCGCGTGGTGTCGAGGTACTTGTAACCAGCTTTGATACTTTTAGAATCCAAGGCCCCGTTTTGTCCTGCATTAATTGGGAGATTGTGATTGCTGATGAGGCACACCGGTTAAAGAATGAAAAGTCGAAACTTTATGAGGCGTGCCTTGAGATCAAGACGAAGAAGAGGTTCGGCCTTACGGGTACAGTGATGCAGAACAAGATCACTGAGCTATTCAATCTTTTCGAGTGGGTAGCGCCAGGATCACTAGGCACTCGTGAACATTTCCGAGATTTCTATGATGAACCGTTAAAGCAAGGCCAAAGAGCAACAGCCCCGGAAGTATTTGTCCGGATTGCAGACAAGAGGAAGCAGCATTTAGTCAGTGTTCTTCGTAAATATATGCTGAGGAGGACAAAGGAGGAAACCATAGGGCATTTGATGATGGGGAAAGAAGATAACGTAGTCTTCTGTCAAATGAGCGAATTGCAGAAACGGGTGTACCAAAGAATGTTGCAACTCCCAGAAATTCAATGCCTTGTGAATAAGGACAAGCCGTGCGCTTGTGGAAGCCCGCTTAAGCAATCACAGTGCTGCAGAAGGATTGTTCCTGATGGAACTATCTGGAGTTACCTTCATAGGGACAACCCCGACGGTTGTGATTCTTGTCCTTTCTGCTTGGTGCTTCCATGTCTTGTGAAACTTCAGCAGATAAGCAATCATCTGGAGCTTATCAAACCGAACCCAAAAGATGAGCCAGAGAAACAGAAGAAGGACGCAGAGTTTGTATCTGCGGTGTTTGGGAAGGATATTGATCTAGTTGGAGGGATTTCCGCAAGCGAGAGCTTCATGGACCTTAGTGATGTCATACATTGTGGGAAAATGAGAGCTTTAGAGAAGTTGATGGCTTCTTGGATTTCAAAGGGTGATAAGATACTTCTCTTCAGCTACTCTGTCAGGTTAGTTTTTGGATTTTAACTCCAGGGCTTAGATGAATGTAGGAGGAATACTTGTGGTTTATAGGCTTTTGATCCACTGAATTACAGGATGCTGGACATACTGGAGAAGTTTCTAATTAGAAAAGGTTATAGTTTTGCAAGACTTGATGGTTCTACTCCCACTAATCTGCGACAGTCTCTTGTAGATGATTTCAATGCGAGTCCTAGCAAACAGGTTTCTATTACCCTGACCGTGTTCGAAAGAGATCCTCTTTCTTCTTAGCTACTTCTGATCTGATGACTTCAATGCGTTGCAGGTCTTTCTGATATCAACTAGAGCTGGTGGGTTGGGGCTAAACCTTGTGAGTGCGAACCGTGTGGTTATATTTGATCCAAATTGGAACCCGTCGCATGACTTGCAAGCACAAGATAGGTCATTTCGTTATGGACAGAAACGTCATGTGGTGGTTTTTCGTTTGTTGGCTGCTGGTTCCCTTGAGGAACTTGTCTATACAAGACAAGTATACAAACAACAGCTTTCGAACATTGCGGTTGCAGGGAAAATGGAGGCGAGGTACTTTGAAGGCGTCCAGGTAACATAAAAGAATACAATCTTAATCGGTTCAGTTTCATTAGAGAGATTCGTTTTCTCTTGTAATGATTTGGTACGTCTTATGATCAGGACTGTAAAGAGTTTCAAGGCGAGCTATTCGGGATTTCAAATCTTTTTCGTGATCTCTCTGATAAGCTCTTCACTAGCGAGATTGTTGAGTTGCATAAGGATAGTGACACCCATGAGAAGAAGAGCCCATTGCTTGAGACAGGTGTTTCAGAAGATGAAAAAGAGAAAGAGGTCTCCTGCTCTTCTAACCTAGAAACAGAGGAGCCTTCCCTTAAAGACTTGGGTAAGAATAAGACTGGTCTCTTCTGGAACATACTTTATGATTAGTCTTATAGATCTTTACTCGGGCTTGTGTGACTATGAACAGGGATTGTGTATGCACATCGAAATGAAGACATCATCAACGGTGGAGGGACAGAAACATCAACATCTCAGAGGTTAAATGGAGACGGTAATAGCAATGAGAACTTACAGTGTGTGGGTCGAAAGAAGAAGAAGATAATAAGTGTAGAGGAGGATATTTCTTTCTCAAACAGGGAACAAAAAAGAGAGAAGTACAAGATGTTAGCTGCGTTTAAAGGCATGCCGATACTAGAGTTCAGTAGATGGATATTGTCAGCTTCTTCATTTGACAGAGAGATGCTACTTCAAGACTTTTTAGAAAGAGTCAAGTAACGATACCAGAATTTTTGATGTAGATTAGGCTAACTAATTGTATATAGTAATAAGCTTACAGAAATTGTATGTGTTTTTACTTATTACATATCAGAAGGCAAATCAACAAAAAATTGTACATAGAACTGACTGGCTACCTTCTCTGTGCCTTGAATCTTGAAACTGGTTTTGATGGTTGAGACCCTGAAGACTGCTTACACATAAATAGATAAACAAACAAGCAAAAAGATGCAATAAGAATCATGAATCCTGCATTGGGAGTGCTGTGTTATTTGAATGGTAGAAAAGTACCTGCATTTGGCCGTGGGTGCTGGTTTGTAGATTATGGTCATGCTCGACGATCGATCCAGTAAAAGCCTGCACGATTTGGTAGCAGGTATTTAACGAGCTTAAAGTAAAGTCAGATATATCTAAACCAAACTACACTACTAACAAATGCTTGAGCGGAAAAGATATTTAACCTTGTTAGAACCAAACTTCGGCTCCGGTGTCTGTATAGGTGACTGCACCAACGAAAAAAATTGACATGATGAATTGTGAGATGATTGTTAAAAGGCCAAGTTTTGTTGAATAAAGATGAGCATAATGCAGGACCGTATTAGTTTGATTTCGAATGCACAACTGATCTATTTGGATTCAAAGAATAGCTTATGGTATAAGTTCCAAATACCTCAATCTTTTGTTGGCCTACATCATTCATCTTTGGCTTTGCTCTGGAAACAACGGAGCTCGCTTGAAAATCTCTCCATGTTCCAGCGTTTTGCTGAGGAATTCCGCCACCTGACTGATCTTCTGGTGATAAAAGAACATAAATGCTAGTTAGAAAAATGTTTCTTAAGAAGAGATGATAATCTGACAATGAAGCTACTTTTCTGATGTCTAAAATGCGGTCTGTCTCACCTCTAATTCCTTTACCCATATCGCGCTCGCTCTCTTCCTCGCTTTCTATTGGGGAATCACGTTTTTCACCTGTATCATCCCCATCTTCACCCTCCTGTTGCTCTTTCATTTCAAGCTCATTCAACCTGGACATGATTTTTTCAAATTCATCGTCTTTAACTTCATCTTCTGCAGTCTCTCCTTCTGGAAGACCAGAAGGCTCTTTTACACCTGGCTGAAGCACAGTGGCAGAAGAATCTTCCTCTACATACTCTTCTCTTATCTCAACAAGTCCTTCCTATTAAAAACATGACAACGCCGCCTAAGAATGCATATATAAAGATAAGGCACATAGAATTAACACATTAACCACTCGCTCAACAAACCCACCGCTGCTTCTGAAGCAGTTGTACTGAAGAATGAAGCCTCCGTCTGAAAATCATCAATCTCAGCTTTAAGGGAACGGATTTGGGACTGTAAAGTCTTGTCCCTTCTACTCAAAACGTCAATGGTTTGTTTCGATGTTCTGTCAGTATAGTAATTCTCTCCCAACAACACCTATGTGAATCACACACACACACAAAAGAAAAAAACATCCTTTGGCTGAGTTTAAACCAATATGAAACTTACACTAGCCTCTATATGTTACCGGTAAACTCATAAACTTCAGAAAATCATAACAAAACGCTCCTTTATAGAAAACCAACAATATATAAACTAATTACAATATATCAAACCATTAAAATCGAAAAGGGAGAATGAAAATCATCAAGAAAACCTACCAAACACTCGTTGGTGTGGATCAATCGACCTGGGAAAAAAGCCATTTTACCGAATGGAACCTGTGAGAGCAAAAGCAGAAGCCACCGAACAAAGCATCAGATACATCAAAAGGCACGAACTTAGATTGTAAGGAGGGTATAATAAATGGATGAAAACTCGCCATAACGTTGTGATGGAGCTGATCGGGGAGCTTCCTGACGAGATCGATGAGGTTGGCGTTTTCATCGACGAACTGTTGAAGGCGATTCATCTCTCCCAGCTTCTCTCCGATTTTCTCCTCCACGTAAATTGCTGCTTTCCGTGCCTCCTCCTCTGAGAACAAAGACGCTAACGGCGTCACTGTTCCCTTCGTCGACGAATCCATTCCGGCAAGGGTTTAAGCACGACGGTTGCAGAAAAAGAAGAACACAGGAAGAAATCGAGAGGGAAGAGACCAAAACATTACAAGGCTCGAGCTTATAATGAACTTCATGGGCCAATTTGTTATGGGCCAATTTGTTATGGCCCAATATAGTTTTTTTGTCGTCTCGTGGATATATTAAGACCCACTAAGGGTAGAGCAGTTTACAAGATGGCCCAATATAGTTTATATAATGTTTTCCGAAAATAAAGATTCCCTTGTGTCCGAACCCTAAAAAAAAGATTCCCTTGTGTAATAAAATTTATAGTTTCACAATGTTTGGCTAAAAATTTGGTGTAGTTTCCATACTTTCATCACATTATTATGTAAATTAAAACCCCACCTAAAAATATTAAGATTCAATTATTTTTAATACTTTTTACTATACTTGATTATTTAAAAAATTATGATCCGTAATAGATTTTTTTATACACACATGTATACAATATAATGCAAGTGTGGAGATAATGCAAATGGGTTGGCATGTAGGCATGTAGGCATGTAGGCATGTTACACACGAGAAGAAGCCCGACATGTGCGACGTTTTAATTCAACTTCAATTCATTAAACCTTTGGATCCATTCCGTTATTTTCATTAGTTTTGCAATCTTGCTATCAAAATGATAGAAGTCGATGCAGTATTTGTAGTATTACACAGTATGTTTATGATAAGTTTAATAAAAGAAATATATAATTGTTACTAATTATCAATAAGTTTTAATAACTTACCACCCAAAAGAGGATCGTTTAATAAAATTTTAACTGATAAAAATATAAGAGAAATTTAGTAAAACTTAGAGCCAGAGCCAACAGTTTACAAAATAATAGTTTATATATATATATATATATATATATATATTTTGTTAAAACATGTGGTCAAATGCTACTAAATAATAATAGTACTTGTTATTTTGCCTTTTGAGGAAAAGGAAATCCAAAATAAGTATGTAATTAGGAGAAAAAAAAAAGAGAAAGGGTTTGGCTGAAGAATTTACGATATTAATTCAATCAGGAACAAAATATAAATCAATAAAAATAGCAAAAGGTAAAGAAATTTCTCTCCGTTTTCTTCGTCCGCCTTCATTCTCTTCTCTCTCCATCGGCACCGAACCAAAACAACCAAGGCAGAAGAAAACCCACCAGCGAGAGACGTGGCGAGAGAGAGAGAGATAGAGAGGGCAAGGTGAAAGCTTTTTAGTTTCTCTCTCTTCCGATAAGCAAAGATCACTGTATCAACAATCAGACAATGCCTGCTTTGAAGAGCTTTTCCGCCGCCGAGGAAGAAGACGACCAACTGTGTCGGAACCCAGAAGCCGAACGATATGATCCGGAAGCTGAGGAGGAAGAAGAAGATCCGGACCAAATGGATGAGATGGACGAAGATGATAACGAAGGTGGAGATGAGGAAGTCGGTGATGACGTGAAACGTGACATAGAGGAAGAAGACGACGAAGTAGAAGCAGAGGATGAGGAAGCGTTAGAAGAAGAAGGTAAGTATTTCGTTTCTACTTGCTTATACTCGTGGATACGTGTGTCTGATATGTGGGATCAATCAATGCGTGCGTACGTGAAAGTGATCGAGGATTGGTACCTTTTTCTTTTTTTTTCGATTTTCAGATTCTAAGGAAAGGAGTCAGTCTTCTACATCAGAAGAGCAATCAGAATCAGAGTAACAATTCTCTTCCCTTCGCTGCTCGTTTCTCTGTGCCAAACTCTTAGCTCTCATTTTACCAGATTTGGCTTTTCTGATTAGCTGTCTCACTGTTCTGTTTGAAGCGGAATCAGTGTTCTCTGATGTCCTCACTTTTACTTTCTAGACATTTGTGTTTTCTTTCATTTGTCCGATGCATTGTATGGTTCTTGCTTGCATGGTATAATTACTGTCGTTTTTCTTCTTCTCAATATTCCAACTTTTTAGTAGGTGAGTGTGACATTGTGCAGATTGATCTTGAGATGATTTTATCTTCCATTTGACTGAAAGCTTCCTGTGTTCAAGAGTCTCTTTTAGCATAACATGAGTCTTTGACTGAGAGTGGCTTCTTACAGTAGGCAATGGTAGTTGATGATCTCTCTGAGTTATGATAAAGTCTGAATTTTTCTTGCAGATTTATGGATATCGAGCTAGGGGATATCCGTAGGGATGTGCAGTGTCCGATATGTTTAGGTACTTACTCTTCTGCTCTTTTATAATTCAAAGTCAGTCAGCTTTAATTGCTCTTGCCATCCCCCACTATTGTGAGTGTTGACTATATACTAGGAAAAATCAAGATTCAGCTACTTTCACGAACCAACATAAATCTGCACAATAGATTGTTCTTGGATTGCCAACTTTTCTCATGATCCTGTTTTGACATAGTCTCTGTATTTCATCAACTCTACGCTTTACTAAATCCGACTGATTCGAGCACTGGTTTTCATTTTCCAGGAATTATAAAGAAAACAAGGACTGTCATGGAATGTCTCCACCGGTTTTGTCGAGAGTGCATCGATAAGTCAATGAGATTGGGGTATGCCTTCCACTTACATGTTTAGCATTCATTATTTAGGTAGCCTATTGTAAAGCTTGTTCTTGGTTTTATTAACTGGCAAATGCAATTTTCAGGAACAATGAATGTCCTGCTTGCAGAAAACATTGTGCAAGCCGACGTTCTTTAAGAGATGACCCAAAATTTGATGCCTTTATTGCAGCTTTATTCAATAATATTGATAGATTTGAAACGGAGGTGAAGCATCTACATTTTTCTTTCCCCCCCCCTTAAATCATTTTAGATTTTAGAGAGAACAGTTACTTATGAGAGATTGCTATTGTCATATACTTTTCATTTTCGTTCAGGAATTGACTTTTGATGAAGATGAGTTGGCTCGTAAGAAACAGGTCAGAAACCTGATTCTCATGTCACATATAAGACACTCACTTTAGTACATTTAATGCTTCTGTTGCTCTTCTTTTGTTTACCTTTTTTTCAAACTGATATCTATGGCTGTTTTGTAGATTCAAGTATCTATAGCCCAAGTGTCGCAACGTCAATCTGAGGCCCTTGTGAAAAGAAAGTCTTATGGTAAAGAAGTACCGAGATCACAACGTATCGGTAGTGGCTCCAGAAGAAGAAGGAACTGCAGAAACATGGAACAGGATGCATCAGAAGCCCATGATGATGATGATAATAACAACGTAGGCAAAGATTCTTCTTCAGATGAGCCTTGTGCCGAGTTACCGCCGAGAAAACGAAAAAAGCGCTCTACAACTCGTTCTACAGCTCACCCTTCTTCTTCATGTCGAAACAACAACGATAACTGCGCTGACAAGGGCACAGAGGAGACGCACAACAGAGACAGCAGAGGAATATCACCTGGGCTTGTGTGGAACCCGGAGATACTTGCATGGGGAAGAGGCGGCACAAGGAGTAACACAAGGCAAGGGAACAATAACCAAGGAGCTGGTAGTAGGAATGTTAGGAACGCTCGCTTGAACAGACTTGTGGAATATCTCGGGAGCTTAGAGAGTAACAGTGGCGAGGTAACAAAAGAAAATGCTTTTTCTTTTTCTTGACCGTGTTTACAAATTACAGGTAATAATGTCAGTGTTTTTTTTTTGGTTTTGTAAATCTGTTCTGCAGTTGGATATTCATCTTAGGCTTATCTCGCTGGATACAAAATGTATACCAAAATTGCCTCAGCCATATCTCTGTTGCCGACCCACTTTGCTAGTCAAACAGCTCCGCGAAGTGAGTGCTCACTGTCTCCCTATATGGTATCATAAGTTTGGAGTGTATCCACTAAAAACAAAACATTTGCAATAACATGGATCTTGATACTTGTGTGATCTCGATAATGTTGAGCAGTATGTTGCAGTCCAGATGCAACTGAAGGCTGAAGAGGTTGAATTGTTGGTGTGTAAAGAAGATGATAAGGCAATTGAGAGTAAGACCTCATCATCATCAACAGAGAAGCTGCAAAGTCTTAAAGATGAGGAAACCTTGGCGAAGCTCAACGTTGACTGCACCTCAAGCCATGGATATTTGGTACTGTCACTGTTAAGCAGTGTCTATAGTTCATCTAATCTGAATCTCTAAAATCACATCTCTCACCGTGATGCCTTCTGAAACTTACATATCCCTTTTGTTTCTTTTCTCTCAGATGGTATTGTACCGGCAAAAGCAAATCGGGTAGAAGCAGTAGACGTTGGAGAATTTGATTGGAACAATGTATATGAATGAATTAGACTTTTATGCTCGGGATTGTTTCCTCAGTCGTCGTTTAACTTTATCTGAAGAATATGTTGGTCTCAAACATGAAACAAGTTTTATATTATTTAAGATAGTTTTTTTGAAGTTTGATTATAAGCTTGAACAGGATACATAACAGATTTTGAATATGGAGGAGTGTGTGTTACTCTTAGCTGTCAGACAATTAAATCGTTCTCTATGTATATTATTAAACACCAAAATTGAGAAGCTTTGGATTTTGCGAGTTAGTGACGTATATACGGACATGGACGATGCCCCCAAATTAGATGCATACAACATACCGAAAATGAGTTCGTCCAAAAACATTGAATTAACTTTTAATACGGAAAATCATGTCTACAAATAACAAAAACAATGTTCTTTTTGCCGTTAAAGTATTTCTATTTAGTTTGTCCTTTATTTTAATTTAAATTACCGCTTCATTTGTATTCTTTTTTTTGTCGTGACTCTATCCAGTTGAAAAAAAACACGCACACATTTTTGGACTTGGTTTATTCTTTTAAACTTTGAACGCAAAAGTTATAAATTTTACCAAAAATATTAATTTATGAGCCGAAGCCATAAGGTATAAACCAAAAATGTCTTTGCTTCCATCAGAGCCACGCAACCAATCGAAAACGTGACACTTGTACATACACATGCACTCAATTTTTAGATATCTTATTGAATTCTGAAAAGAAATATAAAAGAAGTTCTATTAAAAACATATTTTTATTTTGTCGTCTATTATAATTATTTATATAATCCGCTGATAGTAGCGTACAAAATAGAAAACGTATTTTCTGAAACCTCTTTTGTATTTGGACTTTCTATTTAATCTCGTGCATATCCTTTCTGTGTTGCAAAGTTTTGTTAGATTCGTTGTACACAAAATATATACCCTACATAAATTGTATGTTATAAAATCAAATGAAAAAAGTTATGCGATCGTATTATTGTATCATGTACATTGGTGCATTTCGTAACGTTAAAAATAGAATTCTACTGTTTGTACAACAAATCATGTTAACAAATCTAAGAAACTGTTATACAACTTATTTTTCGTTGTTTTGCTGTTCTTGAACCGTGACTGGACCTAGAATACGATAGGATGAACCACAAATTTAATGTTTTCTACCAGTTAATTGTATTCATATCAACTGAATACTCATCGAATTTCTTTGAAGGTATTGGTACTACGTTATTTAAATGGCAGTTACGCACATAAAAGTAAACATTGCAGCTACTTATCACCAAAACTTTTTAAAGGACACAATGGAAACCATTTTAAGATCAGAAAATACAGGTAACTTGTCCATACTAAAAAAGTATCGTTTAAATTACAAAAATATGTTTTCATGTATATACTACGTATACTAGGCTTAATCTTATATTTTGGTATATCAAAGTTGCAAAACAAATTACTTGGTGATATAAAAACCAAATTTACGCTATTTTATTAAATTATAATAAAGTTAGTTGTTTTTTTCCTTACTTTTTTTTAATTTAACAAAGACAAACTAGGAAAAATAAAAAAAGAGAGATATAGTTATAATGGATATCGATAAGGGAGAGAGAAGAGGTGACTATGATGATGAAAACATAAGCACATGTGTTAGGTCTGAAGCAAGGAGAGAAAGGCAGCTCCTGCTTCTTTGCATGAAACCTCTCTTTTACTCTTCTCTTCTCTCGCCACGATGCCTCTCCCCCATGCCCTCCCACACTACTCCATTCCACTTTTGTCTTCTTATTACTTCTCATCGTCTTTCATAAAATCAATATAATAATCTAAAACTAACAATATTTATTTATATGTTTTAACTTATTCCCATGTCTGTATCCTGTACTCAAAACCATATATATACCCCACATGCAATATCTTCTTCTCTCATCTTGCTCCTTATCTCTCAGACCAAAACACACGCAGACAAGAAAAACACAAGTTTATCATTAAACATGGACGTCGTGAGACCAACGGTGGAGATTCCACCGCGAAAGCTTCTTTTGTCTTCCAAGTCCTTTCCTGCGGATGCTTCCCCTCGCTCTTCGCCGCGTAAACATAACTGGAACAAGAGTAACAAGATTACATCTGAGCATGAAGAGGACAGCTTCAACGAAGACAACAACAAGGAGGTGAAGGAGTATTGTTATGATTCCGACACTGATGATCCTTACGCAAGCGATCATTTCCGGATGTTTGAATTCAAGATCCGACGTTGCACCCGTAGCCGAAGCCACGATTGGACTGATTGTCCCTTTGCTCATCCCGGAGAGAAAGCTCGGCGTCGTGATCCTCGTCGGTTTCAATACTCCGGTGAGGTTTGTCCCGAGTTCCGTCGCGGTGGTGATTGTAGCCGTGGAGATGACTGTGAGTTTGCTCATGGAGTCTTTGAGTGTTGGCTCCATCCTATTCGTTACCGTACCGAAGCTTGTAAAGACGGTAAACACTGTAAAAGAAAAGTATGTTTCTTTGCTCATTCGCCACGTCAGCTTAGGGTTCTTCCTCCAGAAAATGTTTCCGGCGGTTCAGCGTCCGCGTCCCCGGGGAAGAATCCGTGTTGCCTGTTTTGTAGCAGCTCTCCCACGAGCACTCTTTTGGGTAATTTGTCTCATCTTTCTCGATCACCGTCTCTGTCTCCACCTATGTCCCCTGCCCACAAAGCCGCTGCCTTTTCTCGTCTGAGGAATCGCGCCGCTTCTGCCGTTTCAGCTGCTGCAGCCGCTGGTTCGGTTAACTATAAAGATGTTTTAAGCGAGTTAGTGAATTCATTGGATTCCATGAGCCTAGCGGAAGCGCTACAGGTGAGTTCCTCTTCACCGGTTACAACGCCAGTTTCTGCAGCGGCTGCGGCGTTTGCCTCGTCCTGCGGTTTGAGCAATCAACGTCACCATCTCCAGCAACAGCAGAGCAGTCCTTTACAATTTGCTCTTTCGCCTTCCACTCCAAGTTACCTGACAAACTCACCGCGGGCTAACTTTTTCAGCGATGATTTCACTCCTCGCCAGAGACAGATGAACGATTTTACCGCGGTGGCTGCGGTTAGGGACAAGACTAGCTTTGAGGATGGTTCGTGTGTCGACCCTGATCTAGGATGGGTGAATGATCTCTTGACTTGATGGATTCACGAGGGGGATTTTGTTAAGACGGTCTGACTTGAGAATGTAAATTTCGGTGGAGAAATTTTAATTACATTCATGAATCATGGGAATAAGAACCGGTGCGTAACGGTTTGATCAATGCATGGAGAGATTTGTTAAAATTTGTTTTGCAGATTTTATGGTTTTACGAATTTCCACGAAAGCTAATTATGAAGTGTCTTGTGTATTAATGTCGTTTTATTTTAGAACTCTCTTTTTGGTGGGGATGTTTACCAAATAATATATGTATGTTGAACTTGTAATATCTTGTGGATTTGGATTTTTTATGGATTCCGATTTGTGCAATGTTTCACCATTCCTGCGTTTTATATATTTTTCCTTCAATGGATACTTTTTGTCTGTTAAATCGTTAACTAGTGGATTCGGACTGTACTATTTCACCATTCGTATATTTAGATTTACCGGATGGATTTTGGTAAATAATAGGTAATTTTTAATTTACACTTGCTACGCAAAACAAATATAATTTTTATGTTACGCAAAACAAATATAACAATCATTGAACAAGTCATGTTTTAGATTCTCTTTAATTTATTAAATCATTTGTAGATGGAACAATGGAGACGTAAGCTTATATAATAGTACCATTCTTAAAAATGTTCATCCCTTGAAACTTCTTCTTAAGAACCTCTTGAAATAAACCAGTTGCTTTCTTAAAAAAAAAAGTTGTTTTGTTTGCGAGTATGATTGTATTTTTTTTTTTTTGAAAAGATGCGAGTATGATTGTATAGATGCATATAAACAAATATTATTTTATTCATCTCTCACCGTGATAACTGATAGCTACGTGTGATGTTTTTTCTGGTTTTGTTTACGTTTCCATAAAGAATTTTAGAAGATATGACCAAAGATGCATATAAACAAGAATATTAATTTAGATACGACTTTGGTCATATCCTTAAAGTATAGAAAAACGATGAGAAGTTTTTCTTTGGGACAACCACATGAAAGTAGTTTAGTATTCATAGGAGGCATGTGTATGCGGTTGACAGATGTACACAATGAGACGTGTCCTTAGTCATTATACTATAAGTCTATAATACTATATGAGATGCATGTATATACCTACATAGTAGAAATTTCATGGATTCCATCGTGATTTTTCCCATTTTGATAGATCATGCTGCTTTTTTCGTTAATTTTTAGGTGAATTTTTCAGAGAATTCTCTAGTGCTGTTGGATTAGATTCAGTTACTATGTTTTATCCGTTGGATTAGTTTTAAGGTGAGGTTTGTGTAATTATGCTCTTGCACAGTTCTGAATAAGCTTGCCGTATCTTTTGCCTCGGAGCAGAGCTTGTTGGTTAAATCGGTATTGTCCTTTTGATTTTACTTTTAACAGTGTCACTAGTGAAAATTTGTGGTCATCAATTGAGACATTAAAGATGTTTATAAAATATTAAAGTGAATTATAAAACATATAATTTGATAAAATAGAATATTTTAAGTTTTTAAAAAATTATGATTAATTTGTGTAAGTTGATTTTCTAAAACTATATGATCTATATGTTTACTACGTTGTGTAACAAGATCAACCAGGAGATATAGATGTAGGAGTCCATTTGAAGGTTAGTATATGTTAACTAAAAAGATTCCTTAAATGAGACTACATTTAAAATAGATACCAACCCCTAAACCAGTGGATAAAAAAAAGGAGCGATCTCTATGAGAAGCAGCAACAAGAAAAGGAATAAAAGTGGAGGAATCTGAAACGAAAGAAAAGAGAAGAGACTCGATGGGATTTACTGGAACCAATACCATGTAGCTCCTCCGTGAAAAAGAATGAGTCTGATCATGTGAGCCAAATGCCCGGGATCTAATGATAAACATCGGATCCTCCGAAATATGTCTCGCTGCAACTTCGCCTATGACCAGAGAAGGTTAAACATGAAGAGATGATTAATCTCAATAAAAAAACTGGAACAAGAGCAAGCAAAGAATGCATTACCATCGAGTAGACAACTCTCGAGGTCATCCTGACAAATTACCACAAAAACATCATGACTTAAATGTATCATCTATTGGAACCAACCAAGCTTTGATGAATAGACAAGAGATACTCACTTGACGATACATTCAAGTATTCGTTTCCAGAAGCCTTGTCTTTTCATCAGTGTATCTTCCAACTACAAACCCACATAACACAGTTCTAGTCCAATTGTTAGGTAAAGCAAATTTTACTACTAGTATTTGTTGCTAGGAGCTAATTACAAATTAATCTCTGTTATCTTTTTTTGCACAAACAATGGACAATGGACAACTAATGATATACAAATTTGTGTGTTGTTCTATTGTCTATCGGCATTTGCTCTCCCTAGGTTCTATGGTTCGATGTGGCTAGCATTGTAGCAGGTATGGTCCCTCTGTTTACAGTCATTGCATTTATCGATCGGGTTGTTGCTGCATGTGGAGTAGTTGTTTATGCTATTGTGGTTGTGCCACTTGTTTTATGATTGTTCCCTCGTGAGCGTGAGATTCAGAATCCAGACTAGGAAGAAAAGTCTAAAGCTAAGAAGAAAAGTCTAAAGAGAAGAAGAAGCCGAAGATCTCTCTCTTTTCTTATCTCTATTTTTCATAAATAACTTATCGTTGGTATGTATTTAGTTTTCAAACTCAATGGCTTAGAGGTTTTCGTTTATCTATTTTGTATATATGGCTTATCGTCATTATGTATTTAGCCTTCAAACTCGGTGGTTTGGAGGTTTTCGTTTATCTATTGCATATATAACTCATGTTTACCTTATTTTGTTCTTTGGTATTAGTTTTTGTTGTTTAATATAACAGTAAAGACGACCCTCTGAACAATCCAGTGTGTAACCATTGTGATATGCCATTCAAACCAATTGCACTTCTCATTCCATTTCACATTACTTTTGTTCTGCTTTCGCAAACTCTGCAATGCCACAAAAACCTCTGTGCATATATAGTAATTGGTTATGGTAAATTAAAAAAAAAAAAGAAAAAAAGAAGCAGAACAATACCAAAATGCCAAGGAAGTAGCTGAAACAGTGAAGGAAACCACCGAGATATACAAATTTATTAATAATAGTAAATTGAATAAATATCATTTGTGGTTGCATATTTTTTTATCATAACCGTTATTAGAATTTATATTATTTTCATCATTTTTAAGTATTTCTTTCTTTATGATCGCTTAATTTATAAAAAAAATGTATTTTTTTAATATTTATGAAAGTTCTTGTTCTTTCTGTTTCTTTCAACTTCTTGCAGTTTCTTGGGATCGAAGATATATCATGGTTCTCAGGTACCGAAAAAAAAAAAAAAAAAACTAAAAACATAACTCACAAATTTGATGTTGTATATATGACTTTAAGTGTTCGTAGTTTTCACTTTTCATAAAATGACAAGTAAGTGGAGAGATTCCACAATTACTCCAAAAGTTCTTTTGTTTCTCAAATACAATTTATCTTCTTTTCAAGGCTCATACTCCTCTTGAGTACCTTCGAAGCTCTTGTAGTATTCATCCATAGTTTCAAACTCGTTGGGATGATCATTGCCTCGAACACTCTCATACCCACGAGTAGGGGTATTTTCGGAATGTCTGCCTCGTGTGTCGTAGAAGTACTTGCCGTTCTCCATAAACCTCGTATCGCTCGTTCCTTGCCTCTCTTCTTCAATACCATAACCTTTCCTCTTATCATTGTAATTGTTATTAGTAGTGTAAGTGTATCCATTATTGTTATTGTTATACTTATCCTTCTGCTCATTATGATCTTCCGACTCTTCTTCTTCCTCGAACTGTTCCGGTAACTTGTTGCTTTTTTCTTCGTCAAATGTAGCCATCAATTTCTCGAACTCTTCGTCTGTGGTTGTAGAGAAAACCGGCCATGAATCTTTTGTTTGAGGAATCATACCCGAACCTGGCCCGAAAGTCCCATCACCGAGTCTTCCATTGGCTTGGGCTAGCCCCGGAGAGGGAGCGGGAGCTGGAGTTAGAGCTACCTCTTTGTTGTTAGGACGATCTAAGTGAGTGAACTTGCTAAAGAAGAGCTTACCTTCTCTAGCTTCAACATTATTTTCAATGAAGCAGAGAGCAGCGACAAGGAGACAAAAAAATGACTTTAACGCAAATGAGGCCATCAAAGAAGGGAGAATGAGAGTGAGAGTGAGAGAATTCAGGTTTAAGATGTGTTTTGGTGTGCGAGTGAGTTTATGTATAAATAGATTAAGAAGTAGTAAAATAGGCCGAGCAAACATGCGAGGATTGAGGACGGACATTCGTCATTCGCGGCGAGTGATTTTAAATTAAGAAAAAAAAAAACAAAAAGGTAAAAATAATCAAGAAAAGTGGGTCTTGTTGTCTCATAAATTGAAATGGGATATTTTGCATTTGTTAGATGTTTTTGGTCAAAAAGGAAAAGAACCTAAGAAAACACCATTACAGTTGTTTATACATACATGCGTATTTTGACTTTTCATTTCACTGTTTGGTAGTTGAGTTAGTTGAAAATGAAGATTAGAATTAGATCATGTTTTGTGGTAGCAAAGCAAAGCTCAGATAATGTCAAAGCATTTATCTTTTTTTTTTTTATTAAATGGAGTAAATAGTCACCTTTTATAATTTCTCACAAGTTTTGATAAACATGATTATTAAACTTACTAAATTTGTTAGTAAATTTTAGGGGTGTCAAAAAAAAAAAAAAGAGATTAGGTTTCATGTTCTAATTGAAAGTTCGTTAGACATTAAAGAGAGAAAGCAATGACGAAGAATAGGCGTGGGTCCAATTTGGAAACAAGAGAAAGTTTAGGCATTTTACAGTTGAAAGTTTAGCCATAAGACTTTTGGGTCCATGGGACAATGTGTCATCAAGTTTTTATCTCAACGATTGCGTAGTGTGGAACCGAAGCTATCACAGCTTTTGTCCCGTGATCGTCGGAAATTATTTTATTAATATTTCTCGACGTTTGTCGGGAAATTACTGTCTTTTTTATAGCGTATTTATTAATACATTACCGAATTAAATACATAACAAAAAATCTAAGAGCTTTAATCATCCACAATTAAGGTTTGTTCGTTCACCGAACTTTTAATTCTATTTCACATAATTTTAGTTATGGAGAAAAGTGCCTATGTATGGTTTGTTTGTTCACCGACCCTCTGAACAATCCAGTGTGTAACCATGCCACTCAAACCAATTGCAGTTCTCATTCTATTTCGCATAATTTATGTTATGATTTCGCAACCATGCAATGCCACAAAAAGCTGTGCTTATATAGTAATTGGTTATGGTAAATGAAAAAAAAGAGAAAGAAGAGGCAGTACAATGCCAAAATGTGAAAGAAGTAGCTGAAACAGTGAAGAAAACCACCGAGTATGCATGCAGCATATCCAAGATGTTACAGCTCACTTTCGCAAAACGCACCGTTCGTAGAGCTCAACCAACACTCTCTTTCTTGGATTCTTTAACCCAACCAACTCAGCTCCAAACCCGTGTTTCAGTATCTCATCTCTCAGCTTCTGCATTGTGTATCTCGAATGATCCATGCCTGTGGAAGAAGACGATCCAGCTCCAGTGCCCGTGCTTGTGCATTTTCTCGGGGTCATTGCAATCATCGCTCTCCCGCTCTCTTGTGAAACCGTGTCTTCTTCTGTCTCTTGCCCGAAATCCGAACCAGAACATGTCATACTTGCTTCTGCTTTCAAACGCTTCACACGCTGCAGCGGTGTTGCTTCATCTGAAACCATAAAAGAGTCTTGTCGCTGCATCATACTCAACTTTTCCTTCTCGGCATTGATCATGATTCTCTTCCATCCTGCAATCGCTTCTTCGTTTTGTTTCGCTCTTGTCTCCAACGTTTCGGAAAGTTCTATCTTTTGCCTCTCCAGATCCTCGATTAGGCCTTTCGCTCTGTCAATTTCAATGCTTTTTGCCTGCAACAACGTCTCAAGTTTGTTTTCCTTGTCTCGTGCGGTCTCCATTTCTATTGTCATCGAACACACAAGCTCTCTAGCTGTTGCAGCCTCTGTCTCCGCATCTTTGAGCTTCAAGCAGGTTCTTTCAAGTTCTTCTATGCGGTTCTTACCTCGATCGATTTCAATGCATTTTTCCTGCAACGATGCCTGGAGCTCATTCACACTCATCCGGAAGGCCTCTGCTTCCCTTTTCATCGAATCTACAAGATTCTTGGATGCTGAAGCTTCACTTTCCCTACCATCGAGCTTCAAGCATGCCTTTTCAAGCTCTTCGATACGGCTCTTAGCTCGGTCGATTTCAATGCATTTCTCCAGCAGTGACGCCTGAAGTTTGTTCTCGTTGTTCCGTACTGTTTCAGCTTCCACTCTCAATGAATCCGCAAGTTTCTGAGCCGATGAAGCCTCGTTTTCGGCATTCTTTAGCCTCAACCAGAGTTTTTCAAGTTCCTCCATATGCGAAAGATGCTTCCTCTCTAACTCATCTTTCTCTTGTTTTAATGTCTGCATCTCACTTTCGCGCAATTCCGCTGTAGATTTCACCGATTCGTATTTATCGTTCAGAGCCGAAATTTGAAGCTTCAAGTCTTTTGCTTCCAAAGAACATTCCTTCACCTTCAACTCACCTTTCTGCAAAGAAACAACAATCAAAAACGCAGGACAGGACACAGATGCAGCTATGCAGGGCTAGAAGAGTAATGTAATGGCCCTATCAGAGAAGCTGACCTTTAATTCTGCAAGCGTAGAGGCCAATTGCTGCTCCAAAGTCGCAAGCTTTGCAGCTGTCTCGGTGACTACTTTCTCCTAACAGTAACCAAAAATCAGAGTCGCAACTTAATCAGTTTACCGTGTTCGATTATAGAATTATCATATGACAAGTTTCTATTAATGCAAATAAAAGCCTAACCTTTTCATCAAGAACACGAGAGAATTCAGCTCTCATGCCATCTTCAGTGGCTGAAGCTTGCTTCAACTTCTCTTCCATTGCCGCTATCTTCTCTGATACAGCGTTTTGCTCACTCACAACATTCTCGTATTTAATTTTCCAGTCAATTGAATTACTGCACCTAGTGATCCCCGAATCGACTCCGACCCGACTGTTGCTGCTGCTCACGCCATTCTCATCCAATGTCTCCTCATACTTCCGTTTCCACTCAGAAGCCTCTAGTCTTGTGGACCCCAACACCTCCATGAGATTCGAGTGTTCATGGTGAGTAGACTTACACTTACTTTCCAGGTCATGAATCCGGTGTTTGAACTGATCCGAGAGCTTATTCATGTCTTCAATGGCGCTCTCGTAACGCTTCTGATATTCCTTCCTCGTTTTCTCTCCTCCTTCAAGCTGTTTCTTTAGCAAACCCATCGTGCTTTCCACCGAACGTTGTTGTAGCTTGAGTTTGGAGTTCTCAGAAATAAGTTCATCCATTTGATTCCCTCTACGATGAACGAGAATGTCCTGTATACTGGAAATGAACAACTGAGAATGGTTAAATTTCAATGAAGACCAAACATTTAATAATCAAAGAATAATCTTTATTTTCAGAAGTATATAAGGCTATAAACATTATAACGAGAACCTCTTTCTCAAAAAGGAAGACAGTGTCTGCCATTTCATAGGACCGTTGATAGACACTTCATACTCTGAAACAGCGGTATCAAGAGCCTGTTTCATACAGATTACAACATTGTTTAAAATGTAAGACTTGCTTCAATGGCTAAGAGTTGCTCTGCTCCAGGCTTCATCAAGTCTATATTGTGATGGAAAATTCAGAGTTAAGAACGGGAAAAAAAAGAAAGAGAACCTTGATCATATCGCCTATGTTAGCATCATGAGAACAAGGCAATGCCCATAGTTTCTTGCCCATATCTTCTATAGCACTACAACATCTCGAATACGCTTCCATATTTGCCACTCGCTTGTGATCCTGAAATCAAATAAAAAATACTATTTAGCTAAATAGGCTAAAACAGAGAGCTGGCTTATTGGCAACACAGTGTTAAGAGATAAATAAAGAGAGAAAGAGAGAGATAAGACCTCAAAAGCCTTCGCAAAGAAACTCCAAAGGTCTCTCTTGTATTTCTGTTTTACTTCAGTGTTTCCAATGGAAGATTCACAAAACGCGGTCAAAGCTTTGACAACCGCTATATTGTGTGCTTCTATCAGCATTGACTGCAGATCATCATGTTAATAGTTTATCTTACTACTATACATCTAAGTGATTGTTGAGTGTTAACACGAATTAAAACTTACTTCTTCAGGAGTCTCTGGACGACCCAAAGACGACATGTATACCTCACTTGCTGCATCACGGGCCCTTCGACCTTCTAATTCCTCTACAGACTGCAAGCAAATACAGATGAGGCATCAAAATATGCAGAAGAATTTGATGGAGAACACTGAAAGTTTTCCAGAATTGACTAGTAATTACCAGCCACAAAGAGGAAATTTCAGGCACGACGTTGTTGTTAACATTTTCTGTAAATGACTTTGTGAAACAAGCAAGAGGCGGTCCTGTGACGATGGTATCGCCTCTTTTCTTAGGCCTCACTCTCTCAGAGACGAACTTCGCTAAGGCATTTACACCGTAGAGAAGCTGGGGTCGTACCGTTTCGAGCTATTCACAAAAGAGTACACAAGTTTGATCAGAAAAGTGCAGAGAAAAGGACTCATGCCAAGGGCAAGAGTGAGGCCCTCTTGGTAATAATAAAAAACGATTTCTCATAGCGAGAACACAATCTTAAGAAGAAAAAAAGGAACCCACTTTGTTATTCTGAGTTACATCATCTCCACCGTCCACAGTTTCTGAGTTAAGGTCCTGATAACAGACAAGTAAAAAACCGTTCACAAACATCAGACTGGCTGATTCTAAACACTTAAGAATGTATTTTGATAAGGGAATTTTCACCGTCATAAGTTGTACAAACATGGGAGAGAACTGCCCAAGCCCGGAAAATGTATTGTCCTTGGCTTCTCCAACGTGATCGTTCTTGCTAATCTCAAGTAGACGAGAGAGATCAAGTGCAATGTCACTTACACCAAGTGCCTGAAAGATGAAGCAGAGTTCTCGTAATTACATAGCCCTAAGTGTGTGTGTGTGGAAGAAACTTTCTTGGGAAATAAAAAGCAGTCATAGGTACTTACCGGACCATAGATAAACACGCTTGATAGGAGGATAGCCAAGGCAAATATCTCACTGTTGCGTGTAGCCTAACATATAAAATCAATTTAACACATGATGAAACTGGTTATTTACTACAGTAAATAAAAACCTAATCTTTCTTTAAAAGACTTGAATCTTTGTCTGAGGTTTTTTTAAAAAAAGAACTAACCAGTACACCATTTGAGCCTGCTCCTTCGACATCGAGTAGCACCAAACTATATTCGGTTCCATCTTCTGAAATCCTCTTCACCGGCTCAATCCACATCCATATATCTCCGGCGAATGGCCTGTGAAGAGTTTGAACTTCAAAGCCAATGCTCCTGCTAACAAGCTATACATTCACATTCAAAATCAGAAATTTACCGGTTTCAAAGCTCAGTTACATAGTAACATTCACATATATACATATTGTCACATTCATTTCTACCACGTTTCCCAGGAAAAAAGCTAAGATTTTGCCACATATAAAATTGTTCCCGGAATATAGAAAGTCGCATGAATACGACATGCAATTTCCACGAATAGGAAACCCCAAATTTTCCTCTAAATCATCAGAAAACCTTCAATCAATCAAAGTGAATAGACCCAGAAAAATAGAAACCTGATTCCAGATGAAGCTCTTGCCATTGAGAGCTCTTCCGAACAGAGAGACAACAGCGACAGGACCTTTAAGCTTCTGAAGAGCGCCAATGGCTTCCAGGTCCGTCTTCAACTTCCCATTCTCATCTACGTAAACTAGTTGGACGGCCCGACCCGAACCCAAACCCGAACCGGACTCCGCCGTTAGGTTTCTCATGATGACATCAAGGGCGTCCTCTTTGTTCTGAAGTGAAGATCCTTTCTCCGATTCCACAGTGGGTTTGATTGATCTAATTCCGATCGAACACTGGACCGAATAAAGTTGTGAACTTTGTTGGGAAGTACAGTAGTAATTTGTAAGAAAAAGATTTGAATTTTGAGATATTTGAACTTTTGAGAGATTTGTAAAGTAAAGTTTTTCAGGGCAACACGTCAATGTCAAGGACTGAAGAGTGAAACGTGGCGTAATTAAAGAAAATAAAATAAAACGAATATATCAAACGTACGGTATTTTTATTATAGGCCTCCGAGCTATATGGGCTTTTTTTAATAATAATTTGGAATATTTTTGTTGTTAGTCTAATATCATGTTTTCTCCTATAATCATCGCTCCCAAACCTCTGTTCACTTTAATATCATGTTTTCAATAATCGAATAGTAGTGTTGTTGAGCCCATTAGAATTAAGTCCATTACAAGCCCATCAGTAAACTAAAAGCCCATTAGAAGACCAGGTAAAACCTAAGTCAGCCCTAGTCGTGTTCGTGTGTATCACCGTTAACCTGACAGAAAACGCCTTGGGGTGAGAGAGGAAGAGAATTTTTCGTGCCGAAAAGTTTCACACAAAGAGTGGAATTAACATGACTGATGCTGAGAAGGCGCCTGACGCTGAAAAAACCTATTTTGAAGAAAAATCTGCCCTCTATGCCGCTGCGATCTTCAGGTAATTTTTTTATGAGAAATTTTCTGTGGTTGAGTAGTACACATGGACAATCTTTGAATCTAAATATGAATGTGTAATCTAATGTTAAAGAAACGAGTACATTACCACACACAAGGCGTTATACCCTGAGGACAAATCTTTTGCTGAATCGATTGTGAGCCCTGGAGGATGGTGGAGTTCGTACCCTGATCATGTTGGAGATGCTGCTGACAATCGCTGGGAAAAAATGACTGACGAGGTATATTTATATACTTAAATTCTTTGTGTGAACTAACATTCCAGCGAATGAATTCTAACACATGGTTGGTTCACCTTACAATATTCAGAAGAAGGCTCCTTACTACGCTAAGGCCAAAGAGGTCCTAGAGGACAACCAAAAGGAGCAATCGGTGGTAAGTAATTTTGTTGTTTGTTTGAATATTACAGTGTATGCATATTATAGTAACTCATCCTTTGTGTTTTGTGTGTAATGAAAAGAAAGAGGAAAAGGCAGCGAGGAGGAGGAGAAGGAAGGTAAAATGAAGAGGAGGACGATATCTAGTATAATAATTTAGTCTGTTGAATGAATGATTTGCACCATCTCTATTTTTGTTCCGACGTTGATTGAAAGACTTGCAGCTTCTCTACTTTTGTTCTTCTTTTCACTACCACGTTTTACATAATAGTTTTTAATAGAATCTGGTCTTCTATCATAATGTCGAAATAAGAAGTTAGCATTATTTTTTTCTCTTTGTTTTGGAAAATCATTATAATTAATTATGAAGTTGTATGGTTAGCAAGATTGTTCAAAGATTTTAAGACTTAGTGGGAAAAGTAGCAAAAAATTGTTCAATAGTATACCTATTTAAAAAAAAAAAAAGATTGAAAACACTAATATCTATGTGCTCTTTTATCTTTTCTTTTTCTATCTCTCTTCATTTTCATTTTGTTATTATTTTCGCCCACTATGAATTGCCCTGCAAGTTATTCTAGAATTATTGAGCTCAAAAGCCTCCATCTTTTCTTTTGTCCCCACCACTTCTCGATCCACTCTTTATATATGCATATATACGAAATACGTATATACGTTCATACATTTTTTAGCTACTTATTTATGAAAAGCTAAACAAAGACCTCTTTACACCTGGTGAATATGCTTGAATCTCATCTTTTCTTCAACGAAACTGCTAATATAATACCAATACGCAAGTCACTCTAGTCTACATTTAAACATTGTCGTTATGCTTGTCTCTAGAGTATAAATGGAAAAGAAAAAAAAAAGTTGTAGAAGAAAATGTGTTGCAGAGAAATTGAAAGAATCAAATCATTTGGTTATGTTCGGGGGTCTTCATAGCGTCTCTAAGATTTTTGTTTAATGGAAGAAATCAGCTTCGATAAGTTCTAATAAATACGGTAGAAAATCTCGAGAAGAAACATTTTAATAAAGTGGCTTAAATCCATCCATTGATAGAGGATGAGTGGCATATCGTTTGTACACCAACACCGAGGAAATCACGAGTTTGCCCTCCTACTCTTGCGTCCCCACTCTCAACCCTTCTACGTTTCCAGGGGTAGTTTTGTAGTTCATTAATCTCCGAAACGAATGAAACGCCATTTCTAGGGTTCCCGATCTCGTGATGAAGACCGTTGTTACTCATTAACCCGACGCTGTTTGATCCAAACAAAGCGAAGAACTTTTCGCTGCCACCATCTTCTACAATCTGACTCTGATCGGACATTTTCGACGCAAAACTCTGGAGAAACGCCGATTGGTCGATGGTTGTCGTCGTCGTCGGAGTGGAAGAAGTCGCGCCCATCAGAGCCGCTTTTTGAAGTAACGCAGTCGCGGACATATTCGCAACTGCCGCGACAGCTGCGTTTGCGTCTTGGCTAAAAAGAGAAGGCGCGGAAAGTGAAGTAACCGCGTTTGCGTTTTGCTTACTCGGGACAACGACATTGATATTTTCATGTGTGATGAGGGAATCGCTCGTCGTTATGAGCTCGCCGCGGTTATTATCGTTTCCGAAAACCCAATTGTAATCCTCCTGTGGTGACTCCACCTGCGGGGCGATGCGGTCGTCGATGGTCACTTGATGATGGTTATTAACACTTTCTCCCATCCATAGGGAGAGCGAAGACGCAGGTTTCATGGCGTCTTGATGATGATCGAAGGTGGTGGTTGCGACTGGGAAATTGTGGTATTGATGCTGCGGTTGCGGTTGTCCGAATGGAAACGACGGTGGTTGTGGTGGTGATGGGATAAGTGTGCCCATGAGATAATGGTAGTTTAGATTATTACCGGCAAGACTCTTGAGATGAGAAGCTGCGTTTAGCCTAGCGGTTTCTTCTGCTAACGCGTCGCAGAACGCCCTGTGTGTTATGAAGCTGTCTCTCCTGTTTTTCAACAAATGAAACACCCCAATAAATCAATACGATTAGTCTTAAGCACAAACACTAATTTTGCTTATGTTTATACGTATATTTATTTATACTAAGGTTCTACTTGTTACTTTAGCCAAAATATATCTCAATCCAAGAAACTGTCTTATTCAACATAACAAGCAACACGTAAGCCCAGAGTGACAAAATAGATATACAAAAACTCCTCAAATCGTTTAGCTTAGACCCTATAAGAGCTACTTCCAATAACAACAAAATAAACTTCTCATATTTTGGTTACAAAGAACATAATAAAACAAATTGTTATGGTCCAATTCGATATTGTAGTAGTAGTTGAGGTAATAGATAGATTTAAATTTGATCATCATAGTATATATGAGCTAAATACATAATATGCTATAAAACTGTGATGAAGTAATGAGTAAAAATGTACCTCGAGAAAATGGTACCACAGTCGCATCTATACTCTCTAGTCCCACAAGTCTTGGAATGAGCCTTCCAATCGGATTGGACTGCATATCTCTTGGAGCATTTCTCACACTTCCATCTCTTCTCGCCATGTTTCCGACAAAAATGTTTCTTGATCCCGGTAAGGTCACCGAGTGCCCTTGTCGGATGATGGTGGACGCAACTCTTCTCCGGACATACATACACTCGTTTCCTTACTTCTTTGCTCGTCCTCTGCTTTAGCTTCCATGGGAGGTTGTGCCCTCGCCTATGAAGCTGTAGATTCTGGTCTCTTTGGAAACCTTTTCCACATATCTCGCAGAGGAAACGATTTGTGGCCATTAGTGTTTTTGGAGATAGCGCTATGACCTCGGCTTCTGGATCTATATATATAAATCAAAGTCAATCAGATTTGGGATATTGATTATGGATCATAGGAAGGATCTAAACAGTAGGAAGCATGCATGTTAATATATCAAGATCGAAAACAAAAAAAATCAAGAAATTTTTTCTTTCTTAATTAGGGTTAAGTTTAGTGATATGTATTAAACTTAATTAAATGATTGTTACCAGGATTTCCAGGGAGGTTTCTCTTCTTTTTAGCAAGAGGAGGTTCATGATGATGATGATCAACATGATCAGTTATTGATGAGCTTTGTACATATCCTCCACTACTTGAGATTGTCTGATCTTCAGCTGCCATGACTTCTTCTGGATAAAAGTTTTGTTGGGGAAATCGATACAAAAGAAATTTAAGCTCAGAGATGGAGATGGGGATTTAAATGGTAATTAGGAAAGAAAAAAAAACACTAGAAACGCTTAGAATCTGATGTAATTACGAATGAGAGGAAAACACAAAAGAGAAGTTATATTGGTTGTAAACTTATATAGACACACGCACCCTACAAACTTAGTTAAGTGCATATGTGTAATAAACAATAATATTCCTCTCTCTTTCAATATATATATATATATATATATATATAAGCACCTTGATCTGTAAAAACTGTCGCAGACATTTTCATATAGTTTTCCCAGTTTTAATTTGTAACCTTAAATAAATAAATAAAAAGTTATTGGCGGTGGAAATATATAATTTACCCGTCTGTATAATGTATCTTCAATATTTGATTATATTTTCCTATTGCAGTGGCAGTGCGTCATGACACACAGAAAGTTACAATGTTTGCTTTTTCTATTTGGAATGATGAACTCATTATTTATCTTCTCCAATTTTCTCTTACTTTTTCATCTTCCGGTCAATTACCTTCTTCTTATTTTTTACACCTTATAAAATCTCTTAGTGTTATCTCTAGTGCGTTGACAACAACAAAAAGTGTTATTTTCAGTACAATCATGATGTCTATACATATGCATATACGTTTACAATTTAAATATCTGAAAGGTTAAAAAATACTTTCCTTCAAATTAGGTTCGGGCGTAGTTTTTTTGTAAGGAGCGGATTCACCAAAGAAAGATTTGCCTCTTTTATTTTGGTTACCACAGCTACGTGAACTGTGGCTACTGGCATCATAATGCAATCTAAATGTTGGATAAGTAATTAATTTTTTAAAATTCTAAACGTAGGTAGGTTATATGTATATAACTTAGCCAACGATTTCTTGATCCTTTTCATAATTGAGATTTTAAATTTCCGTAAATTAAGGTGGTCAAAGAAGTAAACAGATCCAACGGCAGTGGTTAGTTACATCTCTCGTTTGTTGAGAACAAAGCCTGCAATGCACGTGTACCCATACACGTGCTCATGAGGTAAAATCCAACAACATACGACAAGGAAATTAAGAACCTAAATAGGCAAAAGAGAATAATCGTCTGCTCGGCAGTGAAAACAAAACCCAAACTCTTCTTCCCTCCCACTTCAAATATTCGTTTTTCCTTTTCTAGTTTTCTTTTTATTTGATAACAAAAAAAAAAAATTCAATCCGAGTTTACTTAGACTGGTTTCTTTAGCATGTGAAGCAGTCATATATTTCTTTTTTGTCATTTTTAGTGGTCGAAACAGATTATAATCGCCGTAAAGACGAATTATTGTAATTTTTATAACATCATTTTTTATATATGTGAAATAAACGATTTACGTGCAAAAATGGTTTTGGAATTGAGAATAAAAGTTGGTAGATACGAGTATCTATTTCATGCTTTCCTGCAAGGATCTTTTTGCGATGTTCCCTTTTTTTCTTTTTCTTTAGCAAAGTCTTTTTTTTTTCAGTATACCAAAGTGTTTCTTCCTTCTATAAATATGTTTATTTTTAACTTAACATGTGCGGACTATGAGTCATACATATTAAAAATGTCGTATTAGTTCACTTTTAACAGAAAAATGTTTTGTAGAATAAATTTCATGCTTATATTACAAATTTTTATGCGTCAAACAATTAGATCATACTTCATATATAGTTTGAACTTTTTTTTTGTTCACCTCATATATAGTTTTAAACGTATTGATACATCAAAACCTCGATCATAATTTGTCCCAAAAAAATCTCGATCATATCGATTTATTTTTTTAAAAGTAACTGGTGGTTCTTTTTTTTTTTACCCCTAGCTGAAAAGTAAGATGGTGAATAGATTAATCGAAACAGATAAGAGACAGAAAACTGACAAAACGCAGGTGAATTTTTGGAAGGACGAGAGGTCGTCAGCTTGTGGGCTGACTTAACTACCAATTCTTTAGGTAATTTCCACTTTAATCATAATGTAATCATGTTTTAAGATTCCTATAAAATAGCTACATTTATCTAATGTTTTAGTTTTGGACTTTTCTTCTTGAACTTTGGCGGCACTAGAATATTCCCCTAAATTCACGAGACTTCATTATATAGTATTGTTCCCTTTGTCAAATTATTAAGATTAAGTGATTTAACACCGAATAGGCACATAAACAAACGCGGGGTTTTTAACTAAAAATAAAGTAAGAAACGCGTTTATATTGCGAGTATGTTGTTAGTTCATCACGAGACGATAATGTGACATTTTTATTTTATTTTGCAAAGCTCCTAGATGAACTTTTTTCTTTGATAAGTCATAGATGAACTTTGTGGAAAATATTTTCATTCGAATTTATTATATTTCCATCTATATTGTTTCGTATTTGTAATATATTGTAGTCAATTAAGGCACCATCTATTCAAAATGGCTGATTTCTTTTTATACTAAACAAATGAGTTATTTTAAAAATAAACTTTATAAAAATCATTAACTAAATAAAATGGATCTCAATTAGTATTTCGATGTAATAAGTAAAGTTAAAAAAAAAGTGTAATAAGTAGGCAAATTGCGTTGAACATTGTCACTAGTTGAAGGCTAGAAGTCTGTGTACGTCTGTAGGCATTTCATATATGATATATATTTATAAAGGCATATATATGCACATGTTTATATGCAGATGTAGAATAATATTAGCATCGACCAAAAAGTCTTAACATGGATTTACATAAAATAACAATAGCTTGAATCCATGCTTATTAATTATTGGGAGAAAAAATAAAATAGATAAAAGTGCAAAAAGAAAAATCACAATGTAGGAGATATCTACGCCATGACTAAATGTGTATACAAATTGTCTATACCTGTATCAAACGTATGCGTATATAAATATAATGCAATAAACGACATTTCAAAGAAGACAAAGGATAGATCCATACCATAGCATAGAAACTTGGCGATATATGAAATAAATAAGGACATAATGGAGATATGATTAGACTTAAAGTATACATATGTCACTTAGTGGATGATAATGGCCTTCTTGTTTTTACTCGGACTTGACCAATCCAATACATTTTCGGTCAAATTTGATGATATCGACATTCTACAAATCAAAATCGCTCTATTTCTTATATATGGCTTTTCTTTATCCTTCAACCACCTTACTTTTTTGTCCGTTATATTATAAACTCGTAGAATCCATTGTTGGCATAATTTGTTTTGCTTAATATATACATATTTAGATGACAATTATGCAGAGTCTTATCGCGATTATAATTGAAAAATGTATTTTCTTAATACCAAAATTAACTTCTGATAACGCTTTTGGGATTTATTATTAGAAATATATATTTGTAAGCCATAATTTATAAATTTACCTGGTTTGATAATCTACTTTTCATGAAATTTCGTTTTTGTTTTCTCCCAACATATTACATAACTATCACTATATATCGTCTCCGGCTACTAGGAATATGTCTAGTTTTATAAATTATTTGATAACCACAAGTTAGTTTTTTGTTTTGTTGGGGTCAAACAAACCACAACTTAATTAGTTAATTATCTATTTATATACACGCTGTGAAAAACTCATGGAATGGCAAACTTATAGAAAAAAGATAAACTAAATGGTTACCTTGCATCCATGCAAGTACATGTGGAAATTGAAAAAGATATTTTAAAAGATTCTTTTTTCATGGGTCATAAAAGTAATTAAAAGATAAAGTCACGCTTTCCAACCATTTTCCACAAAGTTGATTGAAACTGTCCATGAGTGCAAAGCGAGAGAAAGAGAGTAATACCTAAACATAGGATCAACTGGTACTTAAATATCATAAAACATAGTTAACTGAGATGGTTAATTTCCTCTATTTATGAAACTTCATTGTCAATGATTTAGACATATTAGTATTTATGCAATGCAACACCAACTTCTAGTGTTGGCAATATGTCTAATCTTACAAAACTCCAAAACCTGTCCAACATACTTGTAAACATGTAAGTAGCCGCTAATTATATAAAACGATGCAATAGCTTCGTTGGTAATGCTTTGTCTAACTTAAGAGAAAGTATGGGGTTCAAACCGTCATGTACAATAGTATAGCGATTTTTAGTTTGTAGCCATATGAACATTCTCAGAACCTAATATAGATTTTATCAAGTAAAAGACTAACAAATTATGTCATTTCATTTTTATCATTTTGAAACATTCTCATAGAGTATAACCATGGGTTAAACTTGTCTCTTTCAGCTGAGAGTAATTTTAAGGTATGATTTTCATGAATCGCGATTAATTAATAAAAAAGTTGTAATACTTAACAATATGCTTCAGCTTTACTTTGCAGCCAGTAAATACTAGTTATAATATCTAACGTTCCTACCAAACGGTCAAATTTGACCCACCATCATCCATATTAGTTTGTTGATGCATTCGAGCTTGTAAAAAGCATGTTAAAAAGTTGGTGATAATTACTTAAAAGTGGTCTTTTCGTTACATATTATAGAAGTCACAAAATGTTATTGGCTTCATGATTGAAGGTTGGCCTCATCAAATATAGTTTAATCAAATATGTCACGCACTTGTCTGGTTTCTTAATACTTCATTTCTTTAAATATACCTTTATTAGTATGATTTTGTGCAACAAATACCTTTATTGTTAGAAAGATAAAATTATACATATGCTGAAATATGTATAATTAAATTTATGAATTGACAGAATCTACACATATATATTAAAAAATCATTGCTACTACTATACTATGTTACTACTATACTATGTTACAGAATCTACACATATGAATTAAAAAAAAAATCATTTTCTTACGCAAAATTAATTAATTTGAAACGGATGATACATTGCTACTACTATACTATGTTACACAAATCAATCGGCAACAGTATTTTGGTACTGTCAGTATCTGTCTTGGCTAATGCATGGCAATGTGACAGCTTATGGGAGCTTCCGGAGAAAAGAAAAACATACCTTTGCGGCATGCAGTGAAAAAGTTCTTTTATCATTTAACCATCAGGTAGATTGAAATAATATTTACTCGTTAACAAATCTGTGTAGAGACCTGAATTCGATTTTTGTTTTTGAAAAAAAAAAACTTGCAGAGAGACTTGTATTAATGAACGACCATTCTTAGCTTATATTGGGCCACATTAATTTATTTAATAAAGGGCAGTAGAAACTGAAACTGGACAGGCTATGTTTGCTTATATTGGGCCATAATTATATCTTGCCAAGAGTCTCAAAGCTGAGAGAGAAAAGGTTCTCTTTTACATTTGGGCCATATTATTTGTGTCAATAGATTTTGCTCTCGCAAACGAGGCTAAATGAGCTGTTTCAACGAAATTTAAGTTAAAAGCTTTAAGCAAGGTCAACGGTGAAGCTAGTCAACTCATTGTTTTCAATTTGGATTTCGCTCAAGAATAACACCCACTAAGAGATTCACCGAAAACCATATTATCAAAAGCTTCACAAGATGGACTTTGGATTTGCTCGAAGACAAGAATCCTGAATCTTGGTGAAACCAAAGAAGAAGCCACGTATACCGTATTTGGAAAATCCTAACGGTTGGATCAGTTTTGACTTTTAACTTTTAAATCCTAACGGTTGGATCAGTTTTGTTAATTATTATGCACAACAAAATATTTCAAGAGCTATTAATTACAAAAAGTTTTTGTTGCAGTTGTTGTTATTTTCTGTGTTTCTTTATGACCAAACCAATCACATAGCAATCAATTACAAATTTCACATAGGTCGAAATATTGCAAAAAAAAAATATATATATATAAACAAATAATGTAAAAAGGGTAAAAAAGACAATTTAATAAAATATTAGGAAATTTTCAATCAAAGCCATAAAGCCCCAGCTTGTCTGAGAGTTGGCACTAAATCACCATTAATATGAGCAGCCATCAGATTTTCCAATCCTCCAAACAACTTTCCCCCTATGAACATGACTGGTAACTTCTCTTTATTTATCACGGTTTTGCCCAAGTCAACTAGAATATTGTCGTCGTTGTTGTCTTCTTCGTCAATCTCAACTACCAATGGGTTCACGCCATGTGTCAGTAGCAGCCGTTTGGCCACGTGTCCCATACAACAACCTCTCCTCGCAAACACCACCACAGCATTCTCCATCACCAGTACGTTGCTTGGTTTCTTATTGCTTAAAGATGATGGCTTTTGTGGTGGTGATGATGATGTTAACCATGATAATGATGATGATGACGGTTTAGCTTCATTCTTTGGCCGGAGAATGCTACTGCCCGGTATGGTCTTCGTCCACGATGACTCGTATGGTCTTATTGCTTTTTGCATAGTTGATGTGTGTGAGAGAGAGAGAGAGAGAGAGAGAGAGAGAGAGAGAGAGAGAGAGTCTTGTTTAGTTGGGTTGGATTGATAGGAGATTGGATTAAAGAATTTATATAGAGAATTTTGGAGAGAGCATTTCGTTTTGGGGTCGACGTAAGCATGTGTAAATTGTATTCTCATAATATCCGACCCCACGTCACCGTATCTAAAATAAATATCTAAAACTATACTTGTGATCATTCATTATTGTTGAGTGTAAATCATCCAACTATCTTCAAAACATCTAGTGTTAATTAACTTAGGAGTGAAAGATAAACTTTGAACTTATTGTCGGAAATCAAATGCGACAACTACATTGTTTTAATAGTATAACTATTATTATCTTAACGTAATGTCATTATTAACCTACTGTAATCTAGAAAAACGTACAATTTAAATCAATGACTTGCACGATATGGTTGATTTTAAAACAAATGATGACGACGACATAGTAAGTGGCTTACGACAAGGCTGATGTCAACAGATTTCTTTATTTGTTTTAAACTTATGTCATAGTTAAATCGTATTGGTATGGTTACGTTTATGGATAAATGCAAATCATTGTATGGACCATTAGATTTTAGATCATCTCTATTACGTCATGACGACGACTTGTTTGTCTCTTTTTTTTCTTTTCTTTTTTGTTCAAACGACTTGTTTCTCTAACATTAAAATAGTACATTTTCTTTTTGGTAGTTTAACTTACAATCTGATCGAAAATAATACATTCCAGGAACCCCCACAAAAGCCAATTCGATGACGTGTCAATATTGTGGAAACATCGAACACCAAACCCCTTTCGTCAAAAGGAAACAGCTGAGAAGTACCCAAAAAATGACAGAAGATGGACCCTCACCGTGACAAAACGACATGACGTTTCCCTTTAACTTTACGAAACTGCAAGTTGTGCCTCTTTCTTCGAATTATAACGCGTGTGTATATGAATCATTTGCTACTCATAACATTTTATTATTATTATTATACATGACATCATAAAAAGCAGCCGTCGGTTATATACAAATAATAATACATCAAATAATAGTTTTACTTGGTCAAAATATAAATAAAGTTTGTTGTTAATTTGACGTCCCCGGAAAATTTAGCTGGAGTTTCGTCACCCCATAAAACTCCTCTCATCGGCAAAAGGAAAGAAAAAGACGTCTGTATCATGGTGGCGCCGGCATGGCGTCATTAAATACAAAGGGTCCATGTTGCTATGCTCATCCGAATCTTATAATACGTATGCATTAGTATTATTTTTCTCCAATACAAATCTCTGGGTAGATAACGCTGGAAACTAGTGGGAAAAAGAAAATTTAGATACCAAGTATACAACAAACAACAAAAAAATTAAATTATTTTAAAATCATTACAAGTAGGGATTGGTATGGACCAAATATCAGGAAAACCAGGACATTCTTATCCAATGTGAATCAACGCAAAATTAATAATGTATTTTCTACCTATCTCTCTAATTCACTAATAATATGTTGTAAACTGAATTTCATCTATCTGATTTTATATAGACCATAAATTTTTTTTTTTTTTACAAATCGTGATTAAATGAGAGATATTTTAAAATTATAAAAATATTAGATAGAACTAGTGAATTCAAAATACAATAATACAAAACTGTTCAATGATAAACTATAATATTGGTAAAAGATTTGTCAAAGCCAGTAGCTATAGTAGTTAGATAAGTAGCACTTTCGTATATTTTTGTTAGATAATGTGGAACATAAACTCTGGAATTATATATATATAAGCATGTGTTTAATCGTAAGAATAGGAATGTTAATCATTTTCTTATTCAACTTCATCAATTTTCCGGGATAACACAAGAAAATATCGACAATCAGTTCCATGATCCAGCATGATGATATAAACTGACCAAAGCCAATCCGAGTCTAAATGTGTCCCACTTAAAGTATCTCCAGGATCTAGCACAGTAAGGGGCAAAATGGTCATTTGGTCAAAACACCGTACATGTTCTTCTTAACTTCACAAGGAAGGTTTTTAGGAGAAGAAAAACGAATGGAACTTACTATTTCCTTCTTTTACTTCTTAGGGTTAGGCTCCAAGTTCATTTCTTGGAGATTAAGCAACAGATCGTTGGAGCTCAGGTACACCCTGTTAGCAGATTGTGCAATGGTCTGAGCAATCTCTCTCGCAGCTTCAATTTTTCTCAGAGTGATGAATGCCTGATTGTTTGCAATAGCTTGTCCGATAAGTTGAGCACTTTTAGCTTCTCCCTACACATAATCAACAGACCTCGTGCTTCAGCAGAGAAGCTACAATCTCTGTAATTAGATATCCAAAAAAGATCAACCAATATCTCTCACCTGAGCACGGATAACAGCGCTTCTCTTGTCTTGCTCCGCTTTCTCCACAATGAACTTAGCCCGTTCAGCTTCCTGAGCAGCGACTTGTTTTGCCTCTATTGCTGCAGTGAACTCTTTGCCAAATGTGAGCGTAGTTATGGAGACATCATCCAGAGCAATGTCGAAATTAGAAGCTCGCTCTGTCAGAATCTTGCGTATCTCCCTGCTAACAGACTAGAGGAGACAAAAAATACTCCACCATCACGAACAAAAGAGTGGAATAAATTGTACAAGCAGAGTGTTTAAGATACGTACTTCTCTCTGAGTGATGAGCTGGCTTGCATTGTACTGAGCTACCACTGCTTTAAGGGTTTCATGGATGATGGAAGGAAGAACCCTTTCACTGTAATTCTCACCGAGGGTTCGGTAAATCTGAGGCAAACGGTCACCCATGGGACGTGTGAGAACCCTGAGTCCAATTTTCACCTGTGCAACAACCAAGAAAATAATCAGGAAAAACATCGACAACCTTCGGAGAAAGAAAAAAGACAGCGACATTAAGTTATTCTTCCGCCAAAATATGATATCTCCTATAAATGAACTTGATTTCACGCTTCACAGTTACAAGACTGAAGCCGGAACGAAGCAAAAGGAAAATAACAAGATATAAAGTCAGAGCATTCATTCTTAAATCGTTATCCATACACTCACACAAATCATACAAGGGTCTACACGAAATCATGTAATATCCTAACAGAGCAAGTGAAATTTCATTTTTCAACTCCATTTCCATAAATGTGAACCACATCTAAACTTAAAAATCTTCATGCTGCAATTAAGCATGATATACAGCTTCACGTTCAGCAACAGCATTTAAAAAATGAAAGACAAAGGCACAAGAAACACATAACGCACCATCTGAAGGTCATGACTACCGGTGGTGCTCTCCACTAGGTAAGGTCGTGCACGGACGTCATAGATTATTGGCCTTTCAAACCATGGCAACATAAAATGTGTGCCTTCAGGGTAGACCTGAAAATAACAAACCAGAGGCGTAGAAAACAAAAGTCAACACTTTTCAAATGAACTATTCATAGCCTCGGATCCAAAATAGCAGTTGATAGTTTGAGTACAAAACCTTTTCCTTGATACCAGTTACTCGGTTGAACATGACAGCACGATGTCCACCCTCGACATTGTAGAGGCTATTAGTAACGGCATAGACACCGAGCCCACCAATAGCGCCGAGCTTGAGAAGGGCAGAGAGAGCAGGAGATCCAGGGACGTTGGGCACTTTGTTGAAACTCATTTCTTTAGAGCTAAAAAAACAATGAACATAGCACTGAGATTACACAAGGGCGAAAAATTCCATAGGTAGCAAATACAAATGCTTCAGGGATAGAGTCGTAAGATCCTCACTTTCCGAAAGATCCAAAGCACTTAACACAGCATGAGAAACAACACTAGCACATATAGATAAAATAAATCACGAGCCTCTGGTTTAGAAGAATGAAAGTCCTAGAGAGCAAACACTGCACTGGAATTACTAAGAGAATCGACGAACAATGTATAAAATGGAGAGAAAACATGGAATCGAACAGATCGCATACGCAATATCCAGGAAATGAAAGTGTCGGTAACAGATTCAACTGCTAAAATCGATCGAGCCTTTGACCATTATCAAATAGACTCAGTAACCATAGATCGTGGAATATACACACCAAGCAAGCTTTGAAAGGAGAACAGATCCACAAGTTTCATCATATGACCATTCTACCTCTAAATCACGCAAGGATTATCAAACTGAACAACGATCAGGAACTGCGTGAATATAATCGGCACCCAAATAGAGACTACCAATAAACACAGTAGAAAAAACTCGGAGATACAAATGGAGGAATCAAAGAGAGAAAGACACCTTTGCTCAGCTCTAAATCGCCGATGACGATGCTAGGGTTTAGGAAGGATCACGATCGGAGCAGTCGGCGAAGCTTAGGGTTTTAGAATTGAGAAATGAGAAATGTACTCACGAAATGATAAACTAAACTCTACCTTTTAGTATGTTTGGGTCGAAATTCTCAGGCCCATTACTAAAAACATGCTTCATTAGGCCCATCATGTCAATTAGTTTTTTCTTTCGTGTGTAAAGAAAATGTGTGTTAGCAAGTGTTTAGTATTTTTTAAAACTTGTAATAAGCCGCTCACCGTTTTACTCTCACTGCATTAAAAATCTAATGCAGTCTCGGTTTTTATTTTAAGGAGTGTGTGTTACAATAAAATTACTCTTTGAACACATTTAATATCTATTATGAATATTAATCTACATATTGGTGGTCAAAATTAATTAGTAGCTGGCAATCAAATGAAGAGTTTCTATATCACTTATATGGTCCATGTCAGGTATAATCGCATGTGATGGCTAATTTTTCGGATCTGAGGGGCCAAAAAAAGAATTCATTCTTCGGACTAAAAATACAGTTTACGTAATTAGCTACTAATTTAACTTCAACTCATTGATTGACTATTCGAGCAGCTTAGTGGTTTATTAGTAGTTGCGAGACTAGCCTTTCTTAGAATATGATTTAAGTTGAACTGCTGGCAACAACACAAAAAAAGAAGCATCTCATCAGTTGTATTATTGACTTATACACATGTATTATGTATGTATAAACTTAAAATTGCTAACATATTTTAACCTACTAACTTAGATATTACCGAGTTTTTTTTCCTATCAATATATATACCGAATTCTAAGTTTCGTGATGATGTTTACTGTGAGATAGGCTGGCACTATTGGCAAATTGTAAACGAAATTGTATGTGACAGTCTCACGTCTCATTTCATGGAATTTGATGAACAAATTTCATATTTATATCTCAAATTGTACGAAAAATAAATAAATGGGAAATCAGACAATATCAAACAATGCATCAATCATAAAACTCAAAAGAGGAATTTTAAACAGAAAACAACAAGTCCAAGACCAAACCCTAGTCCAACTTTCCTCTCAGAGGAACCAGATTTATCAGCTGGCGAGGCAGCCGCCTTTTTCGTGGAGTTTGAGTCATCGGAAACCCCAGTAGACGACGGAGATTTTGGGGCAGGAGCAATCGGCGAAAGCTTGTGCTCTCCGAACATCTCACCTGGCAACAAAACCATGTCGACAACGTAAACTGCGAGAGGACTTTGTTGTCTCAACGCATTGCTAACACGTGTCTCCACATAACCGGTTGATACATTGACTTGGTTAGCTTGACCGGTGAAGTTAAGCCCGTAAACGCCGTTGTCTCGACCAGAAGCCTGAGTTCTAACCGGGTTACTTACAGAGAGAAGATCATCTAGAGTGTAGAATCTGGGGCTAACGTGGTAGAGAACGAGCTTGACTTGTTCGTCTGCGCTTAACTTGTTCAAAGTTCCGGGTTTAAGGTTTTGAAAAGCATTGTCCGTTGGAGCGAACACGGTCATGCCTTCAGATGAGCTATTGACTTGAATGTTGACTTGGCTACCGACTTGAGTGGTGTTCAAAAGACGGATAAAAGTATTGAATTGACCGCCTTTCTCGAGGATTTCGGTGAGGTTGATGGGACCAGCAGGGCCCGGAGCAGGAGCTGCCGGCTGAGCTGATGTCTCGGTTGAGAGAAGCACGGCGGCGATGAGCAGGAGAGGAGCTAGAGTTAGACGAGTGATAGCCATTATTGGTTTGTTGAGTTAATATGTGAAGAGTGGTTGAGAAAGTGAGATCGGAAGGAAATGGTTTATATGGAAGTAAAATGTTTATAGAGTGATGAGTTGTGAGTTTGTTGGAATGAGATGGCCAAGTCAATACAAAACGTTTCTAGACAAAATAGTGTCTGAAGAGATCATATATTAATATGTGAGAAGTATATTAGAATGGAATATGAGGTTTGGTGGATCTGTGAGTAGAGCCCACATCACATGTAATGGTATCGACTGAATAATTCGAATTTACATCCAATTTTGAATAGAAGATAAGGTTCGACAATACAGCTCAAGGTGGACGTAAATCGGGATAGGAATTTGAGGGGAAAATAAATGGAGAAAAATTAAAAATCTTTTACAATATGAGTATAGTTACTGTTACACCAAATAGATAGCTCTTATCAAGTCAACTCTTTTTCAGATATCATATTTAGAAGTTAATTCAAAATAAATGAGGTTTTATGATATTTTCTAATAGTAACTTGTAACTAATGTTTTGAGATGTGACAAATGAAGTAAAAACATACAATTTACAGCTTAAGTGTGAAGAAATTATGTTTGTGATATATTATTTCAGTAGCTCTACTCTACAGATACAAAAATATGTTATAGAATAGCGTAAGAGAATATTACTTTACAGCTTAAGTGTGTTATATATAGAGTAATTAACGCAATCCATAGTATCCTAGGCGTGTAGATACATACATTTAAACACATAGATGCGTTAGACATGTAGCATGTATGTATATATATTGAAGAATATATGTGTGTTCTGTAAAAAAGAACAAAAATGAGTGGACAAGATGACTAAGCGACAGCTGGAAACACAAGTTGGGCATGTGGGAGAGTGGATGACCCATAAGTTTATATTGCCTTCATCACTAACAATCTCAATTAAGAGAAAATAACACTAATTGTTTGATTTACCGAAAATACTATTATCACCTCCTAGTTGCATTCATGCATTTAAATTCAATATATGAAATGTTAACAAATATAAACAAACAAACACACACACACAAACAAAACAAAGGTGCATGGTGTGTCTCTCCTCGAAATGAATCGGCTGGCAGATGGAGAACAAAAGTAAATTAAGTTCCATCCAGAGTTTAAATTGGGCCTCGATACTCGGAGTGAATATTGGTCTGTAGATGGCTTATAATGGGCTGACTTCTAAGTTAGGCCCACAAATGAATCTTAAAAATGAAGGCCTGGATATATATATAACAAGCATAGAATTCATAAATAACACCAACCTAGACAAAAGATTTTTGTCTCTTACAAAGCAGAAGAAGACAGAAGAAAATGAGAAAGAAGGATCCAAGTGGTGGCACCTGACCAGCATGCAAGCCATACACTCGTCACACTCGGTTCGTCGCGTAACCATACATTCGTCACGCTCGTCTCGTCGCGTCCCCAACACCATCACGCGACTCTCACGTGGTTACTTGAATAAATTTAAGGAGAGGCTCTTTTATCTTTTTCCCCTTCGTTGTCTGTCTCTGAAGCTGATGATGTGTAAGAACACGCGCTTTTATGATCCATGCAAATTGAAATGTGTCTACTCCAACTGCCTCCATTCATAAGCTCACCTAATTCTCGTTTCAGTTCATAATCATGATCTTATATTATTCGTTATAGTAACTTCGAACGTACTTGCTCCTTCCAAGACGAGAAACGATTTTGATCGACACAAAACGAGAATACGCGATTGATGTCGAGGAGATCCGAAACTCAAAAATAATTTTAATTTTAACTAGTTAGGTAATATTTTCAGTTCAGACATCACATAATAACCAAACCAACTATGATTGAGATAAAAATAGGAAAAATCAAATTCTAATTTTACAACAGGATATATCTCAATCACGAGAAAAAAATTACATTACTTTGAGGATATGTTACATGATGTCTTTTTTAGAATATGAAGATCAATGTAAAAGCTAGAAAACATAATTATTCATGTTGACATTGTTGAGTACTGTCATCTAAACCGCGCCAAAACTATATAATTCAAATTAAAGAAACCCTCTCATGATCCGAATTCAATTTTTGTATGAATCTGAATCCATAACCAAAACCATTTCTGAAACAAACGCACATAAAATAAATTTATTAAAACTTTACTTTCGTTGCAAAATTTAAATTCTATATCGTTAAATGTAAACTGACGTTCAAAGAAAAAAATATCGTTAAATGTAAAAAATATAGACCAAAAACTAAAGATATTCTAATTAAACCAAATAATAGTGTTAAGTTTATATATATTTAAATGAATGCAGCACAACAAAAAAACCTTCCTATAAATACCTTATAACTCCATAGAGGCAAGGGCAAGAACTTAATACACGAACCTATAAAACAAAAATGGGTCGTACCTCATCTCTTCTGTCCTTCTCTTTCACAATCTTGATCCTCTTCCATGGATACACTGCTCAGCAGTGGCCCAACGAGTGCCAGCTGGATCAACTCAATGCGCTCGAACCGAGTCAGATCATCAAGAGCGAGGGTGGCCGTATCGAGGTGTGGGACCAACATGCACCTCAGCTCCGTTGCTCTGGCTTCGCCTTTGAGCGTTTCGTCATTGAGCCTCAGGGTCTTTACTTGCCCACTTTCTTGAACGCCGGCAAGCTCACGTTTGTCGTTCACGGTGCGTTTTCATAAACTAATATATATATCCACTTACATATTGAGTGTGTTACCCGAATTTTGGTTTAATTTAAAACAATAAACATATAATCGAATACACTACAAAAGGTTCTCGGTTCGAGAGAATATACAAAAATATATTTGATTCAAAAATTTCGTTTTAGCATAATATCGAATACACTACAAAAGGTTTTCGGTTCGAGAGAGTATACAAAAATATATTTGATTCAAAAATTTCTTTTTAGTTTGGTTTGATTTTTTTTTTTTTTTTTAATATATAACGAATACTGATTGAACAGTTCAAATCAGTATTATTATGTTTCGGATTGAACATTCCTTATTTATTATTCAGGACGGGGTCTAATGGGAAGAGTGATTCCGGGATGCGCCGAGACGTTCATGGACTCACCAGTAATTCAACCCGGCGGTCAGTATGGAGGAGGTCAAGGTCAAGGTCAAGGTCAAGGTCAAGGTCAAGGTCAAGGTCAAGGTCAAGGTCAAGGTCAAGGTCAAGGACAGGGTCAGGGTCAAGGTTTCCGTGACATGCACCAGAAAGTGGAGCACCTCCGGTGTGGTGATACCATAGCGACACCGCCTGGTGTGGCTCAATGGTTCTACAATAATGGAAACGAGCCTCTCATTTTGGTTTCAGCCGCTGATATCGCCAACAACCAGAACCAGCTTGACCGCAACCTCAGAGTAAGTTCAATCACCGAAACAAAATAAAATACTATTTCTCTATGGGAGTGGACATTTTTGGGTTTATTTGGTTGAAACATTATTATTTATCGAGTTAGGACTTAAATTTCTTACGACAAAAAATGCTTAAATTTTGTTGGTTAGGCTATACTTTATTTGTTTAGAAAGTTTTGTAACACATTAACATGTTAGTTGAATTAGTTTTGGTCGGAAATTACACTCGTACGTACTTGCCAACCCCCTACACAGAACGAAAAAAATAATAATCAGATTTACTGTTTAATTACAGCCATTTTTGATAGCCGGAAACAACCCACAAGGGCAGGAATGGCTACAAGGGCGAGGGCAACAGAAGCAAAACAACATCTTTAATGGCTTCGCACCTGAGATATTGGTTCAAGCCTTTAAGATCACTCTCGAGACGGCTCAAAAACTCCAGAACCAGCAAGACAACCGAGGCAACATCGTCAAGGTCAAAGGTCCTTTCGGCGTCATCAGGCCACCCTTGAGACGCGAACAAGGCGGCCAGCAACCACAGGAAGAAGGTAACGGTATAGAGGAGACTTTGTGCACCATGCGATGCACCGAGAACCTTGACGATCCGTCAAGCGCTGATGTGTACAAGCCGTCACTCGGATACATCAGCACACTCAATAGCTACAATCTCCCCATCCTCAGTTATCTCCGCCTTAGTGCTCTTCGTGGCTCCATCCGTAAGGTAAGTATCAAGAAACTTCTCTCTCTCTTTTTTTTTTAATTAATTAATTATGCTGACCATATTTTGATATTTAATTTTACCAAAAATTCAAAGTTTAATATTCAGATTTAATATATATGGAATGTAATTGAATGAGTATGACATGTTTTCACCCAACAACTACTCAACAAAAACTAGGTTTCAGATGTTTCTTAAGTTGTAGACATTGATTAATTTATTTATTATGTCTTTCTTTTGTTGAAAATCATATATATGATTAGTAATACGTAGAGTTTGATTCTTTGTCAAAGAAAACATCGTCTATCTTCGAAGGGCAGTATTAAAAGGGAATCCACAAAATACTTGTTTTTGATTGTTTGTGTTTGTGCAAAACGCAGAACGCTATGGTGCTACCACAATGGAACGTAAATGCAAACGTGGCACTCTACGTGACAAATGGAAAGGCTCATATTCAGATGGTGAACGACAACGGACAAAGAGTGTTCGATCAAGAGATCTCCAGCGGACAGTTACTTGTCGTGCCACAAGGCTTCTCCGTCGTGAAACGTGCCACAGGCCAACAGTTCGAGTGGATCGAATTCAAGTCGCACGAAAACGCACAGATCAACACACTCGCGGGACGTACCTCAGTCATGAGAGGTTTACCACTTGAGGTCGTAGTTCATGGTTATCAGATTTCACCTCAAGAAGCAAGGCAGGTTAAATTTAGCACGCTCGAGACCACATTGACTCATAGCACTGGTGGTCCGATGAGCGAAAGGCCGGGGGTCGAGGCTTGATGAGCTCGATCGTGGTGGAAAAGCGTTTGAATGTAATGTTTGGTTCGGTACGGTTTGTAATTATATGAAATAATAACGTGGAAAAAGAAGTTCCACGCTATAAGGGAACTGTTTTGTTTTTGAGTTTCTTTTTAGGACGCTTGTGTACAGCAGCGACCGTCGTATAGAAGCGATCGTTGACTCCGTACATGTAACTCTTCCCTCAATAAAATCTAAATTAGAGTCTTCCACCTTAATATGTTTTATAAGAATATCGCACATATCGCATAATGGAGATATGATATCAGACTATTTAACATTTTTTAAAAAACTTTGGAAGTTATATACTTACATACTAGTATTTATATTTTTAATCGATTTTTGAATTTTCATTTCATCGTGAGATTTTTTTAGCTTCTTAAATTTCTATTATAATTTGGATTACTATCTAGTATGAAATACAAATGCAACTTGGATAAACTATTGTTTTTTGCTGTTGTTAAAGATACATTCCGACACACATCCACTACTAGTTTAATGTTTTTGTCATTTAATTTCTTTGTATGTAAAATTACTATTTCGTCTCTTATTTACTTACTAAGCTGAACGCACTTGATCACTCATATGTGCATGCATGATTTTGGAAGTAGCAATTACTTAAAACTGGAATTGTTACACACTAATAAGTAATAACCGGAGAACTAGCCGGTACCAACCACACCGATTTGATATTGCTTACGTTTTCGTGGTCTTAAATTTGTGGTCTGTCAGAAGAAAAACATGTGCAAATTACAATAAAACCATAAAAAGGAATTATTTTAATATCAGGGAAATGTCGCTAGTTAATTATTACTAGGAAGAGTTGTAATCGTCTCAATATTATTAGCTAAGAACTAAGTTTTTTTTGGGTGAAAACTCATATTCTAATTCACTATTTCCAATCTTTCATTATGTTATAAAATTTGATTTATTGATGCTATAGTTTTTTTTTCTTATATGCACACACATACTAGTTGTTTATTTCATATACATTGAATGCGCGTGTGGGGGGCACTTGGCATACATGACAATATGATGTGTAAGAATGCAGGCTGTGACCTCGCCATGCAATGCGACCCCTGTGGCCATTCCTATCACAATGTGTCACCGTTTCAGTATTCATTGTTTAACCTTTATTTTATTGATTAATCTAAATATTATCTATGTCCATAATTAGATTTATATCATAAGATTGGTACCATACTTTATATTCAATTTTAAAGTAATTGTTTCAGCAATACCAAATGGAATATCTATAAGTTTAGTCTACAATTATTACCGTCTAGTAAAATTGTGTCTCAAACTTTTCTGTTACGTACAAAAGAAAAAAACAGCAGCCACCTCCTTTATATACCTTTTTTCCTACAATCTCTACTTAAATTCCTTATACCAAAGGGATAAAAAAAATGCAGAAGCTGTTGTTTTCTCTTCTCTCTGTCGTCTCACTTGTTCTCTTCTTCTATGGCGGCGAGGCACGCCAGCGAGAGCTGCCTTTTCCGAGCGCATGCCATTTCAGCCAAATCAACAGCCTCCGCCCGGCTCAGGCGATCAAGTTCGAAGCCGGACAGATGGAAGTATGGGACCACACGAGCCCTGAGCTCCGGTGCTCTGGTGTGACCGTGGCTCGCATCACCCTTCAAGCCAATTCCATTTTCTTGCCCTCTTTCTTTAGTCCACCTTCCCTCGCTTACGTTGTCCAAGGTACTTTTTTAGTGGATATACAGTTCATGATTTCGGTGTCGACAATTAATTTAATTATTAGTTTTAACAACTATTTTTCTTTCGTTTTCACGTCATTAAATTATTTATTAAAGTTCACATTCGTTCTAAAAAAATAGAAACATATGGTTGCAGGAGAAGGAGTGATGGGGACAATTGCTTCGGGTTGTCCTGAGACGTATGAAGAAGTTGGAGGAGGAGGAGACCGGCGTCGACGCTTTGAGGACATGCACCAGAAGTTGGAGAATTTCCGGCGAGGAGATGTGTTTGCTTCGCTTGCCGGAGTTTCACAGTGGTGGTACAACCGCGGCAATTCCGATGTCGTCATAGTCATCGTTCTTGACGTTACCAACAGAGAAAACCAGCTTGACCAAGTCCCTAGGGTAATTATCAAAATTCAATAAAGTCCAAATTTATATTGCATGCAATCGATATCATTTATGTAATTTTTTCGTAAACCACTCACTCGTATGTAGATGTTCCAAATAGCCGGGAGCAGTACGCAAGAAGAACAACAACCATTAACTTGGCCATCAGGCAACAACGTTTTCAGCGGTTTGGACCCAAACATAATCGCGGAAGCATTCAAGATCGACATCGAGACAGCGAGGCAACTTCAGAACCAGAAGGACAACAGAGGAAACATAGTCCGAGCAAACGGTCCGCTCCATTTCGTCATCTCCCCTCCACGGCAATGGCAGCAAGATGGCATTGATAATGGCATTGAAGAGACGTATTGCACGGCGAGGCTTCACGAGAATATAGACGATCCAGAACGGAGCGACTTCTTTAGCACACGAGCAGGCAGAATCAGCACTCTTAACAGCCTCAACCTCCCCATTCTACGTCTTGTCAGGCTTAACGCCGTTAGAGGCCTACTCTACAGCGTAATTAATATATATCCCCTACTCCAGTATTAATTTTGGAAGATGTGGTATTCGGTTCGGTTGATTATAGTATTCAGGTTATTCGTTGGAATTCAACCTTTCTCTTTTGTTTACTTTATAACATTTTCTTAAATCATAGGGAGGAATGGCGTTGCCTCAATGGACCGCAAACGCAAACACGGTGCTATATGCGACAGGTGGTCAAGCCAAGGTACAAGTGGTGGACGACAACGGTCGGTCCGTGTTCAACGAGCAAGTGGGACAAGGTCAACTCCTTGTGGTTCCACAGGGCTTTGCGGTTGTGAAAACTGCTGGTGAAACCGGTTTCGAATGGATATCGTTCAAGACAAACGATAACGCTTACATCAACACACTAAGCGGGGAAACATCCTACTTGAGAGCAGTTCCCGTGGATGTCATCAAAGCTGCATATGGAGTGACAGAGGAAGAAGCCAAACAGATCAAGTTCAGTCAGCAAGAGACAATGCTGGCTATGACTCAAAGCTCTTCTTCTTAAGCTTTTACGTTTTTGCTTCCAATGATGTTTTCCAGATTTTCCAGTCAATAAAATAAATAAGGATGTGACAAGTACTAGTAGTAGCCAACTTTGACAATGCTTCAATACCAAATATTTAAAGTTTTATAACTACTAGTGGTGCCAGTAAACGGAGGACTCGTTTAAGACTCTGAGACAACATTATAACACAGAAAACATAATACGATATGGTGAAAGGGGAGAAAAGACAGAAACTTGTTTTCAGAGGAAATCTTTCATTGGGTCCTCGTGGTGAACTCTCTTCATTCTGTACGCTTCCATCTCTTCCGGAGTAACCTGCGATGAAACGTGTGATTTTGATCAGAAATCCGTTATTTTAAGAATATGAACCGATGCTATTAAAGAGCTAAGAACTTACATCGTTGGTGTATTTGACGTTGTACTTTCGTTTCCTCTCATCTTTTTCTTCCCTCTTACGCTCATCCTCCTGCACACATTGTATTCTCGTGTCAGATAAATCTGCAGAACATAAAAACATCTCCACAGGAGAAAACATGAGCGGAAACTATTTGACTTTTTTTTTACCTTTTTAAGAGCATTAGTAAGTGCCTCCTCGTTCAATTCCAAATCTTCAGGAATATCGGTTCCCCATGCGGCCATTCTCTTCTCTTCAACTTTCTTTGGGATATCTGATCACAAAATTACGATTCATTGTTTCGTTAGCACAGGCGTAAAACCAACATTTCAAAACATATGCAGAAATGAGCACTTCTTTTTCAATCAATCGAACAGATAAGATATATGAAATTGGAATAACAAACAGAGTCAACAACACACACCTTCAGAGGCTTCTTTGCGAGCAATATTAGCCTTCATCAAATCAAGGGAAGCCTCTGCAGCCTCAATTCCAGCAGATCCTGTGCAGTAACTGTTGCGAATGGTCTGCTGGCAACACTTATATCCCCATTGATGGTCTTTCCACCATGAGCCCCAAACACTAGTGTGGTTGTTAGCATAAACATCTTCTTCGTATTTGCTCTTTGGCAGTATAACCTCCTGTACACAGCAAACATGTATTAAGATTAAGAGTGAACTGGATCCAAACAAAAGCAGAACTTATCACAACAATAAATGCAATTCAAAAACCATACCTGTCCCTTGATAATCCTCCCGGCTCGGTCATACTCAACTTGTCTTTCGCTTTGCCCAAGCAAAAGCTCCATTGGAATTTCATCTACTGTAGAAGCATTTCCGTACTTCTCCATGATTGTGTCCTTTGTCTGAGACTTCAGTTTGTCCTTTGCAACCTTGAAGTTCTTGTAGAGCAACTCAGCTTGGGATGGAGCAGCTTGCATATGCATGTCCTGTCCCTTGTCAAATGCTTCCCATGAGTGCATGTTCAGCTGTTTGAACTCTAGAGCTTGACCACTGTTTCTATATTGATTATCTCCCTGGATAGATGATAAGTAAAAACCTGGTTAGCAACTAGACTATTAAAAATATAAGATACAAGTAATGATAAGTGACGAATCACAAACTAACCAAATAAAATTTATCATTCGGATCTGCATCTGGAAGCGGGTCTTCACGCATGGAACGAGTTTTAGGGTCATAGTGAGCCGAATTGACATCAAGGTTCAACAGGTATTTTGCCGTGTCTTCTCTGATACGCAGATTCCTGAAATCAATAAAAAAGTTAAACCATTAGGCATCAAATAAAAGCATCCAAACAACACATGTGATAAGAGAGATGGTAATTTGTAGCGGCAGAAAAAAACGATTAGTCCATACCTTACAGTTCCTGTGCTACCACCACCAGTTGTTCGAACACGCTTTTCAACCTTTGCAAAGTCCATCTGCCTGCTCTCATCAACCTTGGCCTCATCGACCCTTAAGTCGTCATCGTCTTCGTCCCCATCGCTAGTTGCATCAGCACCTTCTTGGTTATTGTTCTTCTCCTCTAGTTTTTTAATCTGCTGCTCCTTAAGGTACTTCTTTCGTGCTTCCTCTTTTGCTTCATAAGAGGCTATCACGCGATGGTAGGTTGAAGGATCATAACCATTCCATCGGTCCCTTTTGCCATCATAGTCGAGTTCAAAACTCTCAACTTTTTCATCAGGTGCAATGTTCTTGTTTGTGAATTTTGCTCCAACCTTGCGAGGTCTATCCATACACGCTTTAGCACTATGCGACATTGCACCACAGCTTCAAAAATAAAATATGCCAAGTTAGCAATCGTTCCATCTATCAATTCCAAAAACAGAGAGTAACAAAACTAAACATCAACGTTTAAGAAACACATACTTTTGACATGCCCCCTTGCGGAATTTTTCGGCTTGAAAGGTCTTTGCACCTCTGTCATACCATGACTTGGTGTAATTGGGATCACTCTTCCATTTCCTTTGATGCTTCAAACTCTGTCAAAGCAAAGCAACAACCAGAGAATTCAGTGTGGATGTTCAAGTAAAACAATGCAAAGAAGCAAGTAAAACAATGCAAAAGATTTAGGCTTACCGGTTTTTCAGAGTTGAGATACCATGGAGCAGAGGACATATACTGAGGTATGTGAGGATTGATTTCCTTTCCATCCTCATCAACCTCAGCTGGAGCAAGCCCGGCTTTACGAGCTTCCTCTAATTCGATTTGCTTCCTATGATCTTCCCTCGACTTAAAAGCAACTGCAAAAACCCCAACACATCAGTAAACATATCGATTGTATCTTACAAACACGAAAGAATTTGCAAAATATCATCACAATTATCATAGTAACAACACCAAAGCTAAAAGTTAAATTAGAGACTCTACATAACCCAGGGTGAAACCCTAAGAAATCGATCACTAACAAAAAAAAACCGAAAATTGACTAAAGCACCAATGAATTAGAAGAACAAACACCAAATCAGACTCTTTTAAGTATCGCAAATTGGATCTACAAAATCAGATACGAAAAATCCCAAGCAGTAAAACCCCTGACATTCTGATTTCAAAATACGAAAGTAGATACTCAGAACCGAGATTCATGACCAACAAAGGGAAATTAACAAACAAATCAAGAGCCCAGCATCAAGTAGATCTATCGGAACCGTAGAAGAAAGAATTGAATGAAATCGGTACCTGAAGCCGTCGCCATGGTTATCCGATCGTTAAGCTTCAACTCCTCTCAGGCCACAAGAGAAAGAAAAAAAGTGCGAGGAAAATAGGTCGATAAGGAAATCTCGAGGAGGAGGAGAAATCAATAAGAGCCCTTGTCGAACCGTCTTTTAAATTAGGTCGGTTTGCCCCTAAACGGCACCGTCTTTTGAATTATAATTGCTTAACACAAATTTTCAGATTAATATTTTCCCAGTCACTAACAAAATAGATAATTTGTGAATAATAGAAAGAAAAAAAAAGATAATTAAAAAACATAAGGTTCCGGTCTCGTAAAGCTTCCAAAGTCCGCAACGCTCGTCAAAGGCTTCACACACGTCTTTCTCCGTAACTCGTCTGAGGTCACAGATTTTTTTTTCTCCGATAGTTCGATGTCGTTCGAGGAAGAAGAGGAGGAGGAGACATTCGAGCACACACTTCTCGTGGTGCGTGAGGTCTCCGTCTACAAGATCCCGCCGCGAACCACATCCGGCGGATACAAGTGCGGCGAATGGCTTCAGTCCGATAAGATCTGGTCTGGTCGACTCCGCGTCGTATCGTGCAAGGATCGCTGCGAGATCCGGCTGGAGGATTCGAACTCCGGCGATCTATTCGCGGCTTGTTTCGTGGATCCCGGCCGGAGGGAGAACTCTGTCGAGCCGTCTCTCGATTCGTCTAGGTATTTCGTTCTCAGGATCGACGACGGGCGTGGGAAGTATGCGTTTATCGGGCTAGGATTCGCTGAGAGGAACGAGGCGTTTGATTTCAATGTAGCCTTGTCGGATCACGAAAAGTACGTGAGGAGGGAGAAAGAGAAGGAGACAGGGGAAACGAGCGAGAGCGACAATCACATTGATATCCATCCCGCCGTTAATCACAGGTTGAAGGTAAACCGATCTGTTCATAAGCTTTCGGAATTAAGATAGATCAATGCGTAATCTGGTCACTTTGAGAACCCGGATTGAGGTTTTCATAGCTATCAAATGTGGAATAAATGGCTTCACATTGCAAAGATCTACACTTGTTCGCCGATTATGGTTAAAAGATCGTTGTTCAGTTGCATCATCTGCAACTGAGTTTGTATAAAGGATTGTCACCGAGTCAAACATATCCATGTAGTTTTTATGCTCTGTGCAGATATTAAGAGGATGAGTAAAAATCACAACTTTAATTGTACTCAATATATCCATGTAGCTTTCATGATTTTTGATCTCTTAAATCACTATTCCGTAAATCTTCATACTTGCTATGAACGACTGGATTTTTAGCATTCGTTTTCTAGTAGGAGAGACTTGAGAGTGATCTTTTGATTTTATTGAGTTCGTGCTCTTATTAGTGTATCTGTTCTTGAAACTTAACTCTGGAGTCAATATCTTGCTAAAACGGGAAGAGTCTCCCTTTTGGATTTTGGACTCAGTAGAACCTAAAAAGAGTGTTGTTTTGATTATGTTTGTTTGATGGGTTTTAAGGAAGGCGAAACCATAAGAATCAACGTGAAGCCCAAACCAACAACAAATGGCACTGGGATGCTCTCAGCTGCTCTTTCGGGAAACGGGAAGCCTAAACCTTTAGCACTTGCTCCACCACCAAATGCTGCTGTAAAAACCCGGTCTCCTTTACCGCCTCCTCCGAATGATCCCGTCACTTCAAGGATTGCATCTGATGCTCGTAAGGAACCAACGGATAACACAAGGCGCAGGAACGACCCTCTGTCTGATCTATCTCAGCTCAAGGTAAGCAAACCTTGTCGTCTTGATAGCATTTGAATCAACCAACAACGACACTAGATCTGTTCTGTCCTAAGACACTTTATTCTCCTCTGCAGAAGAATCTTCCTTCAACAGCGGGATCCGGACCGACCAAGTCAACAGGAGCTGGTTGGGCAGCTTTCTGATCACAAGGAGCGTGAAATATTAGGTCTTGGACCCGTCCGGCTTCATCTTCTTGTGACTTGAGAGCAAGAGACATTAGAGGCTGAGACACTAGGCACCAATGGCAAAAAGCAATCCGAGTTTTTTTTACATAATGTATGTTACTGGTAAATTGATATGCGTGTTTCTTTGTAATCCCAACACTCCCTGTTGTAATATTTTGTTTTTCTCTTTTTCAAGTCATCTTTGTTACATCTGGATCACGAGATTTCAATATATTTACAAATGAAGAGATCTTGATATCTTTTTACGTCAGTTCACGTCCCAAATTGAAGAAAACTAATGTTAAATGCTATGAAGTCGCACGATGATGTGATGATAACCAAAGAAAACTAATGTTAAATGCTATGAAGTCGCACGATGATGTGATGATAACCAAAGAAAACTAATGTTAAATGCTATGAAGTCGCACGATGATGTGATGATAACCAGCACACTGACGTGGCGACGGGATCAGGACCGTTAATGAAAATCTGACGGACAAGATTCAGGAAGCCACCGTGACGTGGCGGAAATTTAGTGGTTTACGTGAATTCTAACGTTGAACGAAACATATTTAAAGGAGAAATTTGGTAAAAGGGAAAAAGTTCGGTCCACCTACTATTATTACTAATCCTCCAACCTACTACACTATCTCGGAGACGGGAAAAAATGGCGGCGAAAGATCCGACGACGAGCGGTGATGATGCCATTAGAGTGAGCGGTATGGAATTTGGATATGAAGTCGAGGATCCTATATTCTTCGACTTCAACCTCGATCTTCCAGCTGGATCTCGCTGCCTTCTGGTTGGCGCCAATGGATCTGGTAACATGACCAATTTGTAGCCATAGATTTTTCCTTGTGGTTTAGGTTTTCGTTTTGCTGTCTTGGGTTCTATGAATCTATAGCTCGATTCAGGTTTTGGATTAGCGATTCGACTTCTTATTTTTCCTGCCAGAACTGAAAGTGTTAATGGTACTATTCTCAGTATGGAATTATGAAATTGGCTACTACAGAATATATATGTGCCAGTCTTATGAATTTCGGGTTTTTGAAAATCTTTGTAGGATTCGGTTTCCCCATTTTCCTGAATCCGCTTTTGATCATATATGACTGCGATTAGCTTACCATCCATAGCCCTTTTGTGAAACTTATCTTTCAGGCAAGACAACCTTATTGAAGATTATGGCTGGAAAGCACATGGTGGGAGGAAAGAACGTTGTACAAGTTCTGAGCCGTTCGGCTTTCCATGATACTCAGCTTGTTTGCAGTGGTGACTTGTCTTACCTTGGAGGGTCTTGGAGTAAAACCGTTGGTTCTGCTGTGAGTACCCCTTACTCTTCTCTCTGCTACCATTTCTCATGCTTTCTGTGATACTTTTGAGGGTAAAAAACATCCACGATAACTCAACCTGAGAGTATTTTGTTTCTTGAACTCGCTACACTTTTTTAGGGTGTGGTTCCTCTCCAGGGAGACTTTTCAGCAGAACACATGATATTTGGAGGTGGCATTCTCCTCCCTAGAATGATATTTTTAGAAATTGTTTCTTTTTCCAGGCTTAGACTGAAGGAGCTTCGTTTTGTTGTCCTACTAGTTGAAGGGGTTGATCCCGTGAGAAGAGAGAAACTGATTGATCTTCTTGATATTAATCTTCACTGGCGTATGCATAAGGTTTCTGATGGGCAGAAACGCCGAGTCCAGATATGCATGGGACTCTTGCATCCATTCAAGGTACAAATGAATATTGTTTCAGAGAGGCTAATTATCCTGTCTAAATCTCACATGATCATTGTCGGTTATGTTCTCATGATCAAAAGATTTCCTAGTTTCTAATTTTTTTTCTCTCTCATCATTATTCTGACCTTAATGCTAACCTGACTTTACAGGTGTTATTACTTGACGAGGTCACTGTTGACTTAGATGTTGTTGCAAGGATGGATTTGCTGGAATTCTTCAAAGAAGAATGTGATCAGGTATCACTTAACTAAATGAAGCCAGTGAACAAGATTTTATACCATCGAGAGTTCTCTTGCTTTTGTTACTGTATTGCATGATCTTTGACTTGTCTATGACATTGATTAACTCAGAGAGGAGCTACAATCGTATACGCAACTCACATATTCGACGGGCTAGAAACATGGGCTACACGTTTGGCCTACATTCAGGACGGTGAGCTGAAACGTTCATCGAAAATGGCAGATGTCAACGAGATGACAACTTTTCCAAACCTCCTCTCCGTGGTAGAATATTGGCTCCGTGCTGAAACCAAACTTGAGAAGAAGAGGAAGAAGAAGAAGGAGCCTGTGGCAGCATGGAAACCATCTCCATTTGATAACTCTCCTTTTAGGTCATCGAAACACATGGCTTATTACAAATGATTGGTAATTACGGGTGTGATGATCCTATATGTGACCATCGGTAAGAACAAGGACACTCGCGACAAGTTCACATTGTGTGTTTGTTTAGTTGCTGTATACTCTTGTGCTCATTGAAGAATATAATATACAGAATATACGTATTGTTGTGTTAAATAACTTAAATTTTCCGAATTTTGCCTGACTAGAGTTCAAAGACCGGTGGATTTTCAAAGGTTACCATGCGATTTATCATGGATTATGGATCAAATAACAAAAGAAATTTTGTTAAAATGTTAGTTGTGTACATTGAATCAACCGGCCAATTTTCCTTAACCGGGCGAAAGGGTTCAACCTGATATAATTGAAACCGGCGTCGTTTATTGGGGAAATAAAAAAATAATAAGATAAAATAAAGAACCGACCGGATGACGAAAATATCCGAGAGAGAACTCAAAAACTTTTATTAGAGCGTAACCCTTGTTTGCATATTTATTCTACCATCCTTCCCCTTCGATCCATCATCGGGGTGTAGAAGGTTCTACGTTCCACCGCCTTCGTCACCCGTCGCGCAGACGCCGCATTCACCGCCCTCACCGCAGCTGATTTCCGATCTTAGTTTTCAACTAGGTATGCATTTCTCTTCCCTGTCCGCTGTTTATTGATTGGTTCGATAGTTTTGCTTAGATTCTCTTACTGCTGCTGAAAGTTGAATGGATAGCTTCTCTTTTCGTTCCTTGGAACTTTCAAAACCAAATCGTGGGTCTGGATTGGTTTTCTGGTGAATTGATTAGCGGCATGAGTGTTTCTGCTTTCGCTGTTTCCTGCTAATTCTCTGTGCATTAGGTTCTCTATCAGTAAACTTATAGTTTCTAATCTCAGTTGTTATCAGCGAATTGGTAAATTAGCTTAATTCAATCTGAATTCACGAGGAACTGAGATTTGTTTTTAATGGAGAATGTTATTAGGGTTTAGACGTTGGTTTTTAGGGGTGACCGACTGATTGATATTATCTTCCACAGAGAGAGACTCTTCAAATATGGGTTCTCATGGTAAGAGTAGGAGAGATAGACATGGAAGGCAAAAGAAGCGGAGAGATGAATCCGAGTCTGAGTCAGAGTCTTACACTTCTGACTCGGACGGTTCAGATGATTTGTCGCCGCCCAGGAGTTCCAGGAGGAGGAAAGGCAGCAGCAGTAGTCGGACCCGACGCCATCGCTCAAGTGATGATTCCACTGACAGCGATGATGGACGGAAGAGTAAGAAGAGAACTTCGTCTAAGAAGCCCTCTGAGGAAGAAATCAAGGAGTATATGGCCAAAAAGGCTCAGAAGAAGGTATTTTTTTGGTTCTACATCACTTTGTTGTGTTGAACATTTGTATGAATTTCAGCTGGTTGCTAACTTTATGCTATTTGTTAAATTCTTTGTAGGCATTACGTGCAGCAAAGAAACTGAAAACACAGTCAGTCTCGGGGTACTCCAATGATTCAAACCCATTTGGGGATTCGAATCTCACTGAGACGTAAGTGAATCACAATTAAGAAAATGGTGGATGATTATTCTTTCTGACTTTTACTGGTATAATATCGAGAATAGGATGAAGGAGGATTATAGAGTATATAGTTCATTTCTAGTTAATCAAGTGCATAAATTATAGGGTGCGACTTGCTTTTGTCTACTTACATAATTGTGAAAAAAATGGGAGTTGAAATTATCTTGATTGCATGTAATCGATTTATTTAGATGATACTTGTGAGTACCTGGTTTTGAAGAGTCTGCAATTCTTATGGCATGAAATTCTATTAATTTCAGATTTGTGTGGCGGAAGAAGATTGAAAAGGATGTTCACCATGGAGTACCGTTGGATGAATTTTCTGTTAAAGCTGAGAAGAGAAGACGAGGAGAAAGGATGGTATGTATTATAAGCATTCTTGATTAAAAGAACATAGAAGAAATTATTGTGTCCTCGATACTTTTTAATTTTGTTTGGTGGAATGAGCTTTCTGGTTTATGTCTTAAGCACTCTACTTCGATGCGCAGACAGAGGTTGAAAAGGTTAAGAAGAGGAGAGAAGAAAGAGCTGTGGAGAAAGCTCGACATGAGGAAGAAATGGTAAATTCTGTTTCATGTTGAAAATCTACTGAAAGCTATCTCTTTCACAAAATCGTTTGGTCCAGGAGGACGGATAAAATTGAAATTCTGATCAGCCAATCAGCTTTAGAATTTGGTTAATACTGTATAGCTATGAAATTAAAATTGTTTTTATTCTCGGCAGGCATTATTGGCTAGAGAACGGGCTCGAGCTGAGTTTCAAGATTGGGAGAAGAAAGAGGAGGAGGTATAATTGCGATTTCTTTGTTTTTGCAATTAATTCCTCTTTTATATTAGTTTGGTGTACGTTGCTTGATATCTGTTTGATCTACAGTTCCACTTCGATCAAAGCAAAGTGAGGTCAGAGATCAGATTACGTGAAGGTCGACTGAAGCCAATCGACGTCCTCTGCAAGCACTTGGATGGTTCAGATGATTTGGATATCGAACTTAGTGAACCCTACATGGTTTTCAAGGTATTTACAAAAGCCATATTGTGTTTTAAGTAATGATGGAGTTTTTTTCCCACTAAGGTCTAGACTTTCTTGGTCCTAGTTCAGTTCCATAACATATACAGTCTTTGGAATTAGTTATGTTGCGACAGTAGTATACACAGATTCGAAGCTTGTGATTAGATTAGTTATTCTGCAAGTCTAAGCCATTAGCAACTAAGACGTTGAGATAGCATCTATGTTAGATAGGTTTTCCGGCATCTCTTATAACTATTATCAACATATGTATAAGATAACAAACACCTCTGTCTCGTTATTGTACGAAATTTTAGAACAAAAGAAGAAGCAGAATGTGAGAATGATTCTGGATGATTTGCTTTTGAGATCGAGAGTGGAGATGTTTCCTGAAACAATGTCTCTGATTGTGTAGTTGTTCTCTTTTGGTGAACAAATAAAAGTTCACTGGGTTTTTAGATTTCTGTGACGCTTATTATTAAAATTGACGTATTATCTTCTGAAATGTATGATGCAGGGCCTCACTGTTAAAGATATGGAAGAGCTTCGCGATGATATCAAAATGTATCTGGATTCGGATCGGGCAACTCCAACACGCGTACAGTATTGGGAGGTATATTCTTCAACGAGACTCATTTTATGCATTCGAGGTGAATCATGCATTTGAAGTGATTATGCATGTATGAAATTTTGATACAATCGGAAAATATCTTCTATCGGACCCTCACGTTGTCTCCTTTTGATGGTTGATTAGCATTCTTTCTTCTTTGTCTCGTGCTAGTATATACATGTATACGAGTAAATCAATGTGCTTAATACCATTGAATATTTCCCAGGCGCTTATTGTGGTATGCGATTGGGAGTTGGCTGAAGCTCGTAAAAGGGATGCCCTGGATCGAGCTAGAGTTAGAGGGGAGGAGCCTCCTGCGGAATTGCTTGCTCAAGAGAGGGGACTACACGCTGGTGTTGAAGCTGATGTGAGAAAACTTCTTGATGGGAAGACCCACTCGGAGCTCGTAGAACTGCAGTTGGACATCGAGTCACAGCTGCGTTCTGGGTCAGCAAAAGTAGTAGAGTATTGGGAAGCGGTTCTTAAACGCCTCGATATATACAAGGCAAAGGTATTTGCTTGTGGGATGATCTTGTGCTGTTAGATTTTCAAAACAGAGGCTGTGTTTTTCGCATACTCACTGACAATCTTGATGTTTAACAGGCTTGCTTGAAGGAAATACACGCTGAGATGTTGAGGAGACATTTACATCGCCTCGAGCAGCTTTCAGAGGGTGAAGAAGATGTAGAAGTTAATGATGAGTTAACACGAGAAGTGGAAGAAAACGAGGAGGAGATAAACGATATGAATCCTTCAAATGCTGAGGAAGTATACTCTCCAGAGCCTATTGCGGAGGAAGAAGAAGCAGATTTGGCAGCAGAAGCGGCTGGTTCGTTTTCACCGGAGCTCATGCACGGTGATGATCGTGAAGAAGCAATCGATCCCGAGGAAGACAAGAAACTACTGGTACTCTTTAAAATTCCTACGATCGAGTTTTGCCCATGAATCATTGTCGTTGATGGTTTTACTGACCTAACATATGATTGTGGCTATAACAGGAAATGAAACGGATGGTTGTGCTGGAGAAACAAAAGAAGCGGCTTAAAGAAGCTATGGTCTCAAAACCAGCACCTGCGGAAGATAATTTGGAGCTTAAAGCAATGAAAGCCATGGGAGCAATGGAGGAAGGTGATGCTGTATTTGGCTCTAATGCTGAAGTGAACCTTGATTCCGAGGTACCTCTATTAAACTCTTGTGTATTATATATACTAGTCTATTCCTTCGGATGGAATATCAAAAAAGTGTTCTTCTTGTATAGGTATACTGGTGGCATGACAAGTACCGGCCAAGAAAACCGAAGTACTTCAACAGAGTTCACACAGGTTACGAGTGGAACAAGTATAACCAAACGCACTATGATCACGATAACCCGCCTCCAAAGATCGTTCAAGGGTACAAGTTCAACATCTTCTACCCGGATCTAGTAGACAAGATTAAGGCTCCCATCTACACGATCGAAAAAGATGGCACGAGCTCTGAAACTTGTATGATCCGGTTCCATGCTGGTCCGCCTTATGAAGACATTGTAAGTACTAGTAGAGCCATAGCTGCGTGTTTCCTTGATCTTTACCTCTCGTGTTATCGTTGTGATCAATTTTTTTGTTTTTTGTTTTCAGGCGTTCCGTATTGTGAATAAAGAGTGGGAGTATTCTCATAAGAAGGGTTTCAAGTGCACGTTTGAGCGTGGGATTCTGCATTTATACTTCAACTTTAAACGACATCGTTACAGGCGATAAACTGATCGGAGTTTGGCCGGAGAAGACAAAACTGGCAGTTTTAAGACTTTGGCTGGTGTCATATTAAGCGTTGATTGTAAGAAAAGGGCGATACATATTTCGATTCTTCTCTCTTTCACTTTTGTGTGTTTAAAGCGTTGCACATTTATGCGCCTTCGCTGACTAAACGCTCGACGAAAGCTAGACTATTACTAGTTTGTATCTTTCGTAACCAGAAGTTGGAATTTCTAATATGAGAAGAATAATATGATTTGACTATTTTCTTTGAAATTTGGTATACAAACAGGACAGAAAATAAAATAATATTGGCAGCAAAACTTGGATGCTATGATGATTACTAACAAAATGTGATGTTGATTATTGGAACAACATAAAGTATGATTTTATTGATTATGTGAGTTTATTGGTGAACTTAGTTTATGTGGAGAAGTTGGTCACACAAATGAATGAGAGAGTTTTGGTTGCCGACGAGAGACGAAGAGAGTTATGTGAAGTTGTTTAGGTTGAGATCTCAACATCATAATGCTTATAAAAAGATTCTGTTGGTAACTTAAGTAGTGGAGTAGAAGATATTATTTAATCTGACTTTTTTTCCATTTCCTTTTCATCTCCTTTTGATGTCTCTTCTTCTCCAAACTCCACCCCAAGACAAATAAATTAAATACAGTATATCAGAAATTTGCGCATTTTTTCTAGTAATCAAGTCTTAATTATATAATATCTTATTTCTCCAAGTTCATTCAGGAGACACACCAAACAAACAAAAAACAAATTATAAGGATCAAATACATGCTTTTATAAGTCAATGGAGCTGCAACGTGAATTGAATGTTATGAGTTTTTTTAAAAAAATTGTTGACTACAATGTGTTACGATTACACGATTTTAGACGAGGTTTGAACAATATGACCTCATAGTTTTTACACAAAAAGCATCCCGCATAATTCGTAAATAAAACTAACATAATCAAAACTTTTTTTTTTGAAAATAACATAATCAAAACTTAACCAAAAAAAACTAACATAACAACCATTTGTGTTTAATGAAGCTTTTTGAAAACGAAAATGTAGTGCGTAATGAAGTGGTGACAACTACTAAATTAAATGTTCATTGTCAACATCAGAAGCACTTGTAATTTGTAAACAATTCCCTATACACAAACTAAATTAATATACAAAAACTGCTAAGAACGGATATTATTAACATATCCAGTAAATAAAAAAATTAACAGTCTCGCCCTCTATAGATCAAATCGCTTTCAAACTTCTACGGTAACCCGACATTTTCTATTTTTTCTTCTCATTCCACTTCCTTCTTCCATTAACTTTCGCTCTGTTTTTTTTCCGATTGCTTTTTTTAGGCAGCCGTATCTTAATCTCCTATCTTTCCGCTTCTATCTGAATTTCAGAAATATGAACTCAGGTACGTTCATTATCTGACAGTAAAAAATTCTGGATATCGATTTTCAATCTAGGGTTCAATTAAACCAGAATTGGTTATTGTTACGGTGAATTTTTTCCGATTTTTTTTTTTAATTAATTTAGTCACGGGATTATTTTCAATTTTAAATCTCGTTAGGGTTTTTCCTTTTTAGATTAGAAGTTAAAAATTGAGAAGAGAAAAAAAAAATGGATTCTGCTAGAAGTTGGTTTCACAAGTTTCAACCACGAGACAAGCCCCGGAAAAAAGATATGTATTCCTGTAGCACTTACGGCGACGGGACAGAAACCACCGTCCCCATCGGAGGAAATGAAACAGAGACGGCGGCTAAACTTCCACCACTAGGCGGAGAAGGAGATGCACTCTCAAATACAACCAAACAGAAAGTTGCTGCAGCAAAACAGTACATTGAGAATCATTACAAGGAACAGATGAAGAACCTCAATGAGAGGAAGGAGAGGTATATATAATATACACATTTTCATATATATTAGCATAATTATAAATAACTAATATTAGATATTATTGATGGGCTTATTTTAAATTTGGCAGACGAACAACGCTTGAGAAGAAACTAGCAGATGCAGATGTATCTGAAGAAGATCAAAATAATCTCTTAAAGTTTCTTGAGAAGAAAGAAACAGAGTACATGAGACTCCAAAGGCATAAGATGGGTGCTGATGATTTTGAACTCTTGACTATGATCGGTAAAGGAGCTTTTGGAGAGGTAAACTCATGAATAACTCTAATCCTAAATGACTCAAGAAAAAGAAAACCCGATGAATTAAAACCGTTGATTTTGATTGATTCAGGTTCGAGTTTGCAGAGAGAAGAACACAGGTCATGTTTTTGCGATGAAGAAACTCAAGAAATCAGAAATGCTTCGCCGAGGCCAGGTTATACATAATGTCCCACACTGCATAACGTTTTCATTTGTTCGGGTTTTTCTTTATAACTTAAATAAGTTATTGACAAAAAAAAATATTTGAAGGTGGAGCATGTGAGAGCAGAGAGGAATCTATTGGCAGAAGTGGACAGTAGCTGTATAGTGAAGCTTTACTGCTCGTTTCAAGACAATGATTATCTTTACCTGATCATGGAGTATTTGCCCGGAGGTGATATGATGACTCTTCTGATGAGGAAAGACACTTTAAATGAATATGAAGCTAGATTCTATATCGCTGAAGCTGTTCTCGCTATAGAATCTATCCATAAACGCAACTATATCCACAGGTTACTTATATTGGATGCATTAATCGTATGATCACAAAAGAAAGATGTAATTCTGAGATGGTTAATTTGTTGCAGGGACATAAAGCCAGATAATCTGTTGCTTGATAGAATTGGACATTTGAGGTTGTCTGATTTTGGACTGTGCAAGCCACTGGATTGTAGTGTTATCGAAGGAGAAGATTTCTCGGTTGGAAATTCCGGCAACGGAGCAAGCTCAGTGAGCAAAGAGAACACCGCATCAACTACTACTCCTAAACGCTCGCAGCAAGAACAGTTGCAACATTGGCAAAAGAATCGAAGAATGCTTGTATGTGAACAACTTCTCTTTGCCTCTCTTTTTCAATCTTGTTCTTCTAATAAATTGTTTAGAATACACTTGAGAAATCATTATAAAATCGGTTTTATTAGTATCTTTTGTGTGTGAGTTCTTAAGATTATATTTTTGTTCTTGGTGGAATACTTGCAGGCGTACTCAACCGTTGGTACACCTGACTACATTGCACCTGAAGTCTTGTTAAAGAAAGGATACGGCATGGAATGTGACTGGTGCGTACCATTTATATTTTTTTAGTTTTTTTTTTTTTAAAGAACAAAAGGCAAATCTCTATTGTACAGGTGGTCATTAGGAGCTATAATGTACGAGATGCTTGTTGGGTATCCACCGTTTTACTCCGACGACCCAATGTCTACTTGTAGAAAGGTTCATTTTTGAAAGAAAATAATATTATTTGGCATTTAGTAAAAAAAATCTTTTTAGTTAATATTATTCATGTATGAAAAAAACAACAGATAGTGAACTGGAAAACACATTTGAAGTTCCCAGAAGAAGCAAGGCTGTCACGAGAGGCTAAGGATCTTGTTGGTAAGCTTTTGTGTAACGTTAACCAACGAATCGGCTCTACCGGTGCCTCCCAAATTAAGGTATCTTTCTCCCTTTTTCTATATACTGTACAGTAAAAATCACAATATCCATAAATATGCATAAGTCGAATTGATCCAATCCACAAAATGGATGTCGCAGGCACATCCTTGGTTCGAAGGTGTAGAATGGGAAAAGATTTACCAAATGGAAGCTGCTTTTATTCCTGAGGTCAACGACGACTTGGATACTCAAAACTTTGAGAAGTTCGACGAGGTTTTTTATCTTCTCCATACTGTTTTAATATAGCTATTATCTAATTACTATATTAATTTCCTTGATTTTTCAATGCATGTTTAGGAAGATAATAAAAACCAAGCACCCTCTAGAACAGGACCATGGAGAAAAGTACGTCCAGTTATCTACTCTTTTCTCTTAAAAGTTTGGAGATTTTTTTATTTTATTTTAAAATTCAATTTATAGTATATAGTTTTTCTTCAACATTCCTAATAACACACATCAAAAAATTCGTAACTTCACTCACACGCTTTCCCTTTATTTTTTCTTGCAGATGTTATCTTCAAAAGACATAAATTTTGTCGGCTACACATACAAAAACTTCGAAATCGTCAACGATTATCAAGTCCCTGGGATAGGTATCTTCATCTCTTTTACATATTAAATGCTTTCGATAACAGATGCTAATGTTCCGGTTTACATTGATCCCAGCGGAACTGAAGAAGAAAGAGACAAAACCAAAGAGACCATCGGTTAAGTCACTCTTCGGTACGTGAAAACCTCTCACGCAACCAAAACGCTGCGTGTTGTATCTCTCGTCCCCTTACTTATTCATCATGACACTGACTCACGTGTTTTAAACTTTGACGTGTATAACAAACAATTTAACAGAGAGCGAATCGGAGTCGTCGTCGTCGTCGGACACGTCAGAAACAGTGGCTGGTTCGGAGAAACACACCATTAACCGGAGTTTCTCGAATCCGACATGTCGTGAAGCCGAACCCAGCCTGAGACGTCTAGAGTCGTCCAAGTAGATACTTATCTATCAAACTGAACCGCAACTAATGAACTGAAATTAAAGTAAACCGAACTTAGTATACTACCGAATAACCATTCTTCTCTTTCTTTTGCCTCCTTTTCTTTTGTTTTTCCTGATTTGTAAATTTCAACATTACTGTATTTACAATTTTACATAGAACAACGAAAAGGAATAAAATCATATCGGATTTGTACTGTCATAGAATAAAATTAAAAAGTGATAATTAATATCATTTTCTTGTGTTTCGCATGGTGAGTAACTAATTAAAAAAACAGACAACGACAAATGTCACAAAGATCTCTTTTTTTCCTTTCTTAATTCGTAACGTCTCTGTAATAATCAGCCGAATCTTCTTCGAATTGTTGAACGACATTCGACGTTTTGCCAAACAGCCGGGTCAATTCCAGCTAAAAAGTTTACGTTTTCGTTGGTTCGATTTTCTTATCCAACTAGGGTTTTCAATTGGCCAACCGATTGCCGTTGAATTGACAATCGGGTGGACCTATAATGAACTCTCAATATTTGCAGTGGTTCGTGTTTTCATCGTTTTCATTCTTGATTCGATTTGAGATTTCACCCACGAGGGTCTGTCGTTGATGCCGAATTAAATCCCCTCGATTTTTTTCTTTTCTTCATTTCGATTATGATAATAATTTCGGTGTTTGTTTCCTCTGGCCCGTAAAACAAACAACAAGCAATCTTGGATCTCTGAAAGCTTGTTTCAAGTGTCGAGTTTGAGAATCTGAGAGAGTTGTCACTTCAAGATGGTATAATCTGGATTGGTGCTAAATGTTGAATTGGAAGACGAACCCAGGGCCGAGTTGTTCAACAGAGAGGGATTTGTTCGATATTTGTGTTTGAAAATCTGGGTTTTTGTTCTAGGGATTGTTGGAGAAAGAAATTATGGATCTTGTGATTGGTAAAAGGTTTAAGCTTGGGAGGAAAATTGGTAGTGGATCATTCGGAGAGCTTTATCTAGGTAGCCCCCAAATAAAAGAAGGACAATTTGTTTGATTTATCTCATTCCTGCTGCTTTTGATTGTCAGTTCTTCAGGTTTCTTATGTTGTTTGAGCATTTTGCAGGTGTAAATGTGCAGACCGGAGAAGAAGTTGCTGTTAAGCTGGTAAGCTTTAAGCTTACAATGATAAGTCTTTTTGATTAAAGCAAACCTTCTTGTGGTGTTATTGGCAAAGTTTGACTCACGTAAAGGAGAATGCATTTGAATTGGCCATTTGCTTTTGCTTTTCTTTCACTCTTATTTTGCTTTTTCATTTCTCAGGAATCTGTGAAGACCAAACATCCCCAGCTCCACTATGAGTCAAAGTTATATATGTTGCTTCAAGGAGGAAGTAAGTCTCTTTTTTTTTTTCACAAGAAGCCAAAGACAAGTATGATGATAGACTTTTATTCATCCTAAAATTGTTTCTTTTTTAATCGTTTTTCCCCCGCTATTGTTGAAAGGTGGTGTTCCGAATATCAAGTGGTACGGAGTTGAAGGAGAGTACAACGTAATGGTTATTGACCTTCTAGGTCCAAGTCTTGAAGACTTGTTCAACTACTGTAGCAGAAAACTTTCTTTGAGAACCGTTCTCATGCTTGCAGATCAACTAGTGAGTCATATCTTGCAGGTTCTTCACGGTTTTAATAAACATGTCTTCATCCATAATATTCACACTTATCTTTCCATGCTTTCAGATTAACAGAGTTGAGTATATGCATACGAGAGGTTTCATTCACCGTGATATCAAGCCCGAGAACTTTTTAATGGGCCTTGGGCGCAAAGCAAATCAGGTGCCATCTCGGAGAACGGCTCTTGAGCATGATGAACTTGTTCCAGCTAAAATTTGACTCATTTCATATCCTGGAAAGCATAATTACGTGCTCATTTAAGCAAACTATGAGGGTTAAACTTAAGAATCTCTTGATTATTTGTTTTCCATACCTCAGGTGTATATCATCGATTTTGGATTGGGAAAGAAATACAGAGACCTTCAGACTCACAGGCACATTCCGTACAGGTAACATTTATTCCGTTTTTTTTTTGATGTACCTGTGTAATTATTTATATCAACAGCACATGTGGCGAAAGCTTACACTGTTATGAAATTTTGTGGCAGAGAAAACAAAAACCTGACAGGAACAGCTCGGTATGCAAGTGTGAACACTCACCTTGGAGTCGGTGAGTGTTTTTCTTTTTTTTTCATTTAGGATTTATATAAGAAACCGTTATGTAATCGGGTCTGATACGGATTTATGTTTTCTTGCATGTGTCCCAAAAGAACAAAGTCGAAGGGATGATTTGGAATCAGTCGGTTATGTGCTCATGTATTTCCTCAAAGGAAGGTAGAGAGTGTAGAGGAGCCTCCATTTTGATTTGGTATCTCGTTTTGAACAAATGTCAATGTGTATTGTACTTGTTTCAGCTTACCCTGGCAAGGTTTAAAAGCAGGGACAAAGAAGCAGAAGTATGACAGAATACGTGAGAAGAAAGTAGCAACTCCTATAGAGGTATGTGAAAATCTGACATTATTGATTTCTTGTCTAGCTTTGATGACTTATAGCATAAATGATGTCTGAAGAACAGGTCCTGTGTAGAGATGAACCGTCCGAGTTTGTTTTCTACTTCCGTTACTGCCGGTCTCTACGGTTTGATGACAAACCTGATTACTCTTACCTTAAGAGGCTATTCCGCGACTTGTTTATTCGAGAAGGTTCTTATCGCACATTTCAATATTCTAGCAAATCATCTTTCGTCACTCCAAATTTCTTGAATCTCTCAAGTTTCACTATCAATGGCAGGTTATCAGTTTGATTATGTATTTGACTGGACAGTACTCAAGTATCCGCAAATTGGTTCCAATTCTAGTTCACAGACACGGGTGATAATCTCTATTCGCCATTCTCTTAAGTTTCTCTCTGTATTCAAAAGCGTAAAAGTGATAAAATCTTTTGATGTGTTCCAGAACCACACAGATGCAAAACCCAGTTTGACTGCAGGACCCTCCGTCGAAAAACCGGAGAGGAATGCTGGTAAATTTCATCATTCTCTGTTTTGCTTTTTTTTTTTTTGAAATCTCAAACCGATTTCCCGCGCGTTTAATGTTTATGTATTGTGCAGGAAAGGAAAGACGCGATAGGTTATCAGGTGCGGTTGAGTCAGAAAGGCAACAGAGTTCGTCGAGATACGGAAGCTCTTCAAGGAGAGCAATCGCTTCGAGCTCTCGTCCAGGCTCCGCTGGGGAACCGAGCGATACCCGATCCTCTAGCCGTCTGGTCACCTCAGGCGGTGGTGGTGGAAGTGGCCGTGCCTCGACAAGCCAGAGAATCCAACCAGGAGGATACGAATCCAAGACCTCGACGGTTTCCCCTGCTGCCGGAAACACTCGGGAAGATCCATTAAAGAGGAGCTTCGAGCTTCTCTCTCTCCGGAAATGACAACTCAATGAAGAAAGAACAAATTTATACAATCGAACCAAAGCAAACACAGTTAGAAGAGAAAGATGTACAACAACGTTGCATATTACTTCAAAACAGTTTTTTTTTTGTTTGTATATGTAACACACTCTCTTCTTTAACTGCTGTTGCACACTTTGAAAACAAACGTTTAAACGGTGAGAGAGAAAGAGAAGGTGTAACCATTAAAAACAAATTTCTACTGGTAAGCGACAACTACTTACCTGTAATAAAAAAGTTCATCATTCTTGTTTGTTTACCATTAATAATCCCCCAAGTGAGACCATAAAACCGGTTCTTTAGTTATTAACCGCAATCAATTAAGAGGGGGCAATTTCGACTTTTGGCAAAGAAATTAGGTCTAGGGTTTTGACCACCGTCAGTGATCTTATATAACAGCTGCGTGAACATCTTTTTCAATTACCTCACCTTCTTCTCTTCTCTGTTGTCTCGTACAGTTATCTTTAGATTTGTGTCTTTCAATGTCTGAGATATTGTGTTTTTATAATTGTCTGGTTCGCAGGAGCCTCCCGGGCTAATCTGATTAAAGTTGATGAGGAAGTAAGCCCCAAAGCTCCTGCTAGATTGCTTTTGCCGTTTGTGTTGCAGGCTCGCCTTGTTCCTTAGGCTTTTCTGTGTCAATAAAACGGCTAAATCTCTTATGGATTTGAATCGAGTTTTGTGTTTTTTGTTGATGGCTGTGATTATAAACTTACCCGCGCTTCTGAGATTCATTAGTTCAATGAAGCATATACGGTAAAACATGGTTGAATTTCTTAATATGAGCCAATTTTCTTGTATTGTTTTGGTTTTGGGTTTTGGCGGTGATGATTAATTTCAACAGCTTGTTACGCCAGTTCTGCTTCAGATAATTCTTGATAGAAAAGCTGTAATTCATATCTGAGCCGATTACATTATTCCTTTTTTTGTCTTCAAAATCATTTTTTTTTCTCCTGGTTTTCAATTTTGGAAAGTCGATGAGGATGTAATCCAATTGAACGAGGTGCAGTGGAGCCGAGACCCTGGTTACAGGGAGAACCCCTTGGCAGAAGCTGCAATTTCTTTGATTTCATCGGATTTTACTGAGACTTTCCATTAATTTTCATCCTTAATTCTTTGATTTTTCATATTTTTCTGAACGTTTTTCCGAGTTTAAACTATACACTTGCACATTTCTAGTTGTGCTTGTAGTCTGAAAAAACTCGGAAATTGCGAGTGTTCTCATCAGCTTCATCTCTTGTTTTTTCAATGAGACTGGAGTTAAACAAGATCACGACATTATTCTCTTCCAAGTTCACTTGAGTTTTGTTTTTGTTTGTTTACCTGTTGCCCTTATTCAAAAGATCGGAGATAAATTCTCAATACAACGTTTTATAAATCTTAGTGCGGGTCATGGTGGTTGTGAAGCTTATGCATATGTGGTTTTGTTTTGTTCGGCTGAAGGGTCCGAGTTGTTATGAATCATTGCCTCTTACTAATTCTTTGATGCTAAAGTGTTCGTGTTATTGTTCATGGGAAACCTTTTATCAGGATATTGATTAAGATATGGTGGCGAAAATTGTAAATTCAACATGACTGGTTGAATGTTTTGCGTTCTGATTAAAAGGTTAATCTTTATTTGTTTGTATCTAACTTCTCGGATGGAGAAGTGATATTAAGCAAGGGAAATTAAGAATAATGACCGATTCACTGCTGCTTCTTTACTATAAATTTCTTGAGCCCCTGTTGTAGAATCAAAGCAAATACATCTATTTTATTCTTCTCCAGTGTTATTCCAATCTCCACTCCATTTTTGCCCGTCTTTGGACTCTGAGAAAGCAATATAGCCTTCTGTTTCTATGTGCCCCCGCTCCATTTTCCAAGGCTGTCCTAACCCCTAAGTCCATATCGTGAAGTCCCCGTTTTGGTGCCCCAGCGATGGAGGTTGGAAAACGAGACATGACCCACTTACGCACTCCTTGTCCCCAACTTGGTGCTGTTTTCAGTAGGTCGCTTGATAACATATCTTTGATTTTCGCTGCGATTGCTTCTGATGCAGCCAAGACGCCTTTTTGTCCAAGCAATTCTCGCTTATTGACAGATACGATACCCGGAGCCATACAGTTTCCAAAGTATGTTGTTGGTATGGGAACTTCTTTGTACTTGAGACGATTCCTGCAATCCACATTAATCATCAAGTGAAAGACTTCTTCGTCTTTGTCTTCCCCATTAGCCTCTGTTTCGCTGTCTTGAACAAGTGTCTTGATCATGCTCACCCAAGTGAAAGCTAGAGTCACCACGAAGGTCGAAACGGCAGACTGTATCGTAGACTGTTCTGTAACCTAATGTTTGAGATTTTCTATCTGACTCCGACTCATTGTAAAAGTCGCTCTGACCATGTTCGCCGTGCTTTCCAGAGTTTTGGCTCTAAAACCTCTCCAAATGTCCTGCGGCTACCTCGCCTGGATCCTTGATCATGCTTCTGCAGCTGTGAATAGGTGGAGAGGGTAGAAGAAGCGTGTCACGATCACTGCCGTTGAATTTGGTCAGTGACATCCAATACTTCATGAAATGAGTGGTGGTCTCTCCGTCTCCGGGAAAACATGTGTAGATGTGTTGCCTATACGGACTCCTCTTCCAGTGAAGATGGTGATTTGGATCACCATTACTGGCCGCGTCTGAATTCCTTCCGGGGAGACATGAGGTGGAGGTAACTTGGGCAACAAGTCATGTAAATATCTTTCGGGGAAGCGGTTTTCAGATGGTCGAAATCAGTTCCGATTGACTCTGCGACTTTGAAAAGAAGAGAATCTTCGCCGTGGTTGTAGCGTAAGTAGGGAGGGTCGGGACGTGGAGGGGTGATTAGGTTACCGGCGTAATGGAAGAAATGTTGAGAGTGATTGTTTGAGTGAGGTTAGGGAGAGAGTCTTTGAGGAAACGTTCGGTTGAGTTTTGGTAAGAGAAGAAAAAGAGAGATTCTCCGAGTGGGAGAGAGAGCGACGGTGCATCCAAAAAGGTGAGAGGAAGAGTGGTGGATGGAACGGTGCCGCTTAAGGGGGAGATTTGACTTGTCTCGATGATATTAGGAGGTTGAAGATGAGCCATTGTGTGCTTTTAAGTTTTGAGGACACGAGTTTGGTTTTTTTATAAAGGAAAGAGTTTTTGTCTTTTGACTTTTGATTATTATTATTATTGACTTTTGAACCCACCGGGCAAGTAGAGTTGCGTTTTGTTGTGTGATATGATCAGACGCTCTCTGACTTTCATGTGCCCCAACCTCCACAGCCACCATTTACGACGTTCGTTCTAAAACATTTACTGGGCCTTTATCTGCATAACCAATGGGCCGTTTCCTTATTTTTTAGTTTTGTGAAATCAAATTGTATCTGGTTATTTGTCTCTTTACATATATGTTACCCCAGTCTACTTAGATACACAACAGAATTTCCACCTAAATTGCATGCAATTATTTTCAGTTAAATTGTATTCTATCTGTATAGGGGGAAAATGTATACTCTATATTACTCTTTATCTTAAAGATACACAAATAAGATTGCAGTTGAAATTTAGTACCACAACAAATAGCCGCAAATAAACAAATGAAGGTAAACGATGGGCTGGTCTGTTCAAAGAATTGTATATTAGGCTTAGATACTTTAGGCCCAGTATATATATAACTCCTAACTACTATGGTCTCTTCTTCCTTGCTCTGCCTCTGAAATCACTCGATAACGCTTTAGTATAGGCTACACTCTCTTTCTCAATTTGATCGATCCATCGTTTTTAATAAGACTTGATAAATAAAAAGTTTAGTTTTATTATAAATGTCTTAAATGTTACAAAAGAAAAGACTTATACCGAGTTCATGTCTCGAGTTTGGAAGCCCTACACTACACCGGAAATTTAAACTCACTATTTTCATCAAAGGGGTTACATCAAAAAATCCAGGAATATTCATCACCATCATATCATCTTTGAGCCATGAATTGACTACCACTCGATCCAGAGTCTTGAGCTTGAGCTTCAGGGATCCGTTGCAGCAGTTGCAATCGGTCTTCTTCCCGTTGTTGTTGCTGAGTGACGTCGTTTTCTTCATACATAATTCGCATCATTAGATCATGGGAAATCGTATCATCATCATCTGCGCCATCAAAGCCAAAATCATCCCACAGACACTGTTCTTGGTTGTCGTTGCTCTGAAAAGGAGGAAGGAGAGGATTAGGCATATCTTGCTCTTGCTCTTGACGCTGTTGATTGACGTCGCTAGGTTCTCCCTCTTCCAACATCATCATCTCAATATGATTAGCAAAATCAGCATCATCTTCTTGCTCTTGGTTCGGTAAGAGGATGTTGTTGTTGTTCTCCACCTCCCGAGGGACAAATTTGAACCTCGAATCCATCTTCTCCAAGTCTCCGATCCAACACAAGACCAAATCTTGGAACTCAGCATCAGCATCAGCCTCGTGAAGGGAATACTCCGACATGTGCCAATCAGTCTTCACTGGTTTTCCCTCCACTGTCTTGTTGTACACGAAATCTCGCTTGTAACCGACCAACGTACCGTTTCCGTCGACGATGTTTTTTTTCGTGGTGGCCTTCCATGTGCCGCCTTCGCTTTCTCCGTTTCTCGGTACGCTCCGGTTTGCTGTCTTGCCACCTCTTTTTGTCCTCGGAACAAAGTAATACCATTCGTCTCTCTTGAACAGAGGATTTAGATCGTGATCAAGACGCCACGGCTCGTCTTCGTAGACTTTCATGGTTTTTATGAAACCTTTCTTGTTGTTCTCCACCTTGTCGTCAAGACAACCTTTCTTGTTCTTCTCCACCTTTTCGTGAAGACAACCAGTCACCAACCACAAATCCGTTGGAAGAAATCGTGAACCAGCCGGACGAGCCATGGTGATGTTGACGACAAGAAGAAGGTTCGAATATAAAGTCTTATTTGACTTTGGACTTTTGCTCTGTTTTTATTTTCTTTTGTTGGGAGTTTTCAAAGCTGAGGGAGAAGGGATTATATTATATATACGGATACTGTAAGAAAGGGATGTCAAATCTACGCGTATAAGTATATTGTTTTTGTTATTCTCCTAATAGTGTATGGATACTGTAAGAATATGAATGTATATACGGATACTGTAAGAAAAGTATTGTTTTTGTTATCCTCCTAATAGTGTATGGATACTGTAAGAATAGGAATGTACATACGGATATTGTAAGAAAAGTATTGTTTTTGTTATTCTCCTAATAGTGTATGGATACTGTAAGAATAGGAATGTATATACAGATACTGTAAGAAAAATATGTGAAATATACACGTATATCGGAGTTATCTGTTTTTTTTTTTTCGTTCCGCCATTCAAATCCGGTTTGTCGATTGCAAATAATTTTAGTAGATATTATATATATACAAGCCGGTTTCCGCAATTTCGTCATTTCCACCAGATCGGAAATATCCTACTGTATTCCTTATAATCATTTTATTTTACTTTTATTATCTCCCAAAAATTACTCTACAACTTTCCTTATGATCATCAGATAGGATAGTTTATTTTTACATTTAATTATTAAAGCTTTGGTAGAACCAAACATGTTTTTGGTCTTATGCTTTGGCATTTCCTCTCAAAACCTGTTTGTATATTTCTGGTTTTTAGTTTTGTAAGGAAGCCAATGTGTTGTGTTTTAAGGCAGGTTGTAATATCCTAAACATTGATCTTATTATATATTTATTATCCAAATGGACAGACAAAAAAAAGAACCAAAACATTTTTTCTTTCTGGCGCTCAATAGTTGTTTGCTGAAAAGCAAAGGAGGCATAGACCAAAGACGTATTGGACATTGAAAGAGAAGAGACTCGGATGACAAGAAAAAAAGAAAAACAAAGTCACTAAATTTATTTCTTGTGTATGTATATATCCACAACCCTTCCTGTGATCAGCATTTGAAAATAAAAAGAATCAAACTGTAGAAGAGATACATTAAATGTACTGAAATTTTGGTCTGAATCCGTCTTCTTCAAGCTCATGGCACTTCTTCTTTCTATCTAAGTGCCGCCAACCGCTTCTCCAGTTCATCGATTTCAGAGCTGCACAGGAATATTGAGACATTGTAAATACATATACATATATATGTTCGTAGTTGTGTTTAGTGGATAGATACCATACCTGCTTGTATCTTGTGCAGTCTTGCCGCCAATTTTACCTTTAGGAGCAGATGATAACTGCAGATGGATCAAAGCAGAGACAGAGAATCAATCACATGGACTCCATGAAGAGACGACGGATAACAACGAAGAGAATCGATGCTTAATACAAACCTGTGAGGCGATATCAATGCCGATTTCATCGAGGACCTAACCAATAACAACAAAAAGCTTTGCTTAGTTTAAACCTTTGTGACAGTCTCTGCTATTTCTAGAACCGAACCAATGAGTAGAAGGCGGGAATGTACCTGGTTTGTCAAATCCTCAGTTTCGTCTTCGGCTTCGTCATTGTCCAAAGCATCATCTATGGCATCTGACATCATCTCAGTCTGAATAGCATATATGCACTAGTCAGAATATCTACTTTTGAGCCTGTCATGGATTTTAAAGAAAAACATGGATCCATAACAACTTACAGTCATGTCCATTTGCGCAGACTGCTTTTGGAACTCTCTCATGACCTTGGCCTGTTTTGCTGGATCCATATTCTGCAAAAAGAATCAGAAAACATCTTAGTCAAATTATACTAGAAGAACAAAACACACGGAAATCTGATTTGTGTTATCTGACCTTGCTCATAGCTGCCATTGCCTTAGTGGCACCTTGCATCCCTGCAGCAACTGAAGTATGTGCATGCATAGCCTAAAACACACCAAAGTGAAAAGGTTCCAACACTCAATTTAGAACAAAAGACTATTATGATCTTCTTGAATTATAAACAGAGGAGACAACTTTGAATCAGCATGCCTGTGTATGAGTAGCAATGCCTCTCATCTGAGCTCGGCTTCCTTGTAAGTTAGCGATTTGCTGCCTTAGCCTGATCAATTGCCGCGCAAGAATCTTTGTCGCTCCCTGCATACATACAAACACATCAACTATGTGCTATTTACAGACACAAAAGGAATCACGGATCGATATAAGAGACTGCTTGAAATACCTCATTCCCTGTTTTAGCAGTTCTTTTTATCTCGAGAACTAGCTTTTTCTCCTATCATACATGAAAGCAAAATATGTCATTTTATTGTACACTGCAAACAAACAAAAGAATCGATAAAAACATTCTACATTAGCCAACAAGTCTCATACTTCTGATTGCAGAGATCCGATTTCCTTCTCGATTCCTGAAAAGGGGAAAATTATTATGTATGTGAGCAAATATCGAGATTGTGCTGCTGATGAGGCTTAGTAGCTTTCAAATGAAAGCCATCAAAATCAATAAAGTAACCTCTTTTCTGGATTCAGGTAATCAAATCTTAAGCTAATCATATGAAGGGAACAAATTACCTCTTGTAGCTTGTGTCATCTCTCTCTTACTCTCCCTAAGAACTTCTGCAATTTACCAAAAAAACGACACATTCAGATTTCTGAGAGGCGCACATAACGTCGAATTTCGACAACATTAGAATTATGATCACGATCGCCACACAAAATTACACGAGTCAACCCGGAGAAACCCAGATGATTAAATTCCGATAGAGTCGATCAATCGCAGAAAGAAACCTAATTTACGAACATAATCCGGTGATATAAAAGAAACAGCTCCAAAATCAAACCTCTCGGATTTGGTTTCTTGGTGAAGATGTTCATGTTTTCTATCCTTTGCTGAAAAGACAGAAATTTCTGCTTCAAGATGCTTTCAGAGCTTCAGAACACGGAGACTCTGTGGAGAGAGATTTGGCTTTCAACGTGTGTGTTAAAAGGATCGCAACAAATTTTGGAGGTTTATTATTTTTCTTATCGATTACGATATTCTTCTAATTCCGAGTTGTATTATGATTTTCGGCTTACTGTAATAAGTCGGAATCTCTTGTTAATTTTTTTTAAAAAATAAACCAATTACAAAAACTGTTAGGAAGATTATAAAAAAGGAGAATTTTGATATATATCGTAAAATTATATCTTAAAATTTGTAAGAAATTTGAAACATATACTGATTTTTTTGCTATTTGAAAAATACATCATAATTTTACCAAAAAAAAAGAAAAAATACATCATAAAATACTTTTACTTATTATTTACTCATAACTATTTAAATAAATCTATTAAAATTATAAAACTGAAAATCGTATCTAATGTAAATTATTTAACTTTATATCATAATTTTATCGTTTATTAAAAAATTTGGTGTTTTCTTACAAAGTAGATTTATTATTAAACAAATAATTTACTTTTTGTTGGTTTGTTTTTTTTTATAAAGTTGACTTGTTATAATTGTTGACTTGTAAATTTTGATTTTGTTAACATATTTTTTTAAAATATCTGATATAGATTTTAAATTACTAATAAAAAGCTGGATATTTGCATACAAAAAAAAAAATCTAAAATCTGGATTTATTCAAGTGGGAGAAACATTTTGTTTTTACACGTTACATTAAAAAGAAAAACATTCATATACAAGGTGTAGCTCACGCGTCTATTTGCGCGTGGCTTTGCTTTTAACTTGTATTATCAGTAAGCGCGTGTTACATAAATTACACGAGAGATAACCCTAGACAGATCCCTCGATCACTGGTTCGGACGAAATCCACCATCTCCGATTGTCAAATTTTCTCACTCAAATCGAGAAATTCGTTTTAATTTTATCAGTTCCACGGAATGGCGTCCTTTAAGATGATGTCGTCTTCCAATTCCAGAAATTCCGATCTATCTCGTCGTAATTCGTCTTCTGCTTCATCTTCTCCCTCTATTCGACCGAACCATCTCAGACGAGATCCTCACGCCGATCACTCGAGAATAAGCTTCGGTTACGGCGGAGGGAACGATGTGACGATACAGGATTACGCTTTCGCGTCTGATTCAAAGCCGTTTGAGATGGCGATTGATGTTGATCGGAGTAACGGAGACCGGAGCAGCGTCAACGGCGGAAGAAAGAGCGTGGACGATGTTTGGAAAGAGATTATATCGGGAGAGAAAATGAGCATCATGAAGGAGGAAGCACAGGAGGAAGATATTATGACGCTTGAGGACTTCTTAGCGAAAGCATCAGCAATGGATGACGATGATGATGATTCAGACGAAATCGATGTGAAGATTCCGCCGGAGAGACTCAACGACGGTGGGGGATATAACAACTTGGATTATCCGATGATGCCGCAGCAGCAGCAGCAACACTATCCGTTTCAGATGATCGAAGGATCAATAAGTGGTGGAGGGACGAGGGGAAAGAGAGGGAGAGTGACGATGGAGGCAATGGATAAAGCTGCAGCTCAGAGACAGAAGAGGATGATCAAGAACCGTGAATCTGCTGCCAGGTCGAGAGAGAGAAAGCAGGCTTATCAAGTGGAGTTGGAGACTCTGGCTGCGAAACTAGAGCAAGAGAATGAACAGCTTTTGAAGGAAATCGAAGACAAGACTAAAGAGAGATACAAGAAGCTTATGGAGCAATTGATTCCGGTCGATGAGAAACAAAGGCCATCATCATCATCGTCGAGGTCTTTAAGCAGGAGTCATTCCTTGGAATGGTAGAAGAGTTAGTCTCTCTCTCTGGTAAGTGCAGTTTCTAGTGGTAAAATGTTTGTATGTAAATAAAACCTCTGGGCTTGATCAACTATATATTATAGTCTATATTGTAAAAAGTGATGGTGATATGGTTACTACTCTTTTTGTTGACATCACTTTTGCTGATTCAAAGATCTGGCATGAGGCCATAAGGAGTAGATATTGTATGGATCAAAAGGGATAAATCTAGAGGTTCCCTAACATTTTGTTGAGTTGTTTAGAAAAATGAGAGTGATTAGTGGTTAATTAGGCAGGTGCAGAGAGGTCCTCGTCTTCTTTATTCTCCTGGCATCGTTTTAGCATCTGAAGTTGGCGCCGTAGGTGCAAAACCTGTACCGACCAAAAGTAAACGAATTAAGCGATTTTACCAATTTCACGAATTAAGGGATATTACTAATTACACTCAAAATCTGTAAACGACCAAAGTAAGAGTTCAGCCTGACAAGTACGCAGCTTCATGAGTTAATCCACAAACTCTTAACTTAATTTCATGCCTAAGAAGCAGAAGATCTTAAAAGACTTGCAACTCCATAAAACCACGAATTTAAAGCGGACCCTTGGCTATTTGGTTTCGTCAAATACTGTACCTCTTGTTGAAGCAAAGTTGGGAGGCTGACCGTGGAAATGAGCTGGTTCATTTCTTGCAAAAGTGATTGGTCTTTGATGCCTGACCAAGTCTGTGGAGGCAGAGCCAACAGAAGAGCTGTGAACACATCGTTCCCGGATGGGCAAGCTCCGACCTTCATTTTCTCCTCCCCAAGACCTTGATGAAAAACAATTGGAAAAAGAAAAAAAGTGTTATCGCTTGATACGAACTTAGTCCAGTGATAAGTTTAGCAGACGAGAACATACATACCCTTGATGCATTTCACACAAGTTTCCCGACAACAGGTTTCATCTGTTTCATCTGGTTCTACTTCCAACAAGATTTCAGCTCCTTGAGAACAAGCCTGGGCAGCAACATTTGGCAGATTGTCTTCGTAACCCACAGAAGATAGAAACTTATCAACGTGCTTGAACAGTTCAGTATCCTGCACTTGTTTCAGCAACTCTTGCTACAGTAAAACGAACCATCGGTGATGAATCAGTTAATGGAATATGAACACGGAAAACTGAATTCGGATGAAATCAACAAGAGAATAAATACCTTTAAGTTGAGCCTTGATTTCTCTTCAGGGCTGAGATTTTGACTTACATCCTCTGTTCTTCGAATCTCAGCCATCCATCGGATAAATTGGTTGAAATTTGACGGAAGTGACTTGAATACAGCATATAAAATTCTTTCAATGGTATCAACATCTTGTGAGCTTACAAGACGAGGAACATCTTCCTTTAAATACTTTGCTATGCTGTTCCAGCTCTCGTCTTTACAACTCTGAAATAGATAATCTCGAAATCATCACTCCCTCCAACTTGAAAGAAACAGTTCTCTTAAAACTTTACATTCACATCAAAACAGTATGTAAAATGTAACTGATTCTATTCGCGTGGATGGTAACGTAAAGATTGTTATTAGGAAAATAACACTAACTAGTGAAGTGATATAAAACAAACTAGCTGCAACGACAGATAGAACCATGACTTCGTACTTACCAGAGTATAGAGTAATCCTGGTTCTCGGTGGGGTCTAGATATTAGCATGAAGCTGGAAGTAAAGCAGAACACCAGAAAAGCTAATTTGGTAAGAAAGAAAAACGTTTATATTATACAATAAAAGCCTAAGAAAAAAAAAAGAAGAAGAAGAAGATTATGTACCCTCTATGTCTCCCTGTTGACGGATCAATACTGTTCATGGCATCCCAAAGAAGTTTAAGAGGAACCCAATGAGGAGGATACTTGAAACGAGCGACATCAAGAATCAAAGCCATATCTCTTTCAGCATTATAGCCACCAATAGGTGAAAAATGGCCTGTTCCAGTCTGCAATCAGAGACATTAGAATCCCGATCAACATGAAACTTTCCAGCAAGACACTAAAGAGTTTCAACAATCTCAAACTTCGTAAAAACATAAAGATACACAGGACCACCTAAAGGATTGCTGGAATTCATCTTCCATGCAATATGAATGTTAATTTATATATAGTTAGGCCAAAAACCGATACCTGCTTGAATACTTCTCTATGATATGTTGAGATCATATGACAATTATCAGAAGTGGAACACTTGACCACGTATTTGCGAAAATTATCAATGCTGATCTGGTTTGTGCGGAAGGCTTCAACTTTTGCCCCTGAACTATGAGCCAAACAGACAACTTTTCCAAATGAAATGCCCTTGTCCTTCACAACTTCAAGCGGCTCGCAACACTCCAGCATTGATTCATCAAACCACCTCCAAGGCCCTATGCGAAATCAAAATATTCAGCATCACACCACCAATTTTGCTTCACAACAAAAAAAAATGAATTGGAGGTATACCTTTCCATAATCTCCCCGGGTCAATAGAAAGAGAATTCAGAACCATTGAAAGACTAGCTAAGCCACAATACGCAGGCTCAGACTGCGTCTGAAAATAAGAAATCAGCCTGAAAAATCCTTCCATTGTGCCTTTCTGAAGCGCTTCATTGAAGATTAGCTGCATAAACGATGAAAAATTACAACTCTTCAGGAACAACAAACAAACAAAAACTTTAGGCAGTGCAGTGACAGAGAGAGGCTCCTTTTGTCCAATTGTTTTCAGAGTGACTCTCGATTGGCTCAATGAACTGTGCAGAAAATTGGCAAAACAATCTTTTGACGATTGCTAATTCGTGAACCAATCAATCAATAGGCATGCTCAGATCTCACCAACAACGGAAATTGCGAAAGCAGGAAGAGTTATAGGATTTTACGAGTTCTACACAGTTCCCCAGAAGACCCAAATGTCTAGACGGAAAACTAACCAAATCAATCCACGGAAAGCCAAAAGCTAAGATCGTCTTAACCAGAAGCAAAAGGCAGTAAAGGCAAACTAAAACCCAGAACCCTAACTTTCACGATCGAAAACTTGAGAGTACGCACCTTGCCTTCAACAGAAGCAAAATCTATCGCCGGCGGAGAGGGAAGAAATCGCCGATACAAGCTCGCCATAGACATTATCACGGATTGTGTAATGGAGAGCAAACTTGCGCCGAAAGATTCGGGGATGTGCTCCAACACAAAGAAGAAGAAAAAAAAAAAAGGAAAGTAGAAGAAGAAGAGCCTCTCTATCAAGTACCGAAAATATGGCGAGAGATTGGGAATGTAGTGGGAATGCTTTCCAATATGTATTATATATTAAAGAGTCGCATTCGCAGAGAAGTCCAATTTAATTCAAATGCAGATTGTATGGATTCTCTCGTCTTCTCTTGCAAGGTGAGTGAGAGGGAAGACTGGTACAGTCAAAATGTGTGGTATCGCGGAGGAAACGCCACTAGCGTCCTCCGGTTATTTAGCCGGTCCGGATCGGTTTATTAAAAAGAAGAAGACCAGTTTTAATGTTAAACAAAGACCTATTTTTTTTAATGCAACTGGAACATTTTTTTTGTTTTGTTTTATGTTTGATACACGCACACTGCATGGAGGCAGGTTAAAACAAAATAAATAATGATAACTATTCTCTAATCCATCGTCACTCATCAGTGTTTTAAGATTCTAACCAATAATTACACGAGTATTTAAATGTTAAAACTCTGAAATTTTTTTTTTAAAAAAATGTGGGCAACATGCTTTGCATCCGTTGTGATTCCAATTTGCATCTCTGGCTCTTTCTCGTTTTCTGCATTATTCAATTCACAGAGTGTAATTTTCAAATAGGGAACAAGATAAGTAAATTTTTGTAGGATGAAGTAAAATCAGAATCAAAAAGAATTTTTGTAAGTTTCCATCTCGACTCGATTAGGAGCGATTGTTGATGGTTTCTTCGTGGCATTCTGATTTAAGATTCGAACACATAAATCTTTCTTTCCAGAGTATAGAGATTGTTTCTGTTTCGAGACCAACCACTCGTATTAATTATTTTTAGGAATTAGAACCGGATATACAAAATAAACAGTGTACATATAGAAGGCGACTGAGATTTGGTTTCCGCTCCCAATTCCTTAAGCCTCACAAAATTACAAATTGAAGACCGGCTCACAAGAGCAAACACATTGACCGATATGTATATATTTTTATATTATCTTATAATCTGCTTTGATGGAAACATTGTTGTTTAATATCCAAAAGGAAATATTAAAGTAAAGATTTCTGTTCTAAACACAGTAGAACGAAAAGAAAAAACAATTCTTGGCAACTGAAACTGTATAAATAATAAATAATACTCAGAGAAAACAAATATTTATTTATAGACTAGAGCTACATATAACATATGTTAGTGGAATAGTATCATACAACTTTTGGGTGATCTCAAGAAACACCTGTAACATATGTACAAGGTAGCTTTTGTCACGTGGACCCCTGTCGTATCACACACCTGAAGAAACACATTCGTATTCATTCGTATACCCACACAAATAAATAATACAAATATACATACCAAATACACATTTATATTGCGTATTGTGGTTTTATCACTATTACAAAAATCATCTAAAAACTCAAAAAAGAAACAAACTCCTTACCTTCTTCTTTTTGGGATCCAAAACACATAAGGAACCGCCTTAGATTTTCCGACAACGTTTTTGCGCAGTCAAAAAAAGAAAAATGAACAAAACAGTAAAGCCCCCCGCATGCCTATATATATGTGTGTGAAAAGGAGGAAAAGGAGAGTGAGAGAGCACCTTGAATCTGAAAGCAGCCAGCGAGTAGAGAGAGAGATGACAGGAGGAGGAAGAAGAGTAGAGAAGAGAGGGAGCCCTTTGTTGAGATGGAGTGTGAAACAAGAAAGGTACACCCATGGCTTCTCACAATCTGATCTCCAAGCTCTCTCTGCCATTTGTGAGGCTATTATGCCTCCTGTGCCGTTACAGAGCTTAGATCTTGAGATGAAGTTGAAGGTTTTACGCAACGATGCCCTCTTATCTTTCTTCAAGTCTTCTTCTGGGTCCCATGTTCAACCTGATGAGGTTACCTTTCTTCTTTACAATTTCTATATCTAGAATTTTGAAGATGAAACCATCTAATTTCTTCAAGTAACAAAGGGCTCTAGAGGAATGTATAAGCATCAGGATTCGGGACCCTGCCGAAGTAAAAATAATGGACAGTGAATATATATCTAGGGTGGTGTGAATCGACATCTTAATTACTCTACTTTTCTTCTATGTGCACGTTAAGTTATTAATGCAAATACGACGATAATCGATTAAACAGGTAGCAGAGGTAATGGCGACAAAGGCAATGACAGTGACAGTTACAGTGGTGAGAATAGTGTTGAGACTACTCACATTCAAATTGGGGACGTTGCTGCTTTGCGGGTTTGTCTGTCTCGACAAGAAGAGTTGGCCCTTTCTTCTCAAATTCTCTGACATCTCGCTTGACAAGAGGGAAAAGGTTCTCCAGAAATGGAACACGCAGTGGTATAACCCTCTTGCAAGAATTGCTTTTATGATGATCAAATCCATCTTCTTGTTCTACTACTTCACCTGGGTAAGTCTTCCATCTCCCTGCATTCAAGCTGTCTGGTTATGTTACACGTTATGGAGCCTTTTTGTGAAAATAGGTTAGTATGAACATAAACATCAATCAACAGGAAGAAACACTTTAAATTACACTTTATTGGATTGTTGATGTGTTCTTCTATTCCACAATTGCCTACGTCGTGTTCTTTGCCAGCACTGTCCTTAACAACATGGTTGTACTTCTAATATCAAATTATGGTTCCACGCTAGTTTTAAAGCACCTGCACAAAACTTTGCTATATATCTTATCTTACCTAAGTATATATATAGGTATTTAACTAATTCATATGCATGAACAGACAAATGAAAACACAGAAAACCCAGCATGGGATGCAATTAGTTATAGCGTGGACCTGGGTGAAAACGAGGACATGAAACACGGAGAAAGGCCTCTAGATAAAGGGATCATCGAGACGGCAATAGAAGATGAGATGACCATCAAGCAAAGTCTGATCAACAAAGGTCTTAAAGTCACAAAGGACAGCGAAAACGACACTTACAAGATCGAGTGTGATGCAGTGGTAGTGGGTTCTGGCTGTGGTGGAGGAGTTGCAGCTGCAAACCTAGCAAAGTCAGGCCTTAGGGTGGTAGTTCTCGAGAAAGGGAACTACTTTGTGCCCCGAGACTACTCAACTCTCGAGGGTCCTTCCATGTTTGAGCTGTTCGAGGCGCACAGCTTATTGATGACTCATGATGGGAGGTTCCGGTTCATGGCAGGGTCAACTGTCGGTGGTGGCTCTGTCGTAAACTGGGCAGCGTCCTTGAATACACCTGACGCGATCATCAACGAATGGTCAGAGGATCGAGGGATTGCAATATTTGCTGGGGCGGAGTACAAGGCGGCTATGGAAAGCGTCTGCAAGAGAATAGGTGTCACTGAGAAGGTCACAAAAGAAGGGTTTCAGAACCAGATTCTGCGGAAAGGGTGCGAGAAGCTTGGTTTGGATGTGACAGTAGTGCCAAGGAATTCATCGGAGAAACATTATTGCGGTAGTTGCTCATTTGGATGCAAAACCGGAGATAAAAGAGGAACGGATTCAACCTGGCTGGTTGATGCAGTTAATAACAATGCGGTGATACTAACGCAGTGCAGGGCTGAGAAACTGATCTTGGCTGATACCGATGCTCAGAAGAGAAATGAGAGCGGACGAAGGAAAATATGTTTGGGAGTCACAGCTTCTCTATCAAACCGAACCAGACAGAAGCTTCAGATCAATGCCAAAGTGACAGTTGTAGCTTGCGGCTCGCTTATGACACCGGGACTGTTGACTTCGAGCGGGTTGAGGAATCCAAACATTGGTCGAGGTCTCCATCTCCACCCTATCCTGATGGTTTGGGGCTACTTCCCAGAAAAGAACTCAGACATGGAAGGAGCGGCTCATGAGGGAGAGATCGTGACTTCATTACACTACGTGCTTGGAATGGACTCTACAACACCAAACATCACGCTGGAGACTCCTGCAATAGGACCAGGTACGTTCGCAGCTCTCACCCCGTGGGTGTCTGGGTCAGACATGAAGGAGAGATTGGCCAAATACGCAAGAACGTCTCATATATTTGCTATGGTTAGAGATGAGGGTGTTGGAGATATGAAGGGAGGGATTGTCAAATACAGAATGACAAAAGCGGACGAAGAGAACCTGGCAATTGGGTTAAAGCAAGCACTGAGGATCTTAGTTGCAGCAGGAGCAAAAGAGGTGGGCACATACAGGAGCGACGGGCAGAGAATGAAGTGTGAAGGAATCAAGGAGGAAGACCTAGAGGCCTTTCTAGAGACGGTGAGCGTGCCAGCTGGAGTTGTCTCGATGAACAAGCATTGGACTCACTCCTTTACGGCACATCAGATGGGGTGTTGCCGTATGGGTGCCACTGAGAAGGAAGGAGCCGTTGATGGGTATGGCGAGAGCTGGGAAGCCCAAAACTTGTATGTATGTGATGCAAGTGTCTTGCCTACAGCTCTTGGTGTTAATCCTATGATCACCATTCAGTCCACTGCTTACTGCATATCCAACAGAATAGCCAAGTTAATGGAGAAGAGGAAGATGAAGAAAGACTAAGATATGTTGTTGTTTCAAGAAATGTTATTCTTCTTCTTTTACTATTGCAGACTTGAACTTACACGATACTGATATCGTTTCATGTCCTGAAGAAAGCAATAACAAGCTCTAGGCTTTTTTTTCCCAGCTATCACCTTATTAATTCTTAATATCCTTCCTACACCAACTTAAGACCAAATTCAATTTAACGAAGAAGCAACACTCTGTATTTTGCCACGAAATGCAAATTGAGCAATTATTCAATTCCCAAATGCAAAAGGGAGAAGAAACTGACGGAAATGTGAAAGAGATAAACAACGCCTTCTCATTTCAAGAAATCACAGGTCTCAGAAACAGAACAAGATAACTAGCATGCATACATAATTGTCAGCGATTATTCGATACGAGCGCAAACGCAACACCCCACTCAAAACGCACACGGTATGATCAGGATCATCGGTTTCCCCGATTCGAACGCAATCGTAATGAAGCTGCTACTGAATTCACAAGATGCATAGAGTTTTATTAAGAGATCCACAAACAACACTATATCACACATTATCAAATTTTATATGATGATAATTGGAGATGCACAAGCATTCAAATCTAAGATCCATCGACTAAGCTCAATAATTAGAGAAGAATCATGATTTTTTGTTTGGCGCCATGTATGGATCGGATTGATGAACGACCCACTATACCATCAAGATCCACACAAAAAGGTTTAGATTAGGGCAGTTAAGTTTTTCTAATTTGAAAATATAATCCATTGGCTAATTGATATTCCTGATGTACAAAACGCGAACATCTACCTCACATGAAACCCTAAACTTTCTCGGTCAATTTCGAGGAAGACGATGAAGAGAGAGCGAGAGTCAGCTTTACAGAGAAGATTTTGAAAAAAAAAAATGGAGAGAGAGAGAAGAGAGAGATAGGCAGGTTCCGATTTTAGGGCTGTCTTGCTTGCCGGACGACAGACCAATGATCTGTCTCCACGTGTCCACCCGATTACGCCGATCACAGTTTGAGAAATCGGGCAAGCTGGGCAGGATTGACGATGCCGGGCAAGTGGGCCCCATCTGCCCGTAGAAGATTAGCAACCTCTGCATACCTCTTCCGTTTCGGCTCACTTTCCTCATCCGGCTCAATAGTATGGCTCGGCTTTAGCTTCTTGGGCTCGACCGATTGGGCCGAAAACGGACCGGCTTGGGCTCGAGCCGGATTCCATTGCTCCCCGAAGAGTGTGCCGTTGCTGAGAAATTCGTGGCTCAAGTAACCGGCTAAAATTAGCTGGTTCGAGCCGACCGGCTCGGCTGCGATTGAAGATTTCCTGGTAACGGGATTAATTGGCGGTGGATTAAGATTCAGCGGTGGAGGAAGCTTTGTCACGGCGATTTCCGGCGGTTTTTCGGCGACGGAGGAGATAACGCCGTCTCTTTCTTTGCGCTTGTCCGGCGTTAAAACGCGACGTGGGGGGAGACGCATCGTTTTGGTGTTCATGGTGTTCGTCTATTGGGTACATGCCACGTCAGCACCCAATAAAAATGAAAATATTAACTGCCGTAAAACAGTAAAATCAAAATATTCGACTCAAAAAAATTGAAAAAAGTTAGATTTTTATTTCACTGGGGGAGAGAATAAAATCTGGGGGGGTCTAGAGAGAGAGAGAGAGAAGCGATAACAGAAAGGACTCGGAAACGGGTAGGTTATGACAATATATAGAGGCAGGAGGAATAGATTACCCTTAACGTTCCAGAAAATTACAGAAATACCACTCATTCTGAAATGACTTGATTGCCCTTTCTGCTTTACCGTTTCTTCAATTTTGGGTTACCAATAAAGATAATTGACTGAATTGTCCTTTTTGCTAGTCTCATAAAAGTAGTAGTAGAGTTGCAAGGCATCAGATTTCTTGAACTGAAATTTTGCTACTTTGGCATTTAGCTCATATGAGTAAGTAATAAAAATTCAAAAGCCTATAAAAATTACAGAATTCACTATCCAATGCTTGTAAAATCAAACATAGATAAGTCATAAGTGTTTGCAAATTGCAAGTCGTTCGCTAAGTCAATTCGTTATGTTGTCAAGTAAAAAAAGTCAAATTCATGAAATTTATATTTTGATCAAACCACATTATACATATCTTAACTTAAAAAAAAACAAAATTAAACAAGCTTTGCATTTTCGATGCGTGCACAAGATCGACAATTCAACAAAACAAACATTTTTACTTGTTCTCTGTCAAAATTCTACCGTTCTATTTGCGGCCATATGTATATGAAGAGACGCGCACACACGCTAAATATAAGGGAAAAAGAAAATTGATTAAAGTTAGACTTTTTCCTAGTTTACTTATCATTTATTTATAGCACCTACACTTTATAAAATTAGGTTTCAACGATGGCGAGAAATAAAAAATTCAAGAAATGACCAAATTTTTAAGATAGAACTTAAATAGTCTATTAAAATCCTTTTCATTGGGGGATCACACTTAGATGACAATTAAATCTGTTGTTTTCTATATTTTGTAATTCATATGAATTTCGTTTTACAATTTATCCTGTTATAAAAAAAAATCACATATCATCATGACAAGAACAATAAAACATTAAGGCCCAACCTCAATCAATTGGCAAGTAGGATGTAGTAATCATATACATACAATATTAGATACTATAACGGTTGTGAATTAATTAATCCGAATTAATTAGTAACAAAATAAATTCTTAATTTATCCTCATATTTCTATAATTATAAAAAACCAGAATTGTATGACCGATTATTTTGGTAGACTTGAAGTTATTCCTACTATGGCATTGAGTTTGCCACCTTTTATCCAATTGACTGAAAGAATAATACCAAACTTGGATATAAAAAAATAACACGAAAATAATGCATGTCTATGATTTAGTAAGGCTGTCAAATTCGGGGGAAAAATATTGAAAAAGGACCCAAATTTGAGAGGGACCATAAAATTGACTAAACATTTAATTTCGATATATAATGTATTATCTCTCGTATAAGTGCAAAACTCATGTTCAACCAAACCATCAAACCACTAAGCACTTTAATTCTCCCACCTAATTATGCTTTGTTCTCTCCCTCTCCCAATTTCTTATCAAAAACGTTAAATCCATAAAAAGTAAAATTTCATACCATTACTTTTACACTATATATATATAACTACTTTAACTTGTTGTAGCTAAGTTATAAGTTATACATCTGTTTATACACATAAATAGTTATATATCTATTTATGAACATAAATGAAGATATACAAGAAAAAAAAAAAGTCAATGATATGCAAGAATATATAACAAGGATTTTATCACTTTACATAACTAGTAGTAATTCAGCGGTGTGATATAATAAATCGTGCTTATCATTTGGCTGCCAACTCAAATGCTTACATTCGAAACAATCAAACACTAGAGAATTTAAATGCAACCAAAATTCCTTTTTTTTTTAGTCAAAAAAGATTTGTGAACACAAAAAGCTAGAGAAAATGGAACCAACCAAATACAACAAAATAAAAACATAGTCAGAATTGTTCTGTTTCTCTCCATTGATACGTAGAAGGCTAGAAGCACAAATCGCAATTGTAGTAAACAAATATATTTCTTCTTATTTTTTTTATTTGATATGGATTTACTACTTTAGCCGTAAAAATTCAAAGTAACTGCACTCGCTGTACCCCCAAAATATCATATGCTCGTAAGAGGAAAAAAATCACAAAAGAATACCTTTGCGTGAGAAGGCAAACGTGTAGAAATAGAGAGCAATAAGAATTGACCGTTTTGAAGCTTTTTTCCTCTTACTGGGAGAGAAAACTGTAGAGGAATGAATGGTCCTTTGCTGTAACAAATACAAAAAGAGAAGAAAAAGAGTTGAAAATAAATTGGTTATACTTTGTTTTGCTTTTTTGTTTGTTTGTGTGAAATCCGATGTCTGATGATATAAAGAGACTTGGACTGTGAGAAGTAGGTAAAGGAAATTATTGTGACCTTAACGTAGAAATCTATATGTACTGGAGCAACATATTAGCAGATGTGTTCCTCAATCTACAACTTTGTCCTAAATGAACATCCCCGAAACTGTATCTGCATATGGTTTCGGAATAATTACAGCAACCAAATCAGTAATGATAAAGAAAATTTGGATGGAAGAGGAGAGTGAAACCTGTATTCACAGTATTCTTGCCAAGCACAACAGGCTTTCCCATAATCCCAGTAGCAATCCGCATCTCTAAGTGGCCCGCGCTTGGCTGTGACACCGTATTTTTATTTACACCTCAAAAGCAATAGAAAGTGATAGAAGAGCCAATAATCTTTTTTATTTTTTTTACCTTTTGTGACGAATTTCGACTTTGCACCAGGCTGAATGTCATGCCACATCTGAAGCCATAGCTCCCGCATCAGTACCGGAGATCTAACGATGTTTCTGTGATTTGCTGCACACAAAAAAAATGATTAATCAAGAGCCAAAAACTTATGCAAGATACCTTTGAGCGCATTTTTTTACTCACTTTTATCAAGCTCCCAGACCGCAGTTCTCTTTCCCGGAATGCTCTCAGAGTCTTCATAGAAGGTTATGTACTTAACCCTTGGTGCTTTTGTCATGTTCGCTATAATGTCTGATCCATGCTCATGTTCAACATTCAGTTCCACGTGTACATCACTTCCATCGTGTTCTGGCTGTTTTTTTTTTCCAACGAGAATCTCTATTAGCTTTACATACATATTCTTGCGGGGTACATAGATATAGTATTATTTTTTAGAAAGGACAAACTGAATATGTCGTAGAAATACAGAAGTTTATAGCCGAAGAAAAATTTTACAAGACACAAGATACTTGCAGTATTTAGTACCTGGGGAGCCATTGTTATGTTAACTTTAGGTCCGAGCCAATTCTTGCACCACGAGAGTGAATGATAGGGTACCTATTAGAGAGTCAATGGAGACAACAGTAATATATAAAATACATAATGAGCAGTGTCCCAGAAGCAAATCTTGTGCTGGCCTTCAGTAGTTTTGCAACAAAAATTATTTGAAACACAACTTTTGAGATTACCGTCTCATCCCCAGTTATGGGTCCAGCGTTCCCATCAACCACAGTTCCAGACCTGCAGATATTGCAGCATCAAGATGTGAGCTAGTCTACGATTTCATAATTCAGAACAGAGTTAAATTTGATTTGCAAGTTATATCTGATGTTAGTGACATTTTTCATGCAATAATTCCACAACTCTTCTCACACTTAGAAGCAAGTGATAGGAAAACTATTTGGAATTTTAGTTATTTAACAACTTGATGATGCAAATAAGATAATACGCCACTAGACTGATACATAAAACCTTAAAATCCAGTTTTACTGCTGCCATTGCGGAAATTTACCTTGACACGAGGGAACCTTCAGTTTCGTAAATGATATCCGTAATGATCCAATTATCAGGATAAGGTTTGCCACTTGGGGCAAAGTAATAACCAACCTATGACAGCTTCATATATTTAGTATCTTTATCGTTTCAAAGCATAAGATGGAAGGGAGAAGATAAGCGCACATATATAAAAGATACTGCAAACCAAAACGAGGATAAAATAACAAAACAGACGCATAATGTCATTTGGATAATGCAGGCATACCTCTGTCTTTAGATGAGCACCATATATGCAAAATACATTTTTTATAGGTGGTCTCTCCCAAGGAGTCAGAGGGTTCATAACAGGGTCATCATGATACAACCTGTAAAATATAGTTGGCGTGTTATATATAGTTTGACATGCAGTCCGAAGCAGAGTCTATATATACTACACAAAGGATAATGTTCAATGTGAAAATCAATCAGAAATATATTCTTTTGCACCATTGATAGTCAAACCCGACATTTCTGATTACACCTTTTTCTTATATTAAGAAAGACAGAGCATATGTACAGAAAAAACTATAAGTACGAGGAGCCAGCAAGTGATGATAGATGGGAAATATTGGTACCGTACTTACTTCTTTAACTGGTGCAACATCCTCTTGCTATCTGGGTCATAGTCTTCAATTGCTTTGAAAAGAGTCCCATCTGCTAGTTCACGGGCTGTGAAAGACAATAGGGTGGGGAGACCACATTCCATGCTGGTCATGTTGGCTTGAACTGCTTCTGTAACTGATGGATACGCATCAAGGCCTAAAAAATTTTCGGTGTTGAATAAATCAAACGAGATATGAGAATGAACCAGTTACAGACGCATATACAAGTCATACCATTAGTAGAAGGAATTTCAATGTTGATGATATTCGTGGGCCAGCCAGAATACTTCGATTTATATTCCTCGTCAGTACAGTGGTATACGTGTTTATCTTTCTTTGCAGCACCACCAGAAAAATGCGTCCAGAAGGTGTTATCACCCTTGCAATTCTTTGAAAATGGCATAAGCCACAACGAAGAAGCGAAAGAATTGGATAACAATCGAGCAGTTCCCTGAAGCCTTGCCAATAAAACACATGAGAAGCGCGCATGTCAATATGTCACATAACTCTAATGAAAATCACAACCTAATAGAATTTAAAAGATATCAGTAAAAGTTTCTTCTCAACTAGGACTCTACCATAGTAATCTGCAAGATTAAATCTATGTGCATGTTGCTTCAGCTGTACTAAGACAGACATGTTACACAATATGTTCTTTAATAACTAGCAAATTTAAGATCCACATATACCATATCGTATTACGGGACATGGTGGATATTAACTACTTGATACTAAAAAGAAGTCAGAGGTAACCTCAGAAACAGGAAGGCCAAACGTTACACCAGAGAGAGTAGATTTGATTGCCTCAACCGAACCTAGAAGAGGAGCTCCTAAATCAACAAGAAGTCAGGTATTGAGCTCAATCCAGTCCGTACAAATATAGTTCTCCAGTTTAAAGGAAAGTAAAAGAGCAGCTTAACAAAGAATGACCAGTACCAACAGCGAAATAAGCATGGATATGCTGATCAAGCCACTCCAAGTAATGTTTTGGAGCAATTTCTAGCCTCAACCATTCCAGAAAGTATCTGAAGACATTATTACCCATAGAATGGGCAAAAACTATAGAAGGACCACCACGGAGTTTTAAAGCAGTTTCAAAGGTCAACCTGCGAAAAAGAAGAAGACCAGAGATCTTTGCTTAACTTACATCCAAAAAAAAAAAAAGAAAAGATACATTAGCCTTGTGAGGACTAACTTGAGCTTGTGAAAATAGAGGTCACGCTCTTCCAATTTGGTTGGTGACAATCTCCAATCGTACGGAACAGCGACAATTGCATTAGCCTCTATGCCAAACTCAACACACCACTTAAGCCACTCTTTCCAGACAGTAGAAAGAGGACCTGAAGAATCAAACCCATGGTTCCTTTACTTAACCGTATAATCACAACAAAACGAGCTCAAATTATAAGAAACTCCAAAGAAAGGATAAAGTCAGAACTACCTGTTATGTAACCTGGATCCAATTCCGTGATTGCTGAAAGACCACTGTCAGGGCGTGATTTGCACTCGGGATGATCCGTTTGATTATAAGGATCTAACACCATGCACTTAAACCAGCAGTTGACAGCAGAGAGAAGCTGTAAAGCATCCACAAACTCCATCAGTAATGAACTACTAAATGAATCACAATTCACAGGAAGAATATTTGCCAGATTCCACGAGTGGTAACTCCAATAACAGGAAAATGATGTAACATTTCGAAATAAGACTACGCAGGAGATTTTTTTAACTAAAAACTCGCAGATTCACCCGTTTTCCTTGCCTCTAATTTCTATTGAGAAAGATCAACAAGTTCATGAATCACTACTAGGTATGAGACATGCTTCATTGAAATACTTCGCTAGGAATTTATCAAGAAGGAACTCGATCGAAAAGAATAGGAAGCGAAAAAAACAAACAGCGGAAATGAAGATCACGTACCTTAGTGGTGTCTAGCCAAACGAGGTCGAGAGGATTGAAGTCCAACGGGCTGTATGGACAGTCGAGGATCGACCACGCTCGCAACTGCGTCGACGCAAATCCCGGAATGATTATACCCGACAGCTTCGAGTAGTCGCCGTGAAACTCGGTCTCATCCTCCACCGCCGCACCGTCACCGCAAAGAAAGAAAAGGACGGCGAGGACGATAAGGAAAGCCGTTACCGATTTCAAATCTGCTTCCATCGCTCGTTGTCTCTAACTACTACGTCTCATTTCATCGCCAGAGTTTAGGAGAAAAAGTAAGAGAGGGAAGAGAGAGGAGAGAGCGTATGTTGTTGGGACCATGGAGGTGGAGTTGAATTATTTTTGGAAGCGTCTTCACTTTCCAAATATACCCCTACGTGGTGGTGATATGAAATACCAAAACCTTCGGAATCATGTAGATGCGTTCACGTTCGAGCCCGTTATAGTCGGTATAACAAACTTATGGGCTTTATTGGCCCTTTAATTAGTTTGAGATTTTTGATACTGAAATCCAAAATGTTTCAAATTTTCGTAACAAACAAGCGGGCAATAGTTCACATTTTCTCCCGCTTAATCAAATCAGCATCTCCCCGCCTTTCTTCCCACCATTTAATATCATTCGTACACGTGTCGTGAAACTCTTCAAGTAAATACCAATCGCACGGAGACGAAACAACCAAGTGCATTCTCTCTCCTTCTCCTCGGCTTCAACAGCTCTTGGTCATTTAGATCTGGTTTCGCACACTAATGGCCGGATTTGCCAACATGCTGATGAATCCATGGGTTCTTCATCTCCAGAAGCTCGGGCTCGAACTCAAGTGCCCTCTATGGTTCGTACTTAGATTCCCAGTTTTCCTTTGAACTTATTTTTAAGCATTTTATTGATTTTCATGGTGTGCTTGGATTCGTAACACAATCGATTACGTATTTGCAGCTTGAAATTGCTTAATCGACCGGTGTTGCTTCCTTGTGAACACGTCTTCTGCGAGTGAGATTAACTAATTTCTCTGTTACAGTTTTCCCAGTTCGTTACATATTTTATGTCAGACAGATTCTTATATTTCTGGAAATGATTTGGCAGTTCATGTATACATAAATCGTCGCAAGTTGAATCGGGCTGTCCAGTTTGCAAATCTAAACATCCCAAAAAGGGTAAAGTCAATTTAAATTGTACATATTTGATCATCAAGTCTAGGATTGTCGTATCATCTCATTCTTGGAAGATTGGTGTTAAAATCTGTATGTATTTTACTCATGTGCAGCTCGGAGAAATCTTCATTTCATGGAGAATGTTATAAGCATATACAAAAGCTTGAATGCAGCCGTCAGTGTTCATCTCCCACAATTACTGAACAATTCCAACAGCCCAAAAGATGGTGGATCTGAAGATTCTGAGATGATTGACAAGGTTGTGATCAAGCGACGTGGTGGTGGCAGTGATTCCTCTGGTCTTGATGGTTCTCCACTTCCAACCTCACAAGAAAGCAATCCAAGACCAAAGCATCAGGACTGGACTAAGCAGCAGAAACTCGATCATCTCCCATCATATGAGTTCGAATCCGAGAATGACGCTGGCAATCATGTAAGTTCATATAATTGATCGTTTTGATTCATCAGACGATTTCTGATACACTGACCGTTATAAACAAAACATTATCTTTGCAACATTTATAGATCTTTTTTTTTCCTGCTGCAGACACCTGAGAGTCATACAGGACAAGCTGCAAAAAGTCTTGACAAGACTGCGAGGAGGCGAATTTGTGGTGACTCCCTTACTCATGATGATTCCTCGCCTCCAAACTCACAAGAAGGCAATCCAAATTTTAAGACTCAGGATTCGACTGTGCAACTGGAGAGCCTCCGGTCATATGATTTTCAGCCTGAATCTGACAGTGATCCCTCTGATCATGTAAAAGCACAGAAACATCAGGTGCATTTTCGTTGATTCAGCAGTCAGTTCCTGAACTATGATGCATTCTTAGTCACACGTTGACATGATAAATAGTGGTGTACTTCAGTGTTCGAGTTATCTGAGTTTTTTTTTTCTGTCCTTGAGAGCTCATAACTTAAGATGTGTATCAATCTTTTTTCTTTCTCAGCAGTTATCCGAAAGTCATGCAGAACAAGCTGCAAAAAGGAAGTGTGACATTACTGCTTCTGAAAGAATGGAAAATCATCAGCAAGTACCCAAGAGACAGAAGAAACTGATGCAAAACGCTGATGATATGGACTTCAAAGACAACTACACTGCAAACTCTGATGATCAGCTAAGTGGAAAAGCCTCAATTTCAGATCAACCATCATCCGACATAACCATATGTGGATTCTGCCAATCTTCTAGGGTATCTGAGGTAAAACTCCCTCATGTACTCTGATCTAAAAACAGAGCATACTTTGCTGTGAAAGTTTTATAGAATTGGCTTGATCAATGTTTTGTTAGGACACTGGAGAAATGCTGCATTACTCCAGAGGAAGGCCGGTGGTTGGAGATGACATCTTCCGCTCCAATGTTATCCATGTCCATAGCGCATGTATCGAATGGTATACAAAACGAAACCCAAAAGTTCTATAACTGATCATTTTTGTTTCTGCAAGTCCCCCTGTATAGAGTTTGGCTAGATTGTTAAACCCCTTTTGAATGATGAAAATATTAAAAGCAGCCGAATGAATGTTCAGGGCACCGCAAGTTTACTATGAAGCTGACACAGTGAAGAACCTGAAAGCAGAACTGGCAAGGGGAATGAAGATCAAGTGCACCAAATGTGGTCTGAAAGGGGCTGCCTTAGGCTGCTATGTCAAGTCTTGCCGCAGGAGCTACCATGTTCCATGTGCACGGGAGATTTCCAGATGCCGTTGGGATTGTGTATGTTTTATTCCACCACATTCTCATCTGCATATACTAATTACTTAACAAAGTTCCAGTTGTAATGTGAGATTGTGTTTGCTTGGTCCTTACAGGAAGACTTTCTTCTGCTTTGTCCGGCTCATTCTGCTGTCAAATTCCCAAACGAGAAGTCTGGACATCGCGTATCTAGAGCTGATCCCTTGCCAAAAACGTATGAAATCTTTCAGCATATAATGTTAAGACTAACAGTATCACTTTATTTTTTCATTTGGTACTAAAATCCCATTAACTTTTTCCCCCTCAGAAATCCTGCAGAGCTTTGTTCTCTGGATGAGAAACCGGCTATTACAAAAGACATTGTTCTCTGTGGATCAGCACTCTCTCAGAGTGATAAGGTCAGTACTCAGTATCTCTTCTTACCACAAGACACAATCAAGAAACCTCCTTGTTTGTCGATTTACCACTTTTGGTTCAGTCTTGGACAAAAAGACTGATTTTCTTATTGCATTGCCATTCCCCAGCGCCTGATGGAAACTTTAGCCGCTAAACTCAATGCAACCATATCAAGGTACTGGAACCCAAGTGTTACACATGTGATTGCTTCAACAGACGAGAAAGGAGCTTGCACAAGAACTTTAAAGGTTCTTATGGGTATTCTCAACGGAAAATGGATTATCAATGCAGAGTGTAAGTTCGATTGCTCACTCAGGATTTCTCATGCTCTTTACTTTTTACCATTAATGAATCTCTATCTTTACATTGATCAACTATAATTTTTGTTTCCAGGGATGAAAGCAAGCCTTGAATCTTCTCAACCTGTTGATGAAGAACCATTTGAGATTCATATTGACACTCAAGGATGTCATGATGGACCGAAAACCGCAAGACTCAGAGCGGCAACTAATGTAAGTTTTAAAAATACGGTATCCCATAAAAACAATTTAAAAGTGTTTTGTTTGGATATCTCTCACTAACTATTTTCTTTGTCAAGCAGACACCAAAGCTCTTTGATGGCTTGAAATTCTATTTCTTTGGAGAGTTCTATAAAGGATACAAAGAAGACCTTCAAAATCTAGTCAAAGTGGCAGGTGGTACGATATTGAACACAGAGGATGAGCTTGGCGCAGAAAGCAGCAACAATGCCAATGAACAAAGATCATCATCGATTGTGGTTTACAACATTGATCCTCCAATTGGATGTGCCTTAGGTGAAGAAGTCACGCTTATTTGGAACCGAGCAAATGAAGCAGAAGCTTTATCTAGCAAAACTGGATCTCGGGTCGTTGGTCACACATGGCTCTTGGAGTCTATTGCTGCTTACAAGTTGCATCCTACGGTTTAGCCAGTTTCACCAGTATATGTAATATTGTTTTTATTTTACTCCAATTTATTTTATGTAAGGTTACAAAACAGTTTCGTCTTTGTAGGCAAATAAAATTCTTTCAGTCTAATAATCTGTGAACTCTAGAAAAAAACGAAAAACCAAAGGATAAAGAATCTAGATAATGCTGCAACGGCCAGTTCCAGAGCTTCTGATAGGTCATTGGTGGGTCAAGAAGATTGTAACGGTCAGCTACTTTTTTACTCCCAAATCACATTATTAAAAGAATAAAATTCGATTTTAAAGAGGAAAAATAATGCTAAACAAAGAAATATTAAAACCCTAAATCCCAATTCCAAAGTTGACGCTTTTTCCCACACCCCGCTCTTCTCCGATCGTCCGTCCCTACCACAAATACATACCCGCTCCTCAATTTCGATATGCGACGCATTTATATCTGATCAAAAACCTGGAAACCCCACCAAGTAAATATCTCATCATCTCTCGCTAGGCCTTGAAAATTTCGGGTTATGGGTTGCTTTCTGGGCTGTTTCGGTGGTCGGAAGAATCGCCGGCGTCAAAAACATAGAGAATCCGATCAGGCTAGAGCAAACGTAAGTCTTTCTCATCTTTCCTCTTTTGTGAGATGAGTCTCAGTTTGTGCGAGCTTTTCTTTGAATTCCTCCCATCTTTCAGTTTTTTTTAGTGGTTCATTGCTTGAATGGCGTTACTTTCCCGTGATAATCTTCCTATTTTTATCCACTTTAACTTCTATTAATTTGAAGAAACTTTTTCTTCTCTTTTTTGCATAGAATCTCTCTGTGGAATCTGCTAAACCTGATCATCTGAATGATAGAGTCCCTACAGTTGAGGAAATCTCGGAAAACTCTCTGATTCCAATCACTGAAATCTGGTGAGTGTGATTGTTAATTTTTTTGGTACTTGTCCTCTATTTTCACGCTTTAAGCTTTGTTCCAGCTTAACGTATGCTGATTTCTCAGTGACGAGGCTGAAGAGAAATGTAGTCCAAGTCCTACTAGGAAGAGAGTCACTTTTGACTCCCAAGTCAAAACCTATGAACACATTGTGCTACAAGAATCTGTTGAGCTCTTGCAAGAGGCAAAAGAAGAGGTCAAATCCGAAGAGGTGTCACTGAATTCGAGCAAGACAGGTCAGTCTTCTTCTGAGAACATTGAGGTTGCCCCAAACTCCTCAGGGACGTATCCTTCAAACCACAGATACAAGAATTGCAGAGAAAGCGATGATGAAGTAGAAGAGGATGAGTTAGACTGCAGTGAAAGCGACCTAGAAGACGATGAAGATTACTACAGTGATGAAATTTATAATGAGGAGAAGTTGCGTAGCCAAACCAAAGAAGTTCATACTGAAGAGGCTAATGCAAAGCTGAGAAGGTCTAATGAGAATGTTAGAGATGAAGACAACTATGCTCAAGGAGTGCTTAACCCCGTTGAGAATCTCACTCAGTGGAAGTCAGCTAAATCCAAAGGGAAAACAATACAGAAACAGTCTCAAAAGGAGAACTCTAACCTCATCTCAGACCAAGAGGACAAAAGGGATTCCTCTTCTCTCGGCACAGACCCTCAGAGTAATGATGCAACACTCAGCTTCAGACCCAAGAAACCGAGAAACGAAGAAATAGCTGTTGATGCTAGCCTTTCGACCTGGTTATCAACATCTGAGACGGGTAGTGAATCCACCAGAGTCTCTATTAAACCCGAGAAGAATAAGTCTAGCTGCTACTCGAAACGAATGGTAATCAGTCATGACGACAGACCTGTGCTATGTGCATTGACGTTGGAGGAGATCAAACAGTTCCCTGCTACATCTACGCCAAGGAAATCACCTAGCAAAAGTCCCGATGAGACGCCTATCATAGGCACAGTTGGTGGCTACTGGGGTAATCACTCAAAGGCAATAGATTGTGGCTCTGCATCTTCATTCAAGGGGATACCCAACACCACCAGCAAGTACAGAGAGGTACGCATGAACCAGTTAAATCCACTCTACTGATTTCATCCGCATTTTCTAGTGAATGACAGTTTTCTCGCAAGTGCAGGATAAGAGCGTGAATTGGCATTCAACACCATTTGAGGCAAGATTGGAGAAAGCTTTGAACAACATAGATAAATAATGGTGCTGCACTCATTCGACACTTGCTTAGTTGGCAGTACTATAAATCATTTTGATTTGATTTCTCTTTTTAACATAATTGTTTCATTGTTTGTTTGGTGATCAATATCCATAAGTCTATTGATATAAAAGGAAGTAAAAAAAAAAAAAAATCAAAATTGCTCTCTTATTTGTTGGTTCTTCTTCTTGTTCAAAGTTGTTTTGTTTTCTATCAGGCGACATAGTAGATGGAGTTAGGGAGCTTGAATGTTCTCTTGGGAAGAGGACAACCTGCAAAGCTGCTCCATTGGTCTCCCATAACTCCCCACACTCTGTAACCAAGACTCATCAGCCATGTCCTCTTCTCTGACTTGTACTGTTTTACTTCCTTTTGCTCATCTTCTAGCCCCCTGCATTGTTCAATTTTTTGGTTTTAGTACATCGGTTATCTATTCTGATTAGAGTGGGCCATAATTATTTACTAGAGGGGTGTATAAAATCGGTTTTTAGCTCATTTTGAGTGATTATATGAAAACTAGTCAAAGTATTAAAGAGTGAGCAAACTTGGCTTTCGGTTGAACTTTGTTGTTATTGGTGTAGAGAATATATGAACCAAATCGAGTTCGGTTCTTAAGATCCGGTTTGGCTTTTGTGGTGAATGTGTAAATCTGTCTTTAGTCCAGTTAGAGTGAATATATGAAACTACTCGAGGCCATTTACTAATACTATTATTGGCTTCTATGGGGCTCTTTTCGGTTTGGAGAATATATGAACCGAACAGAGTTTGGTTTTCGATCTCTGGTTTAGTAGTACCTGAGGATGAGGTTGGACCAGCCATAGTAACCGGCTTGGATGAGGTTGTCGACGGTAGCAGATCGGAGATATTCTTTCCGGGAAGAGATCAAGAATATCTTGATGCCTCTTTCTCTGATCTCGTGGTATAGTTTCACCATGTGTGGAACCGATGGTGCTTTCCTCTTCCTTATCCAATCCTCGAATTTCGTCGAGTTCAATTTTTCTCCTCTGTTTTTCAATCCATAATCATGAAAAGAAGTGAAAAATAAAATATCAGTCGATGCGTCTAATGACTCTAATCTAAGTTAAAGCCGAAAACTGGTCTGATTCACAGAAAGATAAATCGAAGTGAGGCAGAACAGACCATAAATGATGATGTAAAGCAACCCGTTAGAATTGTTTTTATCCGAAATCTCAACATCAGAAAACCCGGTTATCATAAACCGGTTAAATTTGAGAGAATAAAGATTTACCCGAAGAAGCCATTTTTCTTGTGGTAAGGTATGGTAGAGAGAAGTGTGTCATCGATATCAAAGATCCAAGCGTCCATGCCATCACACTTGGTCTTGCTACAGCACATGCTCCCGAAATGAAGGATGACCTCATCAACGGCTCTCTCCACGTCATCCTCGTACTGCGATGACGTCATATACTTCTCCACATGCGAGACACACTCTTGAGGCACCACATCGAAGTTTCTGATGTTGTTAACTTCCACGTTGATCCTCCAGCTTTCGCAGTAGCGTTTCAGGTTCGTCGAGAGCCCTGAAGAAGAAACGACACCATTTTGGCCTGATGACGAACCGAGACCTTTGAGCTGGTTCAAGATGTTCCAGTCACGAGCTGAGACGACTCCGACCAAAAGCGAGGCTAGTGCTAGAGAAAGAAACATGGATCGATCCATGTTTGAAAGAAGAGTTTTCTGGATCTTGAGATTCTGATCACAAGTGTTTGTGTGTGTGAATAAGGTGAAGAGGATTTTATAGGTAGCAGAAGAGTCAAAGAGGCCTTAACAATAAAGAATAATACAAACACAAATCTGAATCCAAGTTTTTGGTGTTTCATTCATTTTTAATAATTTGGTTGTAGTTTCTATTATAGTTTTTTTTATTATATAGATCGTTGTTTACTATATTGATGCACGATATGAATTTTTTTTTTGAGTTAAATGTTTTAATATATAACCAAAAGATATGATGTAGCTTAACAATACAGAGGATCACTTTCTAAGGGGAACAAAATTATGAAAAGTGTAGCTTAATATGCGGGAGAAACAAAAAAGATGTGGGTAATTAAAACTAATTGCCAAGTATGATTGTATGCGCAATTGATCTCCTCGATTAGTGGCGATATAATTGTGAAAAAGCATTACACAATGTATAATGTATTTGACTATCAGCACAAATAGCATATCCATAGCAATAGACTGACCCACAATTTATGAAAAAAAAATTGAAAGTATAATCTAGTTCTACGTTTAAAAAAAACAATAGAAACAACTATTTATCTAGTGTGAAATAAAATATATAGTAATAATAATCGATGCAATCAAATGGAAAATATAGAATAATAATAGAAACAGCTATTTTATTCATTGGATTTGGCAACAGTTCGAACCATCAATACAATTTCTTTTTCAAATGTCGTTCAAACTAAACATTGTCATGTACTTATACTTCGACAACATCAAAAATAATACAATGGAATTAGATACTCCGACGCAAATGATAACATCACTGCAATAGCAAGGATCCAAACGATATAAACTAACGAACTAGTCTCCATTCATAGTTTAGAACTAAAACTAGACAACTATACGTAAGATCTTGTTTATGTGTCCTAATAATGAAATGGAAAGGACAAGAGAGACTATAGATCTCGAGGGGGTGGTATGGTTATGGTTTGACAAATTGATTGGAGAGTGGGAATAGAAGCACATGGAATTTAATTTTAATAAATAAAAACCGGTGTACCAAATGAATTGTGATTTGCTAGCTGTTGACGATAGATAGATGTAGACAAATTTTTAGAAAATATTAGTTAAATGCACAAACATATATACTCAAAGAAAGTGGCAAAGCATAACCCTCAAGAACAACTCATACTTGTTCCCACTTGCCATTTTATTTTATATATAATATTTTACTCGAAAGTTTTCTTTTTTCTCTATGCTACATTTGTATAAATCAATATGGATCTCTTGGTTTTAGTGAATTTTCTCAAATAGAAGAGCATAGACATGTGACACAGTTATTTTCGCAGAATAATGTAGTATCAATATTCGTTATGAGTTGACATCTTCAACACTCGATTTAATTGACAAAGAAAATTCTTTTTTTTTTCATTTTAACGATTGCAAGTGCATACGATCGTTATTAAATTAGTGTCTCTAACTTTTAATAATTTGATCTATTTCCAAAATTTTATAGTTTATCAAAAACAATTATTAGTCTCTCAATAAGGAGAGTGGCAACACTGATCAAACACGTAAGAAAATACGATAGGAATTCTTGAACGTGTTTATGGATTTATATCGTTATCACATCTTCTATTATTTCGAGATATAAGTAAATTAAATATCCCAAAGTTCAGAGGCAGTCTCTGAGCTGCCATCAGTTGTTCACATGAACAATGGGATATACACCATGTGAAAGTGAAAGAATATAATCATTATTTTCTATTTTTTCATAAATTGAGAGTGATCCGTAGCTAATACTTAAACACGGTACTTTGAAATTTGAATGATAGTTTAGTTTAGTTTAGTTAAAAACAAAACGAGGTGATTAACTTAACCATTATAAATTTAGAATTACAGACCCCCGAGCTCTATATACACAGAGTTTGACCTCGAAATAACCAAGTCAGGTTTGTTAAAATTGCTTTCTAGAAAAAGGCAAAAGGCCTCACTCACATCTTCTCTTCTTCATGCTCTGTTCATTACCTTCTTGGCCTCTGCATGTAAGTGAGATACATAACAGATCATTACATAAGTAAAACAAAATCGGCAAATTCTATTAGAATCTCCTGACGGTTACTCACTCTTTGAGCGCTTAATGTTCCTGCAGAATCTGCTGCCACACACACAATCAAAGGGTTTCATCAGACAGTCTTCATCGTTGAAGTCAACGCCATAATCCTGAAAATGTAAAGTCTAACTTTCATCAGTAAACAAGACTTGTTTCTCGATAAATCAGGAATTTGAATCTCTTTAAGGGTATAGAAACTTCTGTGCATTTTACACACCCACGTGAGTTCCTCCATTGCCTCGATGACTCTTGTTGTGAAGAACGCAAGCTGGATAAGATCGCAATTCAATTAACTTCGAAGAAACAGATTAAACATTTGAGCAAAGGATTATAAAGTGAGACCAACACTGAATCATACATGATAGTAGTGTTGATCTGGAGTCTCGACATGAACTGGGATCTCGATCAAGTTTGCATCTAGGCATCTTCAAGAAAAAAAAGGCAAATATCAGTTATAGAAAGTGAATAGGTCAATTGTGTTCTGAGCATTATTGTAAGTCTTTACCTGTGGTTAAGGAACCTTGAGATGTTTCCATAACGCGTCCCATCAAGACACAGAGATTGGTTATCCTCTAAACTTTCATCAGAGCCCCAAAGTGCATCCAACATCACAGGACAAATACTTTCACCTTTCATGCTACGTTGGTATAACTCTGGAATCGTGAGTATTTCCCCAATGTACTCACAAACAAATGCCCCTTGAGGCAATCTCTCCAAAGTCCTTAGGCCCCAACCTTTCCCATTCGGTGTGCAGAACACCTGACAAAAACGAAAAGTTCTAGATGATTTAAGATAATAGGAAAAACTAAAAAACAGAGTTAACTAAGGATGAATGTTTTACGGTTTTACCTCTAATTTGTTGTGTATTCCTTTTTGGACCAATCGGTTACCGCATATCTTATCGCAGCCACATGTGATCCAACACTCTTTAATGGCTTTCCTCTTTATGTGCCCTTTACATGGTTCCAAAGTCTCTTCGTTTTTAGCTTTCTCCAACGGGCACTCTCGACAGAAATGAAAATCATGTTTCCGTTGATCACGAGCCTCAGAGATCCGCGCTTCCAAGAAATCCTCTGTGAGTACACCATCTACTCTGTATGCAATTGTGCAACTGCAGGGCGTCGCTGAAGAAACCAAGCAATCTCCAATACAAGAGAAGCAGCATAGATCATCAGAGAAACTTGAGACCGAGGATTTCACCGCAGCATCTCGAAACGCAACGCTCTGTGATATGTAGCGGAAACGTGAAGGAACCTCGCCGTTGACCTCATTCACCCATGGAATCTCAATATTTTCTGTACCAACCGTAATGTCCTTTGTGTTGCTAAAGGCTCTCCAGCCATGTGCAGAGATCTCAGATTCAGGAACAACTACCAACTCATTGGAAATAGCAGGTGCACCACTTTCACCACCCGCCTTAACCATGCCAGAGGCTGTTTTCGAAGTAGAATCATTGAGAGTGTGAGTGACATCTGTTTCTCCATCCCGCTTTTTCACATACATGTTTGATTTCCTCATCTCAAGAGCGCGAGCTGAACAGTTCTCTGAATCCAAATAATGTGTCAATCGAAATCATTAAAAGAGACAGAAATGCAAAGGCTTCAACATCTAATCACAAGCACCATAAAAAGCAACATACACAATACCTGGAATCATAGGCTTATGATCGGTAAAGGGCTCATCGTCGACGATGATAAGTGCACCGGCATAAGAGTCGTTTTCAGCTACTACAGGAGCAGCTGGCAACAATATCACTGGTGGTCGTTCTTTGGGTTCCACTGACATGGCGCTGCTGAAGCTAGGACTTGCCTTGTTATGCACAGTTGTTGCAGACCCTCTTTCACCTGTTCGGCGGAAGTACCTCTTCAAAGGAGGTAGCTCAGTCGTTTCACCATCTTCATCTTCCTCTTGAGGCTGAGTATGTTTTAGCCAAAACCAAATTGATGCAAGTTAATAAGATAACTGAGAAACCCGGACAACGAAACATACCTTGGGATCCTCTTTGTTTGGAGTCTTTGACGTGGAGCTAAGACTAGTGTTGTTGTCACATCCTCTTTCGCGTTTTCCGCGAAACCTCCTCTTCAAAGGAGCTTCATCTTCCTCGATATCATCTTCTTGGTCTTTCACAGCAAGCTGAGCTTGCTTTAACCAAAAAACAAATAAATGTTACCTGATGAAAACAATATTCTAAAGCAGCAAAGAGATTTAATTAACATACCTCACGAGCTTTCTTCTTTTCCCGATTCATTGCTACATCCTACAAGAGTAAAACAACAAGTCCGTGAAAACTTGAGAAAAAAATAAAAAAATCAGCGGTTGTTTGTTGTTTATAATCAAATCATTCAGAAGTGAACATACTTCGGTCTCCTTTTTTTCTTCCTTCTTACTTTCAATGGCCTATCATGTGACAATATGAAAAATTCAAATCAGTAAAACCTAAAGTGATAAGAACAAATCTGTAAATCACAACATGGAATGATTACAGAAAACAACAAACCTGGACATCGTCAGGAGCAAGTATAGCTTCAATTAGTACACTATAATTGTCATCTTCTATGAAATCCCAATTATCATCATAAGTTTTTCGAAGTTTCCTGAGAACCGGTCTTACTTTCGCCTGTTGTATTCCAAGAATTTTCATAGCGTTGCAGGCTTTTTTGATATGAGGATTTGGTGCCATTTTTCCAGAGAAATGCTAAAAAATTACAATTTTTATTGAAAATTAGCATCACAGTAAGTATGAAAACAGAAATGGGAGCTAAACAAACAAACCCATAGTTTTCTTAACCCCAAAACCACAAAAAAAAAGAAACTTTTGTTTCCAACAAACAAAAGTGGCAACTTTCTTTTGGGAGGAACCAACGATCACACACTGACACACAAGCACATAAACCCTAAAGTGTTTTCTCATCTCTTCCAACAAACGAATAGGGTTACAAACTTAAGCTGGAAACGCAAAAACTAAAGCGATTGCAGTAAATGAGAGGAACTTACCAGCAAAAGAAGCGACTCTGAAAGCGAGCAAGTTTAGACTAAAGGGTGGTGAAAGTGGGGCAGCAAAATAGAAAGGGTGAGGGAAATTGATTCGCAATAGAATCGCAAGTCTAAGACTTTCTCAGCCGTTTGCAAGCTTCAGCGATTGCTTCAACAATGGTTCCCCCGTTTAAAATCCCTATTTAAGCGGACGGAACGGACATTATCACTCTCGCGGCATCTTTCCTCAGAACTCATCAATCTTCAAGCTTCTACGTGTCTGCAATGACACTATCAGATCTATCACTGTCGTCTCTAGGCTCAGTACGAGCTACTACAACCACCGATTAAGCTTTTCAGAGACGACCATCACACCACTCTCTTTCTCATCGTCTCTCAGAAATTGTGCCGGCAAACCATTTTTGTCATTTGGGCTTCTCTACTTTACTTTCTTACAATCCCTTGTTGGGCTGGATTCAAATTGGGTCTTTCATTTGTACCATTTTCAAATAGGGTCTTTCATCCCATTGACCAAAGAAATTCTTATAATATCAGTCTCAATTGTAGTAATGGGCTTTATTGTTCGAATTGTAAGAATTTCGTTTCTACAATTGACCGAATCGAAAGTATTCGATCAAATAAAGCTCCTGATCTATCACTTCTTTTCCAAATTTGCTTTCAAAATCTAGAGTTTTGGTTTCAGCACAATCCATTTTGTTTTTGTTATTTTGGTGTTTCAAGTAAAAAGGAGATTTTGAGACCCACTGAACTCCACAAGGCTTGTAATAGATCCATGAACAAAAAGGAAGCCCATTAAGGATCATGCCGTGTAAGAGTGTGATAATGAAATATCAGACCTAAATGGCAGTGAAGGACGAATATCATGAGAAACTAAAATTGTCACTAAAAAAATATCGAACCTTCTTCGGCTATACATAACTTGTTGTGAATAAGAAAGACAATGCTCAAATTAGAATTATATTTGGCAGCAAAGTTATCAAAAGACCATTCATTTAACGTAACTTGGTGTCAATTATTTTTTAGTGCTCCAAAGCCATCAATTTGCCAATTTAAAATAAAAACGAAAAGAAGATGCTCAAACAAGCTCAATTCTTTATAGCTACGAACACGATTAATCCTTATCAGTAAGGACCTACTCTTACATGAATCCGAAACCGCAAAGAAACTAACCGAAATAGCATGACATTACGATATGATCTACGGATTAGGGTTTCTACGGTTACTGTAGCACACCGGCCGGTGTTGGTCCGAGGAAGCTGGCTTGCTGAAACTCTATCTCGCCTAACATCTGATCTCGCTCCGTCTGGATGATCAAAGGGACGACGAGGATTAGAACAGTCGTGCCGGCGAACCAAGCCGCTTTCCCTGTACTTCGTAACAGCTTCTTCGACACGTAGACGGCGTCGCACGCGGAGCGTCTCCCCTGAGAGACGATCTCCGAGTTTGAAATCTTCGCCAATATGCTCGATTCTCTACCGGCTCCGATTCTCTTAGGCGCCATTGATCGGAATTGAGAGATCTAATTTGACAAAGAGGGGGAAGCACGGCGACGACTTATGAGGGGTTTCTTAAAATAATGGGCTGAATATTAAGCCTATCAATCTAATTCAAAGGCCCATTTTTAATGGGCCAATTATTAAGCCTATTTTATTGACGGTCCAGATTAAATTTCACTTCATCTTTACTGTGCACCGACTCTGTCGTCTCTAACCCTATAACCCTCTCTTCCTGTAAACGAAACAAACCCAAAATCAAAAAGGAGCTCCTCCTCCATTGAAGCCACTTCCAAAGAGAGCATTTACTGATTCGAATTAGTTCTAGAAGCGAGCTTCCTCTTCAGTTTCGAGGTTCGTATCCTTCCCTCGTATTCTACGGATTGGTAATACAACTAGGGATTCTTTTCTGCATGCTCTTTTTGTTGGGTTTAGGATTTACTTGGATTAGGTTTTGCTTGTCCTGTTAGAAAACTCCGAATCGAGATTTCCGAATTGTGATTCGTAGGAAGATATAGTGAGTTTTGTGTTTGACTGATATATAACTTGCTTGTTTCGAGTTGAGCAGCTATTCTCTATCTGCGTGGTTTCGGTTTGTGTACAATTACGCCTCTTGTTTGCTAGTCTCAGTGACATCCATCGATGAGTGTAATACCAGTCTTCTATGTGCTTTCCACTGATTCCATTTTCATGTAATCATAGTCATTTTTTTTTTCCTTAGCAGTTTCGGTTTAGAAGTCTGTTCTAGAGAGTTATGGGAGACAGCGAGGCCATGGTTTCCGAGGGCTATACCTCTGCACCATATGGAGAGTATAATGCTTCTGCTGCTACTGTGGAATCGACAGGGCAAGAAAATGCACCGAATGTTGATTCATCTCAATCGGTCAATAATGTTTCTTTGGTCAATGGGACTGCCCCTGAAGGAGGTTCAAGTGCGCCAGTTGAGAATGGAAACGCAGCAGATAACGTGGCTGTAACAGCTCCAGCAGCGGAGCATGGAGACAATCCCGGTAATTTATTTTACTTTTCAATTGCGTGTATGAGCAAGTTAATTTCGAATTGAAACCAATTTTTGAGGGGCCACTTCGATGATAAACTTCTTTGCTTATTCATTCTATGTTGTTGCAGGCTCTATTCTTTCACCGGAAGAGGAGCGCCTATGGAATATCGTAAGGGCTAATTCTCTAGAGTTCAATGCTTGGACTGCTCTGATTGACGAGACAGAGAGGATAGCTCAGGTATGTGTTGGTTTCCATAATGGATATACTTGTTCTCTATGTACTCATCTTTGACATATAAAGTTTTCTGCGTGGTGGCTTTTATTGTTCAATATCTGAATCACGTTTCCATAGGTTGTTTGCTATTTAAATCTTACAAGTGACGAAAGTGTTTTCTGTTTACAGCCATAAGTCGCTTTCATCTTTCTATATCTTTTGCTAAGTGTTATTTTTTCTGGTCCTTTGTTCCTTTGATCAAGATTGGTAATGTTTTCCTTGCTGCCCTAATTACAGGACAATATAGCAAAAATCCAGAAGGTCTATGATGCTTTCCTTGCTGAATTTCCTTTGTGTTATGGCTATTGGAAAAAGTATGCGGATCATGAGGCTCGGGTGGGGGCAATGGACAAGGTCGTGGAGGTTTATGAAAGAGCAGTGCAGGCGGTGACATATTCAGTGGACATCTGGCTGCATTATTGCGTTTTTGCCATCAACACATATGGAGATCCAGACACGATCAGAAGGTACTGAATACTTATTCTTCTATTTATATGTGTATTAACAACCTAGTTGAATTTTCAATTACCTAGAAAAAATATTTTTTCCCGTCTAACCCTTTTCTTAGATTGCTACAGCAAGTCCTCTCATTTTTGGCGGAAAGTTCTGATGGAATTATTTTAGAAATACTTCTTTTGTTTTATGCAATTCACTAGCTTTTGGACCTTCCTTCATAGCTATCTGATGTCTGTATCTGAAACCGTTTCTTTTTTTGGGTGCTCTACACTCTGCTTTGAAAATTTTGAAGTAGAAATATACTTGTTTAATTGTCACCCTCCCGTTGAAGTGCATCCATATGCGAAACGCTGCTGGAAGATGTCAACCAGTTTTGGGCTTAGGTAGCCTCTGACTGCTCGATTTTGGCCATGGTATGCTTTTACCAGGAAGGTAAATGCAGTGTTTGGCAGTGTCCTGCATTCAAAGAGTGAATCCTTTTTTTCTCCATAGAACTCGTGTGTCTTTATTGATTGTACGTGTCTGTGTCTTTCAGCACATATGACATTCGTTCTACTCTTATGCTATTGCAGGCTTTTTGAACGAGCTTTGGTGTATGTTGGAACTGATTTTCTGTCCTCTCCACTGTGGGATAAATACATTGAGTACGAGTACATGCAGCAGGACTGGAGCCGACTTGCCATGATTTACACCAGGATACTGGAGAATCCTATTCAAAATCTTGATAGATACTTCAGCAGGTAATTTCCTGATGATTTAGAGTATTAGCATAGGTTCTTAGGTTATGCTCAGAATTTTTAGTGTCTTTCTGATGTGTATGCTACCTCTTTTCGTTCTAGCATTTTGTCTGTTGTTGATAAGTGTTATTCTTGCTACAGCTTTAAGGAACTAGCTGAAACACGGCCTCTGTCGGAACTAAGGAGTGCTGAGGAATCTGCGGCAGTGGCTGCTGCTAGTGATGCTTCTGAAAGTGTACCATCTGAGTCTGATGGAAAGGCAGATGAAGGAAAATCTCAAGCTGATGGGTCCTCCGAACCATCTCTTAAATTGGAAAGTACTGGTTTAACTGATCCCGAGGAGTTGAAGAAATACATTGGCATCAGAGAAGCCATGTATATAAAAGCCAAAGAATTTGAATCTAAAATCATCGGTTTTGAAATGGCTATAAGAAGGCCCTATTTCCATGTGCGGCCTCTCAATGTTGCAGAGCTAGAGAATTGGCATAACTTTCTGGATTTCATAGAGAAGGATGGAGACTTCAATAAGGTACTGGGATGCTTAACTCTCTTATATGTGAAGATGCAAGTTTTTTGTAGATTAAGTCGTACCTCTGTGATATTATTGACCTACAGTTAAGTAGTATCTGGTGCATCATATGCTTTATTGGGTTTCCATTGGATCAAGCAACTTTTTAATGGGAAATAACTGAGACCAAAGCATGGGCCTGGATTTGGTAACTTTTAAGGCTAAGTACTTCACACTCTCAATTTGTCAATGGATACTTTAGGTGCGCGAGTTATCCTCCTTGTTGAATTACCAATGTTATTAATGCAGGTGTCTTCCTAACATTCTGTCTGTCAAGCGAGGGTCCCTCCCTATGTGAGGGCCCCTCTGTTCGACTTTTAGAGTATTTCTTGTAGATTTCACCTTGGTGGTTTCTATGTTTATATATATTTTTCCCTAGGGATCATCATATATGTTTTACATTCGATTCTTTTCCAATAGGTGGTCAAGCTGTATGAAAGATGTGTAGTTGCGTGCGCAAATTACCCTGAATACTGGATTCGATATGTATTAAGCATGGAAGCAAGTGGAAGTATGGATCTTGCAGACAATGCCCTTGCTCGAGCAACTCAAGTGTTTGTCAAGGTATGAAATGTGTTTCACCAACAACCTTTTTTGGTAGTTTAATCGCATTACTTATAATCGGCATTGTAGAATTACTGAATATTCTGCTTTGGATTTCTTGATTATTTATTTGCTTTCTTTTCTGTGGCAGAGGCAACCAGAAATTCACCTTTTTGCTGCTCGGTTGAAAGAGCAGAATGGGGATATAGCTGGTGCTAGAGCTGCATTCCAATTAGTGCACTCTGAAATTGCTCCCGGGCTTCTTGAAGCTGTAACTAAACATGCGAACATGGAGCAGCGACTAGTAAGCTTTCATGAACAAGTAGTAATTGAAGTAGACTATCACCTCTTTACATTTACTTGACTCGTCTCCTAATCTTATTTGTAGGGAAATCTGGATGATGCTTTCTCTTTGTATGAGCAAGTGATTGCTGTTGAAAAGGGAAAAGAAAACTCTACATTACTGCCGCTGCTGTATGCTCAGTATTCAAGGTTTTCATACTTGGTATGTCACATGGTCTACCAACTAAGACTTTATAGAACCTCTTTTTGTTTAGTTTTGTTGAGTAGTACTTAATAGGTTTGGCATCTCACTTTTTTCGATAATACTTTCAGGTTTCAGGGGACGCTGAGAAAGCTAGGAAGATTGTAGTCGAAGCTCTTGAGCAATTGCAACCGTCAAAACCTCTCATGGAAACACTGCTTCATTTCGAGAGTATTCTGCCACCACCAAGACAGATTGATTTCCTTGAGCCGTTTGTTGAAAAAGTTATAAAGCCAAATGCAGATACTCAGAACATTGCAAGTTCCACTGAGAGAGAAGAGCTGTCGTTAATATATATAGAGGTAACTAGAAACTGAAGAGTCCAATCCTTTTCTTCTAAATTTAAGGGTTCTAAGTATCCATATTATTGGGTTTAATACCAAATGTGTGTATGGCTTTTGCAGTTTCTGGGCATGTTTGGAGATGTTAAGTCCATAAAAAAAGCGGAAGATCAACACGCTAAACTCTTTTTACCTCGCCGGAGCACATCAGAGCTGAGAAAGCGTAGCGCAGATGAGTTCCTCTCCTCAGACAGAACAAAGATGGCCAAAACTCTCAATGGTACTCCGCCTGCACAGCCAGTGTCCAATGCATATCCAAACGCACAGACTCAATGGTCTGGTGGCTACGCTGCACAGCCTCAGACTTGGCCACAAGCACAAGCCGCTCCTGCACAACCACAACAGTGGAACCCTGCCTATGGCCAGCAGGTAAGCACAGTCAGAAACTAACTCATTTTCTTCCTTGCTTATATGCTTTTGCTCTTATAAACATTTCCAATGAATTACACGTTTCAGGCTGCGTATGGCGCATATGGTGGCTATCCCGCTGGTTATACAGCTCCACAGGCACCAGCACCCGTGCCACAGGCCGCTGCTTATGGCGCATATCCTGCTCAGGTAACCTATATTCTTAACAATTGTTTAATTGAGAATTGCTCGCACTTGATCAAACTAATGGAATGTTTCTTTGTGAAAAACTTTTCAGGCATATCCAGCACAAAGCTACGCTCCTCCGGTTGCAGCTGCAGCACCAGTGGCTGCGCCGGTCCAGCAACCCGCTGCTGCTGCACCTCAAGCTTACTACAACACTTACTACTGAGCCTGTTGGTGATGCTGTTCCTTTGTTTTTTTGTTATGAGATTTATAATAACTACTACTATTTGCTGCTCCTTAGGTACTCAAGTTTAGTGTCCTTTCAGTTGCTTGATCCGTTAAAGGCTCTTGGATTTTATGATACTGTGTGTAACCAGATAAATGTTTGAGATGAGCCCGTTAGTGCGGTTTAACTGATGCCACTTAACTTCGCAGAAAATATTGAAAATTCGAAGAAACTCAAAGAACCTCGACTTTTTTTTTTTTTTGCTTCCTTTTTGTCAAAATTCAAAATTTTCACTATGCATCTTTGAAAATGTAAAAGAAGGGTAAAATACATGCATGTAAGGGTAAAATACAGGCATTTAATACTTATGGGGCATAATTTGCGACAACTTTTTATGGGAATATATTTTTTCTGAAAACTTATGGGCCGCTTAGTTTGTGTGTGATTGTCAAGTTTTTCGTCGTCATCTTGAAGAAAAGAAAGTCGATAACTTCTTACCCAAGAAGTCTGTACACATGAACATTTCCAATCAATTTTCTCTTATTAAAGATTAAAAATGTCGCCATTAAAGGACCTTGAAACCCTCTCTCTTCCGGCTCCAATTCCCCAATGGCCTCCCGGTAACTCAGATTACAATGATTGTTAAACTCCCAACTTCTCTTATTAGCGATTTCGAATATCAAGTTTTCAATTTTAGGTTTATGATTCTCGATCTTACACCTACTGTATTCCCTAAATTCGACTGGGTTTTCATATCAGATCTCTATATAATAGTAGCTCTCAAGTTCTTAAAACCTGTTTCATATTCCACGAGATCCAGTATCGAAGTCTTGTTTTTTTTTCGTTTGAAAGATTGCGCTGTAGCCATTTATCAGATTTTGTGTTTCTTTGTCCTTTGAAACTGATCAGGTCAAGGCTTTGGCTCCGGAACGATCAATCTCGGCCAATTACAAGTCATCAAAATCACGGATTTGGAATTCATATGGCGATACAGATCCACAGAGAAGAAGAACACGTGCATTTCGTTCTACAAACCAAAGGGACTGTTACCTAAAGATTTCCATTGCTTAGGTCACTACTGTCAATCTGATTCTCTTCCCTTAAGAGGTTATGTTCTCGCGGCAAGAGATTTAGTAGCTTCACTAGAACAGGAAAGAAAACCTGCATTAGTGGAACCTGTTGCTTTCACACCGGTCTGGAGCTCGAATGATTCACAAGAAGAATGCAGTAAAAGAGAAGGCGGTTACTTCTGGTTACCCCAGCCTCCTCAAGGCTATAGATCAATCGGTTTTGTCGTTACAAAGAGTCCCGCGAAACCCGAGTTGAATGAAGTTAGATGTGTGCGAGCTGATCTAACTGAAACATGCGAAACTCATGAAGTCATTGTCACTGCTGTATCAGAAACTTCAGGTGTTCCATTGTTCATATGGAGAACTCGGAATGTGGGGAAAAGGCGTCTCTGCAGGTACTTTCTTCTGCAGAACTCGGCTTGCTGCTAGAGAAGATGTCAGTATTGCTTGTCTCAAAAACCTTGATTCGGGTTTACACGCAATGCCAAATGCTGATCAGATTCAAGCTTTGGTCCGACACTATGGTCCTACACTAATGTTCCACCATGGTGAAATCTACTTACCATCTTCCGTTTCGTGGTTCTTCAACAACGGCGCGGTTCTCTGCGAGAAGGGGAATCCGATTTCTGAACTTATCCATGAGAATGGCTCGAACTTGCCGCAAGGAGGAAGCAACGACAAGCGGTTTTGGATCGATTTGCCGTGTGATGATCAGCAAAGAAGTTTCGTCAAGCGAGGAAACCTTGAAAGCTCGAAACTTTACATTCACATCAAGCCTGCTCTTGGAGGAACGTTCACGGATCTCGTCTTCTGGATCTTCTACCCTTTTAACGGACCAGCGACCTTAAAACTAGGATTCGTCGATGTCTCACTCATCAGTATCGGCCAACACGTCTGCGATTGGGAACATTTCACTCTCAGAATCAGCAATTTCTCCGGCGAACTTTACTCGATACTGCGCGTAGCGATCTCTTTGTGGATTCGAGCTCGCGGTACGAGATCGTTGCGGCGTAGTATCTCGGCGGCGAAGGTGTGGTGGTGACGGAACCGCCGTGGCTGCAGTATATGAGGGAGTGGGGACCAAAGATTGTGTACGATTCGAGGGAGGAGATTGAGAGGTTGGCGAATCGATTCCCGAGGACGGTTGGGGTCTCGATTGCCACCGTGTTGAGAAAACTTCCGGTGGAATTAACCGGCGAGGAAGGTCCAACGGGTCCGAAGGAGAAGAACAATTGGTACGGAGATGAAAGATGGTGAAAATCTAGATTCCCGGTGAAATATCTCAGCGGCTGATACCCAGAAATTTAATGTGTAATAAGTAACTGAAAATTGATTGAAAAGGACGAAGAAGAACCTCAATTTACGCAAAGCTTTAATTGCGCAAAACTTTAATTACAATTAGCGTAGGATTAACGTTAAGACTCAACTGTCGTTGGAAGCGTTTACATGTGGGTCCCTAGTTGTGTTTTAAGTTCAATTAATTAAGCCCTGATAACTTATTTAGACGAACAAACCCCACCAAATTCACACATCCGTGTACCGTTTCCGCTTTTTCCTTCTTCATTTTCTCGCTCTCTCTCTCTCTCTGAGAAAAGATTGTTCTTTTGATCCGTGATTCCAAGTCGCTCTCGGATTTTCTTCATGAGATTAAGATGAAAAAACCTCGTTGAGACACCCAATTTCAGTTATATCTGTATCGTGCGTCACTTTTTGCGTCAACAAAAGAAACTAAGTGGAGAGATTTTTTTTTTTTCAGAATTCTAGAGGTGTTACAAGTTGAAACCTTTATGTTCGTTTAGTTAATGGGTTTCCCAAACTTGATCGATGAGTGTATTTGTATCTCAGTTTTTGAAAGTCTCTTCTCAAGGGTTTGATTCTTAAGCCACTGATCGGCGTTTTCCTCTTCTTTCTTTGCTTTTTCTGTTAATTGATTTGGGATAATGAATGGTTTCCGAGATGTTTGTTCATCAAGTGGTCCGGTGATGATCGGAGTACCACCAGCTGACGAAGACGAAGACGAAAACGCAGCTCTGTCGTCGGAGGATTCGTCTTGCCCGGACCAGTCGGTGTCAGGGACAGAGGCAGAGCTCGACCTAGCTCTGGGTCTTAGCATTGGTCTGAATAGTCGTCGGAATCACTCAAAGGTTCGGTCTTCTTTGTCATCTTTGTCTTCCTCGTCGTCTTCTCTGACCAGAGAAAGTGGAACCAAACGGTCTGCTGATTCTTCTGTGGCTGCCTCAAAAGGGTAATTCATCTGCGAGACCTTAATATCATATTATTCATGTATGTATATGATTGGTGTCAGATTTGATTATTGTTAATAGCTACATAGAACCTTACCAAGCTAGTTTTGTTAGACTAAATCACATATAAATTTTAGACCTTTGTATTGTGAGATTGAATTAATCATTTTTTAGTGTTTTGCTGAAATGCTTTGTGTTATACTTTATGGATCCCATTAATAATTGGTCACTTGTGTATTGCTATTTACTATTTCGTCTTGTGATTGAGTTTCTTTTTGGTAATGGGAGCAGACACGTTGCGGTAGGGTGGCCGCCTCTACGGACTTACAGAATCAACAGTTTGGTCAACCAAGCAAAGTCCTTGGCCAATGAAGACGGCTTGAGTTCTGACATTCAAAAGTACACAACGAAAAACGGTGTGGTGGCTACGAAGAAGGATGATGCTCGCTTCATCAAATCATCCAAGACTCCAATGCTTGTGAAGGTGACAATGGACGGAGTTATAATTGGAAGGAAGATTGATCTCAATGCTCTTGATTCTTATCAAGGCTTGGCCAAAACTTTGGAGCACATGTTTTTCCAGATACCTTCTTCTGTGGCAAGTCAGTTACTAATTCTATTTTTTTGTGAGTTTTCTGCTTGTCAAATTCTGTGTCTCTTGAAATTTGTGGTTTTGATTGGTTAATTTGTAATATCAGACACACAAGGATGCAGGACAATCAAGGAAACAAATGCTTCGGAATTGCTGGATGGCTCATCGGAATATATCATAACGTATCAAGATAAAGACGAAGATTGGATGCTTGTAGGAGATGTTCCTTGGCAGTACGTGATTAACCTTGCTATCTTCCCATTTCATCATGTTTATTTGTTAGCACATTCGATATCAGTTTGAACGAATCCTTTTCATGTGTGTTTTCAGGATGTTCCTCGGGTCCGTGAAAAGAATGAGAATCATGAGAACATCAAGTGAAACCGGAGTTGGTAAGTATGGATTCTTATACATAGTAAAAGCAACCTTGTTTCAGATCGTTTTTACATTTGTTGAGAAAACATTCTCAGCTCAACATCTCTTTTTAAATCGATCTGAAAGGTGAAATCTTCTTCTTTGTCAGGTGCAAATGATGGTACGGAGAGATAAAAGGAGACAAGAACAGACATAGTGTTTTACTTATAGACAAAAAAAAAATACAGGGTTTGTTTCTCGTTTCTTCATTTCGTTTACATATATACATGTATGATTTATCACACACAGGAGCGTATATGTGTCCTGTGGTTCTTTGTGAATATCAAAGAAAAGCTTAACGTTCTCTTTGAAAATCTGTGTGTGTTTTAGTTTGATTGTGCCGATTCTTTGAAAGATGATTAAGGAAAACATCTGATTAAGGGTCTAGAGATGAAATCGAACTATATGATAGAATCATCATCAGTGGCTTCATATAATTATGAAAAATGAAATACATCTAGTGCGTAGAATAAGAAAAACAATCAATCAGCTTCAGTCACAACTCAAATGTAGCATCCTTCTTGTTTTCGAGGTTTTCTGGCATAAAAACCCTCAAAACCTAAATTCTTTAAAGAGAATGAAACGTTTTCTTGTTTGGCTCAGTTATTATTCTTCAAGGTGACAGAGATTGGACTCCTAACTCGCTGCATCAGATTCCTAGAGTTGACCCAAGTCAACTGTCCCTCCGCAAAGGTAGCCGCCACCTTCCCTCCTCTGCTTCTCTTCTTCAACACAAGCCAAACTCTATAGCTCAGCGTCTGACCCTCGTGGCTGAACACAAGTCTCTTAGGGTTTACAATCACTTTGATCCCTTCAGGAGCTTTAACATTCACCGAGTATATCGAGTTAGGGCTCCCAACGTTCGTCACACGCCTCGTGATCAACTCCGTCGTCTTCCCGCGCTTGAAAATCACGGAGATCGACGGGTAGTTCAGGCTGAAACCAGGGCTTTTCTGAAGGATCCCGCTGCAGCTCACGTTCTTATGAGTGATTGCTAAAACGTCTGATCTTGTGAACCCGAGAGTGCAGAGGTAAGCGATGTAATCCACCGGTTCAATGTTGTAAACCAGTCCCGGGTTTATCGCCTTTCCCGGATTCACATGCCCTGCTCCGACTGCAAACAATCCTGCTGGTTTGTTTCCATCTTTGATCACTTTCCCACGACGATCATACGAATCCGCTGTCGTCATCATCGCGGATTTGATTGCAGCAGGGGACCAGTTCGGGTATGTAGACCGGATTAGAGCAGTGATCCCGCTGACATGTGGACAAGACATTGAAGTTCCTGACATGACAGTGAAGTTGACTCTTCTCGTATCATAAGGAAGCCCTGTTGGTCCTAGATTCTGAGGCCAAGCCGCGATGATATTGACTCCCGGAGCTATGATATCCGGTTTAAGGATCGACGGGTTGGCTAAACTCGGTCCTCGAGCTGAGAACTGAGCCACTTCCGGTGCTCTTGACCTCCCGATCACCGTCCCACCAAAGATTATCCGAGCCTTTGGTCTCACCGTGGCGTTAACGTAAGCTTTCAGAAGAACCGACTCTGCGTAACCGATCAATGTAGCTGGTAAGAGATGGACGTCGATTGAATCTTCTTCTTGGTTGATCTCTGTGTTGGCTAAGATCATTGCAACTCCACCTGCTTCTTTAATCGCTTGTCCTTTCTCCGATCTCCCATTGACTCCACGGTCACAAATCACCATCTTGCCTTGGATTGTCTCTCTTGGGAGTGACCCTCTCAAGCAGAACTCGCTTCCTTTATCACCTCCAGTGACGTAAACCACCTCGACTTCTCTCTCTGCTTTCTTTATACCTTTCCCTGGATACAACGACTCTCCGTAGAGAAGCTTCCCGTTTGCTAATCGGACCACGGCGGGGAATCTTCGATCAAGCGTCCCTGCGCCAACTGTTGAGATCCAAGGAGCTGTGTTTGCGACCGAGCTGTCTAATGGACCGTTGTTACCACCCGCACAGATTACAGAAATCCCGCGCTCCATGGCTCGGAAGGTTCCGATGGCGATCGTATCATCGTAAAGAGGAATCGGAAAACCGCCAAGGGAGAGCGAAAGAACGTCGACTCTGTCTTGAATCGCTACATCTATAGCTGCGAGAATGTCAGAGCTGTAACATCCGTTGAACCAACAGACTTTGTAAACCGCAATGTGAGCTCCAGGAGCCATCCCACTAGCTACACCAGCTCCATTTCCGAGAACATTCGCCATCGAAACAGAGGATCCTCCAGCTGTTGAAGCCGTGTGAGTCCCGTGTCCGGTTGAATCTCTTGCGGATATGTATTCACGAGGCATGTTTGGGGACTCCAGTGGCGAGTTAGCCACACGGTGGCCTCTGATGAAGAATCTAGCACCGATTAGCTTTCTGTTACAGCTCGAGGAACTGAAGTTCTCTCCTTCTTGGCAAGTCCCTTTCCATTTCCGTGGAACTGAGGGCATTCCGGTATCGTCAAAGCTAGGACTTTCAGGCCAGACTCCGGTATCAAGAACGCCGATAACCGTGCCTTGGCCAGACCGAGATTTTGACCATACACCGGAGTTTCCAAGACCGTCGAGTCCCAAGAACTTGTAAGAGTAAGTGGTTTGAACCTGGAGAACATGGTCAGGTCTCACTGCAACAACTTCAGGTGAATTTCTCAGCGTCTCTGCCTCTGATTCGGTTAGTTGAGCAGCAAATCCTTCAATGGCAGAGCCATAAGAGTAGAGAATCCGAGAAGAAGGCTCTTCTTCTTCTTCAAAACCTAAAACCGCTTCTTGGAGAAAAGAAAGATGCCAATCAAGTTTTGAAGAAAATGCTTTAGAGGTTTCGCTATTAGGATGAAGCTGAATAATGTAGGTCTGTTTCCGCAGGATCTCTGAGGAAGAAGAAGAAACAAAAAGAAGAAAGATAATGCAGAGACAGAGAGAATTGGGTTCCATTGCAGAGAAGAACTATGGAAAGGTTTCGCTTTAGTGTTGTGGTTTTTGGAGTGCATGGTTCTGTTGAAGAAGAAGAATCGGGTATTTAAAGAAGAGTGAAGAGAATTCAAAAGCTGGGATTCGGAGTCTACGGAAGAAGATGATGAAGCTCGTGAAGAGTAAGAGCTCTTCATCACGAGTTTCATTTGTATGTTGCAGAGTTAGGAGCTTCTTGTTCTCTTTCTTTTTAGATTTTCAAAGCCGAGGACATTGAACTATTAAGTGGAACTGTTGAAGCTGTTAAGGTTTTTCACTTGTAAGGGTTTTGTCTCTGTCTCTGTGTCTCTGCTTTTTTTTGGGAGGTTTTTTTTGTTCACGAGATGTTATGCTTAGAGTTTATTGCGCGTATTAGTTTTTCTGTAGCCTTCCTTTTCCTTTTGTGAGAAACAAATGATTCGAAATTTATATGGTTTTGGAATTTGATGAATTTTCTTATGATAAAATTTTATAAAATTAGACCTCGTTATGATTTTACTTGTTTTGTTTATTTTTTTTTCGGTTGGACATTGCAATAATATTTATGAATGTGGGATAACTGTAAACAAAAAACAAAAAAAACAGTGATGAACAAAAAATATTTTAGAGTTCCATTTTTATAATATCAAACCATATGGTATGTTGTATTTAAGAAATCAAACCATCGTGCATTTTTTTAGAAAAATTAATATATTTAAACTGAAGGAAATGTGACCGTTGAAGGAAATTAAATGAAGCAGCGCGTTGAGTGTTCATTACGTGCATTTATACACGCAACGCTGCACACGCCTCGTTTTTCCATCGGGTACTGCGTCATTGTACGACGCCGTATTGTCTATTTTATTGGGCTCTGTTCTTATCAAACATGAATTGATAACATGCTAATAATAGACGTCATTATTGTTTGATAATCATTCTTCTAAACAGATTTCGTTAAAACTACTTGACAAAAAATGCATCTTTCTCTTCTAATCTCTCTTTTTGTTTTTGCAGATTATTAATAACATTTAAAAAAAACAGAGAAACTAAGTGTTCCGTACAAAAAGGTCTCTTTCAAATGTTCAAAAGAACAGATTTAAAAGTATTTAAGAGTGAAGATTGCATCATCATTTCATGCTTTTTTATAACCCTTTGGGAAACTCTCTCTTACTTGGACCTTAAGCTTTTGTCACATTATCAGCTTTTATATTCTCTTGAGAAACCCCTAACCTGAATCTTAACATGTATGATCACAAATCAGGCATTCCACTAGATCTTGAGGAGTATTCGGTTACCAGTTTCAAGAACATGGATGATTTGTCTTCTAAGAGCCGCGCAGGAGTATCAAACTCTGCTACTCTACCTGCACCACAGACCACAAAAACAACATTGAATTCTCTCCCAAAAGACAGGGTAATATGAAGAATGAATGTTTATGGTTTTGCATATATATATGACTAACCGTCGCTGAGAACCAAAACAAGGTCACTGTCGATAACAGTTGGGATCCGGTGAGCAATGGTACAGACCGTGCAGTTTTCAAACTCAGTTCTAATGATCTTTTGGATCAAATTGTCCGTTGCTGTGTCTACTGATGCTGTTGCTTCATCAAGAACAAGTATTCTTGCTTGTTTAAGTAATGCTCTTCCTAGTGACACAAGCTGTCTCTGCCCAACACTCCAGTTATCTCCATTTTCCAACACTAAACCAGGGTTCGTGGGTTGGATCAGAAAAAAAAACATCGGTAGAAAGAAACGAAAAAATCGAGAAAAAGGACTATTTTGGGTGCAATTAGTTACCTGGAGAGTCAAGTTTTAGGTCTTTTCCTCTAACAACGTCTCCAAGCTGGGATTTATCAAGTGCCTGAAAATTAAAAAAGTTGAGTAAATCTCTAGAATCAAGCTTCAGTTAGTAGGGAATAACAAAGACGATATATATACCTCCCAGATTTTATCATCAGAATGTTCTTCAAGTGGGTCTAGGTTTCCACGGATCGTTCCTTCAAACAATGTAGGATCTTGAGGTATGATACCGAGGCGACTACGGAGATCATGAAGACCAATTTGAGAGATATCAATGTTGTCAATCGTAATTCTTCCAGCAGTTGGCTCAATCAACCGAAACAAAGCTTGAATCAAAGTCGACTTTCCGCTTCCCGTTCGTCCAACAATTCCAATTTTTTTCCCACCAGGGAACACGCAGCTTATCCCGTGGAGTACCGTCGGAAGATTCTCAGCATAACGAACCTTCAAAAACAACGAAGCAATAAGAAAACAGGGGAAGTAAGTGCAGAGAAGGTAGTACAAATAGTGTATTTTTGGTTTGAGTACCTTAACATCAAGCAGCTCAATTGTTCCTTTTTCAGGCCACGTGGAAGACGGTCGGAAATCTTCGATAAGTGCTGGGGATTCTCCTAAAATCTGGCTGTACTGATAAATCCTTTCGATCGAGATAATTTTGTTTTCAAGCTTACAAAAGCTTAGTATCCATCGTGATAGACGCCCATTCAAGTTAAGCCCATATGTCACAGCAAGCCCTGCCATGCCTATTACAACAGAAACAGCGAGAGATCAGAAACAGGGTGATTGTTGATGGCTATTTTGGTAAAGGAGGTCTAGAGATACTTACTTGGATCAATGGTTCCATGTGGAAAACTGACGAGTAAAACCATACAGAAAGCGAAAACAAGTGTGGAGAGTAATTCCATGCGTAAACAAAGCCATTCTATCGCAGCGATACTGCAGAAGAAAGGTCGAGCAAAACAATCGAGAAGATAAAGGTTCCTCTTGATGAATCTTTTTTCCTGGCCAAAACCTCTTATTGTGGCCGCACCAGCTATTGATTCCCCAAATAGATGAATTATTGGAGACTTCTGGATACTAACAATGCGAACCAGTTCCCTCGAAGAAGCCATGTAATATTTCTGCATCCAAAAGCAAGCAACCGCTACGGGAACAACAAGAAGAAATACTTGCCAGGTAACATTGGTCATTACACCGACGATTCCAAAGAGCTGTATTGTTGTTGATGCAAACCCGCCGAGTCTAAATGGAATGTCAAGGTCTACAACACTTTGATCAATAGAAACCTGCACATCAGTAAAATTCCCAAAATCAGAAGGTATTACAGAAAAGTTTGGATTTTGGTTTCATATCATCACATCCACATACCCGGTTCAAAATTCTTCCTGCAGGTGTGGAATCAAAGAATGACATTGGCGCTCGGAACACACTTCTGAGCATGTTCAAGAACAGCTTCTGTGCAGCAGCTAGACCAAAAGTTGCAACCAGAGCAGCTCGTACAAATATGAACACGGAGCTTCCAAAAGCTAAGGCCGTATAAACAACGAGAAGAACTGTAGGACTCACTTTAGACTGGTCACCTTCCGTTTGAGGATTCGCCCAGGCCATCCACCAATTACTAGCAATCTGAAGAAACTGGAAAGAAGCTTGTGCGAGTATAATAAGAGGAATCAGAAGCCCTTTGTATGCAGCACCCATGTATGACAGGTACACCTTCATGCTGACTTTTCCCTTTACTCTTTCCTCTTCTTGAACAAGCTGCTTTTTGCGGGAACGCTTCGCTTTCTTCTTCTTTTCTTTGATGGCCTTTAGATCTGAAGCAGATGCACCATCTTGTACTTCCTTCGCCAAAGTCTCGATGTCATTTTCATAAACATCTGACTTTGAATTATGCGAGACCAAAGTATCGCGAATTGGATTTTCATCAGAGTCTTCTGAGGATACACTTGGGATGTCCATTGCCTCGATTGCTTCATGGTGGGCAGACACTAAAGCCTTAAAGTCAGTACCTGCTTGTAGCAGATCATCATATTTACCCGACTGAATAATCCGGCCTTCCTTCAGAACCTTTGAAACAACACAAATAAACAGTTTCAGAGCTTGTCATAAGAGAAATCGTTTGAATACTCCTTCAACAGTTTTACCTTTCTGCAACTATAGAGACAAGTTCATCACAGCTGGTAAGCTAAACACCTATAAGAGACCCTTTAGCATTTCTAAAAGGACCAACAGTAGCCGGAATTAATGCGTTGTAAAACCGAGAAAAGGAGTATCTTACCAATATTAGATCAGCTGCAGGAAGAAACTCAACTTGATGCGTCACAAAAACCACAGTTTTTTCAGCCAATGCAGATAGAATGTAGTCCTGTATAACCATTAATTACCGCGTTATGCAAACTTTCAAACTCACAATATGAAAGCGTGATTTGAGGTTGAAAAAAAATGCTTATTTACCCTAAACAGATCAGAGCCAGTGTGTGCATCAAGAGCACTAAAAGGGTCGTCTAGTAAATAAATGTCAGCATCTTGATATAATGCCCTTGCAAGTTGTACTCGTTGCTTCTGCCCACCGCTGAGATTTATGCCTCTCTCTCCGATAATCGTTTGGTCCCCATGTGAGAAAAGCTCTAAATCTTTCTTTAGGGAACATGCTTGTATCACATTCTTGTACTTTGCTTTCTCCATTGGACTGCCAAATAGAATGTTTTCTTCAATGTTACCAGACTGAATCCAAGCCGACTGAGACACATAACCAGTAGTACCACATATTCTAACCTATATAACAATTATCAGCAGGATGATTAATGATTTTTTTCAGAGGATAATAATAAAGATGTAACAGAGCAATTGAGACGAAACACCAGAAAAATTGACTTACTTCACCAGAGATTTTCGGGATTTCCCCCAGGATGCAAGAGATAAAACTTGATTTTCCAGAGCCAACTGTGCCACAGACAGCCACACGCATGCCCTTCTCTACTTTCATCTGAATCCCAGATAAGGTCGGCCTTAAAGAAAACGGGTCCCAACAAAACACACCATCTTTGATCTCTATGGCTATATCTGAATGTCCGCGTGGGATAACAACAGTTGCATCTTCCTGAAGCTCCTCTTCCTGCAAGAACCCGGAGATCCTATCAAGAGAAACCTTTGTCTGAGCCATCATTGAGACCAGATCAGGAAAGTTCCGAAGTGGCTCCTGGA